GTGAGTGGGTTGAGGCAGGAGGATGATCATCAGGTTATTGTGGAGGTGCTGAGGGAGTTTATTGCTCGGGGGGAGGAGTAGACTATTGATCCTATCTATCTTAAAAAGTAGGGTGGTGGCTGTATGTATAGACTACATGAAACTGCATGGGTACTATAACAATGGTATCATGTATTGCTGCCTCCAGGAGGTCAGGCAGGTATCATACTCGGTGACGAGCCAAAACAATGTCTCAAAACAGAATCAAGAACTCCTTAAATCCCTCTCTATGGTATTTTACAATTCATCATGCCCATAGGCCTCGTCATCCTCGTCCGCCGGGGCAGAGCCGTACAGCTTGCTGGTGATCGGGTACGCCACGTTCGACAGCTGCTCCTTCTGCTCCTCAAAGTCCTCCGTGGTAGCAGTGGCAGCGTTGTCCTCGAGCCACTCAGACACCTCCTTGACGGCGTCCAGGATGGTCTGCTTGTCGTCCTCGTCGATCTGGCCACCAAGTCCGTTCTCGTCGTTGACCTGGTTCTTCAGGCTGAACGCGTAGTTCTCCAGAGTGTTGCGGGCCTCGATCTTGGCCTTGATCGCCTTGTCCTCCTCAGCGAACTCCTCGGCCTCGGCAACCATGCGGTCGATCTCCTCCTGGGACAGACGACCCTTGTCGTTGGTGATGGTGATGGACTCGGCCTTGCCGGTACCCTTGTCGCTGGCGTGAACCTTCAGGATTCCGTTGGCATCCAGGTCGAAGGAGACCTCAATCTGAGGAACACCACGGGGGGCGGGGGGGGATGCTGGTCAGCTCGAACTTGCCGAGCAGGTTGTTGTCCTTGGTCAAAGAACGCTCACCCTCGTCTGTGCCACAGTTAGTATGCAGGTCAATCATCTTCCAGTAGAGAAACACTTACAAACTTGGATGAGGACGGTGGGCTGGTTATCAGCGGCGGTCGAGAAGATCTGGGACTTGCGGGTAGGGATGACGGTGTTACGGGGGATGAGCTTGGTCATGACACCACCAGTGGTCTCAATACCCAGGGTAAGGGGTTGACATCCATCAGAACAACGTCGCCGGTACCTTCCTCACCGGAGAGGACACCACCCTGAACAGCAGCACCGAAAGCAACAGCCTCGTCAGGGTTGATACCCTTGCTGGCCTTCTTGCCTCCGAAGAACTCCTCGAGGAGAGCCTGGACCTTGGGGATACGGGTGGAACCACCGACCAGGACAATGTCGTCAACCTCGGACTTCTTGACCTTGGCGTCCTTGAGCACCTGCTCGACGGGCTTCAGGGTCTTCTTGAAGAGATCCATGTTCAGCTCCTCGAACTTGGCGCGGGTGAGGGTCTCGGAGAAGTCCTCGCCGTTGTGGAAGGCCTCAATCTCAATACGGGTGGACATCTGGGAAGACAGAGTACGCTTGGCCTTCTCGACCTCACGCTTGAGCTTACCCATGGCCTTGAGGTCCTTGGTGACGTCAACGTCGTTCTTCTTGTTGTACAGCTTGACGAAGTGGTCCATGACACGGTGGTCAAAGTCCTCACCACCAAGGTGAGTGTCACCAGCGGTAGCCAAGACCTCGAAGACACCGTTGTCGATCGACAGGAGAGAGACATCGAAAGTACCACCACCGAGATCGTAGACGATAACCTGGCGCTCATCACCGGTCTTGTCCAATCCGTAGGCGATAGCGGCGGCGGTGGGCTCGTTGACGACACGGAGAACGTTCAGGCCGGCAATGGTACCAGCGTCCTTGGTGGCCTGTCTCTGAGCGTCGTTGAAGTAGGCGGGAACGGTGACAACGGCGTGGGTAACCTTCTTTCCAAGGTAACCCTCGGCAATCTCCTTCATCTTGCCGAGAACCATGGCGGAAACCTCCTCAGGGGTGAGGGTCTTGGGGGTCTGGTTAACCTCGACCTTGACGACGGGCTTGCCATCCTTGTTGACGACCTTGTAGGGGAAGTGCTTGGCGTCCTTCTGGACGTCTCTGTCATCGAACTTGCGACCGATCAGGCGCCTAATGCGAGTTAGTGATGCTCGAATACACGCAGGCTCAAGAGGCTCACTTTATGTCAAAGATGGTTCGTGTAGGGTTGGCAGCGTATTGGTTCTTGGCGGCGTCACCGACCAGGCGTTCCTCGTCGGTGAAGGCGACGTACGAAGGGGTGATACGGTTTCCTTGGTCGTTGACGAGAATCTCAACCTTTCCATTCTGCATCACACCGACACAACTGCAACCCAGTCAGTCTTTATTCCGTGGACAATCGCGTTGCATCGCAATGAACATACGAGTAGGTGGTTCCCAAATCAATACCAACGACTATTGAACATAAAACGCGTCAGCAACTCTTCCCTCTAGCCAGTACTGCACATATCCTTACCAGTTCCGTAGCTTTCCTGGGGTGACTGCTCATCCTGAGCGTGTGCGGTTCCGAAAAAGGCGAGAGGAGCAATGAAAACGAGAAGCAAGTAGAAGATGGTGGTCCAAGCCGTGAAAGGCTTGGCCGCACCCTGATGCGAGATGCGCGCCATGATGTGTAGAATGCAGACAATGTCCCTTTCACCACAGGACACGTAGCAAGGTTAATTGACGGGGTTCCTCTACCGGAGAAGACAGCGAACGAGAAATCCTCCTGCGTCTTTGAAAGATTCCTGGCACGAAGGGGAAAAAGAACAAACAATCCAACCCAGGTGAGACGGGAAGGAAAGGGAGAAAGAGCGGATCAGAGGAGAGAGGGAGGGGGGAGGGTTGTTGGGTGGAAGAAGGCGACGACGGAGAGAAGAAAGAGTGATCTGAGAAGCTCCGGCCAGCTTCTTGTATGGCTTGCCAGCGGCAAAGAAAGCGCAGCGGCCATGCTGGCCTTTTCGCGGGTATCCGACTTTAAGGTTACTCCTCGGCCGGTGATTGGTCCGCGACGCGTTCAGGGCATTGCTGAGTCAGCGTGCACGGTGACCGCCCGGAGGTTCTGCCGGCGCAAAGAAGTGACCCGGCTGAGAGGCGTTCGCTTTCTTGGGGCGAGGCGGTCCACCGAACTTGCTGGAATCGGGGTTCCATTCGTTCGCTTAGGGGCTAGTCGGTTAATTAGCCGTTCGTCAACCCAGGGGCCGACTGCCTAAGGCCCAAGGGAGGGTCCGCCGCCTGCTTCTTCAGCCTGCCCTTGCCTCTTCCGGCACTTGGACAACTGGCCGTTCCGTTGATTCAGCCTGAGGTCGATGCTATCTATGGACGACAGCCGACCGGCCAGATGACATGACCCCTGGCCAGACCTCGCTGGTGACCATCATTATCGAGTCGAGTCATCCTCCTTTTTGAGTCAGACCCCAGGGTCTCCCTCCAAAGTGGATACAATCCCCACTCAGGAGGCACATCACAGTTGGCCGGAATATTCGACATGCCAAGGCTCCTTCTGCCAGCCTGTCCAAATTGTTTGATCTCTGTTTCACTTGTCTGGGGCCGAAGGGCCTTGGGCTTAGCTAGCATGTCAGTTCAATGTATTTCGTAGACACGAGGTAGAAAGGGGTATCTCGTGCCACTTGCACATTCGTTTATGGTCTGCGAGTGGTTGAATCATGATGAAGCAACGCAAATGGTATCTTAGACTGGCATGAAGGGATATATATATATGCAGAACAGCTTATTGACATGTATCCGTCTCTAACTATTACTCTAGCAATCCAGCGGCAACAGTTTCACCTCCTGCCCGTAGGACAATGCGTGTAGGCGCTTCAAGGGGCACAGCCTGGTCCATCTCCACCACTATCCGTGCCACGGTCCCGGGTGCAACAATCTTAGGCTTCTTTTTGATGCTCGCACCAGACACCTTGTCCAAAGTTGCAACCAGCTGGCTGATTCTTCCGGGTACATGCAGGCGTCCCCGGTGGATATCCACCATGCTAGGCAACAGATGGTCAAAGGCCAGCACTTTGCACGTAAAGGAAGTAACGTTGGCAATTGGCGCCGAGGCACGGCAGATGACATCGCCAGAGCGGAGGTGGATCGGGTCAATATTGACCAAGTTCAACGTGACGTTCTGACCCGCCACCGCCCAGTCGCTGGGTTCCCCGTCTACTTCCAGGCTCCGAATCGTGGCCTTTTCGCCACTAGGCATCGTGAGTATCTGGTCGCCGACCTGTAGGCTGCCAGCATCCATGCGCCCCGAAATCGAAAGAGGATTCTGGACGCTTCCACGGAAGACATCCCCGATGGTCATCCGGAGTGGCTTGTCCACGGCGTGCGAATACGCTTCGGTGGCCTCAAGCTCCTCGATCAATGTAGGACCCTTGTACCATGAGACATTCGGGTCATCGCTCCGTCTGGTGACATTATCTCCGCTAATTCCTGAGCAGGGCACAAAGGCGATGTTCTTGGCCTGGAACCCAGCCGTCGTCAGGAACGAGGACACCTGTTGTTCGATCTCGTCAAAGCGCTCTTGGTCCCATTGGACCGAGTCCATCTTGTTCACAGCAACGATGATCCTCTGAACACCCATACTCCGCACCAGCAGGGCATGCTCCTTCGTTTGACCTTTGAGTCCCGACTCGAAGTTACCCGTGCCCGAATCAATGACGAGGACGGCGAAATCGGCCTGGCTGGCGCCGGCAATCATGTTAGGCACAAAGTCACGATGACCTGGAGCATCCACTATCGTAAAGACCGTCTTTTCCGTCTCAAATTTGTTCGTTGCAATGTCAATAGTAACACCTCGAGCTCTCTCTTCGGAACCCTGATCCAATACCCACGCCAGGGCGAACGATCCTTTGCCGATTTTCTCCGCTTCTTTGCGATACTTGTCTAGGGTACGTTGATCAATAGCTTTGAGATCAGCCAGCAGACGCCCCATCAATGTGCTCTTCCCTGCATCAACGTGACCTATCCAACATTAGCGGCGCTCGCCAGCAACAAAATGGGTTATAACGGACCGATAACGGCAAAATTCATGGCCTTCTTCCGTTGCGATTTCTGGTACTCAGACAGCACATCCAGGTTCTTGCTCTTGACATTCACCTTCTCCTCCACACTCAGATTATTCATGCCTTCAGACAAACCAGCCTGAGATTTCTTGTCACCCGCCTTCGCAGCAGGTTGTTTCGATTTGAAGCCTGCACGTCCATTAGGGAGGTTTTATATCTTTCGCCGAAAGGCCAAACCTTTTGCAGAGCTCTGAGCATTCAGGATAACGTCGTCGGGGCTTGGGCCTGCAAAGTCAAATGGTTCAGCAAAATCCTGCCCATAGATCTTGATGAGATCAAGAGAATTGGCATATAAGTGGCTGGGCTCGGTCATCTTCGGACGTGTCGCATCTCCCACGATCGTGCTAGCAAATGTAGACGGCGGTGCCCGGATATTGACACTGGGTTCTTCCTGCTCAACCGGCGCAGGCGGTTCTGGATTCGACTGCACAACGACCTCAGGACTGCTTTGTTTCCTCGGTTCAGGGGACGCCTTTTTCTGAGGCGAAGGACTTCCAAGTCTCGACCCTTTACCAAGTGACCGAAGCGACTGTAATCCCTCCAACGGCTTCTGCGGCTTTGCATTACTAGCAAGTCGCTCACGTAGAGAAAGAGTCGTTCCCTTCTGCTCACTCGTAGACGCCTGCGGTTTTTCCGCCTCAGGCGCAGGACTCGGACTCGGACTCGGACTCGCCGTAGAAGCCTTCTCCCCTTCTCTCTTCTTACGCGCCGCAGCCAAAGCAGCCAACTTGGACACCTTCCCCCCACTCTCCGGAGCACCCCCAAGCAGTCCAAGCCGAGGATACAGCGGCTCAACGAGTATATCCGCCTTACGATGCGCAGGTACATTAAGCCAGGGCGCATCGCGAAAGAAATCCGCCGCCGAGAAATGTGCAGTCGAAGACACCGGAGACAACGGAACAGGATACACCGGCACTAGGAATCCTGTTAGAACATAATCCAACTTCCGTAACGGGTCAGTTTAAAGCAATCAATCAGGAGAGGAAAAGAGACAATACTCACAGTTGACGACACGCATAGGGCAATTCGTGACCTAAGCCCAACCACCCCAGGAAATACAAATGGATATGCTTACCTTTCGCCTTCGTAGCCGGTACTGCAGCCGGGGCTGGAGCCTTCTTCTTGATTTCCTTCGCCTTCTTGTCTGCACCAAAGAACTCAATTAGTACCCGACGAAGCACACATTATTCCCTAAGGATAACACAGCTCCCCATTCCAGATAGAAATAACAACGTACTCCTCAAGTAATTCACCGACTTCTCGACATCATTGTAATAGTGCCAAAGCGCTTCCTGAACCTCATCGCGAGTCGCCGTCACAGAAGGGTCCCCCGCGCGCAGCTGGTTCAGGACCTCCGTAGTGCACTGTTGAAGAAACTCTTGTTCCTCGGGATCAGGGGAGTCATAACCGTCGTCGAAGTCGTCTTCGTCGTAGCTCACGGCCTTAACGCGATGGCGCGACATGGTGGTTTGTGTTGTGAAGGGAGCGGGGCAGGTTGCTAGGGAGGGGTTTTTCGGGAGAGGTCAGCTCTGACGAGAATTGGGAGACTGTCGGAATGAGATGGAAATAAAAGGGCTGCTAAAGTTGAGAGATTATGCGCAAGTCCTGTAGAGGCCCCGAAAACAGTGAGTCAGGAATACAAAGTGAGGTTGGTAAACAGAACACAGAGAGAGGGAGGGCAGAATCGGGGAGGTTGTGGAGGAGCTGGCCGAACCCACCACGTCATTCCCCGCTCGGCAGCTGGCAGCCTCAGGCCGGTTGGCGGCGGCTCGGTCATTACGAAGCAATTCACCATATGTGCCTTCTACATGCCATGGAGTACTACATTCCCGACTGTTAAATTGAAACTTGATGGTATTTTCTATCTCTTGAGCAATATATATCCTTATTCCCAAATCCTTCATGTATAGCCAATTATGACAGTACTTCCAAATGCCGCCTCTATCGCGGGCCTCTCAGAACCTAGAGTATAAGCAAGTCGGTAGCATCGTAAAAGAGGTCATCAAATTCGCATTGAAATTGCGAGGATATTCACTTCAACGGGCTTCCGCTGAAGAAGTCACCCGCTCCGGGCCCGGCAAAGCTGCCGTTGCTGGGAGTCAGAGCGATGGAGCGTCGGAACGCTTGCCTCGGGGTCGCCGGGGCGCTGGCTGCGGCGCCCGCTACATCGGCCGTGCTGGGAGTGTTACGACCGCTGTTGTTCTGCATCGTGACCGCCGTGCCAGGACGAGAAAGGACGGTGGGGATACCGTTCCTCGGGGGTGGTCGGAATCCAAGCTTGGATCCTTCGCGGAAGATCTCTTCCAGCATTTGAGACACAATGCCTGCGTCTTTGTATTCTTTGAATTTCTTCCAAAGTCGTAGCGCCATGCGCGCATCTTCAATGGAGTCGTGTCCTTGGTTGTCCTCGGCCGGCTCTTCTTGGATGTATTCCTTGAACACCGCCCACGCCAGATATCGAAGACTCAGTCGGCGGTTTTTGCCGGGATGGAAGAACAGGTACTGGGTATCCACAGTTTGGCTTTTGGGTACTTGGATATTGACCTTGCGGAAATCAGAGGCCAAGCCATGTCCGACAAACACGCACCCTAGGTTGAGAAGCAGCCAGAGCTTCTTGTATGCCACCTTGAGTGGAACAAGGTTGTGCTGACTGGTTCTGGGATCCAGATCCCCAGGCTTGATGCCCGAGTACTGAGTGACATAGTCGACGATCGTCTCCTTGATGGTGATGTAGTCGTCGATGAAGGGAACACCTTCTCGGAGTCCCGAGCCCCTGAGGACAGATACTCTGGCGAGCCCACTCTTGCTTGGCCGTACGATCTCCTGGGAGCCATCTGCCTTCACATCGATTTCTGCTTTTTCAAGATCCACAAACTCGGTATCGAGAGCAACCGGTGTACCGGGTGTCGGTTTCTCATCTTCAGTGAGTGTGGCGCGTGATTCCACGGGACGGCCACCACTAAGGATTGTTAGTATGGGATTATAGCTTCTCAGTAGGTTCAACTTACTTCAGTGACCAGTCACGGAATAACAGAGTGGTATCAAGTGCGCTCTTCCAGGTGTCATCCATAGCATGCCGACCATCTCTCACCTGAAAGGCTACCACACATGGTAATTTCCATGGTTGATTAAAGCGAAGAGCTTCATCCTTATCCACCTCTGTAACAAGAAAGTCGTTAAACAGATGCCACTTATTCTTCGTCTCCGGTTCCCGAGAGGAGATGGAGACATTGATGAACGAAACCAGGTGAGCCTTCTGATGCTCTGGGATATCGATTTCACAGACCAAACCGACCAGTTCGTATATAACCAGCCCGGGCATCTTAGCCTGGATTCGCATCTTGAGCTCTTCTCCCTCGAAGCATGATATTTGGCCACCATCAATGGCAATGCCAACTTCTTCCGGCAACCATCCAGGAATAGCCCAAAGCCGCCGGCAAAGAGGATTACTCAGAGCCGCATTGAGTATCAGAACATGAGGCATGCGGTGTACCGATTTTCGGATTGCAACTTGCTGGTATCGTCGACAGTAGTTGCACCATCCTCTGTTCTGTGTCTCTCGCTCTATACTTGATCGTAAAATATTCGAAAACCGGAAAGCAGGATTTCTTCGAGCTTGCTTGATATCAATCGCAGGATAATTCAACTCGTTGACGAGGGAGTTGCCCGGTCTCACAATCTCATTCTGGCAGAACATGCACCGAATGGATTCGGAAGCGACCGTTGCTAACTTGTGATCGAGATCATCTGAACTTGGCGAAATCATGCGGAAGTCGTGTGAGATCTGGCCCAGAAAAAATCGGTTAACAGCCTGAATCGCGGCTGAAAGCGACTTATTCGTAAGATTCTCTTCGAATAGGCCCAGATTGGACGCTTCACGGTAACTGCTAAAAGTCTTGAGGAGGTTTGTCGCCTGGCAATTCTGGCCATTTGCTTTCTCGAGCATATCGAAAAGGTAGCCCATCTCGCAGAGCAAACAATTCTCGAATATACAAGAACTGGCGGCGTGCTGGAGAGCGACGTTGCGGATGTATGGGATAAACTTGAAGAGTTGAAGGAGGGCATTGGTAAAGGAGTTCGCGATGTGTGTCTCCAGTCCGGAAAAGGTAGTCTGGTTGTAGAACCTGCAGAATGTGAGCTACTGGATCTTATCCGTTAGAAATGAGGTGCCCACCTGAAGTCGAAATCATCGACACCAAATCTACTGTACTTGATCTCTACATTGCTGTATTTGAGTAGAGGGTCATCCTCTGTTTCCCCGTTGATCTTCGCACCTGCCAGTGCCTCGACAGCATCAATGATGGCTCCTTCGGACTTCGCCTTGTTCTGTTCCCTAGCCTTTTCACTAAGAAACTTGGGGGCAATAAGAGCAGGTTCTGCGGAAGCCAAAGCGCGAGTATTCTCGACCTGATAGCGTCGTGTTTTCTTGGGATTCGGCGCATGATGGCCCATCTCTGCGGGACGGAGATAGGGAATGAGGGCCTGGTCCACTTGGGCTGGCGGACTGCCGACCTCGAAAACAAGGTGACTTGGCCATGCAGAAAAAAGACGTTCGTGATAATATGGCATGCCGACCATGCTCAAAGGCGTATCTGCAGACCAATCAAAGGTCGGGGGGCGGGGAGCTACATCGGCGAATTCGGCTTCCTTGCTCAGTTCATTGAAGTGAACTTTCGCTGGTGATCCCCAGAGATGGATCGCACATTCCGCATCGTTAATAGCTAGAGCTTCTCCAGATGGTGACAGATCAATGCCAAGCATGAATGAAACGTTCGCTTGACGAAGATTGATCGCATTGGGATTCATTAGGTCCACCACTTGGAGCTGACCTGTTTGAGACGCAACAAAGCTCGTCGTGTGCAGCTTCGGATGCATCCGTACATACGCAGCTCCCGCGTGGAATGGTATCGGGGGTAATGGCGAGAGGGTCTTCAGGTCGTAGACATTGGCTAAAGGATCCACGATCGGGGCGCCTAGATGTCTGACAGAAAAGCCGCAGGTAACCAGAAGATCATTCCGAGCATCCATATCATTAACCGCCGTTCCGTGTGCTTTCCACGATTTCACCACACTGAAGTCATTCAGACTTAACGCGTTGACCGATCCCGTATCTGTCGCCGCGCAGAGATATCGGCTTTTCTTCATCATTGTATAATTGTACTCAGTCCCCAACTTGTCGACAATAACCCCCTTATCAATATCGATCGTAAACATAACCTTCTGACACCCTGCCACTATAATCCTGTTCGTTTGGGCCGTGAAGCTCATGCAGCGAAGATCAGTCATTTCCTCGTGGGCGATGTGCCATTGCGTCAGCCCCCGCCGCGTTATCATATGTACACTTTTCGGCGAGAGCGAAATGACGCCCCTTTCATGGAATATAATCTGCCGTACCGCCTCAGTCGCCGGATGAGCCCGGACAGAGGTATACCTTTGTAGTTCGGGGCCGCAGAAGGAGGTAATTCGTCCCTAACCAGAGGCACCGGTTAGCACAGCGCCCCCCTCCGAGTTGAACAGCATCAAAAACCAGAACAAGAACTTAGAACCCACATATTCATTCCCGGCCCACAACAGTTCCATCACATCATCAAAGGCTATTGCGGTGGCGATTGTCGGCATAGCATGCACGCTCGGAGCAGGCACCGGAATGCGCGACAGTTCATCCCAATCGGCCTCCATGGCCTTGACATCGCACCCGGCAAGGCGCGGGCTCTGACAAGGATGATGGGCTTATCAGGGAATTTCAAGAGACTTCAGGCAGAACGGTGGGTTTGTTGTCCATTGGGAAGCAGGGCGAAAGCTGCGGGCATAGCGCGAGTGCGGGGAGAGAGGCAGGGCTGCCTGGAAGGACGAAGGGAGGGCCGGAGCACAAAGCACGGGGGGCGTGAGATTTCTTGAGCCCCGACACCCGCAATAAGTCCCAGGCTCTCGTTCCGGGGGAGCAGCAGCGCACGAGACAAAAGGCCTCCGGGTTGGGTACCTTCAAGGCATAGCAGCCGGCAATGGGGGGATGAGGTACCGATGCAGCAATCACGTGAGCCAGCTCCGGCGGGTCAAGGCTTTCTTAGTCACCGCCATCACTGCCCCGTCATTCCCACACTCTCTCTCCCCAGGCACCGCCTACCTGAACCATGGGTGAACCCTGAGTCATGGACACAGAATAGTACTGACTTCCTAATAGAGTATGATGATGATGATGCATGGAAGTGAGGTTGTCGGGCCGTGCAATCCATGTCCCGGATGAATCCGGCCTCTTGTTCCATCCAGCTAGGGATCTATCTTGTCTACAACGACTACCCTGTCTGGCAGGTGTTCGTCAAGGTTACAAGGGTCGATTGGATTCAAGCTGCACATAGATAGGACGTGCAGTGAGGCTCAAGTTTTCTGTACCATGAAACCTTGTTTGAATCCCTGCAGCGCATATGCCGGCATGTTTACTGGACGCCTGATATCTGGATGATTGCTTGCCATTCTAGTCCATCACTACCCTTTTCGAACTAGATGTACTTATGTCTAAATTACTAGCACATAACGATCAAAAGGCAGTCGAGCACTTGCTGTATGTGGTGTAGATGGGTCCGTATACGATAATGTGCTCGATTGCCCCGTTGTTGGACGCCTGAGGATATACCCGAGACATACATTCCAGCTTTCTGCGTCCTTTGGCGTATTCCCTTCTGAGTAACTGAAGAGCTAGAAGGTGTAGAATAATGGCATTGAATCTGACATGCTCACGTCAAAGAAGTAGGGCATTGCTCCTGCATTCCACGGCAAAATATCGGTAGCCTTGCGAGATACTATGCTGTTCTCTCTTTCCAAATCCGCATAGCACAACATTATCCCTAATACGCCAGAGTTCTTGTTTGCTACACTGGTCACCCAAGAAAGGCCGAAGGAAATCGCACTCCCCACTGCCAGTGCAGGCGTCAGGTCCAATAGAAAGTGTACTTTATCAGACCCGGTTCAATGCTCGTTCAAAATAACGCGTTGGGTTTGAACGGGCTTGCCTAGATATGACATGGATAAGGCCCCCATGGCGTAATGAGGTGTCTCTCGGGGCAAGGCCTCCCCCGAATATATCCGATGGACGTCATATGGAGGCCTTATAGTGATGGCCACGAGGCTGGAACCAGACGCACCAAGGGCGAATTGACCATATTGAGGTAGCATCTCGGGTGGCTTGTGAGAACTGATTATAAAAGGACTCAAGGACCTCGTATACCCAGTTCCTCATACAATCGTTAGCATCTCTCTTGCATCAGTCTGATAGAAACTCATCTCTCACCATGAACTTTTTCTCTGACTTTCAGCCCGCATGGCAGTCTCTTCTCCTTGAATACGATCCCTCTTTAATCGAATGGACAACAGTCTGCACCAGTCAGCTAGTCGGGTTCCTCGTTCCAGGCCTGGTCTTCTTTCTACTGGACCTGTTACAGCCAGCATGGGCACGACCATGGCGGAAGCCAGCTCAGTTTCCCACCCACCTAAAGTTATGGAAGATGGTCCGATGCTCAACGAAGAACATGCTGACGGGCTGGGCTCTCCACGGACTATACCTCTGGTGTGCGTACCCACGGACTCTGTTCGTGGTCGATAGTCAACTGCCCACATGGAAAGCAGCCGTTGGACAGTATATCGGAGTGTTCTTGCTCGGGGAGGGGCTTTTCTATGTCTTCCACAGGATGATGCATGAGAACCGGTGGCTTTATCTGAAGATCCACAGTATCCACCATGGAACGGGGGTGGCACCAACGGGGATGTCAGTCTGGTATGGACATGTCGTGGATCACTTTGTGTTCAACGGGTTGCCATTGGCATTGGTGACGCTGGTTCCGGCAATTGTTCTGCAGGCTCATATCTTGGTTGTGGAGGCGCTGTCTATATTGGCTCTGATCAGTGGTGTAGTGAGCCATAGTGGGTATTATTATCGAGACAAGACAGTGTATGATCACTGGGCGCACCATGAGAATTCGTCTAAGAACTTGGGGGCGTATGCCATGATGGATGTCTTGTTCGATAGCTATACCGGTCAGTTCTTCTGCTCTCTCTTATGATGTATACTGACGCTGTTCTAGCTTCACGCTGAGCGGAAATGTGGCTAAGCGGATACCACCGTGTTAGAATCAGTGTTGTGGTGAGGCCAAGTAGATGGCAGGCTTGGTGGAAAGATAAGTGTCGGAGGGAAGAGGAAGGGAGACGACCATCCAGTGAAGGAGGTCTGGAGCAGCGGCACATAACCACATTATTTTCCTTTACCTACCCATCTTTTAAATACACCAACAGACTGAAATTTTCCAATTTATACTGTAAGACAATACACGATGTCTCCACAATACCAACCTAAGAACAATCCAAACTTCCATTCCAATGTATACCATCACAAAATACCACCATGATCTCTACTTCTCCCCCCCTTCATCATCCTCGCCAAATCCTCAAATGCCGCACGGCATTTATCCACGATATCGTTAAAGATCTCAGCAAGCCCCACACTCCCAATAATAATCTGATCCTTCCCTTCGACCAATCCCCGGTCTTCCTGCTCCCGTGAACTCCCCCAGGGGCATACCAAAACTGCGTCCCGCCTCCTGAGATTTTTTTTTCAAGTTGCTAATGTCGAATTGCACGGCGTTGGCTTTGTCTGTGCCGTGGTCTGTCACGAAGTCATCTAGTCGATATTTGCGTCGTCCGACGACTGTCACTTTGGCTCCGGATTGGATTAGACGTGAGGCGAGGGCTCGTCCGATACCTGCTGTGGCGCCGATGATGAGGATGTGCTTGTATAGGAATGTCATGATGAAAGGGTGCAATTGTGGTTTATAGATGGTGGTAAGGGTTGTTTGGCCGTTTATATGCCCATCTATAAAGGCCTTCGCTATACTACTCCGTAGACCATAATGATCAGTAGGGCCGGAGCAATCGAGCTAAACCCGCGGGGTTAAGTGTCTTTCGTGGAGTGCTCCACCCTGAGTCTTTGGGCATCTCGTCGGCGTCCGACTATTAATTCCGGACTCTACGTATCCCTGGTATGGTTAAGGTTGTTAGTAGACCCAATGGTTTCTCCATGATAATTTGCTCCAATCAGCATCTAGCTGATGTAGGGAAACCAATATGTATGGGGCCATGTTTCCGTTCCCCTGGGACTATAGCATCATACCCACACTCGATAAGATATTACCGCCTCGGATTCATCACCATCTCCAATTTTCCCAACGACAACGTAAACGCATCTCGTTTTCCCTTCAAAAACGCCTCCGCAGTTTGTCCAGGTGCAAACTCAACATCATATCTCCGGACGATCTGCGACACCACCAATCGAAGCTCCATAAGTCCAAGGTGTTTCCCAATGCAGGCATAGCGACCTATACTCCATTAACCATCCCGTCATTTGATTTATTTATAGAGAAAGAAGTTTGAGGGGTCTCACCATTCGAGAACGGAACAAACGACGAAGAATCCCTAACCAGCTCGGGACGAGTTGTCCAACGTTCGGGTATGAAATCCTGAGGCTGGAGGAAGAGTCTCTCGTCTGTGTGTGTTAGACAGTTATTATTTTGAGGTCTAGAGAGCGCTACCTCTGAATAACGTGTGGTAAGGGACCTGCACTATAGTGTTCCCTGGAATCCACGTATTGTCGATAAGCAACCTGTCTGGAGGAGTCATCCGCTGGACGCCTGATGGGATTGGAGGGTGGAGGCGCATGGTTTCGGTGATGACGGCGTCGAGATATGGGAGTTTCGAGAGACTTGTGTAATCAACGGTCCCTGCGGTCTCGAAGTATCGGTCGATTTCATTTTGGAGGGTTTTCAGGACTCGGTGGTCTAGAGCTAGTTGGAAGAAAATTGTGGTTAGGCCCGCGGCTGTGGTGTCGCTACTGTCTCTTAGCTAGTAAATTTGATGTGTGTGTGATACTGACCTTCCTGCGACGGCAACCAAGTATGCATCGCCAGCTAGGTACATTTCATCGTTGAAGGTGGGCTTTTCTTGCGCGTTGTAGTCTTTGAGGAGCCATTTGAAGACATCGGGCTTGTCGGCTGTCGTCTTTGAGATTGTTACGGTTAGCAACTAAAAGTCCCGAGCTTCTCTTCCAAAAGAATTTACCTTTTTCCGCTCGTCAATCTGGTCATCAACCCACTTCCAAAATCGCAGGTGCTCGTAATTAAGACCAGGAGTTGCCTTGAAGATAGGGAAAAGCCACGGCAAACGACTCAGCACTCCTACCGTCGTCATATCGGCATGCAGCGAAGCCATAAAATAATGCTTGACACCATTCTGCAGCATGTTAAAGGACTTTCCAAAGGCCAAATCGCCCATCACGTCGAAACTGTAAAAGTTGAACCAGTCAGACACATTGACGGGCTGGCCCTTGGTCTTCTCAAGATGCGCAAGTAGTTGATCGGTATACAGAGAAACACGGGGCTCATAGTCGCGAAGCGCTATTCCATCAGCCAAATTCTATTTGATACTTCAGGGGAAACACGTACATTTCGCACTAAACGCGTGGTCCCACACCTTCCGACGACGAGCATGTTCAGCTGGATCGCGAATCATGTGCATCGACTTGCGGGGATCCAGTACGGTGTAGAATGGACCCTTGGTGCAAGGCGACTGGGAGGAGGAAATCGCATGCACGGCTTTTGGATTGTTGATGGATAGCTCAGAGGGTCCTATAGGTGTTATAAAGCTAAGTTGTTGGGCCATGGATGTCAAACTCCCACCTAGTCGTACAAAGTCCCCGTATGTGTTATGGAGTTTCTCCACTTCTTCATAGAGGTGCAGGTTCTTGGCCGAAAGGAGAGTCCCATAGAGGCTCGAGAGTCGGGCCCCAAATGGACCTGGGAAACGCCCCAAACGATGGAAGAGAACGCGATATACCAACATGCTGATCCCTATCCCTGTAATTAGACTGGTCACCAGCCAGGAAACGATCGTGAGCGCCGTCCACAGTGTGTTATCTGGGGGTGACAGAAGTATAACTTTGACGAGGATTACGAATGCGACGCTAGTGGTCGCGAAGACCCTCAACAGCTTGGTGGTCGCGAGGTCCCATTCTCCGATGCGGAAGACAAAGACATGGAGAGCCACCCCGATGCAGAAGACGGTGAGCGAAGTTGACGGGCTCTGGAGATCCATCGGGGCAAGCATGGTGAGAGAGGCGAACGGGTCAGATACCGGGAATGGGGTTTGAAAGGGCCACAAAGTCTTGCGGGGGTGAGAGAGTTTAGTAACGGGTGCATTCTTCGGGGTAGGTAGATAGCGTGTCAGACATTTGGATTAGCACATGACTTAAAGAGAGGTGCCATACAGACAATTGGATAGCCTACAACGGCGAGACCGAGCCATGGACTCCACCCGGAAATGAGGGCTCGCCAAGTCACGTCCATGATTGGCTGTAACGTAGAGGCTAACAGTCGCCTTGCATGAGCCCATCTGCATCCCGAGAATTATGGTTCTGATATCGCACCCATCTGAGTCTGACTAGGGGAAGTCGTGGGGTTAATCACACTGACATTTCTCATCCAAGAAGTGGCGGGAATTGCACTGATGTTGGTTGTAGTTTATCCGGCGTCGGACAATGCTATTTGTGCAGAGAGACTACAACGCTGTATTGCATTGAACAAGTTTAGGATTGTTATAGTATTGAATCGCCGGTAGTTTGTTATCGATGAGGGGTCATCTTGCCATTAGTGCTTATCGGTCACGATGGTCGGGTAGCTATATATAATGGGCCTCCCCTGCCCAGTCTTGTCACCATCAATCAAGAACAGTATCCAGGTTGAATAACACTCATCATGTCTTTGTTCTATACAGAGGGAACTCCCGACGCAGTGAAAAATGCCAAGGTGAATCTCCCCACCCGCAAGGGTTACTTTGATATTTGACCAACTGCACACCAGGGCCTCCACCTCATCACCACCCTCACCCCCAATGGCAGGAAAGTTCACATCTACCTCGAAGAGCTGAAGGAGGTATATGGTCTCGAATGGACCACTAGCTTAATCGACCTCGATACCCTGGAGCAGAAAAAGTCCTGGTACCTGAAGCTGAATCCAAATGGTGCGATCCCCAATATCTTACCTATCATGTCTGACAAGAGACTCATAACCATCAGGCCGTATCCCAATCCTCATAGACAATACTCACAATCCACCCCATGTGGTCATGGAATCATCCGCAATCTTATTCTATCTTCTTGCTACTGTCGACAAGAACAACGTCTTCGGGTTCTCTGATCCGATCGAGCACAGCCAGCTTGTCCAATGGACCATCTTCTGGCATGCTTCCGGTCAGCCCATCCAGGGACAGTATAACTATTTCCGCCGGAACGCGATTGACGAAAGTCCTCGTATGTTGATGTTGTCCCTTTTTCTCCTAGCGAACCTGCTTTGCAAGCCTGTTGCTGATTGTGATGTGCAGATGCGGCACAGCGTTTCAAGAAAGAAGTCCTCCGTGTATATGGCGTCCTGGAACTGCATCTATCAGGCAAGCTCACTAAAAGTCCTCGGGAGTATCTCGCAGGGTCGGGGACAGGAAAGTACAGCATCGCGGATATCAATGCATGGTCTTGGATGCGCACGTTCAGGACTATTGGGTTTGAAGAAGAAGAACTGGCTGAGATTACTCACTTATCTGCATGGGTGACACGTATAGCTGAACGACCGGCGGTGCTTCGTGGACTGGGAGAGGCATACGATGAAGAGATTCACCCCGAGTTGCTTATTCGCACAGAGTGATTTGTTGGGATCAGCAGGCTGTGGGTGGATTCTGTGTTTTTCTGTGGCCTGGTCATGTCTCAGCCAGATCCAATATAGCTTATATGTTCATTTGGAAATGGCATGTGAATGGCCATGAAGCAAACCGCCCAGTTGAACTGGTGGATGTGTGGTGCATCACGTGGTGTGCAGCAGTTTGCGTGAATGAGGTCTAGAGCGAAACGAAGCAACGCGACGCGCACCATATTGCAGGTAATGAAAGAGAGATTCTGGTGCAATTGAGTTCATTAATATGATTGTCTGAACGTTTTCCCCATCCTGCCTTCTCCTTACTATCCCATCTTACCCCCCCTATTCTTTCTGATTCAAGATGAACGAAGCGTTCCCAAAGAAACCAACTTCTGTTAAGTTGGGCTCGTTTGCCTATGATGACTATGGGATCACAGTGAACGGAATCCCTCGAGCATCCTCGGAACTCCTGCAAAGAGTGTTCCTTCAAGGTCCCTCGAGAGTCACTCATCATAAACCCAACAAGCGATGGGTCACGGCCCAGCTGCAGCACTTCGGGCTCGAATTCCGACCAGCGGATACTACTACCCAGCTGAGATCAATTCTGGAGATTGCGTACAAGAATGGCCAGGTAGGCGAGGACCTCTTTCGACTCGGAGCATACTCTCGAAGACTGACCTGCTAGTGCAATTGTCTTGCACCAGCCACGATCTCCATGGAAAAGACACTGTCTGGCATGTATAAGAAAATGCAAGACAACTACGAAGCCCAAAAGCAACACTGGCGAATGACTAGGTTTGCTGAACTGGATTCTCCTTCCGAGGAAGCCCTGTTTGATGCTTCTCTGTTCATGGCCAAGTACTTCCTGACCGAAGAGAATGGCGTTCCCGACAAGGAGAAGCAGAAGGAGGCCCTGATACTGCAGAATGTATTTGGATGTCAGTTCGAGAACGCCACCAAGAACGTTCCTGGCCTTTCCGTGTGCATCTCATCCATGGTGACAGTCGTGGGCTGGGAAGACACCTTCTCCCGTGGAATGGACGCCGGTTTTGCAAAGCTAGCTGAGATCCAGTCTCCGGCCTTGAGGAGCACTTTCGAAGCTAACTTGGACCTGGGTCGTTTTATGGCCAAATACTTCCTGGATGGAAATGGGGACCCCGATGTGAAGAAAAACCCGGATCCCATCAGGCTCATGCCGAAGTTTGAGGAAAGGCTATACGAGCCTCTTGCTGCCGCTGTCTTGCAGACTCCGGGTCTTTATCTCCGTGGAACCATTGACGACGGCGGCGTCTGGTCATTCCTAGGTTGGGACATCCAGAAGATCCTGCGCCAAGTGGAAGAAATCGATCAAGCGGGCGAGAGTGAAAGAGAACTGGATGAAACCTTGTTGACCGCGGTGTGGGACGCGAAGCTGGAGCGGCATGTTCGGTATCTGGAACGCCATGTTGCGCCAACCAGCCCGCTGAGAGTCGCTGATCTCCAAGGCCAATACATTGTTCGTTGCGAGGCCATCGATCCCTGGGGACATGAAGACCTGTGGCTGGCGATCCATCGGAAGCACCCCAGGGACCCCGGCACCAACGGGGGGTTCTTCCTGGGTCAGTTCAAAGGCACTATGCTATTGGCATCGTCCTGCGATGGGCTGGACCGGACGCGCGAGGTATTCGAATCCAAGTGGGAGAAGAAGCGATTCTATCCGAGCAATCCGGATCGGAAGAACCGAGAGCCCTCGACGATTCGGCGGTTTGAAGACTCGGCCAAAGCCACGCGTGTTTACTTCCAGTGGGCCGGAACTGCCACCAAATACAACTACGTCGACGACAAGAACCTGCAGATTGGCTACCTGGACTTTGCCGACTCCATGGCCGAGGCTCATGGCGTAATCATGGGCCCGGCATTCGAAGGCAGGAGCTACCCTTGGTCGGTCTATAAACACTGCGACACCACCGGAGACTGGGCCAGTCCATGGACCAGCTTCGATTACTGGGCTGGCTATGAAGGGCGCGGCAGGCACGGCGAGATGGCCATGTCTTGTGACTACGTCCTCTGACGAGCCCATCTTCCCACTGTCTCGATGCATGTCTCGATTTCCTCCCTACGCTGCTTTCTTGTACGGCTAGGCATAAGAGTTTCTCTAAGATAACAATCAATCCACACTGTATGATGATATCATGTGCTTCATATACTGTAGCACCAGGCCGTAGCAACCTCCATGCGGAATGAGCGAAGTCGGTTGCTGCATTACGATTAAATTCACATGCACATCCCTCTCGCCGGAAAATTGAACCTATCTCCGTCAGGAACCAGTACAACATCAACGCAGAAGGCACGCTAGTAAAACAACAGATCCAGAACCCAGTACCTGGCCCACGGCCCGGGCTCGGAAAAAGAAGCCTGCAGCGAGTTATCACGCCCAATGCAATGAGGCATCCGCAACTTAACGAACCTTACGTTCACCGGTAGAACGAAGCGGGGTTGGATACATCGGTTTGTGACGGGTTATACGCCTGATAACTTCCCCCGGCGTTCAGAGCAGGATAGGGCGTAGGTGTCGTTGAGGTGCCCGGAATTGGCGGAGGTTGATGCATCGGTGGTGCTTGGTGTGACGGGTAGGGGGGCTGCGGTTGGTGGGCAGAGCTGGCACCAGCCGGGGGTCGAGAAGCATCTTCAGGAGCGTAAGCAGAGGCCGGGTATTCCGGTTGCGGTTGTTGTTGTTGCTGTTGCTGCTGGAAATGCTGCTGAACTGCGGCCGGGACTTGCACATGGCCAGAATACTGAGGACGCTGGCCTGAGGACGGATGCTCGATAGGGGAATCGTAAACCGATGTGCCCAGTTCTTGCGGGTTTTCATACGTGGATTCGGGACGATGATACACTGGCTGATAGGACTCGGTGGAAGATTGGCGTTGCTGTTGCTGATATGGTGCGCCAGTAGGGGGCGTGCGACGGGGATCGGGCGATTGTGAGCTTGGAGGATACACCTGCGCTTGATCCGCACCATAGTATGCCGATGGGTTGGGCTGAGGGGGCTGTGTTTCTGTCCAAGGTGTCAGGATAAGCTTGATAGAGTGTTCACGACAATACGAACCTTGAGGACGGGGACTGAAATATCGTTGGGGATCAGCCGGCGGCGGGCCTTGGGGATATCCCACAGGAGCGGCAGCCCCAGGATAACCGTACGGAGGTTGGGCGGGTCGGCCATACTGGGGTTGTGCTGGGTGGGACATGGACGCTTCAAGGAGAGACTCGTAGTCTCTTCGGGCTTTGATGAACTTCTCATTGAGCTGCGTGAACTCGTCTGCCGGAATGTTAGCCGGGAAACATACCAGGACCGGACCCGGCTTACCTTTCTTCTGTGAATACTTTCCGATGAGCTCGATCAGCTTGGGCCGGATGGCTAATGTTGAGTGATACAACGCCGTGATCTCTTCATTGTCTTGCACATTCAGCTCAGAGCTACGAGTGCTGAGAAGAGTCAGCAACTTCTCCACATTCTTGATCTGACCAAAGACATCGGCTTCCATCTGGGCTTCCCGCTGCAACTCCTCCACCGTTGGATCAGGGAGTTTTTCGACGTAGTTGAGGGGAAATATGCCAGTCTGGCCTCTCAAAGAACCCTTCCACCAATCCTTATAAACCGACTCAAGCACAGCTATAACATCTCCCTTCCGAAATTGCAGTTCGCCGGGTTCGGAGGGCTGAAAGTCGAACAGTGCTCTCACCCGCGAAACCGTGGCTGCAGAAGTACCCGATGGCACTGGTTGGGAGGCGGCAGCAGGTGCCTGGTTGACCGGGGCGGCGCTAGAGCTGGCTTCAGGCTGGGGCGCAGCAGCCACAGTAGGCTTTTCTCTTATTGAAAGTGCGAGCGCCATTTGTAGTTCCTCCTCTTCCTTCTGGCGATCCGTGTCGGTGATTTCTCTCTTACCGGGCTTCGACGGAGGCTGCAGGTTCGGGTCTAAAAAGAAAGTGAGCTTCCATGTCCACCATTTGTAGCGCTTCTCGCGATCTTACTCTGCGTCTTCAGTTTCATGTATGCTTGCTCCATTATACCGAAGTCTGGGTTGCTGGCAAACATTTCTGTCCATTCCTGCATGCGTTCCAGAATCTTCGATTTGACCTGCTGATGGGTGTTCTAGACATCGATTGTGAGTATGGAATGCCTTCGATGCGCAGCGCTCCGACTTACTCGGTCATTGGCTAGGCGTAGAAGAGCATCAGTGAAACTCCTAGACGCCAACTCGCGATGTATTTTGGGACCGCAGTTCTGAGCCAGAGCGTTCGCCAACTAAATCAAGTATCAGCACGATATGGTACGGCCCACGGACTGTGCCTGTCGTAAAGATGCACATGAACCACAAACCTCCAAAGTGTAGAGCTGCACATTGGCGTTTCTGTGCGCGAGTCTCTTAATCATAGCGGCAACAGCATCTTTCGCCCTAGAGATTATATCCTCAGTCAGAATCGCGTTGAACAGAGAGCATGACCAGAGGTTAAGCATACCCTGACTCCTCCGAACCCACTTTATCACAGACATCCTATAACATCCCAAGGCCCTTTGTCAGATCATCTGCACCTCGACCCATGCCTGTGAGTATGAGTGTTCGCGGAGTTGCATACCAGAATGTATTCCCAGTTTTCGGATGTCAGGTTCTCGTCGGTCGCCTTGGCTATATCGTACATCGCTGAGGTCAGCAAGGCTATAGGGAAGACTATAGAGAGCGTGAGGAAAGATGAACGGATTTTCATACCGACTGCATCGTCAAAGGCGTTTTGCTGGGCGCGAAACATCACGACTACCTTGCCTCCGGCGCCCGAAACAGTCACTGGGTTGGAACTAGGACAGGTTGTTCGACGTGAACGAGTGGGCGGTTCCGCGATAGTGTACGACGAGATAGGAAGCCGTGCTGAATAGACCTAATTAGGTCCAGTAAACCGAAGACTGGTTTCACCCGTGTTCTGAGCGTTGCTGTCCAACGATTCGCAGGACGTAGAGATGACACCCGATGCGGGGGCCAGGAACACTGCGGTCAGCGATATCCGGAGTAAACGTTGTCGGGTTCAATTGAGGTGCTGGGCGATGGAATGTGTTTGGTCAAGAGAAATCTCCACGGCGGCGGTTCGTCCAAGCGAAACGAGGGACTAGGAAGGTGGGTAGGAACTGGGTAGCAACAGGGAGGTTAAAGATCGGAGTGTGCAACCGAAAGACAGGCTGCCACCTGATGCTCAGCAGGTGATCGCGGCGGGCGGAGAGCAGCGCCTCTGACGCTGACTGGCCGCGCTACGCTCGATTAAGCGAGATCCGCCCCTTTACGTACTAGTGGGGCACCACCCTGCCGCCGGGCGGGCCATGACGATATGATATTTTTCCTATCTACAGTTCTACATACTACCGAGTAGATATCTCCTCCTATCTTTCAACTTGATCGGTCGGCTGGAAAAGAATACAAAGAATAATCATAAGTTCTTCACCTCCATAAACAATAGCCCCATGGCACGCAAGATCCCTCTATATCAATGTAACCGCTCAAACACTATTCGTCAATGAGAGCGGACCCTCGATCATATCATAAAAATGAAGTCCGACCCCCCGACATGCCAACCACGGCGGGGAATCGGCCACAAAATAGAGAACAGGAGGTGCTATTCTCGGACAATAGAAGCGTACCATCAGAGAAGAACCAGATCAAGAAAAGGTCCACACTTTTGTTCTTTTTTGTCGTCAAAACAGTCGGAAAATGCCTCATAAATCATCAAGAATATTGGTCGCTGTAGGAAGTTGGGGGAACCACACACCAACAGTTGCAAGACAATAGACAACAAGGTGGGGACCTGAAACAGAAACAGGCTCCCCGTTCATTATGTGAAACATCAAGATGAAGCTTGATGCTTCGGCTCCATGACAACAATAAGCACACTCGCAAACCGACAATATCAACAGCAGCTGGATGGGTGGTGCAAGGACGTTGTACAAGCATCTTCTCTCGTTCAGAAGCCAACATCGAAAGAACGAGGCATGCGTAAAAGGCTCGTCAAAGGAAGGATATTGTGCATGCAAAAAATTCAAGCAAGGCAGGAAAAGATAACGGATCAATAGGTCATCATCCGATAAGGTCATCGCCATCTAAACATTCACAGGAGATGCGAAAACCGCGCAATGGGAGAAAGATGCGAACAATGGTCTGCCAAGATGCAATGCCAGCATATCATTGTCCAGCAAATATGAAATATCAGGAGTAATGGGTATCTGGGAGAGAAGACAGAAGACATCGACATATACAGTAACAGTTGAATGCGACGGTACCTAGGCACTTCCCTTTTGAGCCTTTTCTTGGGCTCTGCTGGCCCGCGCAGCCTTTACAAGGGGCGATAGATGGGAGAGGGGCGCGCAAAGCGACATGAAAGGATGCTAATGTCATCAGTCAACAACAATACCTAAAGTCGAGCAACGGGAATGTACCTTCAGCAAATCATGCGCCGACGCTCTCTTCTCGGGATCCACCTTGAGAGCAAGGTGTAGGAAATCACGGAAAACGGGCGACAGGTTGTGCTCATCCTTGATCGTGGGGGTTCCGTTCGTTGCGATCAGATACAGAGCCCTCAGCGGCGACTCGGTGAGATAAGGAGGTTCACCCTCGATCATCTCAATGGCCATGATACCCAAACTCCAGATATCAACTTTGCGGCCATATTCCTTTCTGGTCACAACTTCAGGGGCCATCCAGTACGGGGTACCGACCATGGTGTTTCGCTTATTATGCGAGTCGTTGATCTGGGCGCAGAAACCGAAATCGGCTAGCTGATGTCAGAAAAATCTCTCGAGGGCAATCCCGAGGACCGCTTACTTAGCTTGATGTTGCCGTCCATTGAAAGAAGGATATTGTCCGACTTGATGTCACGGTGAATGACACCTTTCGAGTGGAGATGCTGTAAGCCACCCAAGGTCTGCCGGGGGTTAGCATTCAGTAGAAGATGGTGAGCGGGGGAAATAGTAAAACACACCTCTCTGCAGACAGCAGCAATCTGCCCTTCGCTCATAATGTTAAAAGTAACCACATCAGTAAGACTACCACCCTCCATATACTCCATTACCACCCAGAGGTCCAGACCATGGAGGTAACTGTCCAAGAAATTAACGATATTCCTGTGCTTGCTGTCCTTCATAACGAGAATCTCATTGATTATGAGATCCTTCTTCGGTTGAAGGTCCAAGTTCATTTGCTTGATCGCAACGCAGTTTTTCGTGTCATTTTCGTACGCGGTAAAGACACCACCGGACGCACCCTGGCCGATCTTGGTGAGGTGATGGTAAAGGCGAGTAGGGTCGCCAGGTGTACAGATGGCGAGCAGTCGTGACCTGATATCCATAGCGTTACTCTGGCGAGGTCGCTGTCGAGGGCGAGCCGCGGGGGCGGCACGGGCGGTCTGAGCAGCCTCATCAACGGGGGAGGAGTGCTGCGGAGGACTCTGAACCGAAGGTTGCTTCTGTTCTTGACGAGTCGGTTGCTGTTGACGCTGACTGCGACTACGGTCGAGCTGGATGGTAGCAATTGCCTGCTGGGCCGCGGCCATTGCCTGCTCCTGCTTCTGTTGGTATTGCGCAGGAGTGGGGATATTGTGCGGCGGCCACGGTACGGGGGTACCATTTGCCTTTGAGTTTGACCGGCTCAACTGAGGGTCAGACGGCAACGGCTCCGTCTCTGGGATGGGAGGGGTGTCGAATTGAGGAGGGGTATACACCTCCTGAACTGGGCGTGCTGGTGCAGGACCAGCATTATATGAGCCCGTGGTAGGAGGCTGAGGTGCAGGCCGCGCCGGGGTCATGCTGGCAGGGGTCGGAGGCTTTGGCGGAGCTCGATTGGGAACAAAGCCACCCACTGGTGGTGACATCGCCTGGGTTGCCGCAGGAGGCCCACGAGGGATAGGGGGCGGTGCTCGTGGGTTTTCGAAGCTACCCTCATGGTTCTGCGGGAAACGAGGACTCGTAGGGGGGGAATTCCGCTGCGAAGCAGGGACGTATGATCCAGCACCGGCTATACTAGTCGGTGCGGAGATGGGGCTGGTCACCGATTGCTGCTGAGGATAAGCATGGTCGAACTTATGCCACACCTCGTCATCGCCCTGGGCATTCTTCTCATAGAATCTCATAATATCAACCATAGTTTGTGGATGCTCCTCCTGTTCCTTTTTCGAGATGCCGTTTTCCTGCAACAGCCGTTGCCATTCTTTGGGTAGGCCAGTGAACTGGCCAGTCTGGTTGTCATAGCCAACGTGCGTGACGTGAACGGGATTCTCAGGGGCGGAGATCTTGATTCCTCGGGGGGAGCCTAGCATGCTATTGACAAAGCTGGAGAAACTGCTCTTCTTGCTCCTGCCCGTGCCAAACGGCCGTGTGCCACCACCCTCATCGGATAAACGTTTCGGATTCGCCGGGCGGTCATTGTCAGTCGTCCTATGCACAAATGTCTCCATTCGGTTCTGTAAAGCAGTGAAGCTAGTTGACTGTCTCAATCCTCGGGAGTCGGGGCTGGTGGCGGATCGTAGGTTGGCAGGCTTCTGCGGAACGGTCTCGGTGGTGTTTTCTTGCAATGAACTGAGCATGCCCCGGCTATCAAACGGGGAGCCGATCAATTCATCTGAGCTTTGCTCGTTGAGGGAGAATCGGTGGGGAGGGCGGGATCTGGAAGGATTGTTGTGGTTATTCGGGAAGTATCCAGGTTGACTACCAGCGAGCACCGGAGACGGTCCGCCGCTGTTCTGTTCGAGGGAGGATGAGGAAGATCCGTAGGCGTTGGATCTGGTGCGTGAATGCTCTCGACTTCCACCGGTGGAGGAACGGGGATAGACGGGCGCTGAGGGGTGCCGCTTTAGTGACGTGTTGCTCTGCTGGCTCTTGAGGATGCGGGAGCTGAAACTCGGAGGGTCCTTGTGAAGCTTGCTTGACGACCGTCGAAATTTTAGGGAGGAGAAACTATCGTGATTCATGACGTGCAAGTTTTAGGGGGGGAAGTGGAGGGACAGTTCGGCCGACTGGCAGCAGCAGGGTTGAGCGAGTGAGATTGGTGGTTTGATTGGAGGGAGGGGGGAAAGCCACCGGGTGAGGCGGTGCGCGCTGCGGTTGTCCCTACCGTCCGTCTCGACGATAGGGTAGGCGAGCAGGGCCGCTGGCGGGGGATGGGGGGTGGGTGTGGGTGGTGTGGTGATACTGCACGGTCAGATCGATAGCCCCAACCGGACGAGTGTCGTTGGAGGGACGGAGGAATCGGAGATGTAAGAGGACCCAGAATGCCTGAGCGACGCAAGGGAGGGCGCGAAAGAAGCTGCCGCGGACTACCGTCAACCAGTGGTTAGCACGTGGAGAGCCGCTGGATGGATCAGAGCAGAGCGTCCAACAGAGGCGGTGACTGGCCTGAGGGAATGAGGGGGCGAAACGACAGGAGAGGGAAAAAGGAAACAGACCAGGTGAGGGTGATTCACTGGATGCAGGAAAACTGCAGATAACCGACAGCTCAGCACACAGATCTGCAGCGCCAAAAAAGCAATAATGCAACAATGCTTGGGAAACCAACAATGACGGAGAGCGAGGTGGGAAAAGAACGGAGAATTGGCATGGGGGGGTGGGTGTGGGTGGGAGGGAGAGGTGGGAGGGAGAGGTGGGAGGCAGAGAGGACCCAGCAGTGGTTTAGTTTTGAGATTTGGGATTGGAGGCCGAACTGCCAGAACGGCCCGTCCTGAGAGTCAGGCAAGGTATTATTACCAGTTAGATACTCCGTACAATGGGGACAATAATAACGGGCCCAGCCACTTGGCCAGGATGGATGGGGAGCATCTAATATTGATTGGGCTTAGAGCCTTAGGTAGGTAAGGTACGGGGAGTAGTATTGCGTACTATCTAGGTACGGTAAGTATCTCTCCTCCCCCAGGAGAAGGAGATAGGTGGTATCTATCTCCTCCAGGTTGTCAATCGGGCGGTCAGAGAGAGCGCCCGGTGCCTGTTTTCCTTTTTTTTTTTTCTGTCCGACCCCCTCGACTGCTGCGTAGATAATCATCCCAGAAAATTCCAGACGCGCCCACCCAATGTGATTATTGACTTGATATTCTTCCGGTGGTCATTGGTTTATGTTGAGGTTACTCCCCCCGTACTTTTGTGGTTCTGTTCCAAACCCGAGCTGGACACTTTTGGCAGGAGCGGAGCGTACATCAGCTGTCTCAGATACCGTAGGTCCGATTAGGCAAAGGAAAAATTCTAGACACGTCCTTGACCCCAGTTTGCATCCCGTTGGCGGGTGGATCGCGAACAGATGCTTTCCTTTCTCAGAACGGGTTCCACCGGTGGTTTCCGCTCCCCTCCTCGACACTGCTAGGTACTGGTACCTAGAGAGTACCTACTCTAGAGACAGGGAGGGAGCTCCTTTACCCCGGTTCCTTTGTGGTATGTATACCTGATGCCCGTGAAAATATCACCCTCACGAGTAGTACTCGGTACCTCGTACTCACCATTGTATTTCCTGACGTACAATCCTTCTAGACCTCGACATTTCCGAGATTGCTGAGAAGACTGATGGAACTTGGAAGGTTAGGCAGGCACCGTGGACACCTGGCGCGGACTAGTGCCACGCTAGGAAGGCGGGGCTGCGAGAAATAGGTTCCAACCGACTTCTGCCGCGCCCAACCCTCTTCCTGTTCCATAATGGAATTAATCCTTCATTATTCCATAACACGGTGGATACGCTTTCCATGGGCCAGGGCAAGCCACCAATATTAGCTTCATTATTGATCTAAAGTCGGGTAGCGTCATCGCGGCAATAGAGAACCATCCGCCTGAGTTGCCTCCTACGTACACAGTACTCCGTCCTCGGTACTCTGTCGATAGCAGATACGCACCCGAAGGAGAGATGATAACTGATCGGTTGCGTCCTCCAGCCTCTGATCTCAAGTAAAACTCTGCAGGTACAGTGTCGCTGGAATGGATCGGACCTGTACGGAGCAGTAGACATCCTCATTTCTGATCCCTGCACTTGCAGAGGACATCCCCCGGCCGAGTTACACATGTGTTTCCCGACCTGTCCCCTTAATGACGGAGGTGAGATTCATATTATATGTGACTGGTAATCGTAACCACGAGCGGAGAACCTGATGAATTCGATCCGACGAGCAGCAAATCACGGCGTGTCCTCACCGACTAAGCATGCAATAATCACCTACAGGACGGCTTCCATTGCTGGAATTACTTTATACCTACCCTATGAGTGAAGGCGATGGTCTCGCCCACGGCTCTGTCAGTTCGATATATCAATTATTTCTATATGAAACTTGGCTGGAATATTCTGCATATCTCAATTGAATCTGGCGGATGCCAACCACTTGACCAGTCTACTCCAAACTGCCATGGAACGGGATTGGCAAGTCCCGTCATTTCTGTTTCGGCACAATGAGGTTCGAGGCCTACCTAGAATCCAAGGAGCAGATTGATTATGGCCGTGTGGTCTGATGTCATTGCCATTAATTGAATCGGATTAGGTTTAGTGATGATAATTCGATCAAGAATCCGGGTATGTCCATCTCTGATATTAATATTGACAAGCTTACTTTACTTATAGTATCTTTGTTCATGCCCCACACCCTACCTGGGTGTAATAACCGCCTTATATCTACACCAATAAACGAGTCAAGAAGCTCTACGGCGTAGCGGAGAAGACAAATTGTATGTCTTCCAAATGGTGTCTCCTTCCTTCTACGGAACACTGCAGACTATGACAATTTCGTCCTACCTGAAACAAATACATCTACATCACATTCTGAACTGTCATATCAGGTGATCCATATCCGAGTGTCTTTTTCATAAGTATATCTTTTTCTCTCCCCCATCTTCAGACAGCCTACCCAGTCAATAGAATTTATCTACAAGCCCACATATAGCCCCGGACCCGCAATTCACGAGCCCGACATCCTCGACCCAATCTCAGAAGAGGCTCCATTAAACATGTTCAATCTAAGTCACTCGAAAATCCTGCTTGTATCATGTTCACACCATAATATCCATACACCCTCAATTACTATATTTCCTCGATATGGGCTTTGTATAACCCACCACCAACCCAATAGTAATAACAAGCATTAGACACCTGAAACACCCAATTAGAAGATAATCCCTTCATCACTGTTTCCTCACAAAGAAATTCATAAACCCTCCCTCACCTCCCCCTAAAAAATACCTGCTTAACATTCCTTATGCCATTAATACCCCGCTGAGTAATTATCCAAATTATGTCCCCATCCAACAATCTAGGCAAGACAACCGAGGCCCCATCCCCGCTCCGTCTCAAAAACCAGACGACGATCTGATCCATACCACAAAGTATAAAGCTCTCCCTATTACCTACAGTCTCTATCTACTTACGCGCAGAAACCTAGCCGTATGGTATTATTGCGGAGTCAAAGAAGGGTTATTTCGATGTGTGATCCAAGTTCGCGAATATTCAACTTCATCTTCTCCCAATCTGGGGTGATATTCTGATTAGATTTATTCGCTACTCCGTTTTGATTTCCGGGTCTGGATGAGTTGGGTTCAACTCTGTGGTTTAATTTAAATCGTCTTCTGACTTTAACTTGGAATGATGGCGTAAATATATATCTAGGATGTATGTTGAGGATGTAGTACCTGCATACTAGAAATTAATTATGTATTTGTATTTCTACTGGGGGGTTTCTTAGAATCTCACGACTTGTAATACTAGAATCATAGATACTAGGTAATGGTCAGTCCTTGGATGTGTATCTACCATCATCACGAAACTATAAATAGGGTGTGGCTGCACGGGAGGGGGAGACCGTCGGCATGCAGACATGACAAGTAAGGCTTCTTTGAATCCCGAATGCACATAACCATTGACCAGGGTAGGTGATTAACCAGTAGGTAGGTAGGCTAGGGATAGAGTTCCATTCATGCAAGGGTGTGCTGTATGAACGGCCCGGGCAGCTATCTAACTACCTATCTATCTAGCCGTTCCGAAAACCTTCGGTGTAGGTACAATTACTGTATTTGCGGATGTACATACCCGTGCTTATTCTGGGGTTATAATTACGTGGGATGAGTTGATATTTTTTCACTATTAAATGTTAAGTAGGATGGATGTGGTGTAGCATGGTATAGTAGCATGCATTAGCTCTCAGCGCGATATTGTGGCCGTTTTTCTTTCATAAATATAGTACAGAAGCATCGAACAGATTTACCGTCCGATATATTTTAGTTCCAACATCCTCAAGGGGATGTAGGATACGCTGGTAAAGACCAACGCGAGCTCGTTGGCAATGTCTCCTCCGTCTGTGCCGATCTTTCTTGCCAGGGCACCGACGTAGTACGTCTCGTCCATGCCTACGATCCAGCCGGCGGCGCCGCATAGGAATGCGGTGAGACCGGCGTATCCGGCTGGGAGTTTGGATGGGGTGTTCCAGGCGTCGAGATCGTAGTTGGCTAGGTTGCCGTTGCGGAAGAAGTAGTGCTCGGTGAATAGGATGACGAAGAAGGAGGTGTTCCAGTAGCCTAGTAGGGAGAGGAAGTTGTCGAGGACGGCAAGTAAATGGTCACGGCCGGCGATACCGATGACGAGAATACAGGCGAAGACAATGAGCGTCCAAACGATCCGAGGAATCTTTTGGAACGGCTTGGCGAACAGCTGAGCGGAGAGCGCACCGGCGTAGATGGCAATGCAGTTCATGCCGACTGTGCTGGGTTAGTATCGGGAAATATTGAGGTTAGGTGATTGCACTTACTACCACACAGCACCAGGAGGACCAGGAGGAATTTGGAGAATCCTCTGGGATAGATGATGGTTTGCAGGATCTCGCCGATACCTTCGTCATAGGCAGCAGCCCATTCTGGGTTCTCGTCAAGGGCCGAGGCGATACATGCTCCGAGCAACATGCCGATACAGGTCGGGAGAGAGATACCCAGGGTCGTGTAGATGAAGACCTTGACCTTGGAGGTGTTGACCGGGTAGTGCACGTAGAAATCGGACACGATTGAGCACCATGATGCACTTGAACCGTAGATGACACTGATGAGACTCAAGACATTGCCGGACCTTGTCATACCCGAGACAGTAGGAGGATCTGAAAGGTTGGCATGGTGCGCTGATTCGCCATAGATGATGATGAAGACGACAAAGGCAATCATCCAGATAAATTGCTCGATCGTCATAACAGCCTTTAAACCGAAAAAGCTGAAGCAGAGACTGACACAAGCGACGATGACTACTCCGACGATCATTGAGATGTGGCCATCTGAAACGGCGCGCAGAGCCTGGCCGCCGGTGATGCAGCTGACTGAAGCCCAGCCCAGCTGTTCTATCACGTTCAGCGCGGCGATGATAGAGGACGGGTAGAAGCCAAAGGAGTATCTAGAGATGGCGACTTGACGAAGGCCAGTCCCAGGGCCCATCGTGGCACACCAACCCTAAGAGATAGGCGTGTAAGTAGCTAAACGCAACATTCGTCGCAGTTGTAGACTAGACAAATGGAGTGCGAACCGTGAGACAAGCGCCCAGAAACGTCGCGCATATCATAATGGGGATGGTCTGCCCCAGGCTCAGACCGAACTCCTTTCCCATAAAACCCGTGCTAAAACAGCTGAGGTTCATGGTGGCCGACGCCCAGATGAAGGCCATGGCCAAAGTGTTGGGAGGCTGACGGTTTTCGGGGAGGACTCGGTCCAGACTGTGAGACTCGACGCCCAGTTTCCGGTCCAGCAGCTCTTCATAGTATCGAATGCGGGCGAACAAGCCCTGCGGTTTGACTAGGGACTGTTCTTCCACCGAAGCCGTGGCCTGCTTGGACTCGACGGTGGTGCCATCCTCGAGGGTTTTGAACTCCATGGCGAGGGAGGGGATTTGCGGGGAGGAGGGGAAGAGGAGAGCAAGAGAGGAAACGGCTCACAAACACCTTTTCTTCCCCAGAAAAAAAGGCGTTAGAGCATGCATGTATTTGTAGGGGGAAGAAATAGTCGAATCGCGCTTGAAGCCAGCAACAGATGGGGTTAAATTTGGGGGAACCTCGCTAGTGGCAGATGAGTTTTATGTCTTGCCCTCGCAAACCGTTGCATAATTGGATTGCAATTTGTGGGTTTCTTACCTGGTGCCATCATCTTTGCCCCAGTCTTAGTCGCCAACCGTGCGAGACATGGCCAGATACCGTCCTATTTTCTTTCCCGGAGTCACTGCACTCGACCTCAGCCGATTCCGAGGCGATATATTGTGTGCCATTGTCTCCTGCCGCGGCCATCCCCTTGCCACAATTAACTTTCGTGCCGGGGCGCATGGGAGGAGGGCCCTGGACTTGTGTGGGAAATCGAAGCAGCGTATCTCACTTAAGGTTTTGGTCCACATCGGCCCAGTTCTAGTCAGTGAGTGGGTCGAGAACTGAAGAGTCAAGATGCAACCTACCTAGATACTAGATAGATGCTCGGTGGCAGAATTAATTCGGGTGCCTTCTCATTCCGTGTACACAGTATCTACTCGGTAGATACTTACTATGGGTACTTACTATCTGAACATTATATTGCAAATAGTCACGTCGAAACAGCCATTTCTGTCTTGGTGGACTTGTATCCCGGCGAGAAAAGTAAATCACCATATGGAAATTAGACGTATAGAAATAAAAAAGAATAACCGAGTCATCCAACGATAAAAAAGAAACCACCAGGAATGATGAAAATTGCCCCGGCTAAAATCTCATCATCCTATTGCCGATATGGAAGTCATGCCATGTAACCACACCAACTTCCTGGATGTCTGCTGGTTTTGCCACCCGCCAGATGCTACGTCGGCGGTCGATAACAAGGCCGTCAACCTGCCGGGCCCAATGACAAACCATGTCTGCAAATACTCTATGTTTTCTCGTGGGGGATAAAAATTCATCTAGCGAAGTCATTGGCACTATGCAAGCGATCGGACGAACTAGAGACGCGCATTGGACTAAAGATCCGCAATACCAGGACTCTTCTTTGGACGTCAAGGGAACATTAGACCGTGTGGAAGATGCCCACATCTCGTAGGAATCCAGTATCTTATATGTAAGAACATTCCTGCGAGAGTTAAGAGATATAGGCCATCATGTTTCCACCTACATAACAGTGCTTGAGCCTGCCTGTTGGGTTAGTCATTCTTTCGACCCATTTTCTCAACCTATCGGATCCTTGAGTATCATCAGATCTCACCTACAGAGCTGCAGGTTGACCATTTATCAATTGGAATGAGCGGCATATTGTGACAACTCTTGGGTTTGATGTATACCCACCATCGAGTTCAAATCGTCTCTCGTTTGAAGAGACGTTGGATCCATCGTCCTGGGCCAGCAAACCAGCCTTCTCAGTCTCGACAAGATTCACCCGTTTTTAGTAGCCAAGTATATTTCCCGTGCAATATGCTAGCAAGGCAGAACCAGTTGATTGATGTCTTTGGCCGGAGGAGGATGGAGGCGATGCTTGGTGTGTTACCAGTTACCACATGCGGTGTGGACCTCAGCCTCAACCTGCAAGCCGGGCGCGCTATCCAAGCACACCAATCAGTTCGGTCGCACCATACCAGTGCTGGTTAGGGGATCGGAATCTCTGAAAGGCGTGCTGGACGCCCTGGCGACGAGGGATGGGGACGGAATCGACCCCGTTTTGACAACGGTGACCATGCGTGCAGTGGAGGATTGTTTTGGGTAATGATCGGTCGGATCGAACCCGACACTGGAGGGAGTAGCCTGGATACGGCGTACGGAGTATACTGTAGGTAGATGTGGTTTCTGCCACCATGAACAGGCACCAGTGAGTGTGATGTTGTCAGTTGTCAGATAGACAGAAGTGGACGGCGGCTCCGCCATTCAACCATGGCCCGAAAGGGAATGACTTCCTCCCCCGGCCTTTCCACGCCGGCCACTCACTCACTCGGCTTGTCTGTCCTCTTCCTCTTCCTCTTCCTCCTCCTCTTCTTTTCCATCGCAACTCAACGCCTCTGCCATCGTCCGCCCTCTGGATTGTGTCAATTCTTTGGCCTCCTCCCCCCTTCCGTTCACCTCTCTCCCCCTCCGCTCATCCTTTTCTCTTCTTCTCCGCCTTCCCACTTTTGTCCTCTCTTTCTCTCCTCCTCCCCCCCTCATTTTCTCTGCTTAATATTGGGATCCAAGATCGCTTTATATTTTTTTTTCGCATTTAAGCCCTGCAGATAGCAATTGAGCTTCTTCTTTTCTTGACCTCCCATTTTTGGCCTACCGCCTGCCTCTATACATTTGGATTACACTCGGTGTTAATATCCGGTGCTGTTCGACGTCCGTGTCAGCAGCCTATTATAATTCCATTGACGTCTCTTGCTTGACGGTATGTCTCGCCCTTCAGGATATCAATTGGCGATCTTCGCTTTATTAATGCCAAACCTATAGTCCTCCGCGCCTATCTCTCCCCTCCATCAGCTCGATCAACTGCCCAGACTTCCCCGAGTTCACCCCCGATCGTCCCGTCACAATGGCCTCCGAAGTGTCCGATGTCAATGTTAACGGTACCAAGTCCCGCGCAGCTATGCTGGAAGAACAGCATTCCCGTGACGAGGCGCACAAGGCTACCGTGGAAGAAGTCGTCGACGAGGAGGACCTTCAGCACCCTCCTCCCTCTTCATTGGTGAATGGTGAAGAGTCTAGCGCTCCGTCGCAGACCCCGGCACCTGCAGCCGCAACCCCGGCTCCCGCTGCCCCCAAGACTGCTTCCAAGAAGGCACCTGCCTTCGATGTGCAGTCTGAGGAGCTGTTCCCTGCTCTTGGAAGTGGTCCGAAGCCCAAGGCCCCGACCGCCTCTGCTTGGGGAGCTAGAGGTTCTTCGGCTGCTGCCGTCGCCAATGGCTCTGCCAGTGGTGCCTCGGCTGGTACGTTGCTGCAGCCCATATAGACGGGAAATTAGATCGTCATGCTAATAGTTAATCAATCAATAGCCCCTGGCGGTTTCGGTTCTGAAGTTCCGAGAATCATCAGCCTGCCCGGAAAGCACATGGAACAACTCCGGCTGGCACCATCCCAGATGCTTCCACGAGGCCAACTCAAGAAGCCCCTTCGCGATATCTTGCGCGATATCTCCAAGCGATCCAAGGCTAACGTCGACATGCGCGGTGGACCGGGTGGTTCTATAATCTTTGAGGGTAAAGGCTCCGTGGATGCGGTCAGGCAGGCCCTGAAGGAGGTCGCGCAGCAGGTTGGATCCAAGGTATGTCTCGCTCCTTTCTAGCTTAGAATGATGAATAACCAATGTGCCGCCTAGCAATCTGTCCGCGTTCCCATTCCTACATCCGCCCGGCCTCACATTATCGGACGGCAAGGAGTCGTTGTCCAAGACATCCAGCAACGGACAGGAGCACGTGTGCAGGTTCCCCGCGCGGAGGAGTCTGCGGCCGGAGAGGTTGACGACGATAGCGATACCATCGATGTCTTGATTGAGGGTGATGCTGTCGCAGCGGAGATGGCTCGTCGGGAGATCGAAGCTATTGTCAAGGAACGAGCTTCCAACATGAACCTGCGACTCAGGTCCATCCCGCCTGAGTTCTTCCCATTCATCGCCGGTGCTCACAATGCCAACTTGAGAGAAATTGAGGAGCGCACTAAGGCTCAAGTGCATGTGCCGCGGTACGATACCTGGCAGAGTCAGCCTCCGCCTCTGGAGGCCGATCCTGGTCACGTTCAGTTTGTACCGGTTCCTGAAAAGCACATTCATGTCTCCGGTGAGCGGGCTGCGGCCCAGGAAGCTCGCGCTGAAATCGAGAGGCTTGCTGCCGACCTGCAACGCCAGCTCGCCCTTCGCCAACTCGCCATTAACCGTGGCCAGCATCAGTTCATCCTTGGCGACAACGCCGATGCTTTGCACGAATTTCTTGCCGATACTGGTTGCGCCATTGTGTTGCCTCCTGCCTCCGATGAAAGCGAGTTCCTGACCATTACCGGTCCCCTCGATTGTATCGAGAATGGTATCAACCGGGCAATGGATCTTGCAACCAGCATGCAGATGGCGAGCATTGATTTGTCTCGTCAGCACCCCACTGCTCCCATGGGCTCTCATGCCCATGCTCGCGCCCTTACCCGATACCTCAGACAGCGCCAAATCATCAAGGAGCTGGAGAGCATGTATGATGCTCGGATCGCCCTTCCCCCTAGCTCCGACGGCCCGGTGACATGGGAAGTCTACTCCAGGGATGGCAAAAACACGATTCGCGCTCGCTCCGATATCATGAATCTGGTTCAAGCCCACCCTCCGACGAGACTTCGTAACGTTGCGGTTGATCCTTACTTCCACCCATACCTTCGTTCTCGGAGCATTGCCAAGTTGCAAAGTGACTATGGCGTTCACCTTCTTGTGCCTGACGAGCTCGATAGCTCTGATGTGGTTCTTGTGTACGAGGGCCCGTCGGCTTCTACTCCTCAGTTCGAGATCCCACGCCAGAGACCTTCCGCCGCTGATCTCGCCGCCTTCGAGAAGGCCCTCCAAGAAGCCCAGGACTATCTTTTGAGCACTCTTGGCGACCAGAACGATGTCGTGGCGAAGTCCGTGAGCGTCCCCAGCAAGTACCAGGAGAAGGTACGGAAGTTCATCGCCCGCGAACAGCAAGCGAAGGGAGAGGACGAGATCCCTGTCCGTGCCCTTGTCGCGGATGGCCGTAACCGTAACGAGTCCGAGGTCGCACTTCGCGGGCCCTCCCGCCTTGTGGACGACATTGTTTCGAAGCTTCAAGCGTTTGTTGTCGAGCAGGAGCAGGATGACCTCGAAAGGGGATACACGACAACCTTCGACTTCCCCCAGAAGTTTGCTAATTTCCTGATCGGCAAGCGGGGAGAGAATATTAACAAGCTCCGCGACGAGTTTGATGTCGACATTAAGGTCGAAGCTGGGAAGGTCGAGGTCAAAGGACCCAAGGCCAAGGCCGATGCCGCTAAGATTAGAATCTTCAACCTGGGCAAGAAGCTGGAAGATGAGACTACCCACATTCTCAAGATCCCTGCCCAGTACCACCGGGAGTTGATCGGACAGAAGGGAAGTCAGGTTAACAGACTCCAGGACCGTTACTCTGTTCGTGTCCAGTTCCCCCGGGCTGCGGTGGCTGCCACTGTCAACGATGATCAGTCGGTCGCTGAAAACTCGAGCGACGCGGGTGGCTCTCGTCCCAACCGCCCTCAGCAGGCTCTGGATGAGGTTATTGTCAAGGGTCCCAGCAAGGGTGCTGATTCTGCGCGCGATGAGATTCTTAGCTTGCTCCAGTGGGTGATTGACCACTCCTACGCGGCCTCGGTTTCCGTCGCCCAGGCTCAGATTCCTTCCTTGATCGGCCAGCGCGGCCGTGAAATGGACAAACTCCGCGCGGATACTGGTGCCCAGATTGACGTTCCTGGTGTTAACGATGCTCCGGATGATTCGGGCCGTGTGCAGATCAAGATCAGAGGCACGAAACAACAGGTTGAGGAGGCCAAGAAGATCCTGCTGCAGCGGTCGAGTGAGTTCGATTCAATCGTGACGAAGACGATTGACGTGGACAAGAAGTACCATAAGTCGCTCATCGGCAGCGGTGGTAAGTAACTGTGCCTGTGATCAATGATGATCTATCCACTAACAAGTGCCCAGGTGCCAATATCCGTAAGATTGTCGCCGATGCCGGTGGCCCTACCGATGGCAGCGCCTCCCGGATGGTCAAATTTCCGCGCCCGGAGAGCACTGACTCCACTATCAAGCTTGAAGGAAATGGCCAGGTCGTCGATAAGATTGTTGCTGCGATCCAGGACTTCGTCAAGGAGCGTGAGGATCAGGTCTCCGTGACCGTTGAGGTTCCTCCCTCTCAGCATCGTCTGCTCATCGGTCGTGGAGGTGAGACCCGGCGTGGCATCGAGTCGAAATTTAACATCACCCTCGATATTCCCAAGCAGGGTTCTGGACGCTCTGATATCAAGCTGAAGGGTCCCACCACTGCTGTTGCGGATGCTAAGGAGCACATCCAGTCCATGCTCAAGGACCAGCAGGGTGAAACCGTGGAAGTTCCCCGGAATCTGCACCATGTGATCGCGGACAATGGCTCTTTCTTCCGTCGCCTTCGCAACGACTACCGCGTGACCGTGGACCATGCTGGCCAGCAAGTGCCTCCCAAGCCTACTGCCTCTGAAGACTCCCGCGCCGCGGTCAACGGTGCCTCTTCCCTCCCCTTGATCACGGATGAGCCCAGCGACGCCATCGAGGCTCACTCGTGGATGATCGTGGACAACAGCCCCGCAGCTGTCGACCCCTCCGAACCTGCGACCATCCCGTGGGTTCTTGCGGGAACCAGTGACAATGTGACCAAGGCCAAGGCCGCCTTGGAGAAGGCTATTGCCAATGCCTCCCAGCAGTCGGCTACTGGATACCTCATCCTGCCTGACCCGAAGACTTACCGCTTCGTCGTCGGACAGGGCGGCAGCCAAATCAACGCGATCCGCAAGCAGACCGGCTGCCGGATCAATGTGCCCAAGGACCAAGCCAAGGGCGAGGCGATTGAGATCAAGGGAAGTAAGGAAGGCTTGGAAGAAGCCAAGGATATGATTCTGGAGGCCGTCCGCGCTGGATTGAGCGGCAACTCCAGGTCATAGGGGTAAGCTCAAGAGGTTGTGTCATGTATGGCTGTTGGAATAATCTAGCGGCCCAAATTTTCCTTCTACTTTTGTCTTATGTTCTCCAAAAAGAAGACTGTTATACATCTACTCGCATCAGAGGCAGTTGGGTTTGCATCTGCCTTGAACATTCTGTTATTAGGCCTCACTCCCCTTATAAATATAAATGCATCTACATTATTTCGAGAACTCTAGGGGATTATTACCTCTCGCATAATGCCATGGAAAGCAATCAATCAGTGTGTTCCCATCGGATTCACGCGCAACCGCTTTATCCTCAGCTCTGTGCAATCAATGTGGAATCGAGCAACCAGCACACCTAGATCAAAGGCACAATCTCTAGAGAGATCCTCTGCTACCAATCTTGAACAAAAACAAAGCACCCGTGACATTGCTTGCACTCTAAAGAAAAGAAATGAATATCTGCATTGGATATCACCCAACAACCCCCTAATGCTGGCGCGAAGTGAAAAATAGCCGAGATCGACACGTCCAACGACAAAATCAAAAGCGGACAAGAAAGAAATTCAGAAATTCTTTAGGGTCATATTCATTTCTCTTTTTTTTTTGGTATTATTTCTCAATATTATTAAAGGTATATCGTTTACTGCGTCTCAGCGGCGGAGGCAGTCTGGAGGTACTGGTAGGCACCATAGGCGATCAGACCACCGACCAAGAGGAAGGCGTAGAGACCGACACCGAGACCGCCATCGCTGGAGCTGGAGGGACCGGAGGATGACTGGGCTTTCTCGCGGGGGGCAGGGTCGCCGGGCTGGATGGAACTTGTTAGTGGGATTGTGATTTGGGGGAATTGAACGACAAGGGCGTAAGGGAAATGAGTTTGTTTGCGACGTACCATGCGCTTGACGTTGCCGACGAGGAGACCATCCAGGATCTCGCGAGCCTCGTCACTGTGACCGACATCCTCGAAGGCCTCGGTACCGTCCTGGCCGGCCACATCGAGAAGGACTTCCTCACCACCGCTGCATTCGGGTTGCGTCAGCACAAGTTTTTTTGGCCTTCGATTACCCGTCGGGATGCGGGATAGTTTCATTGTTTAGAGTGTTCGGGGTGCTGTGTGTGTATCTGGGAATATATGACAAGGGCTCAATCACGTACGGGTGCTCATCGACGAAAGAGGAGACGTCGTAGACCTTGTCGTGGATGACCATGTAAAGGTCCTTCTTGGTGTTGTGGGCGCTGACCTCCTGGAGGGTGAGTTCCTTTGCGTCGGACATGGTTGCGGTAGGGACTATGAGAGAGAGAAAAATGGTATGGTTAGCGACTGGGTATGTCCGGATCGTAGGTGAGACTGATAAGCAGGGAATTTCGGGATTGAGTTGAGATGGACTGGGGTGGATGTTTGGTTGGCTGAGACGGTTTCATGACCGATATAGAGTGAGTGCATGTACTCCGTGCACAAGCGGTGGTGTGGATGAGCACGATTGGGCAAGATGTGAATGACAGATGCCAGAACCACGTTGTCTGGTGGTCTGTACCTCGGAATGTCGAGAACAGCGATGATGCAGAATGCGATGGAGGCAGGAGGCATGAGAGAGGACTTACCGAAGATTCGACGGGAATGAAAATACGAGGAAAAGGAGAAGGTGAGGAGGATATCACACAAGACGGTCTAGGCGACAGAGACAGATGAACCCGGAGGAAGGAGAGGAAGAAACTCGGGGGACGACGAGGAGGAGGAGAAGGAGGAGGAGAAAGCCGAGCAGATCGAAGGCGCCGGCGCTCATCGCTTCCTTAGGCAGGCAGGGGCCCCCGGGCCTCCCTGATTCGACACCGGCTCCGCTGGGAGCTCCAGGAACGCTCCAGGACCACTCAGCTGGGTTGGCCGCTGGCCGTCGGTGCCGTGGATGGCAGCCGGCCGTTGCACTTGCTTTTACCGGGTTACCGCCAGATTGACTCTACTGCTGGACTCCCTATCGAAGATCTATCCCTTTGGCCTGTTCCCCAACCCTGTCCCAAAGAGGCAATCCGGAAAAGTGGCCTGATAGGGATAGAGCACCTTCGCCAATCAGCGATCGCTTATTCCTGGCTTAGTCATGTTGGAGGTGAGTCAGGACGCTAGGCCTGATCAGGCAAGGGACTAGACGGCCCGTCGATCAATCCAGCACATCTCTTCATTAAATTCATGATTATTCTTCACCGATCATCAGTCCATCCATCCAGGATCTTTTTACCTAAAAAGTACTTTGTCCTTGACCCCTATGTATTTCGGACAATAACATATCATGAATACATAGATAAATGATAGGTAGATAGATAGATAGATAGATAGCAATCTCATCCCTTCAGTCCTCAGTCCTCCCACTCTTGCTCGTCGCTCCACTCGTCGCCTCGGAATATCCTCCGCGGTCCGATCATGATTGCTACCCTTGAGTGGCTGCTCCACCACCTTATTATTGTGTGACAGCCATTGTCTACTATCGCCAGTTCCGCGATATCCTATCTCCTATCTACCTACTTCTGCACAGTAAGTATAAACCATACCTCATGTAGCAATAATAGCCAAAAAAAAAACACATAAACCACCGGGAATCACGTCATAGCGACAAATAATACTCCGTAATCCTAGTCATCATATACTCATCTTACCCCGTATACCCCGTCTACTTGTATTTCTGCATGTCCTAATTCCCTGTAATCAATCCCAAAACAAAATTAAGCAAGGTACATACTTGAAGTAAACCCCCAGATGGATAGATAATACCGTAATTCCGCCACCCCCCCTCCAAGTCCCGACAGTGGGATCCATGGAGCCCATCGATAACCGTAACCTCGGGGAGGATCGCCTGCCCACCGTGTGTCGGGTAGCGCTGTCGGGATTAAATCCCCGAGTCGGCCGTGGGTTTCCCCGCTTTCCCGCGCGCGCCTCTCTGGTCCTTGTGGGTGATTGATGCCGGCCCCGTCGCGGGGAGGCAGGGCGGAATGTTCTTCTCCTTTGGGATTGTTGTGTGGGGTATTATTCTAACATGTAAATAGCTGTCATGCTGATGGGCATATAACTGTTAACTATCCAATGGTCTATCATGTCATGTCATCATACTGGGCTGAGGGCGGCTGTCTGCCTATCTATACATCGATCGCTGAGAGAACCGGAACGCGACAACGTCAATTCCGCTGAAGGGTGCATCCAAATAGCTGTTGAAGAAGATGTAAACGCACAGGGATATGGAAAACAAAAGGATATAGTTCGTCACATGCTAAAATCATCCGTCATGCAGCGCGTGTCGTCGTTTCTTCCAAGAAAAGAAAAGCAAAAAAAAGCAAAAGGAAAGAAGACAAGAGAAGAGAAAAGAAAGGAAGCAAGCACAAACGTCCCAATGCAAAGTTACCCATACCAGGCGTGTCCCAATGAATTAACGCTACATCAGGGTCCGTCATGCCCCTGTAAAGCCACCAAAGAAAGCGAAACAAAGTATATAATGCACAACGCCCGTCTCGCCTTCTTACTTCGCGGGGACCCGCTCGTAGAAAACAATATAGGCTTGTTCGTTTTGTAGCCGGTCCTTGTGCCGCATATCGCGCGGGTTGAAGTCCATCACCCGTTCATCGTCGAACCGTCGCCAGCATTGCCGCTGCGCGTCCCGTACGAGGGAGATGTAATGACCGCTGCCCATCGAGGCCCCGATATGCCGCAGTACACCGTACGCATCGTACGTGAAGGGGGGCACCGTGGGCGCGATCGGGTCTTGCGGTATTCCATTGGTCGGCCCTTGGTTCGGCGCTGAGAAGACAAAATCGTCCATCCGAAGCCCATGCAAGGGAAAATCGATCGGTGTATGGATCTTTCGTGCAGTTTGGGTTTTCGACGCAGAGAAACGCTTGAAATGCACTACCAGGATTTGTGGAGCCCGCGTGATGATGATCTGTTTTGTTGCAACTCGCTCGCACTTGCAGTACGGACATTTCCACACCTCGTCACCGCTCAGCAATTCCTCCTGGCAATAACTGCGAAGGCATTGGTAGATGTCGCCCGTTCCCGATGAGGGGATCTCAACACTGATGCTGTAGAAAGCCTCGTACGTGGTTGATGTCCGCTTACATGTGGTGCAACGCAGGCGGCTGGCATGCTGGCCGGCGAAAAGTGAAGAGATGAACGATTCCTCGCGGTGACAGTACCGATCCCACTCTATCTTCGAAACCTTAGAAACGGGCATCCTCTCCCGCTGCATTTCCTCCTCAAAAGTCAGTGGCCGGAGAGGCGTCCGCTGCCAATTAATGTTGAGATCCTCGTGCAGACAATCGACCGCAAAGTCGAAGAACTCCTTGGCGTCCTGTTGGCGATCAATAGCCCACTCTTGGTTCAGCCGTCCGCAGAAGTTTCGGAAAGAGGTTGGCATGATCACCTCCACGTCGTTCTTCCATAGTGACCTGATTAGATTCGCAAACAGTCCGGGCATGACGCCTTGGGAGCCCTTCCAGTTCTTTTGCACATAGTATCGGAACCGATTGTCGATGAAGAACTTGCTCAGCATCACTGTTGCGCTCAAACACTGGAGAGTCGAATTCATGTAACATGTTACCCCAAAATTGGTCAGGCCTGTTCGGGGAAGCTTTAGCCGGTTTAGCATTGAGCTTGGCGTATAGAGGGCTGTTTTGGTCGCGGAGTTCTGCCGCTCGAGTGTGGGTTGTATCTGCCGGCCGTCCGAAACACCACTGTAGCTGGGCCGTGGAACCGCAGGCGGAGGCCTTGACGGAGCAACTGGAACAGGGGTAGCATAATTAGGTGCAGGGGTCCCTGCTGGCCGAACATGCGGTGCCACCATCGATTGTTGGATCGCATGCGGTTCAGGGAAGCGACGCAGGAAATCCTCATAAGTGTGCACAAATGGCGACACAGGAGGCTCTTCCTCGCCCTCCGGCTCCTCCATAAGTGCTTCCTCTCCGACATAGGTCCCGGGGTCGATCTCCTCCGTCTTCGACTTTTCCATCCACTCAGTGAGTTCTTGGGGGTTTAGTGGCTTGTATTCGCGCAGTCTTCTCTTCCTCACTTCTAGACTAGAGTTGGCACTGACGATCGTGGGTACTCTTCCCAGAGGTCGCCCGGGTTTCCTGACTGGCTTCTTTGCTTGCAAAGATCCGATCACGGCAGCAGTGGAAGATGTAGCAAGAGACTGCTGACCAACGAGATCGATCCATGCATCAAGCCCGCCAAGTAGTAGTGCGGGAGGTCTCCCATCCTTCAACGGCTTATAAGCATTGAATTCGTAAAGCGTGTCATACAGCGCTCGAAGATGAGGAGCTGTGGTCCCAACTGGGGATCCGGCGAGGTAGCTGACCGATGCCGTTCTCTGGTCATGATAGACGACCATATCAAATTCATTGCGCCGCTCGAAAAGCGACTGCTCGTGTTCCGGCGATACTACCAGACGTTCCTCAAGTTCCTCCGCCGACACGTTCTCCTTTAGAGCCACTGGCTCAATGCAAAGGATCGACGAGGCATAAATATGACCACTATCGTACTGATCCCGTGGACGCACGTCGATCAACAAAATATTGTATTTGCGCAGATAGTCGAGCAGTTGCTGAGGCTCAATTACAGTGCTGTAAGGCAGATCTGCACTACTACTTCTAACCTCTTTGGCCTGATGTATGCCGTTCGGAGTTTGCGATCTATAAGGATTGTCGTCAAAGCCATCACGGCTAGGGCTTCCGCGAGGAGACGTCGTGATTTGCGAATACCTTGGATTGACTGGACGAGAGCTTTCAATCGAGGTTCTGGGTGGGTTCGAGGGCCCTTGCGAGGGCACTGTCCAGATTGGGCTGTAAGCTGGATCTGGAGCGCGAGGAAGAGATGTATCAACAGGCACTTTCGGGGGTAGAGTAGGGACACTATGAGAGGAACCCATGCTACGGGGTCCTAGGGGACGCCGTGGGGGCACTCCTTGAGAGACGTAAGACGATGGGCGAGAGGGAGGATCTTGAGTTGGAGGTGTTGAGATGGTGCCATTTTTGCCATTAATGGATAGGCCCCAGTCAGCTGAGGTAGGTGGTGGCATTTTCAGTTTTGCGAACCTTTCAGCAAGTGCATCCCCTGCAGGACTCGAATACCTATTCAATTTCCCATTTGATTCGGCCGATTGTTGGAACTGCGAGGGGCTAGGCATTCGCAGTCCGTTGTTGCCAGCGTCGGTTGGGCGGCCTCTTGATCCAGGAGTCTGCAAAAGTCCAGGGGATAAGACCTGTGACCTTGGTCGTGGGGAGTTTGACGGGGGGGCCCCGCAGGCTGGACATTGCTCAACAAATTGTTCTCTAATATCTGTTGTTTGATGTCGTCCATTGTCCCTTGCTTCATTCGCACAGCCTGCCGCCTTCAAATTAGCCAATGTTTAACAAGGATAAGACACAGCAGCAATTAGAAGCACCAGGTGTGCTGTTGGGAAACTGCCACATACCATCATCAGATCTCTGAATCGTTTGTACCATCCTGGACGCTGGCTGGCAGTCACTCGGTAGTCGGGGTGATTAGGTATGATATTGATCGTAATCTCGGAGGCACGCAGATATTGCACATAAGCTCTATCCACTTGCTCGGTATTGGCGAGCTCACGGGCTCGATCTATAGCCACTTGCGCCCGCTCCAGTAGAATGCTAAGCTGCATGGAGTCCAGGTTAATGATCTGCAACGAACGTCACGCATTCAAACCAAACAGGGATCGAAATTTACCGATGTATCTTCGCTCATATCAAGAGCTGCCGCTTCATCTTGGAGATCCTTCAGGTTGGGAAAACGTGCTGGTTGAGATCCCGGGGAGGGGCCATAGCTGTAGGCCTGGTACGATCCTAGTCCGGCGGTTGACCTCCCGCCCGGATGCATGCCACCGAGAGAATGAGGACGGCGAGGGGCGTTCTCCCACGGTGCGAAGTCTGGAGGAGAGGGTAAAGCTGCTGCATCGGAGGACATTATATCACGACCAGGATGAGAGGCTCAGCACATGACCTGGAAGACGGGTTCGTGGTGGACGCGGGGAATCTGGTTGAACTCGGGTCGGAAATCGAGAGTGTCTGGAAGGATACCGGAGACCCGGAGGGGGAAAAGACCGACGACGACCGCACTGACAGGCCCGAGAGGGGTGAGCGGAAGGATCATGTACGAGACCTCGAGGAGGAGGAGGAGGAGAGACTCGGACACTGCCAGGCAAGACAGGCAAGACAGGCAGCCAACGTTGCGGGATCGAATTGGAGGGATTGAGATGTTTCTGGGGTAGGCTGGTATGTAATGCGCCGGTATCATCGAGGGCTCGATACTCACCGCCCTGGCCTATGACGCCACTGGTTGACCCTGGCTGCCTGGGGCTGTCCGCTGAGTCAAGGCTCCTAGCCAATGGTGGCACCCCGTTGCCGCCTGCTGCATTACTTAGGTAAGTTGGTACCTCCCGCCATCATCGACCGTTGACTGTTATCGGGCGATCTGCCTGGAGCTTGCTTCCACTCCCTCCTTGGTACTGCGCCGGCTTCAACGGAGGTCTATTCCTTAAGCACCCAGGTCGTGACCTGGCCATCTCCTCAGCCTCATTCCTACGTTTATCTGTGTCGGGTTACATCTTCTTTCGCCCCTCTGTTCGCTGCTACCCAACGTCATAGCGACCCTAGGCTCCGCCCTCGTCAGATAACCCCATCCATTGCGCACCGTCAGCATGGCGGGGTGGTTCTCTTCAGCTTCACCGATCGAAGAGCAGGTGGAAAAGGCTACCGCATCTTCTTTGTATGTTTCTTCGAACTTCTCTCATCTCATTCGGTAGCGATTGAGCTGGGATGGCTCATTAGTAACCTGTTCCTAACGATTGCCGCAGGGAAGACATTGCTCTTAACCTAGAAATTTCCGACCTGATTCGATCAAAAAGTGTTCAGCCCAAAGATGCTATGAGATGCTTGAAACGGCGGTTAGAAAACAAGAACCCAAACATACAGCTGGCGACTCTGAAGGTTGGCCACTCAGCATCACTCCAATTACGTTCATACTGATGGATTGGTCACTGCGCAGTTAACAGACACATGCGTGAAAAATGGGGGCACGCATTTTCTGGCGGAAATTGCGTCGCGTGAGTTCATGGACAACCTCGTCTCGCTCCTCAAGACCGAGGGGGCTCCGCTGAACTCTGACGTGAAGGGAACGATGCTCGAGCTAATCCAGGACTGGGCTATGGCAGCTCAAGGCCGTATGGACCTGAGCTATGTCGGGGAAACGTATCGGAGGCTGCAGGACGAAGGCTTCCGCTTTCCACCTAAGACCCAGATTAGTGGAAGCATGCTGGAGAGCAGCGCGGTGAGTTACCCGTGTTACAGTGCCTTTAACATACACGCTAATTTTGAATCGTGCAAGCCTCCTGAATGGATTGATTCCGATGTCTGCATGCGCTGTCGTACGCCGTTTAGCTTCATGAATCGCAAACACCATTGCCGTAACTGTGGGAGTGTCTTTGATGCGCAGTGCTCGAGCAAAACCCTTCCCCTGCCTCACCTCGGAATCTTGCAGCCTGTTCGGGTTGATGACGGGTGTTATGCCAAGTTGACATCCAAACCATTTATGCCGAGCGGTCTTTCGGATCGGTCCGCATTCAAAAACAATTCCATTACAAAGTCCAGCGTGATGGAGCCTCGTGGAGCTAGAGCAGAAGGGGGGTTTGACGATGATCTCCGTCGGGCTTTGCAGATGAGCTTGGAGGAGGCGCAGAACAAGGGCTCAAGTGGGTATGTTCTGCAGAGCACGACTATCCAGGAGCCACCCAAAGCATCATATCAACCCGCCATAGAAGAAGAGGAGGATGCGGACCTGAAGGCTGCTATTGAGGCATCCTTACGTGACATGGAACAACATAAACAACAGCATGCGGCTGCTTTGAAGAACGCACCATCTACAGATGTCCCATCCCGTCAGACCCCAAGTGCGACACCTCTGCCTAAGAACCCTTATGAGCTCAGCCCAGTGGAGGTGGAGAACATTCACCTTTTCGCTGCTCTCGTCGATCGGCTCCAGCATCAGCCTCCGGGAACCATACTACGTGAACCTCAAATTCAGGAACTTTATGAGAGCATCGGTGCCCTTCGTCCCAAGCTGGCGCGGAGCTATGGGGAGACCATGAGCAAACACGGTAAGTCTCGGTTCTTATTTGTCACTTGAGACATCGTAGGAGCTAACCCAAAGATGCGTCAGATACACTCCTTGACCTACACGCCAAGCTCTCGACGGTTGTACGATACTACGATCGCATGCTCGAGGAACGTCTGTCCAGCGCTTACTCACAACATTCTCTGGGCTATGGGCCGGTCCCTGGAGGATCGCCTTACCCCAGCATCTACCCGTCAATGCCTGCTCCCGCGACTGATGGGAAGACTGGATCAGAAAACTATTATTATGGGAATCCAGTCGCTGAAAATCACCAAACTCCGACTACACCTTACTCTCAGCCTCAACCCGACAGGGAACTGCACGAACGAGTTGGCACACGCAGTGGTGCCATGAGTCCTAATGTATACGCGCATCCCTCCCAGTCTATCCCACCTACCGTGGCTTGGAACGGGAGTGCTCATGCTGTTGCATCTCCGCAACCTTCAAGTGCCAGTATGGCTTTTCCCAGCAATCCTTCGGCTTACCCCGGACCAGCCGCTCCGACCCAATTCTACACCTCTCCGCAGCACCTGGAACAGGACTCAAACCCAGTTCAGCACCCCCGGCAATTCGAATCAGATATGCCTTATCAGCCCTCGCCTATTCTGCAACGTGATCCGCAGTATCAGCCACCCGCACCGTCGGCGCCAGATCTACCCACGGACCAGGTGCCGGCTTCCAGCTACATGCATTTGACGGATCCTCATCCTATGCAACCTAGTGGTCAAGGGGTACTTCAACGCCAGCCCACAGATCCGTCCGTTGCATCGTTTTATGCCCAGCAGCAACCTCCACAGGGATCTCCATTCCCACCCTACCCCCAGGGAACACCGGGACACCAAGGCCAGTCCGTTGGAGATGTGTCTCCGGTAGGCATGCCGCCGGCTCACGCACAGTATCAGCAGCCGGCGCCGACCCGGCCACCGGTGGAGGAAAGTTTGATTGAGCTGTAAAGGCGGGGGTGGGGCCGAGTTGAGCGTTTTTTCCGGTGATACGTTTCCTTAATTATTATATAGTCTTTTGTCACCATGATACCAACGGATTGGTTGTTTGCATGCCACGAAATTGTCTGTACAGTTCTCGCAATCCCACGGATGGAAAGACGCTGGAAGGCTGTGTTAGTGCTCGTTGTGTAGGACCGACGGTAGATAGATGACGCATCCACTGGCGACGGCCTCGTGTCGCTCGTCGCGATCGTCGGTGGCAAAAAAAAGGCCGACAACGGCAACGAGGCGTGGAAGCCCTCGGTCTGGACCGTACGGCGATACCGTACAGCGTATGGGGGGGACGGGTATTACCGCCTCTCAGCAATGTATGTAAATTGTAAGTATTCCCTTCATTCCCTTCGCTCCCCTTCGGCATTCCTTTTCCTCCATCATCTCTCCTCTTCCTTCGTTTTGCTGCTTGTCGGTCCTGGGAGTCCTCCTCCCAATGTCCTAGATAGACCCAGTGCCTCTCCTTCTCCTGGTCATCGGCTTCGTCTCCGCTCCCACCCCATCTTCCCCGTCCTCCTCTCCTCTCCTCTCATCTCCTCTCTCTGCATCCCGCACCTCTCCTCGCTGCCTCCCTCCTTATCCGGCCTCGGTGTAACGCCTGTCGCGTTATCCACCAATTGCCTCTCCCCCGCGCTGTCGGGTTCTCGACTCAGCTCGGGACTGTCTCTCATTGCTTTTGCTGTGCGTGCTGGCTGGCTGGCGTGCTTACCTGCCTGCCTCTCTCAGACCCGCCCGCCAATATTTTCTGCAGCGCCAGGCTGCTGTTGTGACACCGGGGCTGCTTCAGACGCCCTCCAATCGCCTCGATCGCTATTCTTCCGACTGCTGCTCGTCACCCGATCCGGCGCTGGTTCCCGTGGCCCGTTGGGACGCCCTTGCCTTAAACCCTGCCTTGCCTTGCCTCGCCTCGCCTGTGATTGCCGCCATGCCGACCTCCAACACCTCCTCCCCCGTTAAGCGCCCGGGGCTGGGCCGCCGCGCTGTCTCCTCCCATGCCGTTGTCACGCGCTCCTCCTCTTCGACCCAAGGCGAGCTTGCTCACTCCCATTCCTCCAACCCCCAAAAATCTACCCATAGGCCACATCGCCCCCATCTTGTCGGTGGTGGTCGCAATCATCACCGCAATCCTTCCTTTGGAAAGAATTTAAACAAACTGCAGCGACACCAATCCGCCCAGCAAATCGTTACGGAAGGATCCGCCCGCCTGCATCAACGCAAGAAGTCCGCGCCTCCGACGCCTGCTGCTGTGACGCCCGCTGCAAGCCCGCGTGGGCAGCACGTCCGCTGGGATGGGGTGTTGGACGAACCTCACCGCAGCACCGGTTCAATGAAAAAGAATTACTCCAGTCCGGCTCTCCGACGGAATACTTCGGTTGTTTTGGGGAAGAAGGCTTTGGTCACGGACCGTCCTCACACCAGTTCCGGGAAGAAGAAGACCGTGGGCTTCGAGCTGGCAGATTCCGACAACGACGACGCTGACTGGGAAGATACTACACAGTCACCTGAAAGCACACGGCGCAGCTCTGTTGCACAATCGAAAGAAAGTGTGGAGAATCCTGCTGTGCTGGTAGACCCCCTTACCTTCGTCAAACGCTCTTACCCGCAGTTCCCCCGAGCAACCAGCCTCCCAGAGTCAACCAGTAAGAGTTTTGGTGACGACCATCTATCGGACGACGACGACGACGAACACGACGACGACGATACTGCTACACAACGGCCTTCCGATTTGGAGGAGAGAACCGACGATTCCAGTCGCGCTCTCGACCACGCTGATATCGCAGCCCGTTTGCTAAGCCCGTCGCACTCCGCAAAGGCGCCCCCCGCCATGTCTTCCATATCGGCTACGGTGAAGCCGACTGTGGTGGATTCGCTTTCTCGCAACGCCTCCCTGACCAACTTGGCTTCTGGGCATGATGGCGCACGGCGCCCACTGTCCTCGTCCCACACTACATTGGCGAATACTCCTGGTAATCACACGCAGGCTACGTCGTCATCTATCGAAGGTGGTGTTTCCAAGTTTATCATTAACAACAAGACTGGGTCTCACGCTTTTTCTCGTGCCGACTCTGATCCAAATACTCCGTCTTCTTTCCTGCCGCACTATCACCCTCAAACGCCGCCATCCCCGAATCGCGCCACAAGCTCGAGGAGAGCACGAGCCTCGCCACCTTCGAGACCTCCAGGTGCCGAGCCCCATTCCCGCACACAGCAGAAGCTTTGGTTACAGCGCACTGCAGCACTCAACACTTCGCCGCCTGACGGCCATGGGGTGTCAACGACAGTGTCTCCAGCAGCGATAGACCCCGCCTTTGCTGTAACCCACGCACGACCTGGCACCGGGCCATTTGAACCCGGCAGGGCACTTGTTAACGGGCCTTCCAGGGCAAGTGGGACAGTGCATGACAATGAAGTCAAACATATCCGCAAAGCGTACGAGAAGACGGCTTTGGAACTGACCGTCGTACGACGGTTCCAGTCCCCCACCGGTGACAGCTTTAACCGTTTGAACGCCATCCTCAATGACTTCAAAGGTGCCAGCTCTGGCCTGGAGCAACGCGCATCGCTTGGCAAGCCGATCAAGTCAGCACCAGCACTAACACTTCTGCAAGACGAAAGGCAACAAGGCGTAGGCCGCCGTAGCGCTAGCCCTGAGCCAAGACAACTTGTGGGGAGAAGAGACCAAGAAATGCACACATCAGTCTCCCAGGCTTATCTACAAGACCCGGATGACCTTGTGAATGAATCAACCGATGCAGGCCCGGGGCACAAGTCTCAACACCCGTCCCACCGCATATTGTCCACATCCGACGAGCCTGTCCATGGCAGTTCGGCCCCCGACGACATCCCTGAAGACACGCTTCTTGCTAATGAGGCAGAGATGATGATCCGTCGCATGTGGGAAAGCCGCGAAGTAGCCTCTGCCGGCTAATTGTACAACACCCCCCCTTTGTTCATTAATTATTACCGTCACTCATTCTGTTATTGGTCTGTTTTTAGCAACCGTGGCGTTCAGGGCTGCATGTTGTAGCGCATAGGGTCGTTCCGGAGTTTAAGATTCTGCGCAAATTGCGTCGTGATGAGGCATTACCATGGGCTTTTATTCCGAGTGCTGCTTTTCTCCTCTTTTCCCTTCTCGCCCCCTTTAGCCTCTTTCCGTGTCCATCTTATGCTACGATGATAGATACTTTCTACGTAATAATGTAATTAATTTTATTGAGAACCTCCTAGACAATGGAACCTCGACTAGGACAATCCCTAGTTCTTTTGGTCTGAAGTACTTACCGACCTGTAAATCCTTCCAACTTTATTTCCCAATCTAACCTCAGTGTCAGGCAATACTTCAAGGACAAAAATACAAATACTATAGGGGACCCAGGTATGTCGGTAATAATTCTCTCTCCGATTAACTATACATGAAAAAACTTCCAGCTATCCAATCATGAATAAACCCAAGTCTATCCCAACGGGCTTTTCCTCCCGTTCTTTCCGTCTATAACAATAACAGTCATGAAATGCAATAAAGGATAGGGAAGGAAATTCCCCATTGAAAGAACAATTACAATTGAAAAGTTTCCGATCAGATGATTTTGGAGATAGTATATATCCACGGGGATGGGAAACTGCCATATTGACAGAGCGGAGCAGAGCAGAGACTGCTGTATCAAACAGCCTTGCCACGTTCTTTGTTGCCTCTACCCCGAGTACCACCTCGACCTCCGCGACGGGAATTGCCACCCGCTGGGTCTGGGTGGTTCCCGTTCGGTGGTCGTTGGGGTTGCTCCCGACGAGGGGTGCTCTTCTGTTGCGCGTTCGGGGGGTCCTTCCGAGAAGGTTTGGCGGCCGGTGGTTGGGATTGGGTTGTAGAGATGTCGGTGCCGCCTTTTCCGCGTCTCTTGCGCTGCTGCTGTCCCTGGCCTTTACCACGACCGCGGTTACCTCGAGTGTCTCTTCCTTCCTGGTTGTTGATGCCTGGAGTTGAATTGGGTTCGGGGAGTCCTTGGATACGTCTACTCTCTTTATCCCACCATTCTTGGAATTGCTGCTCCAGTTGGATGTCTTCCAGATTGTGTTTGGCTGTTGCGGCCTCGCGGATTTCGTCCTTTTCTGTTTGTTGCTGCATCAGGATGGTGGCTAAAGATAGTGAATTTGATGAAGGAGAGTGGAAACTCGTTTGATATGGTTCCGGACGTGGTATGTGGCGAACAGATTGGATTGAGGTCTGAGTGGGTGAGATGTTGGAGGCAGAGGGTGCTGATGGCCCCGAAATTGAGGGTCTAGGTGGTGTCTGGACGCTGGTGGAGACACTGCGGCCTTGAGCCTGCACAGGAGCAACTTTCTGTTTTGCACCAGGCGGCGGTGTGCCGGCAACTGTTTGACGCAGAGTCATAGAAGGCTTCGGAGTAATGGATTTTGCAGACTCCTCAGGACTCACTTGCCCATTGATGGGAACAGGACTGCTTGGACTAGGGAGTTTCCAAGGGTTCTGGGATGCTTCTTTTGCCTTCTGCTGGGCGACAAGTAGGACCTGCGTCTGCTGCTGCTGGATCTTCTTCCGTTCCTTTTGCGATAGCTTGGATGCAGAGTTACTGTTATTCTCTCGACGGGATCCTATCCCCAAGCTGAGATTCGATACCTGGTGACCTGACGCTTCGTTCATAATATCTTTGAGGCTCTTCTTCGACGATGATAATACAGATGAGCTCCACGGGGGTTGTGCAGAATCAGGTGGAGAACCAGATCCGTTCCTCTTTTTGTAAAGCGCTGCAGCTCGAGATTCAGACGGCGAGTCTGGGGGGCCAACGTCTCGCAGAGAAGCCATCTGATCATCCAGATAGCTTCGGCTACCAAATGAACCCCCGTCCACAAGACTGGAGCCAAGAGCGGGTGAATCGAGAGACGGCCGGTGCTCGTTTATCGCGGTTGGCTTAGCATCTCGAACTGCGCTTTTCCCTTTAACGGAATCCCCCGGGGACAGAAGGTATTCATCATCCATCTGGAACATTAGATCGCCCATAGACTGTCTCGATTTCAACAATGGGCTACGAGAGGTAGGAGTCAAGGTCTCCCTCGCTGGACTAGCCATGACTTTCTGCACCAATGGCGAAACGGCCTTCTCGTTGCCCATCATTCGTGACTTTCCCTCGTGGTTGTCAACACGGTTGAGACGAGATCTGATCCTCATAGAGTCGATCCTTCGCTTTCTGTCCTCCTCTACAAGGGAGACAACCTCGGGATATTTCTCATAGACGTATTCTTCGGTGTTGCGTCCCCGCGAAACGGGAAAGCTGGCCATCTGGTTCTCGCGGCAAACGGAATCAAGCGCACCAAGTAAGATGTCGTCAAGATCCTCCAACAGCCTGTTAAAGGTGTAAGATGCGCTATCTCAGCCTCACAATAAGTTAACACTCACCTGTTTGCCAGCAGATCCTCGAGGTTCAGGCATATGTATTCCAGAGCAGCATCCTTAAATTCCGTTACAAAACACGGTGCGGTGGCATTCAGTAAATAACACACACTGCGCGTATTCACTAAGGTATCCTGATAAGTAATATGGTCAAAGCATTAGAGGGAAAACTTACCAAACATCCCAAGCATCTTCTGGCATATTTGCGCCAACCTGTCAATCATCAATTCATTCGCCACAAATGCGACATCGAGGATAAGGTCAATAAAATCGTCCAGGTCCTTTGATCGGACATCGTCAAAGAGCTCGACCTCCGTATCTGCATACATGTACTGGAGAACAAACTCGAAAACAGCCCGGTCGATGTGCTTGAGGTCGATTCGGATGATATCTCCCGGATCTGCACGACGCGACAGAAGCCATCTGCCTCCTGAGCGCCCAGAGTATAGCGCCATGAAGAAGGGACATCTCTGACAGATCACTTGGCTGTGAGCCTTCACCTCTTCTCCCTTCAACTCGATAACCACATCAGCGCTATCGAAAAAGGCAGGGTCATTAATGGCGCGCTCCATGTCAACTTTAATAGTTTTCGTCGGTTCGATCATAAGCCTAGCAGCCCTTTCCAACGTCGGCAATCCCAAATGACTGGCGATGCGCATCACCTCGGTCCGAACTTGGCGATACCTAAGAGCACTTTCCGGGGAATACCTCAACTGTTGCCAAACGTCTAAAACGCTATCTGTATAAATGAAAAAGGCAATATTCAGGATAGTGAAAGTATCAACAGCATGGATCATTAGTCGCATCTGACCCTGGCTGTCGAATTCAATAGTCATTATATCAGGGATAGAAACATGGTGCGTACAGCGGAAGTCTCGGAATGCTTTCCTTAAGACCGAGCTGCGTCCTGTCAGAATGAATTCGTGCACAGGTATCCGTATGCCAGATTGCGTTGTCATGAGCCAGACTGTCCCCGCAGGCGCTTTTGCTTGCGAAGTTTCAAAGTATGGTTCAATCTCCGAAGACGACATGATGGCTTTTCTTATGGCCAGAGCAGGATCAAGATCTATATAGGTACCCTCTTCATCAGCTTGGCTTGCCGGAACCATGGTCTCCCGCAGCGAGTAGAAAGGAGACAAAGGCAAAAGATCCTTCCAGAGGGTGGTTTCCTCGATGTTGATCTGTTCTTTCGTCACTTGGGAGTCGCGTTGGACAGCTGCATATGCTCCAAAGGCATTGCTGCACACACCAATGACTCGAGACAGTCCGGGTATGCGAGCAAACTTGTAATCCTTCGATGCCCCGTCTTTTACCTTCCCTCGTTTCTCTTTCCTCCAAGCAGAACCGGAAACGGTACAGATGACGACTGAACCATCCTGTCCAACATCAAAATCTGCTGCAGCCATGTGGGCTTTTTTAACGGACCAAACGCGAGTCGGTTGAGATAGAGAATTACGAGTCTTGGATGGATTGGTTGTTGACGTCGAAATCGGCGGGTTTTCAGTCCTATTGACCTGAACAGTGTACACTTCACCAAAACTGGATAGCGCACAGATGGCGTTTCCACCAGACTTGATCTTGACGATCTGATTGATGGACGAACCATACCGTGTGGCCATGAAACTGTCCTTTATGAATCTTGAGCTGACATCCAAGGGGAAAGAGAGCTTTGAGTAACCGTATTGGGAGAAGACCCAAACCTCGTGATTTTGAAGAAGGGCCGCTGTCGCCTGATCGATTGCAGAGACGCTTTGTATCGGCGCACTGAAAAGCGATGCTCCTACCCGCCTGGGCGTGGTCTGGATCTCGAGTGAACGGGCGTCAGAATCCACCAGTCCCAGTTGTCCTTCGTTCTTGCCGAATGTGTAAAGGCCAGAATTGCTGAAGACAACCGAATGGACCGCCGAGGCTGCTGCCCCAAGAATGACTTCCTTCTTAAAGGGGTTGAAGATCTGCCGCGGCGAGTTCTGAATCGGCACATCGTCCCGGTTATTACCCCTTGGGAGACTGTACCCAAGTTGACCAAACTTGTTACTACCCCAGCTGAAGATTTCCCCGCGGTCTGTGATAGCAAGGGTATGGTCCTGGCCTAAGGCAATAGATATCACCTTCCTATTTGCGAGCCCTCCGGTCTCAATACAGACGAAGCTGAACCGCGTTGACTCATCCCCGGTGCCTAGGCGCCCGCCGGGACCGAACCCACACAGAAAGAGGTTTGACTCAGGGTCAGTAGTAAGGATAGCTGTGTGGAGTTTTGACATAACAATGTTCTGGATTTTCAGAGGTCTATTCCTCACGAGGGTCGGCAGGTCCAAGGGATGACCAGAATCATGAGGGGAGTCAATCCTGTCATCAACCAGCCGTTGCTCCTGGAATTCACGATAGAAGCGCTCTAGGAGATGTTCAGGCCGCTTGAGGGAGATTCTCTCGGGAAATTGGCGGTCGTCTTGGTCTCCAACGCCCAGGTTCAGATTCTTGTTACTCCCAAACGTAAATACCTCATCGCCAGACAAATTGGTCCTTGGTTTCAAAGTGCTTCTCCCAATGCGACTGTCTTCATCGAAGCCTTCTTCGAGAGAGGATACATCAGAAGCAGCATCGCTGTTCTCTACATCTGTGAGTAGAGGACCTTGGCTTGTTGCTCGGGATAGAATTCGTTTGATGTCGCGAGACGCAATTGTAGCCCCATAGACATCGAACGGACTATAGCCTTCTCGATCTTTGACCTTGATCAAGCCTCCACTCGGGTGTCCAAGATTGCTCGCTTTGCTGAAATCCATTGCATCACGTATATCTCGGGCCATCAACGCCTGGGCAATCGTTGCGTTTCCCGCATATAGAGCACGATGCAGAGCTGTCCAACCACTCTCCCAGTCTTGCGCGTAGATATCAAGCGCAGGCACCTCAAGTAAAGCGATGGCAAATTCTATAGCCGTGCTTTTCGTTGAAGAAGCCACATGATGAAGGAGAGTTCGACCGTCATGATCTCGTGCATTCAATTCCTCCCGAGACAATGTCTTGCCAGGGCGCAGTCCACCACCCCGATCTGGTATGGGGGTTCCTGGGGAGGTTCCCACCAATTTCCTGCTCTTTACTGAACTGCCTGGCGAGGATGCTATCACGGTCCCGGGGCTTCCGGGCTTGAGATTGGGAGCCCCTCCGGTTCCCGTCCGCTGGCTGCCCGTCGTATAGGTGGCAGCTGCCAGGAACCGCTGGAAGCTCTCAACGTCATCGTAGAAGAAAAATCCCCAAAGCTTGCTACTCATGTGCTCAAGCTTGTATGGTGTCAGAAACTCTTATCAACCCAGAACCAGAGCGTCGTTGTAACCGCAGAGGGTTCGCGGCGCACCGGCAAGAGGACTGTGGGCGACAAGAGTATTCTGACCGAATAGAAGAGGGGTCGACGACCGTCAACGCGTAGCCAATCTCGCGAAGGTTTCTCACGGAAGGGTCGGAGCCGTAGACGATACGATGGTCGCTGTTAGGTAGGTGTGGGTTGGTGGTGAGACGCAAGCAAAGCAGAGCAGGACCGATCACAGAAATGTGGTGGCGATGATAGCTGTAGGTGACAAATATCGCTCTCCGATTCTTGGACGGCGGCGAAGGGAAGGATTCGGCGCGTCGGTCGGGCTTGAGGGACGGTACGCGACCGCGAAATCGACACGAATGACTGGGTTCGAGGAGGGATGAAGGCGATTAGCCGGTATTAAGGTCGATGGGCTTTGGAGGGAAGATCTCGGACTGCCTGATGGCTTTCCATCTGACCCGTGGATAAGACCTTCGGGGCGGTGGCCAATCGCAGCCACGCACCCCTCCATGCGCTCCGACAGACGGCGGGCAGTCAGTCTTCAATCAAACATGAGGGGAATGTAACTGGAACCATTCAGACTACGGGCTCCTACTACTACAGGAGAATACGATCAGCGTTTTAAGGTAGGAGATCCGGAAATCCCATGTCTACGCCGCTAAGTAGTACCTACCTGTGACCTATTTAGGTATTAGTTACTGAGTAACTCCCGATGGGGGCAGATGGGACAGCATGATGGAATTGGAGAACCTTGCCCCAGTTGGGGTCTGTGCAGGCATTCATGACAGTTGCCAGGCTGAGAGGGCCCAGGTGCATGCGGAGATCGTTAGATAAGCCGATGTCCATTGTACCACTGCATGCACTGTGTACAACTCTACTGCCACTGTTAACCCTCTGAGGGATAACATCAGCCATCCGACTCATGGTCGGGTTCAGAAGCTGCGGCAATTAGTGATGTAGTGTCTCTGGCTTGATAGGAATATGTAACAGTCTGTGAGTACAATGTAGTGCTGAATGGTAAACATCTACAATCATCCACAAAACAGACGGCATGAAGTACTTACTCGTCTCCTATTTTGGTGGTAATGATCTCACCTCTCTGAGAGATATTAGATCCCCTGATCTTGTATCAAAACCTCCCACTCTGATCCATGTATTGTGTTTGACACCGCGCTGGTCAATGCGACCATTTGAGTTGACTGGGATAAATGGGTGATGGATCATGAACCGACTTACGCCCACTGGCAGTTACTATCTACATTTCCAACACCTTCACTATATTCCCAGCACGGGCTGCACTCACTCAAGATTTTGATAAACTCTGTATTGCAGGCTTTAATCATGTCTGTCTGTGCCGAGATTCATTCTCCCAATAAGTCAGTCTAGGTATTCTGATCTCAAGAGTCCAGATTCCTTATCAGTTATTCCAGAACTCGTTACCTGAGCATGCTATGGCTGGAAGATACGATCACATTTTAATGGTTATAGCTTTGTGTGCTGTTGGTGGTATGTAGAAGACCTACACACCCTTTAGTGAAGCGGTCTTTGATAATCTAGGCGCACTGGGTAATTCTCAGTTAAAAAAAGAAGCAATCGTATTGGAGCGCGCCCTTCCGCTTTCGATTTAGTGGGGAGGATGCAGAAAGACCAAGATCTGTGGCAGATGTAGCAAATTCATCCGGAGATAAAACACACAGCGCCTGATAACTATCATCATTTGTCATAATTGTTCTCACGTTGCCTCTAGATAGTACGGGGAAGCTTCCGACGGGCCTAAGCAGGGGGTTGATGATATAGCTTGGTAGGTAGGTAGGCTGATGGCGTATTGCACCGTGGCAGGGTAAGGAGATCAAGAAACCGGAATGAAGAGTGTACTCTGTAAAGTTTTCGGAAATACAGGCAAGCAATAAATAACATTAGCAGGAAGTAATGTGATTTGTGACTGGTTCTGCTCTCCCATTTATCTCCGGTACTAGTAGCTGCTAGACTATTACTACGTGCTTTATCATATTAAAGTCCCGGCCTAGGGAATCATGACAAGGCAGAGAGATTAGAGTACCTGGGTATGTAATTCTGTATAGGCGACAACTGCCTACAAGGCTACAATCTCCCTAAGCGAACATCCCGGACAAAGGTACGAAATACGGAGTGGCCAGGCCCTATTATTATGAACCGTGTCAGCGCATACAGCTGCACCACCAACTGGCCCCAAACAAAGACATCCAAGTAACTCTTCACGTGAGAGACCAGTCGGGATCGTTGTTCATTGGTATTTTTGCTCTTTTTTACTTTTTGCAGAGTCACAATCTTTCACTGGGGAGGATGCAGCACTCATTTGTTTCGCCCGATTTGGGGGGTGCGACAGAAAGAGTCTAGGTTGTCTAAGGGGTCTTAGCCAACAGCCTAGGCTGCAAAGCTCGCAGTTCCGGTGCATCATGCCGGCAGCGTTTTGTACAGTAAGCCACATTGGATTGGCTCGAGCTAGAGGATGTAGCTACTGAACTAAGGTACAGTGCCTTGTAGGCCGGGCAACTGGCATCTGCTCTCCACCTAACCGGCAGGCCGTTGCAGGTGAGGCAACCAGTCCCAGGACTTTGGGGAGGTGGTCCATGCTGTCGGTGCTCCGAGCTGTCTGCAATCCACCCCATCTCGGCCTGCATCGCAGAAATCCAAGCTCTCTGTCAGTGAGCTGGCTCTGGGGCCTGTCTGGCTGGAAATCTGCCATCTAGGGTAATTTTGGTAGGATACCCTGTGTAGAAAGTTAGCAAGCACCGCAGGAAGGACTCCGATGGCTAAAGTTAGAAAGTATGGAATGTTGTCATGGATTGTGATTATCATGCAAGTTGATTGATCGCCCAGGCGCAAGCGGTAGCTGGAGGGGCTAGCCTCCTTCGGGCATAGCTACGTTACTGTTCCATTGAACAAGAGCCCCCTTTTCGTTCCGGTATGGAACACGAGCTCTGACGTGGTAATTACGGCTGCCAGGCAGAGCCCCCCGTGCCAGTTGTCCGCCCGCCAGGCCTATCAGCCTATGACCTCATGTTATCACCGCTGGACCAGGTTCCCTTATCTTTCCCCCATACCGTTCCGTGACGGGGTCTCCTTCCCGGCCGTACCGGGTCGGTACAGAACTGCAGCCGCCGCTGCGGCTTGACCGCCTTCCAATCGGCCGTTCTAATCTCCAACTGCGACTGAAACTGGATGTGGTTCAGCGTTAACATCCAGCGCCAGAATCTTGGTCCATCCAAAAATACCACAAGGGGATCACTCGATCAAGTGGAAGCTCCCTTACTGACCCCCGTAGCCATTGTCTGTCCAGGATCGCATGGTTCATTTGATTCCCTTATCGCATCCTTGGGGCATGCTGTGGCACCCGTCAGCCTGACTGACCGCTTGCACTTGACCTGCTTCCTTTCAAACCATCGAGTCACCGGGTGTGCGTCACAGACCCTCTGCTCCCGTACGCTTGACTAGCTGTGTGCCTCACATACGCTCTTCCATCTTGTCTTTCCTTCTCCTCCCTCCTCCACTCACTTCTGATCCCTTTCCCCCCGACCACCCTCAGTCTTTTCCTCTCCTCTTCTTGACCCCATCCTTAATAACCCCTCCCCCTCTGGTAGTTTTCATAATGCATTCCTAATAATTCCTCTGTTCTCCCCATTACGGTGAGGACGCCGTGCATACCCCCCCCCGGGCGAACTGGATCCGCCTAGTCGTCAATGCGGAGAAGCTCCCAAGGTTGTCTAGACCGCATGCTCCGAACGCTCCAACGTCTTGTTGCCTGAGCACAGCAAATGATGAAATCGGCGTCTCTCATTTTCTCCCCGTCAGTGCCTGCGACTTAGCGCTCAGCCTCTACTTTCAGTCTTCCTCCCTTGTCGACTTTCTCAGGCTGTTGGGCTTGTTAGCATGGCCTTCCGCAGTGGGACCGTCACCTCCCCATTTCCTTGATCCGAGATATACACACTGCAGTCATTCTGGACTCTGTGTCGATCTTATAACGACCTGTCTGAATTGTTTCTATTATTCCATATTGTCGCATCCCGACCATGCATCAACATCCTCGATCTCCGGCGCCTGCAGCGCCTCCCTCTGCAACCAGGCCGAGCGCAACCCGCTCGGAAGACCGCAGAGAACAAGATATCCGCCCGACCTCCCCAGCTTTCGACCCCAGGGTACACAATAGTAGGGGATTGGGTATAGAGACGGAGAGCGGGACACCTGAACCGACACCTACTTCACAACCAGCGAAAGAGGCAATAACTAAACTCAATCAGATCATCACGGTATGACTTGATTACTGGCTCCAGGCTTCCTTATCTTTGCTAGGGAAATATGCTTTTATCTGACCGTCTGCTTCTTTAGAACTATTTCACAAAGGCGGCTTTAATAATCCTGCACGACCGTGTGCACCTTCCGGTGGCTCTTAACAAGGGTACCGACACTCCCAAGAAGAACAGATGGGTATGCTTCATCTGCTTATACTCTTTTACGTGCTTTCTATGGGTTTTTTCCAACGCATCTGTGCCCGTGCTAACTAACATTCGATGTCTATCAGTTCAACATTGAGATAGAAGATACCGACGCACTCCGCGAACAGCTACTCATTTGGAGGACAAGCGACACAATCGAAAACCGACCTCCGCCACTGATCATCGAAACATACTTAGACACGAAAGGCCTTACTAAAAATCAAAGTCTCGTTGCCTTGGATGAGCAAGGGAAGCGATATGACGTTTTGGAATCTCTTTCTACGTCTTCAGAGGCACATGCTGGGGGGCTGCCGTCGTCCAGGTCCGACGATGTTATACTAGAAAGGTGGAGAATTGAACTTGGGAAAATGTCCAACAAGCTACCGGCGGATCTTGGCTCCATACTACCTACGGTATATAAGAAGAGCATCCTCTTATTCAGATCGTTGTTCGTCTACTCTAAATTATTGCCTGCGTGGAATTTCGCAAAGCACAACGGGAGGCTTCGCACACACCCGGCCCTACGGCTCAAATACCGTATCTTGGTTGGGAAGCCCTATGCAGAGGAATCCAAACCGGATCATTTGACTATGCCGCTGTTTGACAGCAGTAATAAAGTGGTTGATGGATACAGCTTTGGGACCACAGAGTCGCCTGCTGGTGAATTCTCCGTCCAGGTGATCTATCGAAAGAGCTGCGAGTTTCGAGTGGATGATTCGGAGGCTTTGCTGAGTTCACGATTCATGGGGGCCGATGATGAGGTCTTCCGCCCGTCACTTCCTAGCCGAGAGTCCAATGTCAAGGCCGCCAACCCCGAAGTCGGATCGGCTCCCCTGGAAAAAAGAACTGTCGATGACCCAGACCCTAGTCGAGCCTATGGGAGTCTCTCAACATTTCACCATGTCGGGCCTACAACAAGTGCGAGTCCAATTTCGGCTCTCCGCGCCGCCAGAGACTCTGGAGCTACGTCCCCTTCTCCTCCTAGCTCGTCTTCTCGCAAGCCTCTAGCGGTTGCGAAGGCTAGCCCTGTAGGTCGTGCGGCTGTTCTGGCGAACGAGAGTGGCCCCGGCATTGCCAGGCGATCGTCTATATCTTTCCAGCCGTTCAAAGCGCCGCCGCTTTCCGCGTCACCGTCTCTTGTGGATCCACCATTGGGAATGTCGCCCCGGTCAACAGCTCGCACACCATTTTCTGAGTCTAAAAACATGCCACCTCCATCTATGGCGGCTTCCGCTCGCAAATCCTTACCCGGGGCTTGTGAAAATCCGGTCAGCTCTTCAACTTCTGCGTCTCCTCGACCGGGTCCTATTGCAAGATACAGTAGTGCTTTCACCCACCGGCGTGGAAGGCCTTCGTCCGGCAATATCAACAAGTTGGAGGATGACAACTCAAGTGGCAGGGCTAGTGCGACGTCCTCCAACGCCCAGCCTGGCTCTGGTTTACTTGCCGAAGCCACAGGGACGAGTGCAGATTCCATACATGCGGACGATGAGAACATTTCAGAGTTCCTAAAGATGCTAGACTTGAGGAAAGATCTGCTGAATCCCTCCAGTTCGGCTTCCGTTGATGTCACTGCACGCAGAACAACCGCTACTTCCGCTGCATTGGCAAGGTTCCAGAGGATGAGAGACTCGAATGCAGCACTATCAGACTCGATGTCATCGTCGTTGCTCTTACAGCGCTCGTCGAACTCTTCGAGCAAGCAGCTCTCAGGAGTGCCACCGATGGTAGCCGGTACTTCAATCTCGACAGCTTCGTCGCCTGGGAAGCCTATTTCACCCCACACGCCCCACACCCCTGCGATCCCGTCTCGTTTGAGTTCGAACAGCATCGTTGACTATGGGAACGAAAGAGATACCCACCCTGGACATGGCTCTCTCGAAGAGAACCCCAGCGATGGCACGACCATAGCACATCATCGCCCGTCTACAACGACGGTAACTGCCATTGATATCCCTACCTCACCGGCGTTGCCCTTCTCCCCCCCCTACCGCCGGCCCAGCTCTGCTGCTCCTCCCCCACCCCGAGTTCCAGCCGATGACGATGAAATCTTCCCCTTCAATCTGCGCAGCATAAGTCTTGGGGCCGAGGAGAGATCTCATAATAGTCTAAGTGCTCTGCAGAGACAGCATGACCTCGAAGGTGTTAAAGCGAATGCACATCAGACACGTAGGGAACAACGTCCTCCGTCTGTGAGTGAAGATCCTGGTCTAGCACCGAGCTCAGCAGGGAACGAATTGGGGCCCCATAAGAGGACGTCTGGGTCCGGGCCCACAGCAGCCTCGTCGCTGTCGAACAATCATGTTTACCAACCACGGTTCAGCATTTCTCGTGGACGGGGATTGTCGGGTGGACCGCATTCTCTTAGCTCCGGCTCAAGTAGCCTTGCGCGCGGCATCCCGTCGTACCTCGCTGAGCGTGACCATGACCGGGAAGGCAATGCTAGCGGGAGTAATAGCGGTAACTCAATTGTTGAAGACCGCCGAGGGGCTGGGCGACGACCCAGTTCGGGCCGCAACATCCCGCCACAATCGCAACTAGAAGAGGATGAGCCTCTATTGTTTGCCATGAGCGACTTCGGTGCCTCCCGGCGAAGCTTCGAAGAAGGCAGGCATGGCAACCATGGAGGTGACTCTAACGGAAGCGCCAGTGGGTCGAGACGCGGTAGCGGTCGACGCGGTGGGGGACTTTCAAGCTTCCATGTCTGGTCATAGGATCTAAAGACACTCCTAAATTTCTCATGGTCTGATATTATTCTTTAATAGTGTCAGGTTCATCTTCCTGCTTCTGCTATCTTACGCTTTTGTCTGGTTTTTTTTTCTCCCTAGGCAAATGCTAACCCTTCAAGCTTATCTTTTTCTTCTACTTTCCCCCCATCTTTTGGTGCTGTCTTTCTACCAGGCGATGCCTATTTTTTACCCCGTCAGGATGGTTACTTTTATAGACTGACCTGCAAGCGACGCGACCATGTGCTACCCGGAAAGGCGAATAGAGGATGGCATAAGGGGCTATTCTCAGGTTTTGTTGTTTTGGTCTAGGTTCAAAATGCGTTTACACGGCCGTCTGCATTCTGGAGTGATATAATGTTTTTGGGCTTTGTTGTATTCAGTGTTTATGTGTCTTTGAACTGGGTTGTGGATCTGCCATTCTTTTTTCCTTATTCATTTGATTTTCTACTTCTGCCATCATGACTCTTGTCACCATTCTTTTCCTTCTACCCTTTACCTTTGGTTTGCATCATTGACCGATCTGTAATCAGACATATCATATCAGGCCCAGGAGACCTGAAATTGCGCTCACGGTGGATAGCCAGGTAACATTGAATCGAACTTGAAAAAAATCACATCCGTCTTAATATGTAGTTTGAGTTTCTCTTTCAAGATAGTGACAAAGTCTGCTACAATTCCGGCCCACATCGATAATCTTGGCTTTCTCTACAAGCTCAACATGTAGAAGCACCAACTGTCTATTTTATGTAATACGCTTTTTCTCCTTTTCCCTTCAATTTTGGCAGTATGTACAGTACAAGGGTATTGATTTTTGGTGGGTATCTGCTTCATCACATAGTATGATCCAAGAAGACCCCAGATACCCGACGAGTTCGCCATCAAGCCAGGTTGTCTTCCTGTGGTATGGTGGGTCTCATCGATTCTGGAGTCCTTGTTTGTTGCACCGGGGGTGTCTCTGACGTAGGTGTGGTTGGTAGGAAACCTCTGTGACACTGAGGCAGGCATGCAGGGGATGAACAGCAGGTCGCGTAACCTGTTACATTCGGCATGGCGTTGAGATATTGCTGCGTGGTAGACGGGGGTCTAGAATCGCCGGGAGGGATGGGGTGTGTGTGTGTGTCAAGGAAACCGCCCATGGGGTGGAGCCGAGGAGCGAAATTGAAGCTCTGCTGGCTATGGGGGAGCTCTGATAGGTGAAGTCAGGCTCACGGGACAATCTGATGGCCGGATCACATCTTCCGGAAAGTGTTGCCAGAGGCGCTTCGCCGCTCATTGGCCCGGAAGCTGTGGCTGGGTGCGGTGGGTGCAGGGGCCCTGTTGTCGGGTCTTGATTTGCCTCTGGGGTTGAAGGTTACTTCTCTCTCGCCGACGACGCCGCTACGATGACGGGACGGCTTGTTTCTGGTTTGCATGCTCTGAGCACGCGCGGCGAATGAGCGATCGCGAGTAGCGCCGATACCTGACGAAGAAGAAACCTCCATCCGGGGTTGACGGCCGTTGGTGCGCTTGTAAGAGGACGTGGAAATTTTGCCAGAGGCTGCGGGCTTGGTAAACCTTTCGGGCTCGGTTTCGGAATCGGAATCATCGGAGCTTGAGCCTGGAACGTCGTCGATCGCTTCCTGCTCGGCAGCGGTAAGGCCTCGCTCCTTTCTCTCTTTGGGTTGTTCAACGGCGGTGCTGGGGTTGAGAAGTCTGAACTCGTGCGAAGTCTCATCGATGGCGAAGTCTTCGTCCTCGAACAGCTTGGCGAAACGACTGTCGCCCAGCAGGTTCTTTCCGGGCTCTTCTGTGGGGCGTGCCGGGGCGGGTGCGTCGACCATATCATCATCTCCTCCCCTCTTCAGGACACGCTGGGCTTGGCGGCGCTCGTTCTTCTCCTCGATGCTCAACAGCTTCTCTGCCAGTTTCTTGTTGACCTTGACAGCAGCCTTCTTCTTACCGCGGATTCTGCTCTCGCGTTCCTTGTCGATCTTCTCCTTAATACGCTTGGCACGCTCTTCCTCCCAGATGTACGGGTTGGTGATCAGTCTGGCCTCTTCGTACAGCTGCTGAGCCACAAAGTAACCGTGCATGTAAGGGCGTAGGAGGCTGGTTCTGCCGATCAGGTGGTCCAGGTTCAGGTTCTTCAACTGAGGAGCAGTCAAGAACTTGAAGTTATCGTAAACAGCGCCGGTTTGACCGCTGCTGAAAGCGTTAGGATCGTTAGGATCTTCAGCCATCTCCTCAACGAGGTTGTCCAAGAACGAACACCACTTAGGAGCGGGACCAAGTTGTGGGATGAAGAATGAATGCTGTTGACGCCCTTCGTTAGCGGTCAAGATCATACCGCTATCCTTGCACCAAGCAACGGAGTTGAGATCGACAGCCGGTTCAACAGATGTCCAAGGGGTTCCATCCCGGGGATCCCATATCTTGATAATCTTCTTATCCGCAGACATGATCTTGGGTTCCATGGTCTGTTCACGTGTGGCCGTTGATGGCTGTAGGAACTTCAACGTGTGAATAGGGAAGCCGTATCCCTGGTCTTTCTTGAGGAGGGGTACCGGTGACCGAAGATCATAAAGGTGAATAAGGCCGTTCGAAGAACCAGTCCCGAGGGTCAGGCCCGAGCGATGGAACTCCAAGGCCGTGATCTCATGCCGGGCCTCATCGGGGCCAGACTGAGTTGGCGGCAGTAACACTCCGGCTCTGCCTTTAGCTCTAGGATCCCAAAGCTCCACTGTACCCATGGTGGTACCGAAAGCCAAGAGATTGTGGCTCTCTTCGGCGATCGCTCCTGTGTTGACCGCGCCTGTGTTGATGCCACCCTGCAAAGTTCCTGCGCCGGCAGAGGTGAAATCGTCTCCGCCAACATCGACCTCAAAGCTGCGCATGTACCGACCCAATTCCAGATTGAGACGGAAAACCTCTCCCATGCCATCGGAGTTCACACCTACTGCAGGAACCAAGGCTTCGGTTGACTGCCTATCGTATACCAAGTCACGTCCATATCTGGGGAGTCTGGTGGTGTAATGACAGCCTTGAGGCGTATGAAACTCGAGCGAGCGGTCGGACTGTAGGTGGAGGGATTTCGAGTAATCGGAGGAGAGCAGGAGGAAGGTGGTATTGAGAGCCACGGTATGACGGGCCCATGAGAGGGAGAGTTGGGGGAGATAGTGCGTATGGATCTGAGGCTTGTATGTTCCTGTGCGAAAGAACCCAAGTTAGTTGAGAGAAAAGAAAAGAAGAAAAGTTGGTAAAGTGATCGCACCTGTGCTCATAACCCACTCGCCATCTTCACTGACTCGGATACACTGGCTGGCTTCTTCGAATTCGAAGTCCTGAAGCAGCTCGATGCGGTTCGCATACTCCGGGTCATTTTTCAAACTGCGCTTTCTCCGCCGGGCAAGCCACTCGGGGAGGGGCCGCGCAGTGTTGGAGCCGGAGATGGTATAGACAGGGACCTCCGACTGATTGGAGAGCTTCATGGCGATAGCGGTTGCAGCTCGTCGCGCAGACCTGGTGGAAAGAAAAAAGGCATTTGCCCAAGAAAAAAAGTTCGCCGATAGCGATAGCTGGGCCCACGTGACGCTGCGGGTGTCGATCACGCATGATTGGCTCCCGCGGGCCGAGCCAACCTCCGTTGGGTCTCGATGGCATCGGAAGTCTGGGATTCTCCAGCTGCGTCGCCTCGTGAGGCATTAAGTCCGTCGGTTATCGGGTCCTGGTTCATTCCCTCTTGATAATGGCGCCTTGCGCGTGATCCTTATATGCGCCTCCTCCCTCCCGGTATTTCTTTGGCCGCAACCTTCTCTTCTTCACCCTCCAAATCAGTGATGGCATCTCGGAGCCCATCTATTATTTACTGACTTGTCTTGTTGCATAACCCAAGTTCCAAGTGCTATGGGCGGCTTACTGAGATATGACCCTTTTCGCATGCCCGGCTGGAAATGAATCCTCCTTTGGCAATCTCCCCTGGCTAGCAATAAGAACAGCCGGTGTCTCCTTTGGGACTACAGCTAAATCATGGACTTTCCAGGAGGGTCCATCACCAACATACGCGTCATTGTAGGTCCCTCCACCCAGAAAGCACCGGGGAAGCTCTAATTCAGGATGCTAGGATGGATTCTCCCAAATTTATTGGAGAATTTACACAGAGGAACCTAATAGCGCCAATACCCCGGGCGAGTCCCCGGCTAATGGCTACACCATCCTTAAACATCTCAGTCGCCTCAAGGATCTTGAGCTCCAAATCAGGGACCGGGATTGCTTGGTTTCAAGCTACCCCAGGCGGCTTTGCTTATGGGTCTTTTCTGCTACTCCTGGCTTTGAGAGCCTGCTACCCTTGTCCGCGAACGAAGCTAAAGATGACTCAAGCAGACTTGCCATCGGCTCGGCTACCATGAAAGGTACGTAGCTGCTCGCCCCATGTGCCTCCCAGCTGCCGTCTACTGGCGTTGAATACCAATCAAAGTATTGTAGCATCCTCCTCGGGCAATGTTTCTTCATTGGATTTAGTCAAGAATCTCTCAACAGAGCCTCAGAATGCGCCGGGCACAACCGGACCGCAGAGACAAAATGCTCTTACACCCTACGCTACGATTTATGCATCATTCATTTCGGCCGTCAGTGGGGCAGTGAGCCTCCAACTGGTCCGGCAACGCAACGCGATCCCACTTGGATCGCGTACTCTCTTCACTGCTGTTGAAAGAGATTCCTACGACTGTTTTGTCAAAAACGACCCTCTTTCAGCTTCGTCCTTGATCACGCTTCAGATTCAACTGACATCTGTCGGGAAGCTGACAGTAGCTTTACAGACAGTATCGCAGGCTGGCCTGAGGCGGTTACTCGCGCCTGAAGATGACCCAGCAGGCATCCATGATATCCCACCGGGCACTGACCTCTGGCTCTCTCCTAGTGGGTCTATTTCCAGACTCGTCGCCGCTAATCTGTCACGACTGAACGCAGCATCCCCGTATCCATCTAGTGCTGGAGGCCCAGGGAATGACAAGTCCAGCATGGCAACCCGCAAACAGTGGAAGGTCAATGTGCTATGGTGGCTTGCCAATTTTGGTCTTCCAGTGGATGAGATTGACGAGGAAGCCTGGGTTGAAGTTGAAGTTTGGGAGCCATTTTACTCTAGACTCGCTGGGGAGATAGGGCGGTCGAACGATGAAAGCTCGTCGACGCTTCCCCTGAAGCGGATCCTTTGGCCAGCTATTTACTGCTTCAAGAGGACAAAGTCAGCATCTTCAGATTCCTATGGCGAATTGGATAGCGTTGGTCCTGTTCTTGGTGATCCACTAGACTTTGCAGAGAAATGGCGCGTAACAGAGAAGCCCACCTTTATCGAGGCGAGCCCTAAGCCTTCGTCTGTCCATCAAGAACCGCAGGCCAGGGACCAGGACGCATTATCACCCGACATGCCTAACTTACCTGAAGGCATTGAAAGCCTTTCTCGAGCATCGCAGTATCCTGAGCTTCAGACCGCTAGCCTTGTATACCCAACGCCGCCTGATGGAGCCGCCGCAACCGGATTAAATCCGACAGTGCCTTCCGATGTTTTCCCGGATGATCTTGAACAAGGCTCGAGCTTCATGCAGTCGAGCAGACAAAACTATCACGGCCAACTCAATAAAGATCGGACGGGAGCGGAGGTGATAAGCTTCGGTCCATCGGCAGGGCTCGTGGTTGGATCCGGTCTATACGATACAAACGACGATGACGATTTGTTCGGAGACATCAATGAGAGGGATTTTGGGTCTAAAGGTCTCACCGATGCTGATTTCAGCTTCTTCGACGACCCAGACTTCGACCATGTCGGTGGAGGTGGAGGTGAACAAGAGGATCCAATCCATGCGATGTCCGATTTCATGGATACAGATGAGCCTGAATTGCAACCAACCGTGGATGAGCAAGCTTCGCCTGAACAAACACCAGCAATGGATATCGATAGTTCCCGGATAAGTCCCGTGGTTGAAGCAGCAGACCTCCAACAAGAAAAGGCTGTCCCTGAGGCTAAGACACCAGTATCCTCACCTCGGGATGGCAAACCACGAACGATAAGCCCCCCATTGAGTCCAGTAGAGGTCAAGAAAATCCTTTTTCCAGAGCCGCATATAGGAAGTCAGCACCTGGTTAAACAGGGGCAAATGCCAGGCTATTACAACGCGGTCGCTTTCAAGCAGAACATGTCCCTTTGGGACCGGAAATACAGTGCAGAAGGGAAGTTCGGTTTCACCTTTCGAGGAAGGGAGGGCCCTAAAGGCGCAGATGCGGCCACGAGCGATATCCCAACCATCGGCCTTCCGCGTCGCAGTGGAAAGCTCAAGAGCAGCACATCGAAAGAACCGGACAGCCAGGCGTCCCCCACTAGTGGCATGCAAGCATCCTCATCGGATACGGATTCAAGCAGCGATGCGAGCGTCGAAAGTGACGAGAGTGGCTCCGAGAGTGGCCTATCACCGGCCACATCTTCCACCCGGAAAAGAAAACGCACGCGCTCCAACTCTGGGACCTCATTAGCATTATCCCAGGACAAGGCTTTCGTAAGAGCTGACCAAGAGACCACACCCCAAAGACCGGAAGATTCGGTCTTCCTAGGGAACTTTCTTTCGACCTTCTCCGACTGGTCCATGGCAGGCTATTTCTCTCTGGCACAAAATCAGGTTTCCCCGGTTCTTATCCGCAAGGATATACAGGTTCAGATCGCCCAGCTATTGGTCGATCAAGTCACGCAATCATCCTTGGATCACAAGATAGATGGAAACCTTGGTCTGTCTGACTATGACGACGAGGCGTATTCTCTTCAGACTCAGCTAGGTGATGCGGCTTTTGTGGGTGGGATGGAGCGACTGGACCTAAACGGCTTTGTCTCGCTGCAAGATGCCAGCACACTTTCACCCCCTACATCCAATGGGCCTAACCCACGCCAGTCCTCTCAACGTAAGGAGGCTGGGAAGGGTACCATATTGAAAATACCTCCACCGCACCTGCGCGTATGCCGCGGTAAGGATTTTTTAGAAACACTGCCTCCAGCGATCTCCTTCTGGGAGACCTTCGGATTAGAGCCCGCTCACGGCCAAAAGGATATATTTGCCTATTGCATTCATCCTCATTTCGCCGCTGAAGCAGCCGATGCATTCTTGGAGCGGCTTGGCTTAGTCTACTCGGGCTGCAATCTTGGTAGCCATACGCGAGGAGAAAGATCCAACTTTTTTGACCGTGGGTTGGGCTCCTGGGACATCAGCCCATCGGAAGATTCCCGTTATTTCGAAGTCATGCAATCCCTAAAGACCATCTGCGGGGTACTTGGTATGTTATACCCTGTGATCTCCATTCCATTCGTCCACTAATGTCGACAGGTTCTGCCTTCTTGAACACCCCGCCGAGCAAGGACAGCAACCTTGTGGTCTACATCGTAAACCCTTTCACTCACGCCGCAGCATTAGTCGATATATGCTCCGCTTTCTGGTCTCTTTTCCAGAAATACATTGCGGACGCTGATAAACAGCAGGCACGACAACTAAATGAGCTTGTGCTCCAGATCATCCCCATCGATTTTGTCACAGCGACTGGGTCTTTAGTTGTTCCCCCACAGGCCGATTACCTGAACCTGGCTCTTGAAGTGTACAGCCGATGCCCGCCTAAATCAACCCAGCCAAGCCTTATAAACTGCGCACCGCCGGTACTACTTGCAGAACCCCTTCCACGGTCGATTGGTTTCAAACTGTCTTCTGAGGGGTCTTCTCCGCTACAAGAGGGGAAATGTCTGCACATTGCCTGTTCCAGGAGCCTCGATCAACGCTGGATAAGCGTGGCTTGGTCCGATAACTTTGGAGCACTTCAGCGAAATATGTCTTATTGCCTTCGCTTCCGTAATTCACTCATGACGAGACCTCTTGTGGAAGTGCGCAGTGAGATTTGGAAGGCAACAAGGGATATCATGGACAGGATCCAGGCGCGGTGGAGGGTCGTCATTGTGAACACTGACCCTGTGGATCAGGAAGAAGTTGACAGTAAGTGTGCACAACTCCCTCGCTCATTCCAGTACTGACGAAATAAGCATGGTCAAATTTTGCCGATCAGTATGGCAAAGCCAGGTCAATAACGCTGGATCTCGTCATCTTGAGCGCAAATACAACTCCTGATCTATACCTCGAGCCGCCTTTTCTACCGGTCCCGCTGAGCGTATTCAATCAACAGTCTTCTTCCACACCTGTCGCTACTCCGAACCTCGGCGGCAGTGTCTCTTCTCCAGACCAGTTGGGTAATGCGCCCACACCACCCGGTGGCTTGGGAGTGCCCGCAAATGCCTCTACGCCAACAGACGCGCTCCCGGAGATTGAATCGGAATCCCTAATTACAGACATCTACGATGAAACATGGGGAGTGGTGCTCTCGCACCGTCTTAACAGCTCTCTGCATCAAACGGAGTATCGGCCCGCACTGGCTAGCGGATATCTCCTTCGCAGAAAAGGCTCCACTGATGGAGATGGGCTGTATACCATGAGTGTCAATATACTCCATGCGCGGCGTTCCCCGTCTTCATACGATACCCTTCTACGGGAGATTCTGGGCATGTATCGCGACTTGGCGACTCTGGCTCGGGCTAGGGGTACTCGCACTGTGCAGCAGGGCACACTCCCGTGGCATGTTGCCACGGCGGTGAAAGCCCAGACTATGCTGAGCTATGCTCTGTGATCTTTCTCCTATTTTATTCTGCTATTATACCACGTTACGGTTCGAGTGATAATGTGGCGTTCAGGGCAACCCGGCTGACTTCTTGCTTCTTCAGTTCTACCTCCGTTTCTCTTTTTCTGTATATAGTTGGCATTGTTTCAGGCAGAATAGGATATACCACTGTGCAGGTTTGCTTTGGACTTTTGGTCTGGTTGGGAATGTCGATCTACGGTTACTGGGAATAGAGGCTGTCTTGGCTGTGGGTTCATGCATACTTGTCTGTCATGATATGGGAGCATTGTAATACCAGCATTGTGTTATTATCCGATGTATTTGCATCATTGCTGTTCTTTGGCCGTCATCATTGTCGATTGGTGCTTTTCATTGTTGTTTCTATGTGGCCATTTCTACATCCCCGCCTGCTCTCCGCAGAAAATATACTTCTGACCTTACACTTTCAAGAACAATTCAGTTCCACCCAGAGCTGAGGAGCAACCAAACCAAATCGCCTATCATCATATACCACAGTCGATGCATATATTTGAGACCGAAAACTCTGTGCCTATTACATAGACAATATGATAATAAATCATGTGCTCACAACCCCTTTACACATCTAAATTATGCGAAACGCTCCAGAACAGCATCCGTTGCCCCACATCCCAAATCTTCCTCTCATAGCTATTTTCATCACACTCATGTCACTGACAGAACATATTAAACCATCCACAAATCCGCTTTCCTCAAACTCAATACTCAAAACTTTCAACAGCTTACCTTTTGTATATATATCAAAACCTAGCAAAAGAATTCAACAACAATCCGATATGGTGTAGTGGCTAACATCGCCGTCTCTCACACGGCAGCCGGGGGTTCGATTCCCCCTATCGGAGTTCATTCAAAGATTACTTTTTTTTGCTTTTTTGCATTCTGCCTTCCTGCTCATAGCAGAATAAAACAATGTTGTTTTTGATACCCACATCAATGTAATCTGATCAGTTTGCCATCTTTCTCGTTTGCAAACCGTGGTAGCGCCGAGGCACTAACACTACTATCAGATAAGGACCCGGATACTCCATTAGGGAAGTTATTAGAGCGCTCTGGCCTTTGATTAGATAGCTCCTGGAATGCTGACCAGACCAGGGAGTCCGATTTCCCTTGTGCAACAAAGGTGATGATGTGACTGGATAGATAATTCCTGCATGCTGACTCAAAGGGGGCTTTAACTTTCAGTGCTCTGTACCTCACAGTTCAAAACAGGCAGATGCCTACAAGCCACCCGGAACTTTCCAATGTAGACCCAAGAGAAAGTTATAAATAGGTGGTGCTCAAGACCACTGTTCGAATAGCTCCTCAGCAAACCCACCAGTTTATCTACCCTGCTTAAAACCATCATCTTCGAACCATGGCATCTGCCCACCAGGACAACTTTACCATTGACCCTTCCGTCCTCTACAATGAGGCACCACTCGGAAACCACCACTCGGAACCAATGAGAGGGACGAACAACCAAGAGCGTGAAGGACAGGATGGAAAACAGGGTGAAAGAAAAGGTGATGAGGAATGTTGTCCGCCAAGCGTTGAGCCTATCCGTATGATTATTCGCGGCCATATCTTCAACCTCGACAATGGGGTTCCTGAGCATATTCAGGACGAACTTTGGGCTCTCTTTGGCAAAAAGAAACTCACCTCCGAGAAAATACCAGAACACCTCAAGGCCTACGGGTATACCGCAGAGCAGTTCGAACAATTCGCAAAGGAGGACGCCAAGTATGGAAAAATGGCTCTAGAAGGCTGAGATACGGCTTATCTGCTTTTTGTATTGTGGCTTTTGTTATTTTCTGATTACTAGCTGGGTACGCACAATATATAACTGCCAAGGTTCTTGGAGCTCGAGGGCAAAGATGGAAGCCTCAGCTCATAATCAAGCACATGCTACTCGGTAAATCTCCTTGGAAGCATCTCATAGAGCACGTCAAGTACATCCTCAAGTCTAAACCCTGTTGAGGGCACCTTAAAGGGCCACCGGAGGCACACTGTAAAAGATTCATTGCTCATGCAGCTGCTAGAAAGTCTGATATAGCATCTTTCGAAGTACATAAAGGGAGGCGCTACAGTCACACTTTCTCCGTACTCTGCTTATTATATCAAGTAATGCTTATTTTTATAGCTAAGCAGAATCTTCACTGCTCTAATCTATATTCAAGGTATTTAATTTATACGGAAGATACTAAGGAATGCCTTGGGCAATTACAGTATTCCAGCAATTAGAGGCCTTATTCAAAACCACACTTGAAGTCTTATCTAAGGCTCTACACAAGACTCTACTTGAAACCCTATCTAAGACTTCATACAAAATCCTGCGTAAAGCTCTGTATAGAGTTCTATATAAAGTCCCGCACTTCTTATAAGTTTGAATAGACCCTGTATAAGATATTTTAGACATTATATTAATAGACACGATATAAAAGCTTGATAATACAGATTAGGTAGGTAGAAGGTGTGGCTGTAGCGCCTCCCTACCTGCCCCATAAAGCATCTCGTAAGCCAGCTTCTAGCCTAGATATGATCCGGCGGAAGCAATGAGAACAGGAAATATCCAGGAACCTTGCCTAGTGTTAGATTGTTAAGCACCGGAACACTTCGCAAATATCGTAACATGGACTGTCTAGTAGAAGGCGTGAGTAGTGAGTGACCAGTAGAGTTGAGCCTGATAGAGGCATTCTGCCTATCTGGCAAAGCATATCCACACACTACAGACAAATCAGAGGCCAGTCCTCCCGACACAGCTCATGGCGGTAAGGCCTCTAAACCAATCAGAAGGCAGCAATCCTCTCACCCCGCGGAAATCATCGCAAGTACCTCAGTAGTTCCATCCATATCGAAAAAATTTCAGGCGCAAATCAGGAACACAAGCCCGCCAACAACCTTTCTCTTCCTTCTCCTCTCCATTCCACCTCTTCCTACCCATCATACCCACAGGAAAAACACGGCCATTCAAACTCCAGCCATAATTGCAACCAATCCCTCCAGAAACAAGATACCCACTCAAAAGGAAGCGAAACCAAACCAAACCATATCTCCGACCCCGCCTATCTTCTCTTCCGCAAGTGCAACACAATCCCTCCTCCCACTATCACCACCACAACATCCACCACCACCATGTCCCAACCAACCCAACCACTCACCACCAACCCAGCCGCCCACTACCTCGACCTCGGCATCACCCTCGCCATCCACAACTGGCCAGCCCTCAACCTAGCCGTGCAATCCAACTGGGGCGGTCCCACGTCCTCCGACAAGCGCGACTGGCTCTGCGGCGCCATCTCCGAGATGTTGACCGATCGGCCCGAGACCGACGCCGAGGATCTCGAGGACGTGTTAATCCAAGTAATGAATGACGAGTTCGACGTGGTGGTTGACGACGAGAGTGCCGGGAATGTCGCGGACCAGATTATGGAGATGAAGGGACAGACGACGAGGGGAGAGTTCGGGGAGATTCAGGCGATGTGGGAGGCGTGGCAGAATAAGAAGGGGAAGGCGGATGCGGGTATTGCGGCGTTTAGGAGGGGAGAGGATCAGGAGGATGAGGGTGAGGATAGTAGTGATGAGGAGGATGGGGATGGGGATATGGATATGGATGATGCGCCGCCGGCGTTGGTGAGGGCGCCGAGGGAGAGGGTGGAGCCTGAGGTGGATGAGGATGGGTTTACGACGGTGGTGTCGAAGAAGAAGCGGTGATGGGTTTGTTATCGCTTTGGGTTGGTTTTGTTGTGGATGGTTTTTGGTTAGAAAAGTTGCTGGGTTGCGCATGCGCCTGGTTTGATTCCCCTTTATAGACAGACACCTTGCATGAATCGGCCGTGGTCTATGCTACATGGTTCATGTGTGAATTAATCGAGAATAGAACGCGTGAAATGACAGCAACGAGAATTTTATTGGCCAACGGAGCAAGGGAATGCAAATCTATTAAAAACATCAAAATTCATCATCATCAACCAAACAAGGCTGCTTTTGGGATATCATCGCCGAGCCTTTTCCCGCCCATGCCTCCCTGTCGACAGTTGCTTCGCTCGACAAAGGCCCCGATATCGCCATCGGCCAGTGGTAGGACTGGTTGGTATAACGCGAAGCTATTCACATTTACATGGTTCTAGTTGTCTTCAGAGAGCAGCTTGGTAATCATACCAATGGCAACGGTTTGACCCTGTTTTTTTTTTGTGCATGTTAGCATTGCTCGCGAGCATTCTAGAAATATAGAGTATAGTCTGCTTACCTGGTCACGCAGGGTGAATCTTCCCATTTGGTTGTAGTCTTCGAAACGCTCCACACAAACAGCACCGGCCGAGCTCGTCACTTCGATACGAGCAATGATGGTCTGACCCTTGCTAGCGAAAGGAGGAGGGCGCTTGCTCCGGCGTCCAGTGCCGGGCTCACACTTGTGCAGAAGTGCCGAAATAGTGACTTCCTCAACTGCAGAATGCACATGCATAACGCAGTTGTAACCAGCAGTAAGGATGCTCTTGAGATCGAGGATTCTGACCTTGGCCTCGAAAGCCTTGACACAGTTCACTGGACGCTTGGGGGAGCAAAGCACGAATCCAGGAAGAATGTCCTCTTCTTCCACACCACGGAGACGCATGCGGACCTGGTCACCGCAAGTACCAGTGGCAATTTCGTCCTCAGTTTCACCGTAGAGAGCGGCAATTTCAACCTTCGTGCGGTTGGGCATCATGATGCAGGTGCCGTTCTTCTTGATCACACCAGACTCGATGCGACCCTCGCACATGGTACCCATGTCACGGTACTTCGCACTGATGGGCATCATGAAAGGCGCGTTGATCTTACGCTCAGGCACCTTCATGTTCGAGAGGTACTCCAAGAGGGACGGGCCACCATACCAGGGGGCAACGTCAGTAGGCACACGGTCCTTGATACCGGTGGTCCTCTGGGCGGAGATGGGCATGAAGAAGAGATCGCTCTTCTTGTAGCCGAGGTTCTCCAGGAACTTGGAGACCTTGACTGTACACTCGTCGAAACGAGCCTTGCTCCACTCAACAGTAGGGTCGTCCATCTTGTTGACAGCCACGATCAGGGTCTTCACACCCGTGTTTCTGGCAAGCAGGGCGTGCTCACGAGTCTGACCGCCCTTCTCGAAACCGGTTTCGTACTCACCCTTACGCGCGGAGATGACGAGGACACCAACGTCGGCCTGGGAAGCACCACCGATCATGTGGTGAACGTAGGACTTGTGACCAGGAGCATCCAAAATGGAGAAGTGTCTAGTGATAGTGCTGCCGTCGGCTCCAGTGACGGGAAGCTGGAAATGAGCACGACCGACCTCAACAGTCTTACCCTTGGCACGTTCTTCGTTGGTGAGATCCAGGGCCCAAGAGAGGTACCAGGTCTCTCGACCGGCTTCCTTGGCATCCCTCTTGTACTTGTCCAGGGTACGCTCATCCACCATACCGGTGACGTAGAGAATAGATCCTCCCAGGGTCGACTTTCCGGCATCGACGTGACCGATGAAGACAATGTTGACGTGCTCCTTCTTTTCACCGTAGATTTCCTTCAACGTAGCCTCATCCACATCAGCTTGTTGTTCCATGGCGACAGCATCCGCATTGCGGGCGGCCTTGGCAGCTTCGCCGCGGGCAGGGCTGGATCTCCCAGGGCTGGACCGACCCGAGGGTGCAGGAGACGACTTGCCACTGGCGGCGGCCTTCTGATCCGCCTTCTTCTCAGTCTTCTCGATAGCCTTGGTGGCAGTCACCTTAGCGGCTGCCTCAACAGCCGCAGCGCCCTTGGAATCTCCAGGTGTGGCCGCACCCGAGGTCGAAGAAGGGGTGCTTGACGCAGGAGCGGGAGAGGGAGTGCCGATCGAAAGGACCTTAGTCTTGGGAGCGGCAGGGGAGTTGCTGGCGCCACCGATGGTCAGGACCTTGGCCTTAGGGGGAGCGGCGTTGGTTGCGGCGGGCTTCGGGGCGGGCTGGGCAGCAGCCTTGGGCTGCTGGGTAGCAGCCGGCGCTGCTTGGCGGGGCTGCTGGGAGAACTGCTGCTGCTGCTGGTAACCACCGTACTGCTGCTGCTGCTGGTTGAAGTTCTGGTTGTTGTAACCACCGGGTTGCTGAGCGTACGCGCCGTATTGACCGTAGGCCTGCTGTTGCTGGTCATAGGCAGGGTATCCACCGTAAGCCTGCTGGCCGTACTGGCTATACTGGGGGTAGCCACCGTAGGACTGGAAGCTCTGTCCAGGCACAAAGGCAGCAGCTCCCGGCTGGAAAGTAGCAACACCAGGGTGGAACGAAGGGGCCTGGGCCTGGGGACGGGATTGTGCGTTGGCGTTCAGGCGGACGCCCTCAGTCTGTCTGGAGAGTTCATCCTCCCAAGAATCGGGGGTCTGGTCGGCCATAGTGAGTGACGCTTATAGAACGGGAGCAAGACAAACAACCAAGCAGCGTCCCGGGAACAAAAAGCGATCTAGGGAGGAGGAGAGGGGAGAATGAGGAGGACAAGAACAAGAGGCGCCAAGTGAGGGGCGTTTTTCTCCGGAGGCTCACATCCAGTTGATTTTGCACTCGCTGACTCAGCAGCGTCTCCCCGCCCCCGCGGCTGTGGCGTCAGGCGCGTCTTGGAGCGCGATTTGCATTGTTTGTCCCCGGTGTCTCTCCGTTGAGAGCAGGACGGCGACGACAAGTACCGCTTAGGTTGCAAGAGAATCGTGGATATGAACAGAGTGGAAAGCCGGCCTTTGACCTTCTTGCTCCGGTACATGGTGGGATTGATCTCCGAGTGGCAGCCACAGTGGATGGCCCGTTATCGATAAGCTCTGCACTGCAAACCGCTTCAGGGGCGCCACCGATCACTACTAGATGCAAGCAGCAGCCATTGCTGCACATCCTGCTCGGAACATTACCAACTGTAAGGGAGGAAAGGCTGACTTTGGAACACCATGGATGCTTTTCTTACGAGGGTATGCTTCTGCGCTCATAGCCCAACTTGCAAGGTCTTGAACTGATCTTGTTTTAGCTCACGCAGCAGGCGATGAACTATGCCATTCGGTAAGGATCTGCTTCCTCTTGCTGTGTGCATTGGTAGTCATAGAACCAACTGACAGGTTCGCCAGCTCGGGAATTGCTATCACAGCCAAATATGCCATCGTTCAATCATCTCGCTTGCTCAAAGTAAGTCCATATGATACGTTTTGACTCTATCGGACTTCACCGAAGCTCATGACTGACCGTATGGCCTTCCAAATCGATAGAATGTTGACGATGGTGAAGAGAGGGAAGAGCTTCTTACGCTACAGCACCGACTTGAAAGCAAGATACAGGTCAGCTTTGCTTACATTTGCACAACCCTGGGTCATGCTTACTGAGACGCTTGATTAGGTTATTTCTCCTGCTATTGATATGATTGAGCTCATGTAAGTACTACTGGTGGTGATGAGGTGTCATGATGATACCGTTATCTAACCCTCGATAGTGCTGCAAGAGGCAATACATCGCTGGAGTCTGCCGTTTTCCTTACGAAATCGCTTCGATGGGATATCCAATCTCTTGGGCAGCGATTGGCAAAGACTGCGTCGTCCGAAGAGCTCTACTTGAAAGGGGCAAATCCCAACAGAGACCGCTCCCAGCACAAGGCAGAGATTAAGCTCATTATCAAAGATATCAAGAAGCTTCTCGTCCGCATAGAAGATGCAGTGCCGCTTATGAACTTGGCCATCACGACATCCGGTGCCAAACTATCAACGAATCTTCCATCGAGCGTGTCTCCATCTCGACTGCTCCAGGCGAGCACCTTCCTGACTGCTGGCGATACCCAGTACTCTATGTATCCATCCCAAGCCGTTCAAATTGGCCCTACGTTCACTCTATCGATGTACATGCTTTTTGCCAGTCACCTTCGCCCGCACGACGAGGAAGGTATCCGCGAAGCAACCTGGAAGGAGGTCATGCATAAGGCACGTATAAAGCTCCGGAGAGTACCTATGGATCTGGCCGCTCTTCCCCAGTCTCAGAAACAGCATTTCCAACTCACCGCCGAGGCAAGAATGGACGAGTTCGCCTATCAGGTGTTGATCATCGAAGACTTGGATGACGGGAGAGTTCATACTTTCGACGAAAGTGAGCCCCAACCTCACAGTTACGAAGGTATCGCCACCGCCGGAATACGCGAAATTCTTCCCATACACGAAATATCGAAGATATTCTACGCAGATACCGGCAAGATCTTGAACATTAACACCGAAGGAGAAACAAATAACCCGGTGCTATTGCTGAAGAGAGATATAAATGCTATTCCTCCCCGACGTATGGTCGAGCGAGACGAAGCAGAGTCTGGTCTCGCTCCCGAGGTTTCACAAGACGATGATGAAGTAGATGAAATCCAAGCTCAGCTGGATGCTCAACTCAATGAGGCGAACGCCCACCCCACGCATGCTAGCTTTCACAAAAGCTCTATACCCGAGGAGTGGCGGTTACCAAAAGATCTGGACCCTGAGTGGATTGCATTTGAAGTATACAATGAAGAAGACTCGTCGGATTCCGAATCGGAAGTAGAGGACCCTAAATCCCCGTCCGACGAAGGTTCCATCGACCCTGAATTGATGGCAAAACTTTCTCTTGACTCAAACGACAAGTCAACCACACCCACACCATCTAAACGACACCGAGGCGCCTCTCAATTTTCCTCACAACGCATATCTACAGCAACTGTTGCGAACCCCCATTTCAACAACATTCGTACCTCTCTTTCACTCCTGGAGACGCTACTCCGTCTTACCTCCTTGCAACAATTCCAGCAGCAATCGCACTTATCCATTAGCGATGAGCTCCTGAATTTCTTCCTAGAGGAATCATCAACCACCGGTGCCGGTGGCGACGAACAACACCGTCAACGACTACGCACCGACGCGAGACGCAGGGTCGGATGGGACCCCTACGACGAAAGCCCAGTCAAGCGACGAGGTGAAGACTATCAATACGCATGGGCACCAGAAGGCACTCCCCTAAGATTCTCACGCGAGACAAGCGAGTACCCGTATTCGCCCAGTGATAGGGCCCGAGGATATCAACTCCGTTCCCGAGAGAATACTCCAGAGACGACACCATTGCGTTACGGGCGCGGCACCTCCGTACAATCAGACCTGAAGCGTGGCGCTAGACGCGGACCGTCATCCCTTGCCAACGAGAGGTCAAGAGGAGAGTCGCCTCTTTCTCGAAAGTCCACTCCTGGACCCATTGACGGAGCTGGTTCTGATCCCGAAGGTTTCCCCGAAGATCATGTCGAAGCTTAGATCCCAATGTCCAACAAGCACATGACGAACGTTACGACCACGATACTGATGCGATTGAATTTGTACATGGGGAATGACACTGCACTGTGTGAATAGACTTCTCATATCAATAAATAGACCACACGTCCTGCAATCTACCCTAAAAACCTAAAAGCAGGTGTATACGACACAAACAAGAGACAAGAAAGCAACACACGCGACTGCTAATACCGGGGGACTTATCGCGAAGGGAAGCAAAAAGAGAGACGACGAAAGCAGCAGCAGTTAGTGACCTTCCTAACGCCCGAGGAGATTCGAATAGCAAAAGACACCGGAACTCCTTGCACCTCAATAACTCAGGTAATGGGGAGGTGGGGGGATATCTCTCGAACCAGCCAGTGGTCAAGGTCATGGACCCAACAGGTATGTAGAACTTCTAGCAGTGTACTGGGGGATCAGTCCAACCGGACTTGTAGACTAGTTATTCACTCCCAGTCGTCATCGCTTTCATCATCCTTGGGCTTCTCCTTGGGACTGGCAGGAGTGCGACTGGTGGCACCGCTGACAAGGTCGTAGCTGGATTCGCTGTCAGGTTGGGATTGCTGATCATTGGACCGGCGGGGTTCCGTGGGCTTCAGGGTATCCTTATCAGTGGGGGCGGCGGCGGCGGCGGCGGGAGTCTCGGTCTTGTTGGCGCTGGACTTGACTTGAGGTGTGGAGGGGGAGTCGGTGTCATCGTCGGAATCATCGTCCCATTTGACTTCTTCCTCGTCCACGTTAACATCTAGAGTTTTATGTTAGTTTCAATTACGGAGTAGAGCAAAAACTTTGGAATATCACAACAGTGCATCCCACGCAAGAGAAAAAGGAAAGAAGAAAAAAGACATACCCTTGAGAAGCTCCTTGCGCTTCTGCTCCTCAGTCTCAATTACCAAACGCAGGAAGTAGTAGCGAGACCAAAAGGTCGCATATTCAACCTGTTCAGGGACCAGCTTCTCCATAGCCGAGCGCAGCTCAGGGTACTTCTCCAGATCAGCGGCAATAGCATCAGTCTTATCATCAACATTGAAAGCCTGCTTGAAAGCCGCCCATTCATCACTAACGGGATCCTTCGAGAAGCTCTCCAGGTTGGAATGAATGACATGAAGCTGAGCCTCGAACCGTGTAGCATGAATAACCCTCTTGCCCTCCGCATCCTTACTCTCGAAAAGCAGCTTATCCGACGACTCGTTGCTGGGCGGCACAATGCTAACCGCATCACGCAGCTTCTGACCAATATTCATTCCAAACCGCAAGATCGCCTCGTCGGCCGCTTCCTCCGCCTTCTCGATCTCCTTGAGTCGTCGAGCCGCCTCGGCCTTGAACCGCGAGAGGAACCCCTCACTTGAACCGGTCGCTTCCTGATCCCCTCCCTGAGCAGCCTTCGGGGTGGATGTTTCCGCTTCTTCCTTGCTCTTGTCGGTACTTGTAGTGGTGGTGGAGGATGAGGGTCCTGCGTTGAACGCCGTGCTCAGGGAAAGACCCCGCGTGCGCCCGACGATGCTACTTCTCAGATCCGAGAACCCCTTAACGGCTTCTTCGCTGGCAGCGGCGTATTCCTGTCGGGCGCCTTCGTAGTAGCTTTCGCTTTGCTTGCGGACATTGTCCCATAGCCCGCCTATGCGGGCGCCCCAGGGGCTGGCGGAGAAGGCGCGAAAGGTTTCCTGGAGTTCGGTGTTGAGGTCGACATTGGGGCGGTCTTGGGTGGTGGGTTCGTTCTGGGCGGTTTCCTTCTTCGAGGAGTCGTTGGAGGAGAAGATCTCCTCCTGGATGTGGTCGTACGCTACATCCATGACTGGGGGGTTTGAAAATCAGCGATGTTTATCGGTCGGAGTTGGGGGGGCATGATGGATGACGGAGCGGCGGTGGTGTCAACTGGGCGGTTTCGTTCCCGGGGCTACGACGGCCCGACCGGCCCCCTCCACGTGGTGGAGGTCTACGCATTTGAACAAGATGGTCAAGAATATATATATCTAATTGGTATTATGGTGTATGTTTGGCCGTTGCTCGTTAATTTCGTGATTTATATGGCGGTGCCAGGTCGGGTTTGTCCCATACTCTTTACGAGTCTGGTAAGCTGTAGGGTTCTCCCACGCTATCTTGACTATCCATCAGGAATGCCGGGAGGGGCACGCTCTCCATCACACTCGATGTGAGGATTTGGCTGCCTGACAGTATTCCACGAGGGCCGGAACTATCCTCCTTATTCTGCTTGTGGAGTCGGTCTGCTGGCTGTGAAGACTCCACTTGTACCACGTCCCTTCGAGCAAGGGGTTCAGGGGGCATCAACCCCTTGGCTTTGGTGCTGTTTCCATGACGTGTGATGGGAGAGGACTCAGGGACGACCTCCGTCGGGGTCTTTGCAGCATTTTGTGCTTGAGTCTGGCCTATAACTGGCAGGTCAGGTTTTGGCATTGGATGGCTTTCAGTTCTGGGAGATGATGGTAGCGGTGACATGGTCTTCAAGAGTTGGTCGGACGAATCCTCAGGGAAGAGCTCGGCCAATCTCTGGGAGCTCAAAGTCGGTATTGTACCAAGGGGAAACTGGGTGGCTGGCATTCTCTGGTAATATATAGATGATTCTGAGGCTGGGTTTAGTTCCGGAAGCGGTGGCTCCGTTTCAACGTCTAGCTCTGATGGGTTCATAGGTGGAAGATCTTGGTCTTGCGAGTCTTCTTTCGAGGAGTCAAAGGCAAGGTCACCAGTCGTAGGGCCATGGCCAACTGGTTCTGGAGTTGGGGAACCCGGAGCGTCCGGTAATTCCTCTTCGAGGTCGCCATAATCTGTCTCCGCATCTGTCTCGTAGATCACTGTTCTTTGTGTATTCGCTGGACATTCTTTATCGTGTAAGGTCTCGGTGGTTTCTTCAAATAGGGTTGGCTTCTTCGGAGACTCTGATTGACCGGCTGGTGCGTTGGTGGATGCGTTACTGGCTGTGTTTCGATTGGATAGTGGCGAGTTTGGCACAACAGACTGCGTCAATGAATCGTCAGGGAATTGTAACATAGGCTCTGACTCCGGAATAGATTCTTCTTTGATGCGATTCAAGGTCGGTGATTCTTCCTTGATGCAACGGCTGGCGAGTCTCGCAGACACATGCTCCCGTGGAGAACGAGTGGCGCTATGGAACTGGGAAGACGTGATGATTGCGATGCCGGGGCTTTCGGGAGATTGAGACGAAGGTATTTCGAACTTGAGTCGTTTTTGCGGCGTGACTGGATCCCCCGATATTCGTGCTTGATCTTTTGCAGCCTCCGTTGCTATCGCTGCGCCCGGATCATTTTTCAGTTTTCGCATCTTACGCTCGCTCAAACCTTGTTGAGGGCCATTTTGCGGTATCTGGTCCCCAGTATCCTTGGAGTGCATTGTCCGATCATCGCTCTTTTTCGGATTTATGTAGGTGTACTCCAGCTTCATATCATCATCTGGTTCGATCTTCAGATACCGTCGCACATAGTCCATTTGCGTAAGGGTCTTATGACCCTTTGCCTTGTCCTTATCCTTCTTGCTGGTATTGCTGCCTTCGCCGCTCTTTCTGCGCTTCTGCTTCTTCTCGCCTCCGCCTTGAGAGCTTCTTCGCTTTTGCTTGGAGCCGGCATCCTTTGCACCTTGCTCGAACTTGACGCCACGGATACGATGCGGCTGCGGACGCGACGAAGGCTCATAATCGGCATCATGGTCGGAGTCATCATCGATCTCAATCACCTCGTGACTTTTCTGCGGGCGACTGCGGGATCGGTCCCCAATATAGTCGAGATCATCATCATTCGACTCTGGGTCCTGGGATATCGGTGTGACGAAATCAATCTGTGTGAGAGTCGTTTGATCTCGCAGGTCGGGGACAGTGCTTCTCTTCCAGGATCTCGACGTTGATGCCGAGGACGCGGGGGGGTCTGTTCTGGCCGACGCCCCTTTGGACGCGTTAGAACCTGTCGTAGGGCGGATCCTGGAAGGCTTATCTGGAGTTCGGAATTGTCCCTGACTAGTAGTATTGGCGGTTGTACCCGGGTTCTCCCCTCGTCTCATCGCAACTTGGAATCGGACGTGTCGTGCGGAAGTTCGTGGTGAGCCATAGGCGTTGCAACGGTGGTTGTCGGGTCCTGATCATGGCTGATTAGATTAACCCAAACCGAGTAAATTGATTCCTGGGTCAGCCAATTCGCGTCACGCGTTCCACTCCGTCATTCGGTCTGTGCGCCCCAGGCAGCAAGGCAGCAATCCCGCCCATACTATCCATACTACGCCCATCTTTCAATCTCTAATACATCTATATTATTTCTCGGAGATCCGAACCTTTCTCTATTGTTGTCATTTGACCAAGCCGTGAAGTTAATACATTCGTGCAAAAGCCACTACCGAGCTATAATGGCCTACCGAGCTAGTATGCAGCCCTAGGGCGTAGGTTTTTCAGCCCTGCTAGGCAGACTTTAGCTGGCAACGGACTCGCCGCTAAGCAAAGAGCCAGAGCAACAGGGGAACTTACCTGTTGAAAGGCAGAAACAACAACCTTGAAAGCAGCTTAACTCTGCGGTGCACCATGCTGAGCTGTTATTGGCAGGCCCGTCATTGGTGATTGATTGACTTACTCATGCAAGCAGTTTGAGTTCACTATTGCGTCACTACACGTTTCCGGGGAGCACCAGGATCCCATACAACAAGAGGATGGAATCTTCAATTTTCAATATCAGCGGTGACTGAAAGTCCTCGCCAAATCTTCCCTGTCATAAACGACCCATCCAATTCTACCCCAACTCGTCCGCTCAAAAGCCCATCCAAGAGCGCCCTACCCAGCACCATTGCGCTTCACGAGAACCATGCTCACACGATCCTTGAAACCCAAGGGACGTTTCCCTCTTCCATGGACACGTCCAGGCCTGCCATACCGGCGATGCATGGCCCATGTCTCCAACGTCTCGGACATCCCTTCAGTGCGTATAAGCCAATCCAATCCAGCCCAGCCAAAGAACCATTCCCACCTGTACAGAGCAGCTAACCCCCCAATCCAGGAAGATACCAAGCCCTTCAACGTGCCCATCCCCGAAGATAGTTTCGAAACATACAATCTCGACCCCCCACCTTACAGCGTGGAAACAACCAAAGGCCAACTAAAGCAACTCTACCATGACATGTCCCTGATAAGGTCCCACCCCCCTCTTCTCCATTGCCCAATTCAAAAAGTCTAGACCCCGCCATTAACTTTCCCAGACGAATGGAACTAGCGGCCGACAAGTTATACAAGGAACAAAAGGTTCGTGGCTTTTGCCACCTGTCGACAGGCCAGGAGGCCGTGGCGGTGGGGATCGAACACGGGATCAGCCGCGATGACAAGGTGATTACAGCATACCGTGCCCACGGGTTCACGTTGATGCGGGGTGGGAGTGTCAAATCCATACTGGGTGAGTTGCTTGGTCGTCGGGATGGGATCTGCCATGGTAAGGGTGGCTCTGTGCATATGTACACTAAGAACTTCTTTGGAGGGAATGGGATTGTGGGCGCCAATGTGCCGTTGGGGACGGGGATAGCGTTTGCGCAGCAGTATGATGATACCAGAAGGGTCACGGTGAATGTTTATGGGGATGGGGCTGCAAATCAGGGACAGGTTCATGAGGCTTATAATATGGCGAAGTTGTGGGAGTTGCCGGTCATTTTCGCTTGTGAGAGTGAGTTCCTCCTTCCCCCCCTCCCCTCCCCTTTCCTACCTACCTATACACCCATCCATCTTGTCCATCTACTTCCTCAAGACTATAGCACTAATCATCTAACGTTTCTCTCCATCAGACAACAAATACGGTATGGGCACCTCCGTAGAGCGCGCCTCCGCAATGACAGAGTACTACAAACGAGGCAACTACATCCCGGGACTACGCATCAACGGAATGGACGTTCTCGCCGTGATATCGGCAATCAAATACGGAAAGGAGTACGCCTTGGCTGGGAACGGACCACTATTGTACGAGTTCCAGACATATCGGTATGCGGGTCATTCGGTATCTGATCCGGGGACGTCGTACCGGACCAAGGATGAGGTGCAGGCTGAGCGGGCCCATGACCCTATCACGAACTACCGGGAGAGGTTGATCGATTGGGGCGTGCTCACCAAGGAGGAGGCGAAGGGGATGGATAAGGAGATCCGAAGCAAGGTTGATCGTGAAGCGCAGGAGGCGGAGAAGATGCCGGCGCCGCCAGTGAATCTGGATGTGTTGTTTGAGGATACCTATGTGCGAGGGAGTGAGCCCCAGCAACGGCGTGGGAGAACCGTCGATGAAACTTACTACCGGGGTTGATAAGGGAAAGCCACCGAAACTCTAATCTAGGTGGTGCTACTTTTTCATAGTGAGCTCATAGCATGTGCCTCAGTCTAGATAGGTGGTTATGTTTTAATGTAAATGGACGTCATCATGATTGGCAACATTGAGATGGTAAATAAAGGGCGTGCATATCCTAAGACTCTCATCAATATAGTTAACTCAAAAAGCATCTGATCCGTTGTAGATAGGTCGCAGAACATCGTCGATCGTCGAAATGGCTTCCACTAACCTGCCCTTGAGTACCCCCGAGAACTGCACTGCAGATTTCTCTCTCATCCCAGTATGTTACCTTCTCTCTACTCATGCTCTATGGACGTCTAATTCTAACAATCGAAACCCAGATCGGCTCTCAAAATGCATCCTTCTCAAAGCAGGTTGCGGATATCCAGCGTCTGATGCAGAAATCAGGCCTCAAGTATCAGATGCATGCCACTGGAACCATTGTTGGTATGTATTCTGCCGCATGCGGGTGTTCTCGATGCTTGAACGGACTCCCTCGTCGTGATGGTTGATGCAGGGTTCACGACTTTGATAGGGATTCGTTAGGCTATACCACCTAACTATCAGCCTTGTTCCCGAGCGCTAATGACTATTATTGAAGAGGGATCGTGGGACCAGGTATCCCAGATCATTGGATATGCCCATGCTTTGATCCATCAAGAAGGTATAACCAGGATTCAAACGGACATTCGCATCACAACTAGGTGAGTGTATTTAGGGTCCTCCCAGCTTCCATATGATTATCTCACACTGTGTAGGACGGATAAGGTGCAGCCGATGGAGGCTAATGTAGCCTCGGTGCAAAGGGCTCTCGCGATTTGATACGGCCATGGACAAGCCGCTTGGGCGCTCGTGGGATAATTTGCGTCTTGTGTACACAGAAAGTCTAGGTATTGGTAAAAGTCAGTATTTAGGATGTCAAGTGAATGATGAATGCCATCAAGAAGGCTCATATCCTCACTGTATCGGCAGCGTCCTAATTGCCAAAGCATAGTCTGCATCAATTCTCCTGCTAGAGGACGCAGGGGGTATGTGAAGATTCTGATAGGTTGGACAACTGGGCACTGTGTACCTTGTATGTTAGGCGCTCTGCTATGGAACAAGAACTCGCCCGACCATGGGTCAGCAAGCCTTCAGTACAATTGGCCGAAGAGGAAAGCGAAAAAGAGACGATGCTAATCGATCCGTAACAGTGCATCATGGGGTGCCCAGTATCGTCTAGCCCACTTTCGCTACGGCAGGTTGATTTGAAAGGTGCGTTTCACGGTTGCGTCCCGGTTAAAGCGATCGAGTTCGGGCATAGGTATCTATGCAGAACACGTATTAGCCGAGTCACTAAGGCTATTTTAGGACCTACCGTCGAGAGATAGATGTCCTATCATCGTGATGATTGCGGGGTACGTTGAGTCTGGATCCCTTCACTTGGGGATAGTGAGTCTTGATCGCGTTAGCATTACCGGGTCCGAGGTTCTCCGAACCTGACGAGGAGATTATGATGATAATTGGCAAAAGGGCAAATGCAACTAGCTGGAACCTCCTGCACTTCGGTGGATACGGGGCAGACTGGGTTTCTGGTGAAGTGGGAAGCATGTGGAAGTCATCGTTCGTGTGTCCTGGTCGGCCAAATCCAGTGGGTGCTGGATGGAAAGGCAGACACACCGGCCACTTTTGACTAACAAGAAGCTTGATTGCAGTCTCCAGGCCATGGCATCATACGGCCGGGGATAAGGCACATCATTGGACTAGCCTTGGCCTGGAGACTGCATCGACACACGGACGACCTTTGGGGGTGGGGAAGATCCTAGGTACTACTAGGCTCTGATCCTTCTATGCCTGGGAACTGGGAAGGCTCGCTGTCAGTTGTCCTCCCTCTTGCCCGTTCGGGAGTCTCTCCTCGTCTTAGTGCGGCCACTTCTCCCACAAATCCACCCACAACGGAGGCATTGTATGAAGCTAGGAAGACATGGATGTCGGACAAGAAAGGGTGGGTGGGGGTGGCGAGTTCAAGGGGACCCCCCCCCCCCCCCCCCCCAAAAAAAAAGCAAGGTGAGGTTGAAGCTGGTCTGGCCATTGATCACGGGGGCAAAAGTACGAGGCAGGAAGAATAAACGATACGATATGACAGGAAAGCCAGTGAAGAGAGACGGTTTCTACCATCGAGACTCTGATTCTGCCTTCATATGCCCTACCCAGAAAAGATCGGCAGCGTGGGTGTTCCTTATTCTATATGTCCCGACATTAATGGCTGGGATGAACATCCCGGACGCCCGACAACCCCCCGGGTTCAATCTGAACCCACAAGCCCACATCTGGCTTCCGCAACAACGACACGACCACTGTCCCGGGACCCTCCAGGCTGTCATGCAAGAGACAACCATCTACTGCATCGGAGCATGCCCAAAGCAAGCGATCTCAGATTCTAGGCGTAGGGAACCAAGGGTTTATCTTGGGTATATATGTCCGATAGTACCTAGCATGGCGGAAGCTGAGCTGGCTAGTCCAGACAGGCCTTGATACTTGGACCAAGAGATCCCGCCAGAATGGCTCTAACATCCCGGCCTCGAGATACCGGGCAGGATTAGCCTTGCAAGCTATCTGCAATGTAACATCTTTGCTTTTTATTTTAGGCATAGGCACATGCAGCCAACTGAAACCATTTGCCCCACAGTAGTGGGTGAGCTTTTGGTGGAAAATGTGCTCCGTACCTACTTCAGAATCCCATCCGATGCGCCAGTGATACGGAGTATAGGGGACTGCAACCCACAGTGATGATGATCTGCCTATGCGCGCAGGGTACGCGATCTAGTGACGGCAGGGAGTCGATAACGCCGTCGTGATAGGTGTGTTCAACATAACTCTGTTAGTAGGTTATGCGGAATCAATGGCAGGGAATATCTGCGGTGCACATCGGTATAGAATAGGAATCCTCGCCCTAGGTGGACAGGGTGCCAGGTAATAAAACCTGGTCTAGTTTTGGGACCACGAGCCAGAAGCAGAAGTCAATGCTTTTTTGTCTGCGTGGCCGCCCCGGGTGTCCCAGATCCATTACCTTGGGAGCGTCGTGGCATGCTCACACCCACCCATCGTCAGGCATGCAAGTAATTCTGATCCTAGCGCGCCAACGTCAATTCCTCAAAGATATGGTTCAGAACTGACCAAATGGCTCTGCTGTTAAGTCAAGGCGAACATTATGCTTGGCCACGATACAGGCGGGTATTATTTACTGCCCGCTGGAGTGGAACTGAGAAAAAAATGAGAATTCGGTATACAGGAAGGAAAAGAAGCCACATGCGGAAGTCCGCCCTGGGCAAGCCCCCGTCGCGGGAGGTCTCGACTGCATCATGACGATGAAGATCTGGGCAGCTCGTAGGTCTTGGCATGTCGTTCTCTTCCTCGTTCTTCCCTGGCGCAGGAGCGTCTGCCCCTATCAGGGCCAAGAATGCGTTGACCATGCCCACCCGAGTTACGGGGCATGCGCGCCGTCGACCCGTTTTGAGTCCTCTTGTCTCGCATTACTTTCGAGCTCATCGCGAAGCTCACCGCGATATTAGCTGCTGCTGCTGCTAGGCTTGGTTCCGGGTTAACGCCCACAAGAGCAGCCCGGGGTATAATGTAATGACGCTTTAGAAAATTTCTGAAGTACGATGACCACCTTTTTTTTTGGGTGTCTCCACCTCCGCCCATACACCGCTACTACGAGAGCAGCAATGTACCATGTAGGATCTGATACGTGACAGCTTGCATCATGCGTGTAATGAGGCCATCAAGGTCATGTTGTGAGGCCCGCTGTGACGGCGGTATTTCCACGGTCTGGAAGTCGGGGTGCGTCGGAGTTTTCTGGGTAAAAGTTGGAGCGCTACCGGCCTTGCAAACTGGGAAGATGGCGAGTGAGATTATTGCAGGTGAGCCGAGCACTCAGCACTAAGCACGGAAGAATGGGGGAACTGGGAAGATCACCCAACTTCCTTCCTGAAATTTGTCTTTGGCACCGGCTCGGTCGTCAAAGGTCGTTGGGTCGGCTGCAAGGGTCAAGTCAGGATCACGACAACGACGAGAGAGATCCCAAAGGGCCCGGACAACCTCGGGGCTGGGTCAAGGCCTCAAGCACTTGATGGACTAGATAGATCCAGAGAACTTGGTTCGAGTGGAGGATCGAAAAGCCGTTGGAGGGATCGGTCTGATGGGCTTTCCAGGTGATTGACGGATATTCTCAACATGCAGTAGCCCGGCCGTAACTATGCTCTTCTGAGAGCTAGCGAGTGCAGTAGTACTGTGGTAGGCTCTTTAGCCCCGAGTGAATTGGGCGAGACGGCCTGCTTCCGGCTGGCTTGGGAGGGTTCAAAGCCCGAGCATTCGCCAGTCCTGGTGCAAGTCTCCCTTAGCCCCCCTCTTTTCCCACCTACCTACTAGTAGTAGTAGATAGGTACTACAAAGTAGCCTCGCTTTCCGGCCTCCCATCGGCCTTTCCGATAATCCTCCGCTTCGCCCGGATAGATCCTCCATTCCAATGGAACCCCTGCGATGGCTTGACAAGCGTCTTTACACCCTTGAATAGTGTCATTCCGAAAATCTGGATCAAGGCAATGATCCCTGCTGGTCGATAATTCTCGGCCGGTGGGGATGCCAGCTGTGCTAAGGATTAATGACTGGACAACTTTTCCCTGCTGCTCTTGCCAATCGGAAACTGATGCATGCCGCCCCGGGAACCCAGGAGCACTTACTACTACTGTCAAACTGAGCATGAGTGGGTTGAAGAATAGAACTACTACACTACTGCTGGAAAATGAAACCACCATTCTCGCACCATCCCAGCATGGCACATCCCTTATCTGAAGAAAGACGGGCCATTGGGGCTACGGCAGACCGGGTGGGCGTGCTACCAATTGTGAAGATCCAGATCAACCATAAGCTACCAGGATGTTCCCTGCAGTCCGGCCTCTATCCAAGGTGTATACGTGAGTATGATACTTCCGATATCGACAGTCGATGTCAGTACGCTGGACTTGCTAATTTGAAGATTTTACGCAATCTGGGCGAGGGGGATAGTAATACCCTGACCACTGCGGTATTGTAAGAACAGCCTGAATACTTTCCTAGACAGATGGGCGAAAAGCCCCAGGTAGCTGGCACATGGTCTACCGAGTGAACACGCGCGACTGCTTTACCTATAACATTAAACGGAATTGGTCGATCGATTGCTGGGCAGACACATCGATCATCACCTGTCCTCTGCTTTCGATGAGTGCTACTTCGGTACGGTATTTGTACGAGCTACCTACGACCTAGCCAAGCTACTTAGGTAGGTAAGTATCTAGCTCTACAAGTCCCGAGTAGTGAGGAGACTAAGTGGGAGCTAAATGGAGGGTTCAAGAATCCAAAGTCAGAAGCAAAAACGGATCTCGCTTGCTCCAGCACCAACCCGGTGTCAGTCTTGGAGATGGGGACACCTACGAATATCAGATGCCACAATTAGTACACACAGTGAGCACCTATCTCGTCCTAAAAACGGAGTAGATGCGAGAGGGATGCCAAATATGCCAACAACAGTCAAGACGTTCATATACACCTAGCGATATGATCTACCACAGGTACAACAGCATGCAGGTCATTTGGATTTACGACTTGATGATGGCGAAAATCTTTCCTGCATGGTAGTGGCTCGGAACAGTCAATTTCCAGATATCCTTCCCAAGAGCTTAGTTCGTATTTTTCTATTTATTTCGGTTCTCGTTCCCAGCGAAGTGTCTGCGGGGCGGTGATCCAGCACTGAGGCAACCGAGAAATTTCAAATAATGAGACATCTGCGACTGTCGTACGATGCTGGGGGCTCTCTCCCTCCTTTGGGCATGAAAGCCGTGACGAGATGGTATTATCAAGTATAGTGGTGACCGCAGATCTAGTTCACCTGGTTTCTCTGCCGCCAACGGTCCAGCACCTTGTCGGGTGAGTTGATAGGACTAGTTCTGATCTATATCCTTCCGGCGATGCCCGAGTTTTGCAGGCAGTATCTGCACTAGACGCTCGTGTCAACCATTCGAAGAAGATTAGTGATTCATTCAACAACAAACTTCCACCTTGAGAGACGGGAGCTTCCCGGCATCACCGAAGGTGGAGAGTGGACAGTGGACCTATGAATTTGAAATAAAATCAGGGGGGGCCAGACGCTGTCGAGGTCAAGTGGGACGAAGTGGAATTCCGCCGACGAGTGGGTGGGGCAAGGATCCCGACAGATTGGATACTGCGGTAACTCCGTCCATCATTGTTTTTCTTTTTTGATTTTGTTAGCCCTTTCGCCCCGTGGATCTCCATATCGAGAGATGGAAGGATTAATGCCGTTTATTATCATGCTACCTACTCCCGTACCTTATAACCCCCCTTCAAAGGAGTTGCTGCGATGGGCACAAAGGCACAGGGAAAAGAAAAACCCCCTCACCTTCCCTGAAGATGTGCAGCCTCTCAGTTGGCTGTCACTTAATCTATTTAACTTTCCTCGAGTCAAAGATAAATTACGCAGGCTTATCTTACTAGGATCATGCAAATGCATGCGCCGCGACACCGTCTGAATTCAGCCCAGTCGGATAATGGGGGGCAGCGATCCGTGGATGGAACTTTCCAGCGGTGCGGCACCAACAACCATTGGGTCTCGGGTTCTGTTGAAGATCATCATCCATTCCCCTCCCCTCCGGTTGGATTGTACCATTACTAGATATGGAGGTACCGTGTACTTGTCGCTCAGAGAGATCAGACATGGTGGATTTCCCATATTGCCTTCCTACGAGCAATTGACCCTTGGACAAATGTTACACACCTTTTCCAGCTGCCCTGGTTTTCTAAAGGCTTTCGCAACGAACGAGTGTTCGGACCACTGGGCCCGCCACACTGGGGATGCTGAAGGACATTAAGTTATTAACCGACCTGACCGGCGTGGATTCATCATTTTGACCGTCTCGGCCCCCTGATTAGCGAGCGCATCTAGTCCAAATTCAATATGCACGGAACTATCAATTTAGTAATAGTGTTTCACACCCCGTTGTTGGATGCTCCCGGCAACTTGGGACGCCCGTGCTTTTTTTTTTCTTCTTGATTTTTTTTTTCTTTTTTTAATTTAGCACGGCGTCGGGGGTGTTTACTTAGTACTACCTAGTACCTACCCAATTACCTGGCGCCGGTGCCCGCAGGAAAAGAAAAGAAGAGCAGCCGGAGGAAAAAGGCAGATCCTAATGACCTACTGATGTATGCGTTGTCAATCTCTCTATTCTGGCCGCAATAATTGATGCTAGTGTGTCCCCTCTTCCACCGAAACTGCTACTTTAGAACCACGGTCAGCCCCGAGCCGAAGGAAGGCAGAAGATGCCTTCCAGGTGATCATGGAACCCTTGCGGTGAATCCAAAGGATCGTAAGTTGATTGCCTACGGTAGTACCCGTACTTTCCGAACGGAAACTGCAGAAAAGAGAAAACTTTCCGAAGGGGCATGATTTTAGCTTTGGAGACAGACTTCCAGAAGGCTAAGTGAAGTTAGTTGGGGTTGGTTTTGCTCGGCAGAAAGCAAGAATGACACACTACTACTAAACACTTACGTCTTTCTCGGTCTCCGTACTTCGCCCCGGAAGGCAACAATAAAGCGTCAAACGGGAAATTAAGCACCTAGTACATACATGCAGCGTGCGGGAGCTCAGGTATGTGGATCACTGGACACAGGACAGACAGGCCAAGTCAGTAGATTGAGATCAGACATTGGATGGGCTGCTTTTCCCGCCACTCGAACTGAACCGCCCACTTGGTTCACGGTTGGGTGCAGTTGGAGTATTACTCACACCCGTGGGTACCACCCGGCTCCTAGTACGAAGTACCCTGTACCTACCCTGTAGCCTGTAGGAAGTACCTCGGGGCATAGGTACTAAGTACAAGGTACTACCTACTGGGACAAGTTACTAGTACTTATTACTTATAGCCTGAGATGCTGTCAACACGACGTACGACGTACCTTTCCTGTCCAATGGTGCAGTGCTGCCAATGCCCCTTAATTATGTGATGGTGCTTGTCTAGTCCAGTCACGGCCAAGATTCCTGGTATCTTTCTAATTTTTCTTACTTCTTTTCAGCTTTTAGTAGGATTAAGTATTTCTCCATCCTGCTAAAGTCAAACTTAATCCAACCTGTCGGGTTCAGGGAAGAAATTGGGAAAAGACAGCCGACGGTGCTCCTCTTCACCCACCTCTGATGCTACTTACCCACAATAATGTCACCCCCCTGTCCAGCTACAATTATAGACTCTGTAGTGCTGGTGACAGCGGGCACTTTAAAATCCATGGTCATCTCCAATTTCGGGTAACGTCTTAGATTTTTTTTCAAATCTACCATGCCTCCACCACTTGTACAGTAACGGAAGACTGGCAAGCCCTTCTTCACTACTTCCACTACGCGCCTTTCCCCTCCCTCCCTAGTAAACTCAAGACCCTTATATTTATTTATATTAGGTCGCCGGGCCCGGGCCGTGATTGACTTCCCTAGATCTCTTTCTATGAGACATTGTTTCTCCTTCTTCGAGCACCCACTGACTAATTCGCCTTACCGAGCCCTGGGTTTGGATACTACCTACGTACTACTACCCCCCCACTCCAACGCTGGCTCTCTAAGCCCCAGTTTCCAAGTCCACCAGTACCCATTATGCCTGCTGGCAGGCCTGCTGTAAGCCTTTCCCCCTTTGGACTTCTGATTTGTGCAATACCTCTGGGGGTGATCATCTTGACACTCTTGTTTTTATACTCTTGGCCAACATTTACATCTCTCTTTCGATCGGCAACCCTCTAGAATTTACTAACACATCATGTCACAGGGATCTAGTCGTGAAGAGTAAGTACTGTCCATCCTCATACTTCCAAAAAAGAGGCAGAGGCGCAAGAATAGTTTACATACACAATTTTGCTCCCGTTGATACGCCGAGGCTAAATGTTCACAACAGCGACACACAGTCATTGACTGCCAGTGTTATGGACTACCCCATGGAACATGGAAGGCGATACCACAGATATCATGAGGGGGGTATGTCTAGGCAATTTCGACTCTCTCGGAGCCAGCTAGTCTGACTGAAACACTTCCCCAGCATACTTGTACCCGAACGACGAGCAAGAACTAGACCGTATGGACATGCAACATCATATGCTCAAGCTTGTCAACAACGGGCGGATGCTATTTGCTCCAGCCCAACGTCCAAAGAGGATCCTAGATATCGGCACTGGCTCTGGTATATGGCCCATAGAATTGGGTAAGAAACACCGACCCCTTCCTGGCTCACCCTCTTAGGCAGTTTCTCACCATATCTTTGCATAGCGTCCGAATTTCCAACAGCCGAGATCATTGGAACCGACCTGTCGCCTGTCCAACCGAACGAAGTCCCCGAGAATGTCCATTTCCTTGTCGATGATGCCACAGAAGACGACTGGCTATGGGGCCCCAACCACTTCGATGTCATCCATGCCGGACACCTTTCGGGGTCCCTGCCGTCGTATAAAGACCTATTGCGAAAAGCCTTCAAGCACCTCAAGCCGGGTGGTTACGTCCAGTGTGATGAGTTCGACCCGAAGCCAAAATGTGATGACGAAACGATGCCTCCAGAAGATCCCGATAAGTTCAGCGAATATGCCCTTCAAGATCTGATGGACTTGCACGTCCGTTCAGGCCAGATTTCAGACCCGCCACGGCAGTTTCGAGTAGCTCACCGCTTTGTACGCTGGATGCGAGAAGTTGGCTTTGAGGACGTTCAGGAACGTATCTCTAAAGTCCCTGTCAACCCGTGGTCTACTGATTCGCATCTAAGAACTATCGGTTCGTGGCACGAGGCAAACCTACTGGAAGCCATAGCTGGATGGTCTTACAAGCCACTCACGATCCTAGGCTGGTCAAAGCCTGAAATTGAAGTTTTCCTTGTCGATGTACGGAAAGCTATCCAGAACCGAGATGTGCACGCCTACATGAATTACTACGTGGTAACCGGAAGAAAGCCACACAATGCGCAATGAGGCCTTTGAGGGGTGCTTTATTGATCACGGCCTCAAAACAATTTTGAATTTGTTTCTTAGCGTCTATACCTGCCTTTTGGCCCATCATATCTTTTCATCACCACATGTTGTCCTCCTTCCATTCTTACCCCATTGCTTGTGTTGGCTAGCATTAGCATGAGATACCACCGACCACAGAGACGTATGTGCATAGAAGGCGTGCGGGGGTTTCTTTTCCTCCTTCTCCTTTTCCGACTGTTTCTCTTTTCCTAACTTTCCTTTCGTTTTCTTTCTCTCTTTCTCTCCTTTTCTTTTTGAAAATACATGCTTCCCTTCATGACTCTTTTGGAGAGAAGAGGGCTTTCTTGGTACACGACCATGTCATATTTTGGATACACAAGATAACCAGCAATATGAACATGTAGCCCCGCAATTATAGAAAAGTATAAACCAGTATACCGTACAGGCCAATAAGACAGAAAAGAGAAAAGAAGCTAAACATGGTCCAAGTAAAGACGCGGAATTCCATTTGGGGCCGGCTGATTACTCATCCCGGCGGCTTTGCGCTCTCCAATCTTTCGAGCTCCGCGCCTTGCTAATCGACCACACCTGACAGGCTGGAATCCTCGATTCCCTCGCATGTGCCTGCCACCTCATGTCTTTCGGCAGACATGCCTATAGGCATGCTATTCAGCCCTCCTCGTCTGGTCTGATAGACCATGTCTGGATCAGCGAGGACTTTCTAGCCTCTGCGTTCCGGCGATTCGCAAACGGCCAACGACGTTACGAGAGCCGAGTCCCGGGACCATTGGAGGCCAGGCGACGACTCGCGAAGCGGAGGAATACTGCATTGGCTGGAATAGCTGGCACGGGGCCGCTGGACGATATCGCCTGCTTGTTTGGGCGGAATGGACGGGAGCATCTGAAATGGACTGACGGCCGGAAGACACCACGGGAAACGAAGGGTACGAGGTCGACTCGAGGTGCAATTGGTGTAGGAGGGCAGCTAAAATGTTACAGGCTCGAACTTTTATCAATTGAGCACTCCGCCCCCGCCCCCGCCGGCTTACAACGAGATTATCGACTCGGACGAGTTCAGCAAGCCGTCTGGTTGGCCGGAGGCTCCGGACGGGGCTGACGATGTATCGCGCGATCAATACTTGAAGACGCGTCTGAGGGAGTGCCACACGGTTTCGTCTGTTAAGAGGGTGGTTCGACAGTTGGATATAGATCTCTTACGAGAGCCGGGTTACAGTCGCCTTATATTCGATCATTTATTGTCGTGTTCAGTGCGGGGGGAATCAGGTGTTCAAGAGCTTATATCGTTTCTAGATGACCCACACTTGAATATCCGAGGAGCAAGAAATTATCTTACGGTGGTCGAGCATGTCGTTTCCCGTGGAACAAGCCATGCAAAATGGCACTCACTCTTCGACAACGTCATTCAAGCTCTAGAGCTTGGGTTGATTCCTCCCGAGGAGTTATGCGCCATTATAGAGACAATTCCAAAATTAGCAGCGACAAAAAGTGGAAAGCGAAGACAGTCACCATACAGTGTGACAGCAATGTACCAAGCTATGTGGGATGCGATCGGACGGTGTGATATCTATGGGCACAATGACCTGGATGAGGGGTTAGTTGACGTGTGGCTCGGAGCTATATGGGAACGAAATGTATGCGAGGACTTGCCTTTGGCGAAAACCATACTTCTAGCCGCTCAGAGCCTGGAGTCGGCTTGCTGCTCGTGGGCCACCCTATTCATCACGCGTTGGCTGGAATTTCCCAAGAGACTGGAATACAAAACGGATGAAGTATGTGCCAGCGAGATATTAAGCAGCCTGAAGCCGAATATTGCAGCGGCTTCTATAATATCGACCACGGAATTCTTAATGTCTTCCAACAAGACAAATCTGCTTGGGCGGTGGCACATCTGCTTGTCTCAGGTCCAAGAGATCCGACGCCTCGTTTCGTCAATGGCATGGATTGATATCCAGTCGCAGCGTGATACCCCTGACTCGACCTTCTCGCCGGAACACCAAATAATCCTACGTTTATGGGCATTACGAACTCTCAGCAGAAGCCTTCTTGATGGTCCTCTGTGGAGGAAGGATGTGAGAGCCACTGATAGACCTATAGCACGCCTCTTCAGCCTCTATGAATTACTCAGGCAGGATGTGGCTGAGCATGACATGCTGAGCAGCCTGATGAAGGGAATTCATGACCTGAACATGCCTGCCAATGGTTTACTTATGCTAGCTGTTGATATGAAGGCCAGGAACTCAGTCACCAGATCGGCCCGTCAGACTTTGACGAAGCTAGAGTCATCAAATATTTCGTTCGCAGATGTATTTGCAGATCTTGATGCCTACAACGCAGCGTCGCCTCACTTCTTCTCCAAGTTTGAGAAAATGGTTCGGAAAATCGACATAACATCCCCGGAGTTCGTCGAGCATGGTCTCGACCTCGCTAGAACCGGAGACTCACGAAGCGTCTGGACCCTGATCCGTCTGCTTCGCTCTCATACTCCTCTCAAAATCGCCCTGTCGAAGTCATGGGTACCCATTCCCAACGCCTCGGAAAAGGCGCTGGTGCGCTACTACCCCGAGCCTCGAACCAGCGACTGTCCAGACCCGCATGCAGCTCTAGAGATGATCCACCTCCTCGCTGTGTCTCTTGCATGCTCGAAGCGCCTGACCCCGCGCCGTTCGTATAGCCTCGTTCATTGGCTCTACGTCTTCCTTGTGAAACATAATGCGCCTGTGAAACCTGCTCTAGCACGCGCGATGTACCACGCTGGTGTTGAACGCTTCCGACGACAGGGACTCCGCGTCGCTATTACGCAGTATGCGTACGTCTATGATGTAGTGGAGGAGGTTGAGGGGGCTGATGTTGCTGCAGATCTCATGGATCCGCCGCGAATGGAGCACAGGTTTTCCAGGCCTGACGAGTGAGGGGCATTCGTTCCCCCAATCGAGCGCGTTCGCCCTATGTGAGAATTTCCTAAAATCTACATTGAACTTGTTCAAGACATTATTACTCGGGCTTTTTTCTTGGCCCAGAGCTGTATATAGAATAAGCAAATAGCTTTGTAGAATCGTATGCATCTGGCGTGCTTACAAAGCTTCGTCTCCTGCATGAGACCCACAAATTACAGTGTCCGTATCAGACTTTCCCAAGGTATTATCATTCTAAAATCTCCTACATTCATGATGTGTTTATTCATGCGTGGCTCGGATGTAAAGTAGAAGACACGATTCAGCCAGAACAAAATAACCAGCGCGTTACTCCTCAATCGTAACAATCACATTCTACATGTCCACCTCCATCAAGTTCGGATCACCCGACGCCTCCTCGACCGAAACGTACTTGCGCATGTCCTCCTTGCTGATGATCTTCTGGTTGAGATAGGCAGTCGTTCCCTTGGGGAAGCGGTAATTGCGCTCCTTCTCACCACGCTCATTGGGCTTAATGTAGTTGCGCAGCAACTGCGTGGGCTGATCCTTCTGGATAACGCACACGTCCACGTTACTACCGGATCCCAGATCGTTGAAGATACCGGCCTTAATAGCCTCCGCGCACAGCGCAACCGCGCCATCGCGGTCCAAATTCGGCTTCCACATCGATTCGAACACAGACATCGCGGCCAATGAACCCGATCCCATGGTCACGTAGGGCAGCTTGTCGGTCGATCCGTGCGCGTGCACAGTGAAAAGGCCAATACCGGTCGGGTCGACACCCGCAACCACCAGATACGCTCCGATGTGGCCTTGGTATCGGAAGAGGTGCTGCTTCAGCATCGTCATGCAGGTGATTACTCGTGGGGGCCGGCCTGTCGAAAGTGCGTGCAGTTCGATGTTCGAGCTGATCAGTGCCGTCGTAAACTCGGTGTCGGCGGCCGTACCGGCTCCTGCACACCAGATCTTGGGCGCGATGTAGTGGAGTTTCTCGCAGTTCTAGGCGTGGCACGTGGTTAGTGAGGGAGTTGTAAGTTGATTGAGTGAAGGAGGGAGGGGGGAGGGGGAGAGTAAGTGGGTTTGGAGCTTACCTTGTCTGCTACTATCGGACCGCTGGTAGCTCTGGTATCTGCTGCAATCTGTAGTTATGTCAGATGGGTGAGTTGTTGATCGTCATGTATCATGAAGGGACTCGTCGGGGCCCGGAGGTGCCTACCACAACGCCATTGTCATATATACAACCAACAATCGTGGTACCGGTGCTGGTGGCTTTGGGGAGAGGAACTCCCTTCGCGTGGAGAGCCGCGTTACGGTTGTAGTTGGAGAAATCGAAGCCTGTCATGGTGACGGCGTGGAGGGATGGTAGCTGTGAGGAAGGGCGGAGGCCGTGAGAGGTGAAGGGTTCAAAACTTCGCGGGATGAAGACAAACCGAGTTTGACGAGGGACGATAAGGGAGAAGAAATGGACGACGGAGGGAGGACACAGGAGCTATAGCTGGACGGAGGGAGATGGCGGAGAACGGCGAGGTCGAGCTGGAGTGACGAAGCTCCGGGCGCCTGATGGCGGCGGCCTCAGGCAGGGAAGATTAGCTAATGGGCGAGCAATTCCGCTGTTTTTGTCCGCTGGGCTGGGAGATTGCCGTCGTTGGAATTGCTGGCGCTCAACACCTCCTCCGTGCTGCTGCTTCTCGCTCGCCAGTCATTGGCCGTGCTCTGGTTTCTCTTCTTTCCAGGGCTCTGAACCCCTTTCTTATCCACTTCACTTCCTTCCCTTGAGGGGAGGTGGTCAAGATTTTTGCGCGCACCTGGAAGCTCTTCAACCGGAGTCCTCAAGCACTCCAGCGTCGCTCCTTTTCATCATCGCCGCAAAGTCCACCTTCTCCCCATGCTCCTAAGACCAGGCTATCCCTAGGCGACCGTCCTCGTTCAATCTCAGCCGATTTCGACAGACTCAGAATGGCTTTTAACTTTGGAGCATCCAACCCCGCTGGGGGTAGCGCTGAACTGGGACCCGAGCTCCCCGACGTCTATGCAGAGGTATGTCGCAATGGAGTCGTCTGTGAGGGTGTCATTTCGAGACTGACTGAGAGGTAAAACAAATTAGGAAGTCGGGTTCAAAGGCGTGTCAGGCGATAGCAATGTCCGATTACTCAACACTCCCTGGCCCGAAGATGCTCTTCCTAACCCGACAAGCTCCCTCCTCGCTGTCGCACCAACGAAAGGCGTCGTTGTCGGCGCTGGCCCAGACGCCCTCTACGTCGCTTCCTCCTCCGCTATCAGGACAGCCATATCTGCACCCACTGGAGAGGATAAGGTCAAAACCAAGCCATTCCAGGTGCAAGCGACAGTTCCTATTCCTACGAGACCAACACATATCACGTTTGCCTCCGGTGATAGCGCCCTCGTGCTGGCCACAGAGAATGGAACCCAGCTTTCGGTTTTCGAGACTGCCAGTCTTTTGCAAGGAAATGCGCAACCGGCGTTATCGATTCCGACGAACGGCACCACTTTCCGCTTCCTTGCCCCCAATCCTGCGCAACCCGAAGAGTCCCACTCATCCCTTTTGGCGCTTGTGACGACGGGAGGCGACCTTCTCATAGCCGATCTCAAGGCCGGAAATCTACTTTCGGGCCCGAATGGCCAGGTGCTGAAGTCTGGGGTTAGCACGGTTTGCTGGAGTAACAAAGGCAAGCAGCTCGTAGCGGGACTCGCAGATGGCACTGGGTACCAGATGACCCCAGAGGGAGCCCAGAAAGATATCATTCCGCGTCCGTCAGATCTGGAGGATAACCATCATGGTACGTCCCGCGCTTCAAATACTCATTCGCTGTGAGATGTCTAATTAGTACAGTGTCCTCTATTGCTTGGCTTGAAAACGACGTCTTTTTAATGGTCTATACATCGAACGCCGCCGAGGACGATATGGGTCAGACGCCATCTTCGCCTTACTACGTCATAACCAGAAGAAAGCAGGCGCCTTTCCTGATCCAGAAGTTGCCCGAGTTATGTATGCCCTTTGGTGTCAAGCGCGCCCCTGCCTACCAGTTCATCGCACGTCTCCGAGACTACAAACCGCATTTGAAGGATGTCCTTATCGTGTCTTCAACTGCCTCCACCGATGTAGGTCTGATCACCAGGGCGGATCAGCCGTTGGCTAGCGATGATGCTGCCAAGGCCACCACCGGGCTCTTTGTTACGACGGAAGTGAACGATGACACAAAGAGAGCGTCGCTTCCGCTCAAGGAATCTACCGAGGAGACCTCTGTGATCGGGCTGGGTGTTGACCTATCGAGCACGGAAAATGTTGTAGCCCCGATCGCTGGTGAAGATATTGCTGAGAGTTCTACTCCGCTGCCAAACCTGCTGCTCCTCAATCACGAAGGTATCCTTTCTTCCTGGTGGTTCGTATATGCAGATTCGATTCGCCAGAAAATCCCTTACCACGGCATGGCGTCTGAGGGTCAACAGCAGCAGCCGGTGCAGCCGGTGCAGGCAGCGCAGCCAGTGCAGCCAACGCAGCAAGCACAGATTCAACCCCCCAAGCAGCCGGCGTTCGGGCAGTCGTCTTTCGGCAGTCCGTCTCTAGGAGCATCCCCATTTGGTAAACCATCCGCTGCACCGGCCTTTGGCAGTCCCTCCACGTTGGGCGCTCGCCAGCAACCGTCCTTCGGAACACCATCATTTGGAGCTCCCTCCTTCGGCACTCCATCACAGCCGGGGGCTTCCTTCAGCACTGCTTCGCCTCAGTTTGGCAGATCTGGCTTTGGAGCTGTGGGCGCCGCGTCCACCTTTGGCCAGCCATCCACACCAGGCAAGAGTCTCGGATTTGCAGCGTCAAGCACTGGTGCAGGAGGTGGTTTTGGCTCTTTCGCAAATTCCGGGGGATTCGGTGGGCTTGCGACGTCAAAGCCCGCCGGAGAGTCACCCTTTGCGGCAGTGTCAGGTGCAAGCCCTTTCGCAAAATCATCTGTGCCATCGCCGTTCGGTAACAAAACTGATACTGACACGGCATTCCCTCCCCCCAAGTCGGACGAGCCAAAGAGTCTTTTCGGACAAAGCTCTGGTGGATTCGTCCTAGGATCTTCATTCAAGGGTGACGGCACTGCCGTAAATGATGGCCCCAAGCCAGATAAGCCGTCTGGACTGTTCTCATTCGGTCCATCCATGGATGAGCTGGTATCGAGCGACAAGAGTAGTCCGCCAACCGAGTCCATGGATGATATGGAAGATGAACCTGCCGCCCCAGCCAAGCCTGAACCCAAGGAGCCGACGTCCGTATTCGGGGCACCGTCCAAGATCGAGACTTCCGCACCTTCCTCGCTGTTCGGCTCTAAACCAGCACCTCCCAATCCTTTCGGTCAGCCGGCAAATCCCTTCGGCCAGAACCAGGCTACCAAATCTCCTTTTACACTTTTCGGAAATACCACAACAAAGACAACCGCGAGTCCGCTGTCCCCTCCTTCTGAGAAGACAACGGTTGCTACAACCCCCCTGACAAAGACGCCATCGGAGGATGCGCATCGCACTCCCCTCGCCTCGAGTATGCAAACTCCTCTACCTCCTGACTCTACCAGCAAGACTTCTTACGGACCGGGCGATACTTCTGCCTCCTCAAATGTTTCCAAGAGCTCCGTCGATGACGCCCCCCTTCCGCCTGACTTTACTGTCAAGGCGAAACCTGCTCCAGCCGATGTCGGAGGAGAACCACCTCTACCCCCCGACTTCACGGCGAAACTCCCCGAAGAAGAGGAAGAAATAGACGAGGCGGATGCCGAAGAGGCGCCATTGCCTCCAGACCCGAGTGTGCGGAAGCCTTCAGCAACGCCCAAGGAGGAGCCCGGTCCAGTGCTGGAACATTCCGATGCCGATGAGTCTGAAAGAGAGAGTGAGGAAGGAGACGAGGAAGAGGAGGAGGGTGACGAGGTGGGAGATGAAGAGGATGAATCCGACTTTGAGGATAGTGGTGAGGACGTCTCACAGGATATTAGCGAAGCCGAGTCTCCCGAAGAAAGTCCGAAGGCAACCCCCGAGGGTTCTTTCGAATTCGGCGTAGGTACTAAAGGTAGCCTATTCTCGCAAACTGCTAAACCCGGACCGACTCAACCCCAGGCTCAGCGAACGCTGTTCGGGGAGATAGGGAAACCTGTTTTCCCGGCGTTCCAGAACAGGGAGCCTCCCAGGTCGCCCAGCCCCGTCCGGGCCGGCCCTCAGAAGAGTCTTTTCAAGCGCTCAAGCCAGAAGCCTGTTGTTTCCAAGAGCCCAGGAAGCACTCTTGCCGCGAGAAAGGCCTCACTGACGGAGTCTGCCAGGCGTGAGAGTCTTTTGAGACCGCAGCCCAAGAAGACGGAGCCCCAGGTGGACCTGGAAGCGAAGCAGATAGAAGAGGAGGCGCAGGCCCTTTCGGATGATGATGAGGATGAGAGGCTGCGTGCGGACCTTGCACGACCCCTGGAGCCAGTTCCAACTCTTGACCCGTTCCTGCCTCACCAGGACTATGCTGGGGAGACCAGTAAACCGGGTATCCCTGGACAGATTGAGCGGTTATACCGCGACATCAACTCCATGGTCGACACTCTGGGCATCAATTCAAGGTCGTTGGCTTCGTTCCTTCTGTACCAGAAACAGTCACCCAATGCGAACTGGGTTGGTATGTTGAAGGAGGAGCACCCGGCCAATATCCTGGATGAGAAGCTGCTCCTCTGCGAGATCGAGAAACTCGACGATGCTGTTGTCATGCTTGCTGGCTCTCTTGAGGAACAGCGGGTGCAAGGAGTCGAGGAGAAGCTGGAAAGCTGCCGCGACCTCCTGAGTAAAGACATTCTGACGCTTCGAGCCCAATGTGCTAGCATTCGCAAGACTCTGGACGCCCACACAGAAGCGGCTGCCATTATTTCCGCGCCTCTTTCTGCGGAGCAAGTGAACCTGCAACAAGATCTCCGCTCGGCATCTACTGATATCCAGGCTAAGCTGGCGGATCTTGAGTCAGCGGTCTCCCTTTTGCGGGCCAAAATCGCCGACGCCCCTCGCCCGGATGGCGCTGGTGCTCGACAGGCTACCAGACGGCCGACGGTGGAGGCTGTTACGTCTACAATTGCTACTATGATGAACATGGCGGAAAGTAAACGCAGCGACATTGATGTCTTGGAAGTGCAGCTCAAGAAACTGGGAATCGACACGTCGGCTCCGGCGGCCAGCCGGGAGGGCTCGCCCTTCACCACCCCTCGGAAGGGAGTCGCCAGATTCCCGACAACGCCGGGATCTGATGGTCCTACCAGCGCATACCACACCCCTGACTCGGCTGCGCGGGGCCTTAACTTCCGGTCCAGCATCAACGGATCGGCGCGGGCGAGCCGGCTGCGCAGTGTCGAAGGGGTTGGTGAGCTCGTCAGCAAGGAGGAAACTGCGCAATGGAAGACGAAAAAGCAGCGGCGGCAGCACATGGTGAGCAGTCTGATGAAGGCCATTGGGGACAATAAGTGCAAGGTGCGGGGGGTGGACGATCTGTAGGATTAGAGATGACAGTCTGTTCTCATTATTTTGACACGACCACGAAAACAGCAGGGACCGGCGTGGTGCAGGCATTGGATGTTGGTAGCGTTTGTACATAGATCCGATTCATTTAATAACGATGTACCAGTGTTTCGACTGTGTTCTGCCTGAGGCAGCACTGACATCATCCGTGACACAACCAACTTTCTACTTCTACTTACGCAGTAAGCTAATCTTACTCCCAACCGTGCTTGATCAACACCATTCCATACAACCAACCCTCTCAATTCAACCCCACCTGCCTCCCACCAACTGAGAAGAAACACCATGTCCGGCATCACCGAATTCATCTACTTCCACCTCAACCCCTCCATCAAACCCGAAGACCCCACCAACGAAGCCGGCGTCTCCCTCCTCGAGCTCTTCCAAAACACCAAACACCAAAACGGCTATAAGGGCTCAGCCTGGGGTCGCAGCATCGAAGACGAGAATGTGATAGTATGGGTGATTAGTACGTCCACCCCCAATCCCCCATATACCATCCTAATCTTACTTCCTCCCAATATCCCCAATTCCTCCAACTAACACAAAAATAACAATATCTATCTAGACTGGAAAGACGCCCACCCCACCCCCTCCCCCCCACCCTCCACATCCCTAACCCCCTACCTAACCCCCAACAAACCCCTAACCACATTCTTCGCGACCCTCTCACCGCCCCTAAACCTGCCCTCTAGCACCAGCAGCACGTCCCCAATCCTCTCCCCTATAACAGAACTCTTCACTCCGTTCTTCCCCACAACCCTCACACCCAAAGAAACCACCTCGCTACATGAATCCCTTATCTCGTTTAGAACCGAACTCATGAGTAATCTGCCCGAGGAGCAACGGCCAGGGGCGTTTGTTATGGGGCAGGTGGAGAGGCCAGGGACACGGAGACATGGAGGTAGTCCGAGCGGGGAGGCGTTTGGGATGGTGGTTGTGGTTGGGTGGGGGAGTTTGGAGATGCATATGGGGGTTAAAGGGACGGAGGCGTTTGGGAGGGGGATTCAGCCGATTAGGGGGTGGATGTTGAAGGGGGATGGGAGTGGGGAGGGGGAGGAGGGGTTTGGGGTTATGAGGCATGTTGCTTTTAAGGAGGTTGAATGATTGGATTGATTTGGTTGATGGTGGGGTAGGGGATGGATGGATGGTGTGGAAGGTGTGATAAGATTATTATTGAGCGCTTTTCCAATAAATACAGTACAGCAGGAAGAAAAACACGCATATACCCCGAAACCCAAACCAACCATCAGAGCCACCGAATAGACCGAGATTTTAAGTCCACAGTGGTAACAGCAAAGCGCAAACCAATATGCGGTGGTGACATCGACGGAACGAATGCACTCGCTCCTTAGATACGATGCTTTTCGCTTTCTGTAGGTGGGTTAGAACTGAACATCTCGTCTGGAATTTGGGGGAGGGACATACCCAGTCTTGAGTACAGCATGTACAGTGCCATCTGATTGCACTCCTGTGTGCCGGTAATAGTCACCAACCGTTCGTTGCTGTTCTCCTGGGGCTCGTTGATCTTGATCACACTCCCACTCAGGTGCCGGATCTCGTTGATTTTCGCACCACCCTTTCCGATGATGGCGCCAACCATATCGTTGGGGATGTAGATCTGCTGTGTCAGCGGCTGACCGGGCATGACACCACCGACGGGCGCGGCAGGCGTCGGGCCACCCCGAGCCTGAGCAGCAGCCGCCTGTGGCGCACCGTAGGGCGCGGGCTGGTGCGGGCCAGCGCCAGCGTACGGGGTGTGAGGAGTGGTACCATAGTGCATCGAGGGTTGGGCTACAGGGGTGGGAGCGGCCGGGCCGCCCTGGAGGTAGGGAACGCCATAGCCGCCGGCCGCGCCCCGGTTGGGGTGAGGGTGGTGACGCTTGAAGGTGTCGGGGTGGCCGTACTGACCACCGGCCGGCTGAGGCACGTACGGCACAACCTGCATGCCTCCTGGCACAGCACCGGCTGGACCGCCGCTCCGGGTGGCATATGCCGAGGCCGCGGGTCCGCCAAAGCGCTCAGTCAGCTGCTCAACAAGAGTCACTGCAACATAGTAGGTAGCAATGTGCACAGCGTCGGCAACGCCAAGAATTACAAGGGACCGCTCAGTAGACAGGGGCAGGCAGGCATCGGAAGCGTTGAGGCGCGCACCAGAGGCCTCCTGGATCTCGCGGATGCGGCTTCCACCCTTGCCAATGATCGAACCAATGAGGATATGGGGGATCAACAAACGCAAGGGGTATGTCTTGGATTGGGCAGTGGAAGGGGCATCAAGGGGTTCGTTGTTCAGGGTACGAATAATCAGACCGAAGGCCTAGCATCCGGGTTAGCAAAGAGGCCAAACAAGCCATGTTATGTAAACCAACCTTCGCCGCAGCATCCTGAGGGCCGCTGACGGTCAAGATACGCTCGACGGCACCCCGAGAGTAGTCGCTGACGGTGCACTTGGCGCCGGACAGACGACGGATCTGGGATACGTTCTCCCCACCTTTACCGATCACGGTGGCAGCCTCCTGGCTAGAGATTACAGCTCGAATGTGAATCCAGCTAGACTCATCCTGGGGACGGTGTTGGTCGGATTGATTCGCCGACTCGCCGTGCGAAGCTGTCGACTGGATGGGCTGTGTCTCCACGTGCACGCCCTTGGAGCTGGGAGCATCCGGGACAACAGTGTCGCCCTGACCATCAGCCGTCGCAGCCGGCGCATCCGTCTTCACATCGGCATACGCCTCGGACTCGTCGCCCTTTACTACTTTGTCCAACGCAGGACGCTTGGCTTCCGGCTGGTCATTGGGACCGGACGGCGAGGAGGGATCCTCCAACGGACGCTTGGTCGATTGCAATGCGGAAGGGGAGGCGGACATGGTGACGATGCCAGCTGTGCAGACTTTTTTGCTTGCTTCACTTACGCAGGAAGTCGAAGTGGTTCAGAACAGCTTGCTTTCTTCTTTTCTCAGCTTTATTTGATCGACTATGTACACCAGGAGTTCCCAATAAAACTTGCTGGTGCTGGCGATCGGGTGAAGAGGGAATTCTGATGCTTGGAAGGATTGGGAAGACTGGTGAAATCGTGCACAGTGCGGGAAGTGGTGCTGGAAATGAAGTGTAGAGAGGTTGGGTTGTCACGGGCCTTGGAGTTTGGATTTGGAGCGGAATGCTTCACCAGAGCGAAGCAGTGTAAGGTGGAGGGAAGAGGAAAAGAAACCAATCGGGTCGGGCACGAGGAAACGGAGGGAAGATTGGGTGCTGGATGGTGACGAAGGACGAAGGGCTCAGGGTCCGGACGTGCTGGGAGCGAAGGGTGGACAGCCAGGGGAAAGAATAGAAAAGAGAAGTAAAATAAATCCTTGAGCAGTTCACAAAGCCCAAACTATCCTTTCTTCCCTTCTGAAGACGCGACTTGTTCGCGAAGTATAGGACGGACAGGACAGACGGGGGGTCCTCTACACGATCACCCACAAAGTAGCTGGAACAGCAGACGTGGGGGTATCAAATATCAAACAAGCGAAGACAACTAGCTAAGAGTAGCCGTAGCCAGTGATGAGGAAATGAAAAGACGGGGTGGAAGGGGGGAGGTCGATGGGCAAAGAGAACGATTGCTGGGTCGCGGTGAGGCGAGGAAAGAGAGGATGTTGCGAGTTGCGAGTTGCGACCTCCAACCCAACCTCCCGCTAGGCCGCTTTCGGTTCTGCCATCACGTGTTCCCCTCCTGCAAAACACCCGCCATCCATCAGGTCCTCGATCTATATCCACTGGAGTTTTGCGACAAGCGGGCTCAAGAAGACTCAGATATACGCCTGAGAGTGAGAACCTTGTGTCTCTATTGGACATTCCAACTAGACAATTCCCGATGGACGTGTCGCAGGAAACCGTGGAAAAAGTCCACCGTTTCGCGGAGAAGCGCCAACGCGCCGAGGAGTTCTACGAGAACCAACAGATCAGCCCAGCAACTCTGCAGGCGTACAACCGGAAACTGGACGATACGCTACGAGAGCTCCAAGACCAAGTCAAGCGCCAGGAAGATGACCTGCGTAAGGTATGTATAGAAAGACCCAGAATATTCAATCTATACATCCAATCCGTAGTTTAAGTCCTGACAACTGGATAGCTGCGCGAGGTCAATTCCTTCGATCTCTCCAAAATCGGCACGGACACTTGGTTGCGAGTGGCTCAAGTGCGCAGAGCCAAAAGAGCTTACGACTCGCTACTAAAATCAGAGAACGAGTTTCCGGCCTCGGGATCGCCTCTACCGTCTCTACTGGCCATTGAGGAGATGTCGCGTCTTGTTAAGGACACTAAAGTTTCTGTCTCGATGACAGCAGAGAAACTTTCAGCCACCCGTCAACGCCTTAAGGCTGAGGAGGCAAATCTCCGTGATGCCCAAACGATCAGAGGTGGGCTGCAAAGGCGCATAGAGACCACAGGCAGCGAGAAGGCGACCAAGGAGAAGAAGACCGCATCTCAACTAGCCCGTGAACTAGCCGAGCAGCAACAAGAGAAGCAGGATGAGCTTGACCGAGCCACTGAGGAGATGAAGACGACGCTTTACAAGTTTGTCGACGAATCCCTTGCGTCCATGCTTGCTGCGGAAGCCCTCGGGGGGCCCACGGTAGGTGACGCCGCAGAGGTGTCTGACGAAACGTTGAAATTGGGATACACAAATCATGGCAAACCCAAAAAGCCCAAGAATCCGGAAGCAGCGAATTCAGATACCAGCCAGCGCCGAATCGACGAGATCGTACCTCGCCAATCTGGTCAGGGGAACGGCCAGCCCTCCAATCGCAGAGAGGCTGCAGCTCAGGAGATGCGCAACCTGCTCGATGCTTTGCTGGAAGCAGACTCCTCCTATATTAATCTACCTCGGGAATCTGCCGCATCAAGGTTCTTGGTCAGAGCCAAAATTGCTCAATTCCACCCCCGCGATGCAAGAAGGCTAAGGTTGATTGATTTCGGGCGCTCATTAGACGATTGAACAACGGCAGCATGACACCGTATAATACATAACATCTAGGGTATAATCAGACGAAGAAGAAAACAGGCTGTATATATTCTCACGAAAAGCCAAGGCGCCTAGTACAGTCATCACACCAATATTTGATCCCCCACAGCGTAACGCCTATACATGCCCTAAAGAACCACAAGTGTCACTGCAATACCGTAAAATTCATTATGAAAGCCGGGGATGCGGCCAAGCCGTCAAATCGGCATCATTCCAATTCGACTAGTTGACTGTTTCGCCTTGGCGCCTTTGCGAGGGAATGAGGCACGGTTATCGGTGCGATCACCAGATTTTCTTCTGGCTCCCGATGTCTTCGTCCTAGATCTGGGAGCAGCACTCTTCTGACGAGGGCGCTTGCTCGTTGGACGTTTCCGAGACCTAGGTCTACTGGACTTCCCAGGACCGTCCTCCTCGTCGGCAGAGTCGAGGCCAGCGGTTTGTTGGGAGAAATACCGACTAGATACGGTCTCATCGAGATTAAGCGTCGCCCCATGGTCTGTAAAGATACCGCCATCGCTGAATTCATCCTCGGTACTGGTAAGGTTGATTACGTTGTGATGGTTGGGATCAGGAACCACCCCATCGGCATCATCCTGCTCCTTCTTCAACTCCGCGTAACGGCGTTGCGTGTCGCGGACAAGTTTGAGAATTTGGGCTCCATAGCGGTGTACTTTGTCCACATCAATGCCTGGAATCGCGGCAAGTTCCGACATGTCTAACCGAAGGTCAGTTTCGTGCGCAGCTATTGCTGAAGGGAGCACTCACCTTTAGGGAAAACAATGACCATCTCACGCAGGATGCTGTCCGTAAATGGTTGATTCCGAAGGCCTTTCTGCAGTACCAGCTGTTTAGGGCTGTCAGAAACTTTCAATGTATCTTCAATATGTGGGCACACTCACATCCTGACAATAGTTCTTGGCGTAAACCATGAAATCCTCCGCAACTGCCTTGTGAAGAGGATCCAGCTGCTCAAACCGACGGTCCTGGGTGATCGGCGGACCGGGGGTACGTCTTTTGTCATGGATTGGTTTGCCGCCAATTCGGATCCTTTCAAAACCATCGCTGTCCTCATCCGCAGTGGAGTCCCCCTCAGCGCCGCGATACTGGAAGCGAGCGAGACGACGCTGATTTGCCGCTTGTACAGGTGACGAGACATTCGTGGATTGCGGATGATACTCTTTGTTGCCATCAGTCCGAGATCCTCCAGTCGACCTCCGGCCCTTGCCATTCGGTGAAACTCGTACGTCGAGCTTCAATTTACAGCGCCCGCTTTCGAAATCAGCGGCCCGCCGCCCCAGTTTAATGTACTGGATAGCAAATTTGCTGCCATTGACGACATTTTCTTCGACCAGAGCCCCCTCGCCAAGGAGTTTGTGGAATAACCTTTCCGCCTCCCCCAGTTCTAAGTCCGAACCGTCTCCGTGGCCAGGAGCCTGTCGGTGTTGAGGAGATCTAAACCTCTTCACACTTCCACGAAAGATGTTCACACAGTACGGCATGGTAACCTTGTCCTCAATGCTCTGAAAGTAGCGAACGACCTTTATGGCAGAGGCAGCATGGTGGGAGAAGTCGTGTAGCTCGAAGACAGAATCGGACTTGCAATTATCACAAGAGCCAGTGCAGTCCTGTCGACGGAAGTGCTCATTAAAGTAGGCAAGGATTTGCACTCTCCTGCAGTCGCTCTTGTTTTCGCAGTATTGTACGACATTATGGAGCATCTGTCGCTGTCGATTCTTCTGCTGCTTGCTCCCGTCGCTCTTGTCGATCATGCTTGATATGGTTGTTGTGTCCTTATAGCAGTAATAGAGATAGCAGCCGGACCGCTTCCCATCTCGGCCAGCCCGCCCCGTTTCCTGGTAATATCCCTCCAGACTCTTGGGAATGCTGTGGTGGATTACGAAACGTACATCGGGTTTGTCGATGCCCATCCCAAAAGCGATCGTCGCAACTATAACGTGAGTCCTTCCAGCTTGCCAGCCTTGTTGAACTTCTGCACGTGCTTCTGAGTCCATACCAGCGTGATAATGTGCTGCTTTGATGCGATACTCATCGCGGAGGCTGCTCGCGACTTTTTCACATGTCTTTCGGGAGAGGCAATAGACTATGCCAGACTTGTTCGGGTATGAGGTCTTGATGGTATTGGCTATGCTGGCCAGCAGCTCGGTCCCCTTTTTCTTAATCCGCACCTCATACGTCAGGTTCGGCCGGTTGAAGCTCTGGGAGAACACTTCGCAACCTTCCATCTTCAGGTTGTGAATGACGTCCACTTTAACATTCTCAGTTGCGGTCGCTGTCAGTGCCATCATGGGGACTCCGGGCAACTGATCCCTGAGTTCTCCAAGCTCCTTATAGTCAGGACGAAAGTCATGTCCCCACTGACTGACACAATGCGCCTCATCAATGACAAGACGTGCGAGCCGGCGACTGCGGTTGAGTTTCTCCAAGCTTCGAGTGATGGCCTGACTTTTATTGATCATTTCCGGTGTAATGTATAACAGTTCAATGTCTTCCTCCGGCATGGAGCCCGACAAGGTGCTCATGATCCATTGCCGTTGTTCCCTCGGTGTCTCTCCATTCAACAAATACGCCTTGATGTTCAATCGTTTCAGATGAGAGACCTGGTCCTGCATCAAACTAAGCAGTGGGGATACCACAAGTGTGACTCCTCTCGTTGAACCAGAAGTGACCACAGAGGGTAGTTGGTAGCACAGAGACTTGCCTCCCCCCGTGGGCATCAGGACAAATGTATCCTTCCCGCTCAAAGTCGCGTCTATAGCCTCGAGTTGATTAAGACGGAAACCACGAAGATGAAAACGATCCTTCAGAGCATTCCGGACGTCCTTGGACCATGGATGTTGGTTCCACAGAGTTGTATGGCTTTGTGACTTCTGTTGCGACGGAGGAACCCGGGAGACGTTACCGGAAGTTTCAGCGAAAACCTTGCGACTCTGAGGCTCGTGACCATCTGTCGCGAATGAATAGGTATCATCGAGAAACCCGGCCGCTTCCAGCATATCTTCATCATCCAAGTCAAATTCATCTGCCTCTTCTGCAGGAAGCGTGGGTGAGCCCATAGTTCGAGTAAAAGCGTCCTCGTCATCCAGAGTCGTAGGGTCATCGTAGTCAAATGCCCTGTGACTCGAGGTCCCATTGGTATTCCTGAAGGATAACTCTGAAACTCGGGTTGATATCTCAGACCGTGAGCCATTGTAGTCCGTTGTTGACCGTGTGAGAGATCGAGAGGATGGTCCTGATAGTATCGTGTCATCCATCGCACTGGTCGACACAGAAGATGGGCGAGCCAACGGGATTGGCCGTTCCAGTCCACGAGCAAGAATACCGGCGTTAGATGGTTGAATAGACATCAACTTAGATCGTGCAAGCAGAAGTTGTATGTTTGACTCAACCTTTTCTAGCCGAGTTGTTGCTTCTCGACTTTCCGTCAGCTCTGGCATCGTGTGGGGATCCCCGCCCTGTGTAATGACCTCCATGATTCTTTTCTTAAGCATATTTCTCTTTGAGTCGTGGGATTGGTAGGCAACCCTATGTTGCTTTAATAATTCAATCGCTTCTATACGGTCCGTGAGGGCCTTGTTTTCGGCGATCAAGTCAGGGGCGAGCTCTCCCTTCATTGCCCGTTCATACACTATCTCAGAGTTCTTTGTAAGCGTATTCTTGAGACTTGCAATGGCTCCTTCAAGGAATTCTGCTGAGAGGCCCAAGAACTTTGCCACCTCTTCGTTCTGAGGTTGGGACGCGGGCGAGTTGGTAGAAGCAGGTACATGAGTAACCTGACTAGGGGTGGCTAATTTCTCCTTCTTGGATTTGCGAGTGCTCGAAGGGACGATGTCCATCACGTCAGATGCCGGCGGAGAAGCACGTGTCGTTCTTCTCACAGGACTGACATCCGCATGCTCATCTGCGCTATCTTGATTAGGCAGGATTGGATACAGAGACTCATTGGAGTCTAAAGTCGGGCCATCTCCGTCATGAATCCAGTCGTCGAACAGGTTATCATCACCATCGTCATCAGAGTCAGCAATGACATGATCCACGCGAGAGCCCTGGGAAAGTGGAGGAGCGGCTGCCGGTTCCTTCATCCGACGGGACGCAGTATCATTCTTGGTCGTACGAGGTGACTTTTTGTGTAGGAGACGCGTGGGAGTGGAATTGGATTTCGCGGTTTCAACAGCCTTCAACGGCGAGCGCACTTTCGAGTTGTTCTTGCGTGGCGAAACAAGATCAGACATGTACTCATCGCTCTTCCGCTTCTTTCCACGCTTCTCGAGAGGCTCGGGTCGGGATGCAGCGTCTTCGGTCCATAACGGACGTGGCTCACCGAACCCATCGAAAGTGCTAGACGAGAAGGTGGTTTGATCAAAGTCGCCAGTCAAGTCAATCGTATCAATATCGATCTCGGGAATTGGCGATTTGACACGCAGTGGCCGCTTCGATCCGAAAGGCGTCAAGGCATGCGTCCTCGGACTGCGAATAGTAGAACGGGGACTCTGGTCATCTTCTTGGCGTAAGTCGCTATAGATCTCCGAGGAACCACGATCAAATCTATTACTGTACCTTTGATCCTCATGCCCGAAACATCCTCCCGTTTTCTCGCAGGCGATTTTGCAGACTGACTACTTTTGAAAGGTTTCGGCGTGGGCGGGACAGAGTCTTTAGCAAGACTGAGCATCCGCGGTTTGCGTCCGGATCCCGGAGTAAGAAGCAATCGGGCCATTTCGGTGTCTGAATCTACCTCCTCCTTTTCTTTCACATCGCTTGTAGCCGCTGGCCTGATACTCGGTTGTAAATCATCGATTCTGATGCCCTCTGGCTGGCTGGCCAAGACCCCCGACGGTGGAACCGGGGCAGTAGGATATGTTCGGTCTGCCGTGCTATGAAACTCGTGCGCGGACGGAGATAAGGAGGGGTAAAGGGAAGGGCCTTGCTGCAACAGCCATTTGAGGTGAGCTGTCAAATTATTTTTAGTCATAAGGTCGTATTCTTGTTCTCATGGTTCTATTTGACGGGTTAAACCATAACAATCGCATGGGCGTTCAGCTAGCTGCCGAGCAACAACAATAATCAGTTGCTTGAATCCATCGTAGCGTTGCCCCGACGCGTCCCGGCGCGTCGTCACGTGGGCGGTGACGAACCATTACCATTGCCATATGATCCTCACATCACTTTTTTCTTTAAGTTATAGCATCTTTGGCCTTGAGACAATTACATGTTCTAGCATCACTTCGGAGGTATCGCGATATCGATCTCATAATGTGGTCATTCTATAAACACTATTACTTGCATCAACTTGATCTGAACCGGCCAATAATGAGTGCCGCTCTTCCACTTCGCGACAACGTATTTCAGTAATCAAACATAGCATCACAACGGATAATCCAGCAATTCCATGCCTATTATTGGTCTATCGCAGGTAATCGATATATGAAACATGTGTCCGATATACCGTATATGCTTTTCTGCTTCATCTGACCCACAGTACTCATTCAATCGCCCACAGGACCTCACAACCATTAAATATCGTAACCGTTTTACAGGTAAAGTAAGAGGGGCATCATGCGAACTTTTTTTTCTGGGCCCCAAAAAAACCCCGCGGTGGACGGAGTATCCCGTAGCAAGTAGAAAATCAACTCCATAACTCCACCGATAAGAGGCGATAATCAAACGGCGCAGTTGATACGACGTTCCAGCTTCTTTCAAGGATATAAAAAGCAGAGGAAAAAACTCACACCGTATCATCTAAGCTCGCCACCATGGGCAAAAAGAACAAGAAGTCTGCCGAGCACAAGGAGCGTGTAGCAGCGAAGCAGTCGAAGAAGGCTGACAAGAAGGAAAAGAAGGGCAAGGGCAAGGGCAAGGATGCCGACAGTGATGTCGAAGATGCGGACTTGGATGCCATCCTAGCGCAGTATGCTGAAGAACAAGCGAAGTTCCTCAAGGTTACTGAGGTTGTTGGCGGGCCACCGACTCCCCGCTCGTCTGCAACGGTTTTGGCTTCTCCCTCGAATCGGAATGAGCTGCTGATCTATGGTGGAGAGTACTTTGATGGAAATCTTGCCACGTTCTTCAACAATCTCTTCGTTTACAATATTGATCGTGGAGAGTGGAGAGAAGTTACCAGTCCCAATAGTCCCCTTCCTCGGAGTGGACATGCTTGGTGCCGCGGTGGGAATACTGGTGGTGTCTATTTGTTTGGTGGTAAGTAATTTGTGAAAATTTACAGTTTTTAGTGGTCTGATCTCCGGAACAGGAGAGTTCTCTTCGCCCAAGCAGGGTACGTTCTATCATTACAACGACTTCTGGCACCTTGATCCCTCGACGAGGGAATGGAGTCGTCTGGAGACGAAGGGCAAGGGTCCTCCGGCCAGAAGTGGTCACAGAATGACATACTTCAAAGTATGTATCCCGAGTTCAAATCAACCAAATCTCATCTAACGATACAACAGAACTACATTATTCTCTTCGGAGGATTCCAGGACACCTCCCAGCAAACCAAGTATCTTCAAGACTTGTGGATCTATGACTGCTCAAGATACACCTGGTTCAACCCCACGCTCCCACCAGCATCCCAGAAGCCCGATCCTCGGTCTTCCTTCTCCTTGCTCCCTCACGAGACTGGCGCCGTTCTCTACGGTGGATATTCGCGTGTGAAGGCCACCACAGGAATCAACGGCAAGCCCGTCAAGAACGGACCTCAGCGCATGACCATGAAGCCCATGGTTCACCAAGATACCTGGTTCCTCCGGGTCACGCCTCCTGCTCCCGACGCTCCCGCCAATGCTGCGCCCACCGTCCGTTGGGAGCGCCGGAAGAAGCCCGCCAACGCACCCAACCCAGCTCGTGCCGGTGCCACGATGGCATACCACAAGGGCCGAGGCATCATGTTTGGTGGTGTCCACGATGTCGAACTGAGTGAAGAAGGCATTGACAGTGAATTCTTCGATACCATGTTCGCCTGGAACACTGACCGGAATCGCTTTTTCCCCTTGGCTCTCCGCCGGCCCAGGGCCCAGGGCAAGAAACAGCTCGCAAACCAGATGAAGTCCCGAGACCGGAGCAAGGCCGACGAGGAGGAGCTGCTGCAGAACTTGAAGGCTCTAGAGGCCAAGGGAGGCATCCGTAGTCAGGATGACGATGACCTGGAACTGAACGCTCCCAAGAAGGAGGAAGAGCCTGAGAAACCGGAGAAGCCTGCCATCGTACGCTTCGAGATGCCTCACCAACGATTTAACGCCCAGTTGGCCGTCCAGGACGACACTCTATTCATTTTTGGCGGAACCTTCGAAAAGGGAGATCGCGAGTTCACGTTCAACGACCTGTACTCGATCGACCTGGTCAAGCTTGATGGTGTCAAGGAGATCTTCTACAACGAACCCGGAAACTGGCATCTCCTCAACGAAGCAGACAGCGACGAGGAAATGGACGAAGACGACGAGGAGGACCTCGAAGATGAGGAAGAGGAGGATGCGATGTCGCTGGATACGGCTTCCCCTGCGCCCACGGAGGTAACCGTACCTTCCGTGACCCAGGAACTGGAACAACTGGAAGTGGAAGAGCAAGAAGGCGAGCCGTCCGTTCAGGACAGCAGACCTCTTCCTCGTCCCTTCGAGAGTCTGCGTGAATACTTCAGCCGCACGTCCGAGGACTGGCAAAGAATCCTCCTAGAGACTCTGAAAGAGAAAGGAATCGCCACAGAGAAGAACATCAAGGAACTACGGAAAGACGCTTTCAACATGGCGGAAGAGAAATGGTGGGATAGCAGAGAGGAGGTCATGGCTCTGGAAGATGAACAAGAAGAGGCTGGTATCGGTGAGGTTGTTAGCATTGCTGATAGAGGCGACAATGCTGGGGGTGCTGGAAGACGCAGGTAATGCTGGGGATAAACCTTGGATAAAAATAGCTGTTCTAAAATCGCATTTCAAGACATTATCTAAAGTATCTCATACAGGGCCTCAAGTAAGACCTCACGTAGAGCCTCACGTAGGGCCTCATGTACAATGATAACTAACTACTGGATGATTATAGTCAGTAGCCTAAGGAAATCTTAGGACATTAAGTATAACTAGACTGCCTCAGGGATATAAATCCACGCAGCGAATATTCTGGCACCTATACAAAGTCGGCCCTACCTAACATGTCAAGCAAAGTAGGCAAAAATTATGGTTATAGCCTGGCCAGTATTCCCAAACCATCTCCTAAAAGCATCCTACTAGTCCACCCACCTACATGGCCAATTATGGCTACCAACCATCCTCAGGCCGAAACAAAATCTCCTAACCTCAAGCAATCGCGAAAATCCACTTTCTGGGGGGGGGGAACCAATAGAAGATAGGCTTTCGGACGCGTCGACGCGACTGACAGGGATATCCCTTGATGTCATTACTGCTTCACTGTTAGGAAGTGAATTGCCTGAGGCAGGTAGGTTATGGTGGATGGTGCTGCGGGAGAGTAATAACGTTGGTTATTAGTGTAGATAGTACCAGATTGAAGCTTCTCCGATAATTTATCAGAAGGGCACCTTCTATATGAAGTTTGATGTGCTAATTATCTTAAATTTGCCCTTAAATCACTGTATTCTTTTGGTTTGTTCATGTTGTTGATGCTTTGCATGGTAGTACTAGTACTTTCTTTGCCATCCGGTTATATATATCCCGGAACTACAAACCCCAACGAAAACCACTCAGTGTCTAAACGCATGTCAGTCTTCAACATTATTAGCTTAAAAACACTATCGAAACACCTAGTTTCACGACAGCCACCAAATTAGTCATCTGGATAGCGATACGATAGATATCTACTACACCAGGCTCCCGGAGTGGACGGCCTCACATCACGCTAATCCTAATCGGATAACCAGACGGTCATGACGCCACAGCCGGACTTAACAACAATTCAAGACGGAGATGAGAGGTTTCTAAAGTCCGGAGATAATGGATTTAAGGAAGTGACTGGGAATATAAAAAGGGGATGTTTTTCCATCTAAATGGGCTTTTTGGTAGCAGTGAGGAAACGAGCTTGAGCTGGATATACTTTGCGCCTCTCCTATACTACACAACTACTTGACCATGGTGTTTCTTGCTGGAAAAGAGGTTACCCAGAATGGGTTGGGTCTTATGCGTATGTTTCTTCTGTTTGCGTTTCTGTGTCTCTGTGATGCCTGTCTGGTTGGTATCTTCTGACAGATGGGATGTATAGGTTTCACTTGGGTGAACAACGTGACTCCGGATGAACAGGCATTCAAAGTCCTCAAGACGGCGTTGGCTGTCGGTGTCAATGTATGGAATGGGGCAGACTTCTATGGAACCCCTGACGATAATTCGCTGCATCTCATGAACCGCTATTTCACTGCCTATCCTGAGGATGCGGATAAGGTTGTTCTAACGATCAAGTCCGGCCTGGTGGATATAAGAACCTTCTCGCTGGATTGTTCGCGTGCAGGCCTTCGTGGGTTTGTGGACAACGCCATTAAGATCTTGGATGGCAAGAAGAAAATTGACATCTTCGGCTGCGCAAGAGTTGACCCCAACGTCCCGGTTGAAGATAGCATAAAGGCACTGGCCGAACTGAAGGACGAGGGAAAGATTGGGGGCATTCAGCTGACAGAGGTGAAGGCTGACACCATCCGTCGTGCAGCGAACGTTGCAAAGATTGACATGGTTGAGGCGGAGGTCAGCCTTTGGGCGACGGATATCTTCCGCAATGGTGTTGCAGAGACGTGCGCGGAGCTTGGTATTCCGATCATAGCGCATTCACCGCTAGGGGCTGGGATGTTGACTGGCACGATAAAAAGCACTGCTGACTTTGCAGAGAACGATCATCGTCGTTTCTTCCCTCGTTTTCATCCCGATAACCTTTCGAAGAACCGTCTTCTCGTGATCGAGCTGGAGAAGCTCGCGGTTTCGAAGGGATGCACTGCTGCGCAACTGGCCTTGTCATGGGTTAAAGCACAGAGCAAAAAGCCTGGGATGCCGTTTTTTGTGCCGATTGCTGGTGCACGATCAGAAGCGAGAGTGGTTGAGAATGTGAAGGATGTTGACTTGACCGATCATGATCTTAAGGAGATTGATGCCATCCTGGACAAATTCCCAGTCACAGGGGAGAGGTTTCCACCTGCGGGAATGAAGTTAAACGAGTACTAGAATGTCACAAGTTGACGAAGCTGGGATACCTTTGTACTGCTCATGAGTCAAATTGAATAGTCCTCTTTTCCGATCCTGAGCCATGCATTCCACACATTCCGCGGTTTGTTATGGGGGTCATATAGCAAGCCATCCCATGACTTATCCTGCGAAGGTGGTTGCCTTTCCTTTGAATATTGTAATCTTTTGGGGATAAATAGCCTCAATTCAGCTGGCCCCGAAATAATTTCTTTGGCCACATGAAGATGAAACAGTAGCGTAGAAGACTGGATGCTGAAATACTGTAGGATACCCTGCCGTAGCGCTCTTGCAAGGAACAGAAAGACATATGTCTGAAGAGAGAGAAACGGCCGGCTGGTTAGAGCTATGAAGTTCTTCCATGACAGAGCCATCATCGGTTGAGCCCCCTAGTAGTTGAGCACACTGTTCACGTATAACTTTTGCCAGTTGGATACGAACAACACGGATGTTGTTCCAGCATCTCTGCGTGTTGTAGTCAGGGTAAGTATCTGACCAGGTAGCTGAAGAATTTAGGGGCTGAGGGCCTTGCCTCCTCGAGACGAAAGAAGGCAGATGCTTCGATAGTTGATCTAGATGTTCTGGCGCAATTGATTGCGTCCTCTGCAGTAATAGTAGTCCCCGCAGATCGCTCTAACTGTGCATACTCCAGCATAACTTCCAGGAATCTCCATCGTAGTGATGACGTATCTGCACCATTCCACAGAGCCATCTGTCGCAAGGACAAGAACCGCGGTGGAACATCGACTTCATTAGCAAGGCAATCAAGAATAACAAGCTCAGCGAGGTGCAGAAACATCGTGATACCCCTCATCGGTAAAATGGCCATTACCACTCAAGGAAATCAGTTCCAATGCATCTTGCAAATGGTTATTCCGCAGATTGGACCTTTGCCGCTCGGAGTTGGCCAGCCGCTCAAAGACACTCATGAGCAGGATGGAGAACAATGTTCTATCCAAAACTGCCTCCTTCGGTGACTGGATCGCCCTTCGAGTCAGAGAAAAAGCTGATCCATAGCCAACTCGAGCATGATAGAGGGCTGGCTGATGCCCTTGCAATGACGAAAAGGTTGCCATGAACATTGTGTTGATTACGGTTTCAAGAAGATGGAAGTCCTCGGATCTCGACGGATAAAAGACTTGCATGTACGAAAAAAGACCGGTTGCTGGTGCGTCCTCAACATATTGCGAGATGTAGACGTATTTTGCGCGTTGAAAGACAGTGGGAGGGGGCTTCGTTGATAGAGGATTTGGGGAAGATTGGCGCTGCAAAGCGCGTTTCTTCAACACTTTCTCGACTGTAGCAGGGGTCTCATCAAGAATGATCAGATCCGTGGAATTTGGGTATCCCGAGCATGAGAGACCTGCATGGGCACATTGAGAGCAACTGTCCTTGTTCTTATCGCACTACAGATTAGTGTAAGTGTGGTTCATCCAGGGAGAGATTATCAACAGAGGGGACTGCATACTATAATATCGCGTCTCCGGCATTCCCGCCACGATCTGGAGGGCCTTCCACGGTAGACCATACCGAGCGGTGTCAGAGAGTAGTTTCACTTCTGCCTTCGAATACTGGGTCTCATGATGCTTGTCTGGGGGAAAAGCCACAGCATTTGTTGTCGATGATGACCGAGCCCAATTAGTCATCAGTATTGCAACAAATTGGGAACAAGGAGCATCATACGAACAATGAAGAGAGACGATAAGACCCTTATCTCGCAAGTATTAAGTGCCACCGGGTTTGGCTTCAATTAAAATAATTATCATGAGTACAATAATGAGGCATCAGGTTCGCAGTTCGAACACTTTATGACCTTCCTCCAGCCACGCTATCCAAGACATCTGTCACAAGCGCAAAATCTCTCTCTTCCTCGACTCTCCAGTTTGAAATTGCAATCCGACAAGCCGGTCTGCCTTGCCAGGAGCTTCCCGACACCCACATCTTCGAAGTTGCGTTAATCCTCTTGGTTAGGTTGTTGTTCAGTTCTTCGTCCTTCGCGCTGAGGAGAACTATGATGTAAGTGTGGTCCAGCAGAGCATCCTTACTGGCCATTTCTGGCAGTGCATTGTACTTGGGATGATCAAAGATCCACCCTGCAATCCTTCTGCTGAGTCGAATCTGTTTCTGCAGCATTTCCCGATATCCATTTCGACCATACGCCACAAGCGAAGCGTATGCTGGCAGAGCTCTGAACCGTCTCGAATTTTCCATTCCAATGTTCAGGGGAGAAGGTATCGAAGGGGCTCCAGACTGGCCCCCAGTCAAGTAAGCCGCATTCGCGTTTTGGAAAACCTTCTCTGCTTCACCAGGATGGCGACAAAGGAAGAAGCCACAATCATATGGCACGTTGAGTAGTTTATGCGCATCGCCCGCGATAGAATCCGCCAGTTCCAAGCCTTCGCATCCTTTGGTGATAGTGGAAAATTCAGCGCCCTCCAGAACACGGCCAAAAATACCAAAGGCACCATCAGCATGAAGCCAAGCCCCGTATTTGTCACAGAGGCGACGCAAGCTCTCCATTTCGGCCAAACTAGATGTCGCGAAGTGTCCGGTGTTCACCTCTCCACAGGAGATAGCCACGATGCTCGCCTTGTCGGACCTTGCCAGTTCAGCTTCAAGCCGCTCCAAATCGAATTGAAGGTAATGATCATCCCGACACATGCTCTTGACGTTTGCACGGCCAATTCCAAGTATCCCAGCCGCCTTCGTTAACGAAGAGTGAGGCAAAGTTGTGAGAACTTGTATACCGGAGAGGCCTGTGGCGTGGATGAGTTCAAACAAGCCATACTCGCCAACGCTTTCGACATCAATGCCCTTCTTCTTTGCAGCAGCCCGGAGGACAAATTCCCTCCCGCAAGCTAACCCATGAATATTACTGGCTGTACCTCCCGTGGTAAAGGTTCCGTTGCTCCAACGAGGCCGGTCTAGTCGTAAGAGGTCTGCGAGAAGGCCCAAAGCAGTGGCTTCGACGTCCGTCGATATCGAGTGCTCTGCCAGATGCACTTGGACATTCTGATCGTAGGCAGAGACAAGATTGTCTGCGAACAATGCGGCCGGGGTAATGCCACCTGTGACAAACCCGTAATAATTGGGGCTTATGCTGCTGCGGTTGAAGGCCGGAACCAATTCGTTCAGGATATGCTGTGTAGTAGTTTCAAACCCCGCCCCTTCATCAGTGAGAGACTCGGGCAAAGACGCTCTGGCTCTCGACAAATCACTGGCACTGGGCAATACACCACCAACTTTATAGGTTTGAGTAAGCTCCCATAGTTCTTGGTGTAGACGGCCCTGCTCCTGAGAGGTTGCCTTGAAATCTTTGAGCTCCATTGTGTGATTTTTTGGGTTGAGCTGGAAATGAGTCAGTCATCGAAGGTACACCACAAGATGCAGGTGCCGAACCTAGGCGACGAGGCAAATGTCCATTGACTTGGAACAATGCTAGTATTATCAGCCGCGTTGATGAAGACTTTATACTGTGCTGGCGCCGGCTACTGAGCTTGACTCAGAGGGCCGGCTGGACTTGCTGCATAGAGGAGTGTAGATCGCTGCAGGATCTCCGAGGCTTGGGGAGTCTGACGGGCGGAACCAGTGGGAGTCGTTCCGGCGCAACTAGTAAGCAGGCAGCATAATTGCGCCGTGTCACTCCAGGTATTGCCCATGCTTTGAGGGATTCAAAGCAACTGATAGGTGCGGTTATCTCCGAAGCGGAGTTGGTTAGTAGTGATGGCGGAGAATCTGTGAGCGTTGGCGAAGCTTATCTCGGGTCGGCTTGGCTGTGTATTAGTTTGGCAGATACCGTAATGAGAATCAACGGGGGCTAAAAGCGACCCGTCCTGACCATCCCATCTTTCCGGCCACTTTGCCGTCACGCCACCTCAATCGCTTCGGGGGGTTGTTCCTTGCTGCACTCTCCAGAGTATCCCATCGAGTCAGTGCCATACTCACGAGCCACCATCATGGCGGCTAAATTGATCGATCGGCGCTTCCATAACATCCCAGGTACGTCCGCTCTTCTGGGACAGACAAAGAAAAGGCACGGCTGACAGGTGGGGTTGTCTAGGCAGGCTTCGGGTGGCTGAGCTGTTCTTCGATGTCCCTCTCAATTACAGCAAGCCCACCGATGGCACTCTGAGACTTTTCGCCCGGAGTGTTCGTCGTCTGATTACCCCGGCCGAGCCCCATGAGGGCATCAAGGATGACAAGCAGCTACCCTACCTAGTGTACTTGCAGGGTGGTCCCGGCATGGGATGTCGCCCCCCGCAAGAGTATGGCTGGATTGGATCAGTCCTTGACAAAGGATATCAGGTACCTATTGCCCTTCGAACTGTTCTGGCTGAACATCTCTGACTGCATAGGTCTTGTTCCTCGACCAACGTGGCACGGGCCTCAGCTCGACCATCACAGCAGGCACGCTTGCCCGCCAAGGCAATGCTATCAAACAAGCAGAGTATATGAAGAACTTCCGCGCTGACAGCATCGTACGCGATTGTGAGGCTGTTCGTCGCTGCCTCATGACGGATTACCCCGAGGACAAGCGGAAATGGAGCATCATCGGCCAGAGCTTTGGAGGGTTCTGCGCTGTGACCTACCTTTCCTTGTTGTGAGTTCGCACTTCCTCGCAGGATCTCCCGAATTATCCCAGACAGTAAACTAACCGTGCATGTTACCACAAGCCCGGAAGGGTTGGCCGAGGCCTTCATGTGTGGCGGACTTCCTCCCCTTGTTGACAATCCTGACCCCGTTTATGCACGGACATACGGTAAGTCCCAAACTCCAATCCACTTAGTGCCCATAATCTAATCTCCCAAAAGAAAAGGTCCTCGAAAGAAACAAGGCATACTATGCCAAGTTCCCCAAAGACGTCGAACGCGTCAAGCAGATTGTCCAGTATCTGAGCGACAACCAAGTTGCTCTGCCAACTGGAACTCTAACCCCGGAGCGATTCCAGCAACTGGGCATCTTGTTCGGCATGCACGGTAAGCAGCATTGAGAGATATCCATTTCATGGCATCTATGCTAACATACCACAGGTGGTCTGGACAGCATCCATGGTAACGTGATCTAGAAATCAATACCTCCAGCCTTCACTAATACGAATCAGATCTCGTGCTCCGCGCCTGGAGCGACCTGGATATCTTCGGCTTCCTCACCCATCCCACTTTGACCTCAATTGACAGTTTCGGTGGCATGGACAACAACGTCATCTACGCCATTCTGCACGAGGCTATCTACTGCCAGGGGTGAGGACATTCTTTCACTACTACCCTACCTCTCTACAAGCAACTGCTAACATACCTATAACAGAAAACCCTCAAACTGGTCCGCAGATAGATACCGCAAATCCAACCCCGAATTCCACATCGACACCTCCAAGCCCGAGATCCTCTTCACTGGTGAAATGGTAAGTCACCCCCGTCTCCCCCTACGACCAAATACAATCCACTAACATAAACACACCCACAGGTCTACAAAGACATGTTCGAGTCCTATACAGAGCTCGCCCAGATCAGAGACGCAGCGGAAATTCTTGCAGCGACTGAAGACTGGCCCGCGCTTTACGACGAAGCCCAACTGGCGAAGAACGAAGTCCCTGTTTACGCGGCCACGTACATTGACGATATGTATGTGCACTATGATCATGCGCAGAACACCGCGGCCAAGATCAAGGGCATCAAGCAGTTCATTACGAATGCCATGTATCATAATGCGATTCGGAGCAAGTCGGATGAGCTTATTCAGCAGCTGTTTGCTTTGAGGGAGGACACCATTGACTAAGTGGTCATGGTCATGGTCATGGTCGGGCTGGGATTACTAGAGTGGTAGTGAGATTACGTATAGATGATTGATGTCAATGTATTAACGGGGTTGTGGTGGATTCATGTCGTGATAATGATTGCATGCTCTCCAACCTATGTCAACAGTCATTAGACTATTGTGTCTTTAACCAGAGCGCAATTCCAAGTAAAGTCTATGAACTGTCTATGATGGATATATAGGCAAGGTCGCTCAAAATACCTTGTAGTAAGCGCGTCAGCATAGTTCGACTTGAGTCAAAAAACGTTATATACTCACCGCACCGCCAATGATGAACAGTCTCTCCTCCTCTTGATGAACCCACTCAATAATCTTGCTTGCGCTCTGGGCAAGCGCGTTCCGGTTCGCATTGGCACCCGCCACGCAATAGAACTCAAAAACAGGCGTCACCCATGCAAAAGAGCTTGAGGATTGTGAAACACAGTGGTGAATCTTGACATGGGTATGCTTGGCATGGATGCTTGCATGAAGGTTGTTGTAGGTAGACATTAATCTGAAGGATTCACACCAATGCATTAGTGCTGGAATGATGATAGAGCACGTTCTAAGTACAGCCGAGACATGTACGTACCTTCGACGTCGGGATATGGAGGAAAACTCCGGGTCAAACGATGACATGGTAAATTGGACGTTGGCCCGGGACTTGTATAGGAAGTGATGCAGAACTGTTCCTGGTACAATGTCCGTTGTGTTGGGCCGGCCCTTGTCAACGGCATCCTTGATGATCTTGAGACTGCCGTTCTTCTCCATTTGCTATTATTGAAGAGCGCGATGTCAGCCTCCATTTAACTACCACATGAAGTAATAGTACCTACCTCAACGAATGTATCGCGCATTCCTTGCAATTCAAAGAAGCTCTCCTTATTTGCGCTTATGAGAATGATCGCAACTGACTTTTCTTTGGTGGTCGTATCATCGGCTGTAGTTCCAGTATCATCCCGGAGATCAAGAAAACTGACATACATGTAGAGGTAACCGCTGCTGTTGAAACCTGGCAGGCATACTGGAATCCAGCTCTCACCACCGCCAGCTTTAACCGCTTCGGCCTCAAAGATCATGTTGAAAAGTAGCTGCAAATCACCAGGATGCAAAGAATGCTTCTTAGGCCGCACTACATTCACAAGCCGACCACCCGCAACCACCAATCCATAAAGAAGGCTGCTAACTCTGGTCTTCAAAAGTGTGTTGTTGATTGTTTGACGATGAGATTTGCGAATCTTAAGACACTCCAATGCGGAAAGTAGAGTGGATGGGGACCCTTTCGTAAAGCTATCGGCCAATGTTGATAGAAGTGTCTCCGACCCTTGGAGTGGCCGCTTGAGATCGGTAGAAGGACGGATGGAGAAGAGGTGGGACAACGATGTAAGGGTCAAAGTAGACAGTATTTGCATATATAGGGCTTCCAATTGAAGTTTGAGCTGAGTATCGCTTTCAAGCATGCGACTGATCGCCACAAGGTATAATGGCCCCTTGTTAACCACCACAAATTTTGTATCTCCGGCGGAAAAGCTGCTTAGATGATCTTTGGCATCTTCATAAAACGATATGATAGTCTGGATGACGCCAACATATGTTGATATAAGCCCACCGTCACCATGTCGTGTCCAGATTGGCTTGCCAGCAGCTGAAAGGATGATATAGTGTTTCCGCTTAGCCTTCCAATTGTCGAGAACCAGCTCTAGGAGGGAATGGCGGGTTAGCAAGTTTAATGACTATGCTTCGCAGGTCAGGCATACCCTCATGCTCCCCTTCCTCGCCTACGTCCCCCACTGGCTCAAATTCGCCTGCGAAGTCGTCCTCCACATCATCAGCTTGAAATTCCGGAAATTGCAAAAGTCCCGTGCTATGTTGTTGAATAAGCCCAGGCTCTGTTGCCAGGAAATCGCCAAAGACGTTTTCGACCTCGCCTAGGTCACCTTGAGGTATGGAGCTCCGAATACTTGCAGTATCGCCAGCCTCACTTCCCCTTGGGCTGGCCAATTGGCTCAGGCTCGCCTTAGCCTTCAGTGCGCCGGGTAGGTTGCGCACAGAGAGGCTATCTTTCCCCGCATCCTGGGAGGCAATATCTGTGAGAGACACGGCCGTCGTAGCCCTAGACTGGAGCGACGGTTGTGCGGGCTGCCGCGGTATCCGGGGAGATGCCCCTCCCTCATCCAACAGAGCCAAGGTGTTTGGGCGCGGCGGCAGGGGTGGCGGTCGTTCATCGGGAGTCGTGCTGCGGTCGCTACCGGGGGAATCTGTAGGCTTTGCGGGTGATAATATAGGATCGGCATCAGTGGGAGTCTGCACCCGTGGAGTATTATGACCGGCGTCGTCCTGCGACGGACAGGGATCGGTCGAGTCCATGCTCACGCGCACCGGAGGTTGTCTCAGCCGGAGATGCGTCACGCTAGCTGGGTATCATCTAGAGATCAAGTCGGTCGCGACGGATATTCTAGCTAGCGAATATAAACCGAGCCATTCGACAGGATTGATGAGGGGCATGCTGCATGGCGGGAGTTGCAGGCCGCAATGCGACGGGCGGCGGGTGGAGGAAACAAGCATTGATGGACAGAGAGAAGGGGAGCGAACTGGAGCCTCCCGGCGGAGCTCCCCCCAAGGCGGGCAGGCGGACGACGCCAGATAGACGGAAACATGGCCGCCTGGCCCTTTCGAATCATCAGCTCAACCAGCCAGCCAACCAGCCCCCCACTCAGTCTGTCCTGATGCACAAAATATGACGAGGTGCGACCCGCAGCCAGACTTTCAGGACAGTATTGATCACCCGACAATCGCACCATGAGCCTTGATCCGAGCTCGTTTCCGAGGTCCAACTCCCCCGCAAGCTCCGACAGCTCTCTCACGCGCTCCCGACTACGGGGGAAGGAAGGTCGGTCACCACTGGCCCTGCGATCTTCTAGCACAGCTGAAGGCTTACCTCTCTGATTCTCTAGAACCTTTGAAAAAGGACAAGAACTACCGTCGCTATGCTACCACGGTGGAACGGGCTCTGTCGTTGTTCGACACCGCGTTGCAGGAATGGGCGGATTACATTTCGTTCCTCAGCCGGCTGCTGAAGGTAGGATAGTCTATGGACTAGGGAAGTCTCATGTTATTAATGAATTGAACAACAGGCCCTCCAATCTCACCCGGTGGACCTCCCTATTGTGCCTCATAAACTACTGGTTGCGAAACGCCTTTCTCAGTGCCTGAACCCTTCATTGCCGTCCGGTGTTCATCAGAAAGCTCTCGAAGTTTATACATACATATTCAATCTAATCAAGGTCAGCATTGCTCGCATGCTATTCCGCAGGCTCGTTCTTCGCTAACTTTGGTCTTTGATCTCTTAGCCGGAAGGACTGTCGCAGGACCTACCTTTGTATCTCCCCGGAATCGCGCCCACGTTGACATTTGCTTCACTTACCGTTCGTCCCCTTTTTCTGTCTCTGACGGAGACATATATATGCAGCCTAGAACCATGGGCGATTCGACCGGCTTTAAAGGCCATCATTCTGGCCCTTCTGCCAGGGTTGGAGGAGGAAACAAGTGACGATTTTGACCCTACGATGCGACTCGTCAATAAATTTCGCGACATCGCGAGCAAGATGGATACGTATAAACAGGGAGAAGAGGCCAGCCCTAGCGGCCATTACTTCTGGCAGTGCCTATTTCTTGCGTCCATCACCAGTCCTAGCCGACGTGCAGGTGTACTTGCTTATCTGAACCGCTATCTCCCGAAGCTGGGCATCACGGACCGCAGGCCGAGCAAAGGCGATGTGAGCGATGCTCCGGACCTACCTCATGACATTTCCGTGGCAGCTGATTCAGTAATCCTGCCGGAACCTGGCTTGCTGATTCGGTGTTTCGCAACTGGGCTGGCAGACGAGCAAGTGCTTGTCCAGCGGAATTTCCTCGATTTGCTTGTGACACATCTGCCACTGAGCTCGCCTATCTTGCAATCCCGAATTACCAAGGACGACCTCCAGAGACTGATAATTGCAGCCGTGGGGGTTGTGTCGCGGCGAGACATGAGCCTGAACAGGAGGTTATGGTCCTGGCTCCTCGGCCCAGAACCTTCGAACGACCGGCCTTCATTTGAAGTCCGCAACTCCATATCAGACAATGCGTATCAACCGGGTCCTGATGCCCAGGAAATATCGCAGTCCGAGTATTTCAGTAGATTCGGGCTGACTCCTCTCGTAAACGGCCTGCTCGGTATGATTGAAAGAGACACAGAGGTACCTTCGGAAAAGACAAGGCCATTCCGCATATCTCTTTCATTGATGGACCGGTGGGAAGTTGGCGGCTACATTGTACCAGAGGTTTTCTTGCCAATCATGCGAAGTGTTCAAGCCTTTGAATCGAAAGCGCCCAGAAGCCAGTTTGAGGAAGTTTTCCGCAGTGCCAGCTCTTTCTTTGACGGTGTGGAAAGCGGGGTCATTTTCTCTGAACTTCTCTATCTGATTGATTGGAAGTCCCATGACCTAGCTTCTGGAAACGAAAAAGTACTAAAAAATCTGGAACTTGCGCATTTTATTCTGGAAAACTTCAATGTGCGCGAAGAAGACATGGTGCTTGCACACGTACCCTTACTGACTCTTTCTACCGTCATCAAAACGAGCGATCTCTCCCCAGAAAAGAATCCCAGACTGAGTGCTGATCAGCTACATCTTGTGGCAAGCGGGTTATCCAAAGTTATGAATTCTTTAACTGGGCTACTTACCGAGAGGGCTTTCTCGATGAAGTCAGATACACTTAAGGGGGACAGCTCTAGCTCTGACTTAGCTGGCTCTGATATCCTAAGCAGGATACATGCCTTTTATGAACAAAGCAAAAACAGCCTGGATCCTCAGCCACTTCCCTTCGCCCCTAAGCCCCTGGGAGAACTCATTGTTCGGAATGCCTACGAGCAAGCTATCGAAGCCCTCGATGGTCACGGTGACGCCACACAGATACACGAAAGAATGAGCCTTCTCATCATAAAGCTGAAGAAACTCCCGAAGACACGGTTGTTACGCGATAGGCGCCTTTACCTAGCACTTTGCAACCGTGTTCGCACCGAACAAGTCGAGACGTCCACTGCCTCCTTCTCGGCCATTTCCTCCATCGCTTCCGCCATGACGAGCATGTACTTTATCCACAGTCCTGGGTATTATATCAGCTATGAAGATGTCTCCGACTTGATACCGGCGCTTGTTGGCCGCCTGTGGCAATTTCTCTCACCGTTAAACCCCAAGTTTCATGTCGAGGCAGTTCGTTCCTTATGGCACTTGCATTCTGTCTCGTGGTCGGATCATCTAGTTGAGGCTGCCATTGCCTCCTTGATGGTTGATGTACCCGGCGGATATCGCCAAGTATCGTCAGCAGAGCAAGCCGGACGGTATTTTGTTCTCTGGGCTCACAGTCACCACGGCACATATGAGCTTCCTCCGAAGCATCTCCATGTTTCCCCCCAGTCCGGAATCTCATACCAATCCTCGATGCTTGAGCGCCCTCTCTTCATTGCTTTGGATTTGCTCAATCAGGGTGTAAATGAGGCTTCTCAGACCGTGCACCGTTGGCTCGAAGATCTGTCTTCCATACACAAGTAAGCTTGATAGTCTCCACTTCTCTCCGCATTTGATCTGCCCTGCCCTTGACTATGTACCTGGTGAAGGCATTTCGTCAAACAGTGCTTATACGTTACAGGGTCTTCCGTATGGTTGTTACGAGACTTGACCGTCTCTTCCAACGGTCCGATAGCTTGGAGCCAGACACTGCGAATCCAACCATCTCCCCTGAAGATTACAAAGAGTGCAACTATCTATTGCAGACAATTTCCAATCTGATATCAACGCTTGCCCATAACGGATGGATCAGTCTGCTCACGCAGACGCTGGTCCTAGTTGAGAAACACAAGGATAGCCCCACATCAGAAGGTTCGTTCCAACAGGAGCTTTCAGTGACCATGTTTCTAACTGTATTTGCAGATAACGTTGGTGCTCAAAGCCTTCATGCCGTCATATTCCAATCATCTCTTAAAGTGGTTAGTGGGCATACAACGACCGCCGCGCAGAGTTTGGAGGAGGTTAAACTGCAACAAACTGCCCTGCTTGTCATGCGCCAGCTTCTACTGGGTCCTGGAGCCGAAGAAGTGGCTGAGTCGGGGATTGACTCGTTCTTAGTTGATCGGCTCTCCAGTGTGCTCGATAAAGGCGGCAGTGTCGCCATTCAAGCGGCACTAATTGACACTCTTCTCGCGGCGTTAAAGGTTCGGTTCGCTCAGGCATACCTTCCACCTCCCCCACCACGGCCAAAGCATCAAAGAGTCGGGTCCCGGGAGCGTCTGACTAGTCCTTCCATCTTGTCTTTCACAAGCGACAAACCAGATAGGACGCCTATAATGCCTCTTCTTCCTCAACCCCCTCAGCAGCTTCTTGAATGCCTTCTCAAGGGCATAAGCTCCCCCAATTCCAGAGAAATAGTGGAGAGGTGGACCGTATTGCTTTGTGAAGTGCTTCCGCTGTATACGGGATCGATCTTCCAAATCCTCTTGATGTTGGTGGAATGTTTTTGCAAGGAAATCCAACTAGCATATGCGAGCCTACAGCTATCATTCAAGCGTACCGAGGGTTGGCCTGAGGATCGTTCTGAGCACGCCACAATCGCTTTACTCACTGGTCTCGAAACATGCATTGCAACTGCCCACGAGCGTCTGCTAGTGGAAGAAGCCAATGTGCCGGCCGCCAAAAGCCCGGACCAGAATCATGGGTTCTTTGGAAACATGGTGTCGGGTGTCTTTGCATCTGAAGCGAGTCATACTCGATCCAGTGCAGCGAATAACCGACTTACCGTTTTGCTTTGCTTCCAAGACGCCGTGAGACTTTGCTTTTCGATCTGGTCATGGGGCGCGGTAGAGCGCAGCACCCTTCCCCAAGACCCGGAATCTCTGGCCTCATTCCAATACACATCTCTCCGCATGAGGAATCGATCGCGTCGAATTCTTGAACACCTTTTCACGGCCGAGGCGCTCGAGTGTCTTGAGACCGCGGTGGAGGTGTGGACCAAATCCGACCCCGATACTTCGTCCCTGATCATTAGCCTGCTTCATACCCTGGACGGATCTCGACCAAAGATCACCATCCCAGCTGTCTTCAACTCCATCTACACGCGGACAAACCCTGCCGCATTGGATCCTGGCCGCAAGTCCACCTTAACCGCAAGTCTGACGGAATCTGAACTGGCAGGTTTCCTAGTGACCTATGCTCGATCACTCGATGATGATGTCCTCGATGAGATTTGGGCAGATTGTACGACGTTTCTACGGGATGTTCTGAGCAACCCTTTTCCGCATAGGCAGATCCTTCCACGGTTAGTGGAATTTGCTGGGATCCTTGGAGCGAAGTTGGAAAATACAAGTTTTGGAGAAGATCGGCGGATGAGAAAGGAGCTTGGGGTTTGTCTTCCCAGGCTGGTTCTGATGTGATTATGCTAACAACACGCAGGATGTACTACTCCGTCTGCTGACGGCAATATTCACCAGCAAGCCCCTGGGTCTTTCGCCGGAGTCGGCACTTCTTGGTCGGGCATCAATCGACTATGACAGTGCGTCAGTGCCACATGTTGGGCCGGATGACATGCTCAGCATTCTTGCCGCCTCGATGCCCGCCTTCACGACCACCCTGGGGGAGTCGGACCGCATCAACACAGCGGTGTCGGGGATTTCCACCAATGTAGTTGGGCCTCTCTTCCGCTCACGCCTCTTCCCGAACAACGTGAGCCGGAACTTCATGGTCCTGCTCCAGCACATAGCCAAGATACCGGTTGCCTCCAAGGTTTGGAGGAAGGATGTATCCGACGCCTTCAATGACCCAAGGTTCTTCGGGATGCAGATGGATCTTGTGAAAGACGGCTGGATGAACCTTCTGCGGCAATGGGTGCTTGCAGACAAGGATCGGTTCTCAGAGCTGATGGCTCGACTCACTCCGCCGAGTACTGCGGGCATCATGTTTGGCGTTGGAGCTTCTGCCGCCCGTCTCGAGGCTGATCGAAAGGCACAGTTGAATCTCCGTAGGATAAGCCTCCTTATTCTGTCCGCCAGCAATGAATACTTCATTACGGAGCTGCCTGCGCTCCTTCAGAAATTGGAAGATCTCTTGGGAGCGACCAGCTCATCGTCCCCATCGTCTACGACCCGGTCGGAGGTCTTTATGGTTCTTCGAGCCCTAGCACTCAAGAGCACATCCACGACTCTGACCACATTCTGGCCGTTGATTAACTCCGAGCTCCAAGAAGCCATCTCATCGGTGCCACTCGGACAGCAGCAGGAAGTGTACAACCCATACGCGCTGCTTCAGGCGTGCAAGCTTCTCGATACACTGCTCATCCTAGCGCCGGATGACTTCCAACTCCTCGAATGGCTGTATGTAACCGATACCATTGATGCAGTCTACCCTCCGGAGCGATTCGAACCTTTGGCACTCGCCGACGAAATATCACAGAGTTTGGGTGCACGCGGGTCCGCCTCATCAGATGGGCTCGGGGAGACCACCGACAGCCATGGAGGGAAGCAGCCAAGCTTGACGGCTGACTGGATCCGTGAAACAGCGAAGGATGAGATTGTTGAACGCGTGCTTCGGCCATTCTTCGATCAGCTCAGTATTCATGCTTTCGAGAGCACGTATAGCATGGGCCATCCGCGGTTGGATGTCTGCCGCGACGACTTGTTGGCGGATCTGTTCAATGAAAGTACGATGGCTAATTAACAGCGTAGTCCATTTGTTCCCGGTTATCTAGCGAGCTCTTGTATAATACCCAATGCCTGCATGCCACCTCCGAGGTCAGTTGCACGATCTGCAGTCTCTGTACTAGATAGACTTGACCATTTCAGCGTTGCTTTTGGGCGTCTGGTAATTATCGATCCGGTTGCCATCATGGACGAGTCCAGTAGCATCATCTGAAAGTAGTGTACATCATAGGCGGGAAATTTAATAGCCAGCGACAGCCAGCCAGCGCGGCGTGATTGACGCGCGCCGAGGGTTATTGGGCCGGCAGCACCCGCAGTCTCCGCCCGAAACGGCATCTCCAACGTCACTCATCCCAAAGCTCCAGCGCCCAACTTCACCTCCTTCCAATGTGAGAGCATCGGGTCACTACTGAACTATGCTCTGTACTGATTACCACTTCAGACCATCCCTTTGCTCATGACCATGAACGTGTGCAAGAGAATGTTGCCGGGCTTGCGCTCTGTCGCAACCAAGCCGGCCTTCGTCCCGGCGCGGAGCTTTTCGGTCTCGCCCTTCATGAGGGAAGCCGCGCCCACTCTGCCTACGAAGAAGCCCGTGGGCGCATTTCGCGGAGGGTATATTCATCCCAGTCTGGACTCTGTATCGGTGCTGAATGGACCACTGATCATGAATTAGAATTTTCGGCTTTCTTTCCGGCGCGCTTGCTGCCAGCGCTGGAGTCTACTTCTATGTCCTGGGAGAATACAGGATCGCGAACGAGATGCTAACTGAAGACATCATTGTACGCATCTTACTTTCCCCGGCTTACTCCCAAGGGACTGCTAATTGTTATCATCAGGCTCTTCAATCGGCGACGCAAAAGCTGCAGACGTACATTGGTGAACTAGAAACGAAGGTCGACCAGCTACAGAAGAAGAAATGAGCTAGGCTAATCGCAAAATCCTGAACTTATTGCATCGTACATTCCGTCACTCTACCTGTCGCTCACAGTCCTGATTGTCATTTTCTTTATTGTTCGTGAGTTTCAACTTAGCATGTTATTTAGTCTGATTGCAGGGTCCGGACGGATGAGCTCCGGAAGGAGGACAGCGATGGATGGTCGCTCAATGGAACCTAGCCCTGTATTACAAAGGAGTATCTGCCTATAAATATTGATGCTTACTTACCATAAAATTCTTGGACATTATAGCTCTGTGACATATCAGTCGAGGTGAATGACAGCGTCATCGACGAAGCTCGCTGCAAACAGGACAAACGGCGCGAGCCACGGGACCGGCTCTTGCCATCATTTTCGCGGAGATCCAGCAACCCGATTTAATCATGATCCCCATCCACCCCTATTCTCGTTCATCAAACCATGTATCACGTCGAACTCCTTCCCAGCACAACCACCCATGCCACCCCAGGATGGACATATGTCCCGGATCGCGGCTTCGACCCAGCCAAGGCGGCCATCACGCCCGCCATCGGCCGCAAACGCGGGATCCGGGATCCAGGCCGAGCGGACCTTTCCTCACGACAGAGCAATGCGATCGTTCGCCATCTAGCAGAACTTGATCGCGAGAACCACCGGGACACTCAAATCCCAATTCCGGTAAAACAGAAAGATGTATCTGGTCGAGGTATATACAACACCCACCCACCCACCCACACCCATCCTCCCCCCTTCCTACTAACCTCCACTCCTTTAGGAACAAGAGGCAAAGTAACCTCCAACGTGCGCCGAATCCTTCAATCCCAAAAGACCTTCCGCAACTACCTCGACGATGAAGAAGCCTCCCTAGCCCAACAAGCAACCACCCAAGCCCAACAAGCCGCCTCCTCCCACCACCGACCCTCCATCAACAAAATCACCAAACCCACTACCACCACCATTCCCTCCTCCCGCCGCAGCTCAACGCCACTCACCACAGTCACAACAAATACAACAAAAAAATCCGACACCTCTCGCCAAAGAAAACAACCCTCCATCGCCCCAACGTCCTCCCGCGCCTCCACCGTAACCACCGCCGCCGAAACAACCGAGCCCGACACCCAGACGCAACCCCGGACAACTCCAGCTCCAGACACAGACACAGACAAAGACGAAGACCCATCCGAAAACACCACCGAACTGATAAAATCCGAACACGACAACGATCCCCTTCTACGATCATATATCCCCTCCGCCCCCTCGGACCGGATCATGCAGGCTTTGATCGCCGAACCACCTTTGACATATAACGCATCTCGTGCAGGGCCGCCGATAACGAGGAAATCGCCGAGGTATTTCTGCTGCATGTGCGGGTACTGGGGGAAGATTCGGTGCAAGAATTGCCATTTGCGGACGTGTGGGTTGGATTGTTATAAGGTGCATGAGGATTCGAGGTGTGGAGCGTTCTTTTGAGGGAGGGATGCTTATCTTGGAATGGGAAAGCGGATAGGTGAGATGATATCAGCCCCTGGGAAAGGGTTGTTCGGGTTAAAGAAGGCTGCTGCTTTGGGATCTAGGTCCGGATTTGCAGACTCGTGTCGCCCTCGTGGCAAGGGACATCACATGTCCTAAGCATTCGGACCATGCTTTACCGACTCAAGGATTGTATACGACGCTGCACCAAACTTATTACTGCAAGGTCGGGATGACACTACTTGCAGAAAAGCACAGCTTACAGGGCTCTCAGGCCACTCCTCGAACAGAAAAGGACTAGAGGACAATTTTGTCCTAATGCGGAGTGACACGGGCATCTCGATGACCTAGCGCCTATACTTATTGGATAGTATGTCTTGCTTTTCTAGCAGTACTGCTAACCAATGCTGTACAATATTCACAGATAGATCAATACTTCAAGTTAATACCAGCTCGTGCTTCCTCCTCACGGATCTCAAACATGACCTGGACTCCAACGAATAGAGCACAGCACGCGGATATGAGGTAAGCGATGCCGGCCCAAGACCCCAATATGCCAGCCAAAAGGCCATTCAATCCATCCATACCCAAGGCAAATCCGACCAGGTTGGCGATCATCATCATTAGGACGTTGCCGACGGCTCCAACTCCGCAGATGAAGCGATACGCTGTGGGTTGTGAGCGCCACCTGCTGGCTGGGAATAGCAACTTGCCAATGACTTCTGGCAGGACGAAGAGGGTAATGAGCCAGCCCCACATGAGGAGACGGGGGTTGATGTCATGCCAGAGAGCAACAAAGGTGAAGACAATGAGCGTGTTGAGGATTTGGCGGGCTTTGGCGTACATCCCGGAAGATTTACCATGGCCAGCACTGCCCCTGCTACCTCCACCCAGAGGCACGTACAGATAGCGCACGATCCAACGGTTGAAGGAGCGGTGCCATGCACGCCAAAAGGACGACGGAGAGTAGTTGTTTGAGACACAGCGTATCATGTTCTCCGTGGGGTCGATTCCATCGACTAAAGCCCAAAGACGGAAGAACCGCCAAGGGATCAATAACTTAAGCCAGATGATATGCAGATTGAAGTACGCCAACATGCTGAGTTGACCGGCTGTGTACAGGGACCAGTCAGGAGAGGCTTTAGAAATGGCCACGGCGTAGATATAATGCAGGATCAGCTCCATGGCAAAGAGCGTTAGGAAAAAGCGAACGCCATAAAGGATGGTTCGAGTCCGGGTAAGAGACGGTGGTGCAAATCTTTGCTGAGAAATGTAGTCGTTGAATGTCACAATGGGACCGGTCAGGTAAAGCGGTGCGTATAGAACGTAGGCGAGGTAGTAACGCCCATTGAACGCGGACGGCTCCGCGGGGATATTGACACGATCACGCTCCGATAGGGCTGCGGGGTCGACTTGTTTCTTCTTATGTCTGTCAGGCATGGTCGTACTCGAGAGGGGACCATGTACTTACTTCGATAGGACTGCCGGCAGGGTAATCAAGACTCCAATAGTAATCCATGTTGAAGCTAATCAACCTGAGGATCGTAATGTTGAAGAGGATCTCCCACCGAGGCATTATACCTCCAAATCCGTCAAGAAAACGGCCCCAGAGTACCAATGGTGCATCCTGTTCTGCACCACCTTGAGACGCTAATAAAGCAGCCACTCGTTCGAGTGGGTAGCCGGCGCAGAGTTCATTGGCAAAGAGCGTTCCAATGTTGAATGTCCAGGTCGCCGCAGGAATATATTTGCGGGGTAAAATTTTGGCGATTTTGTAGTTCACGTATAGAATGGCGAGGACTTTCAGAGCGGAGACACCGTGGAGAGCTGCGATGAACACTAGTGCAAAGTAGAAGTCGAAGCCTGTCCGCTGGGTGAGACGCGCATCCCCGGCAAGGGCTGCTGTGGAAGGCTTAGAGGGGCCGGCATCTGTATTGACTGGGTGCACATAGGAATTATACACGCGGCGAAGCAACGGATGACCGACTAGTAGCACCAGCAGGTAGGGTATGTTGTCGCGGAACGACGAGTACTGAGCATCGGAGTTATCCTAGCAGGAGAAGAGGCAGTTAGCGTCGGATACAGAACGGTTGGACGAGTGATTACCCACAACTTTGCGCCCAAGGATCCAGCCAGGAGACAGTAGGTCAGAGTAAGTTGAATATGTAGGATGGCTTTCTACAAGTCAAGTCAGAATGGCCCCTCCCGCGTCTGAGTTCTAAGCTTACCTTGAGATACACCGATGGCCGTTATGAACATCAATGGCACAGCGATGAGAAAGACGACGTAGTAGATGTAGAACTCGAATGTCTGCCATTTCGGAGGGGAGGCATTGCGAGCAATCGCTTGTGCGCGGGCATCTCTGGCAGAGGCCGGTCGCGTATCGCCTGCGGTGACCTTGGGCGGAGTAGTGGAAGAGACAGTAAGACGAGTGTCTAGAGTATCAAGAGAGTATAGCCCCCGAAGCCACGAGAATACTGAGCGAGGCATCTTAGCACTAGCATTGCGTAGTGCAAGCCCGCAAAGATGAGTGAGGGAAGACAATGAGAGGGAGTGCGGAGAGGCACCGGAACAATAATGCTGGGGAGATCATCGCAGATTCCATTTTTGGCTCAGGGGCGGATCTCCGCTGGGGCAGTGTCAGCACGCCCAACCAACCAACGTTGCTTTTGAATGGTGAGACGGAGAAGGAGATCTATTAAGTATTACACAAAAACACCTCATATCCCACAGATAATTTACTGTTGATAGCCATGGCGTAGATATACCGTGCACATTGGAGGCACCTTGATAAGTGACTAATCCAGATGAACATGTGCTGATTGGCCATTAGACAAACCTTACTGAATATGGACTAGTGTATCCAGATCGCAAGCCAATGCCGGATCAGGAAAGCAGCAGTGGTGGACCCCTCATGATATCAGATGACTAAGCTCCATCTGCTTAACAGGTTCATGGCCAACAATTGCAATTATCAAAACCTCAAACGTTAATGATCTCTTCTATGCTCTGGAAAAGATCATACACATCCATCAAGATGGCATCGCAGCGTGTCAGTCCCCCAACCCCTGCCCACCTGAGTAGCCCACGCGGGACGTTACCTTCTCGGCTACGTCATCTATACCAGTGAACTAACATGGATACCCCAGATTGCATTCAAAGTGTCTGGCACGGTCCAAGGCGAGTTCCCTTCCCATAGATACATCATATCATGTATCCAATATCAAGTCTCTAATACTACAACTTCTTACAGGTGTTGGATTCCGGTAACTATACCCACTCTTTCCCCTACATGCACAACCAACTAAGACACAAACCCCAACTATAGGGACTTTACCCAGCGAAGAGCAGCCGACTATGACCTAAAAGGCTGGGTAAAGAACACTCACTGCGGAAGGGTTCGTCCCAACTTTCTTCCCCCATAGCCTTAATACTATATCATCCCCCCAGCCTTCATCTCCACTGGCATCTCAAATACTGAAATCCCAACCAGGTAGAAGGCGAAGCCCAAGGAACCGAAGAATCCATCCAAAAGCTCCTCAAAGACATCAATAACGGGCCCCGTCACGCTCACGTCGTCAAGTTGGAGAAGAAAGAGATTGCACCAAAGGACGGCGAGGTAGAATTCGGGTTCATGAAGACTTCAGAGTCGGGATATGAGGGCACCCAATAAACTCTTTTCTTTCTCTTCCCATGGTTATTGTGTTAGATGCTAAAGATGGAAATACGGATATACTGGGGTGTTTATGTCGTGGATGCCTAGATGGGGATGGTCTGTCTTGCTTATACAGTACAGTAGCCTATTTTTAGTAGTCTTACCTACGGAGTACGGAGTATGGAAGCGTCACATGAGAGACGAGTACGTACCCAGGTAGACAACTCAAAAAAGAACCGCCAGAAAATAGTAATAGCCAGCCCTATCTCCAAATGTTCACCGGCCTCTAGGCAATAGTACAAAGCAAGTGTCGTCAATGAACGGAGCAGACCCCGGCCCAATCCCGAGTTATCTTCGGCATGCCTTGACTCACTGGACATCCCGGGTCCACCCGATCAGGCGGCCCCCAGGGAGAATGGAACACGGAGTCAATCCTATGCATTTTGATGTCATTCTTCAGATGATATCTGACATGAAGATTTGGCTTTTTGACCTTTCGTCTTTGTAAGACATCTACTTCAGTTTGGTATGTGCATACCACGAGGCCTTGGAAAACAAACTGGCAGATAGGCACACATTCTTCACGTCACATTCTTCACAAAATAAACATCAAGATACTACAAACAAACACAAACACAAACAACAAGCAACAAACCAACCCAAACACCACACCGAGCAAACTCCCCTCCCTCCACTCAGGATGGGATAGGTTAGGATGAATAATCCCCATCCCGACAGACGCCGAATCCAGACCACACGATACAAGCAAACCGTGTAATCCCATAACAGTAGCGAAGTTACCCCGATATTCCTCCACCTATCGCTAGCAATAATGGGGAGTGATTTCAAATTGCTTTGACTTGGACAATACTCACTTATATCCACTTATTCAACTACTGTTATCGATATTGGAGTTTAAGGTGAGAGTATTGAGTGTAGTCTAGGTATAGCATACTGTGATGCCTGGGAGCCTTCTACGTCCGTTCTAGGCTTACAGTAGTAAGACCCACCGGGAAATGCAGGCGGATGGAGCTTGACTGTCACTGCAGGGGAGTGGTATCCCGCTAGTAAGGATGGTAATGTAGGCTATTGAGACCTGGGGGGTTGGATTCGATAGACGATGGATGGGTTTAGATGAATTATGGAGAGGGTGGGATTCAATGCCGAGCCGGGAGTATTAGTACTAGTAAATGGTTTATTGGTGACGCTATCTATCTGCCCCCTTTGTTGTTTGTTATGAGGTAATGGCTGTACTCCGTAGCCCATGTCTGTCAGATGGGAAGTCCATCTTCGGGCTCAACGTGATGGGTACTGGTCATCTGGATAATACTACTGTAGATGATTCCCATCAAAGGATGACTTATTGACCTCTTAAACATCGACAAATAATTCACCATGACGAGAAATCGAAGGTTTAAGGCACCCTCCAGGTACCATGTCTGATGTGGCGGCGGAAGCCCCGATCCAGACCAAGTACCTCCACGAAAATTTCACCCTATAGATCAATAACCATCAGAGGCAAAGTTACCGTGGATACCAATTAACTTGGAAACTCGGCTGAGCAGATTTGAGCCTTAATTGCTTTGTAAATGTCAGAAACCCGGGTCTTGGGGCTGACGGATCTGGATCTTTTCGATCCGCGTGACTTCCCTTGCTGCCGTTTTGTACGGTTCCGGTGGCACTCCGGCTTTTGCCGACCCTCCCATAGAGTCACACCTGGATACGAGGCAGTGAATAGATCAGAAAATTTTGCTGGCGCGGAGTATAAATAGGGAAGGGGGTGTAGCGGGTTGTACATGTAATCAGACCAGACAACGATTACTATAACGAATATCTTATTGGGTTTCATACCATCAATATCCATCAAGTGCTACGATATCACCCCTCGCTGGTTTATATCACGATGAACTCGTTGACAGCCACGGCGCCCATTCGGGCTGCCATCCCCAAGTCATATATGCACCTTACCGCTCGAGGCTACTTCAGTGTCGTTGCTATGAATGGACTGCGATGTAGCAGTTCGTTGGTGGCGAACCGACAGAAGACAGCCGCAAAGCGATTCATATCGACTACACCCAAACCACAGATCAAGGAATTCTTCCCCCCACCAAATGCCCCTCATGTCAAGGAGGTGGAAACAGCCTGGGTTCATCCTATGTAAGCTTACCTCATACCATACTGGCTAGTCAGAAGCTGACAATACCAGCTATACCGATGCACAGATGAAAGAAGTCATTATCGCCCATCGAGACGCAAAGAACTGGGCCGATTGGGTTGCATTGGGAACCGTGCGAATGCTGAGATGGGGTATGGATTTGGTGACTGGATATCGACACCCTCCTGCGGGGAAAGAAAACGAGGCCAAGTTCAAGATGACCGAGCAAAAGTGGCTTACGCGCTTTATCTTCCTGGAGAGCGTGGCCGGTGTGCCAGGCATGGTTGGAGGCATGTTGAGACATCTGAGAAGTCTGCGGCGCATGAAGAGAGACAACGGATGGTATGGTTCCTGCCGGTATATCTTGCTTAAAAGATACTAACATCCTTTAGGATTGAGACACTGCTCGAAGAGGCATACAACGAACGTATGCATTTGCTGACATTCCTCAAGCTCGCAGAACCGGGGTGGTTCATGCGCCTCATGGTTCTCGGAGCGCAAGGAGTCTTCTTCAACGGATTTTTCATCTCTTACCTGCTGTCGCCACGCATATGCCACCGATTCGTCGGATACCTGGAAGAGGAAGCGGTGATCACTTACACGCGAGCAATCCAAGAGATTGAAAGCGGAAAGCTTCCCGCATGGGAGAAGACGGAGGCGCCCGAGATCGCCGTTCAATATTGGAAGATGCCGGAGGGCCAGCGCAGTATGAAGGATCTGCTGCTGTATGTCCGGGCAGACGAAGCCAAACACCGAGAGGTGAACCACACTCTGGGAAACTTAAACCAGGCGGCGGACCCCAACCCGTATGCAGCAAAGTACAAGGATCCGACCAAACCACATCCGAACAAGGGAATCGCGAATCTGAAGTCGACGGGGTGGGAGCGGGAGGAGGTTATCTGAGATCGTCCGATCGATGACTCCCTTGCATGTGTATACGGCGGGACCGATTACCATGCAGATTGCTTGTTCTTCTTTCTTCTTTCTTCTGTCTGACCTTTTTAATTGGCAACACTGGGCTCAACGAGCTGGTGTCCCAAAAGTAGTGATTAGCGTCTTTATTTCCTGCAGATAGATCCCCTCTCAACAATGATAACGAATACCATGGCTTGCAATGTGTTTCAGACCCCAGGTGCGAGATGAGAAGGACTGGCAGCAACCCGGGGATGTTCCTGGCTGAAAGATGGCTTGGAATCCGTGCCGAAGTTTGGATGCGGGGCTTCCAGGCACCGGGGGACGCTAGGCCGAGCCAGGCCAAGGGCCGCCCGGACGGATTGCTGGCTTGGGACTTAATATTAACATTACTTAGGAGTAGTCCATCCACTGGTACGTACTCGACCTCGGCGTGCTGGTGGTACCTGACCCTAGGCAGTAGTACCTAGTCGTAGTCACTCTACTTCTCCCGGCGGAAATAGGAGATAGATTCCCTCCCCCCAATCACCTCCTCATGAGGTGACTCGGCTATTCGTTCAGGGTCCACCGACTGATCAAATAAAAAGAAAGCGACTTTCCTATAAATAATCCTCGCGCAGTTAATTATCTTGCCAGTCCGCACGTCCGACAAAGACGACGTGTTGGCACCGCGGCCATCGACCCGCTTCCCCCCTTTAGTGGTAAAAATCCCCCTTTCGCGCCCCCCAAAATTAATTTCGTCGGCCGATCGATCACCATCACCAGTCACTCATCCGAGCACTTATCCCTATTTTTAATCACGTCAAAACGTTCGCGCCCCGACGACCACCTGTCCTTTCTTGCTTAGTGTGAGGCATACCCATATCTCGCCCAAACCGGATCTGTGCCTCCAACGCCAAACCGTTGAGATCTATCGTCTGCGAAAGTACTACCCTCCGTTCGAACGAGCCCTCAAGATTAACGTGCGCCATCATGGATGACTCCCTCGAGCCCGAATTCATGGCCCCTGTCCGTGCCTCCTCGCCCTCCCCCTCCATCCCAGCGACGCCGGCCATCTCCTCTTGCCCGTCCCCAGACCGGACCTTTTCAACCGTTTCCTCTCTTTCGACATCTTCCGCCACTTCCGCCGATGCCAGGTCCTCCGTTTCCATCTCGTCCAAACGACGAGGGTACATCCGTCCTCAGGGGGCCGAGTTTGCGGAGTCCGCCAAGAACCGGGAGAGTGTCATGAGCCTGGGTAGCATTGCTCATCTGCAATACTACTTTGCGCGGACAGGTCTACTGGATGGCAAAGGTGCTCAAGCTCGTGATTGGAAGAAGAAGAAACCGGAGGATATGCCGCGGCTACTCCTGACCCCCAATGCCCGGTTTATCGACGACCTGACTGCCAGTCCAACCAGTGCTAGCCCCACGGAGGAAGAAAGCATGGATCCGCTGGACGAGGTGTATGATGACGAGGTTGAAGTCATGCTGCCTCCCACGGTCAGCACCTACAGCATCAAAACACACCACATCCCACCCCCACCCAAACTCAAGGCTCTGCGGAAGGATTTGCGGGATGCGATGGAGAAGGCCGAACGCAGTATCGAATCCATCGACTCCCAGAAAGAACCACCGGCGGAGATGGTCCCCCCTCGGATTAGTCTTTCGAGTGATGATGGACCTGACAGTGCAGACGACCCCTCGCGTCAGGTGCCCGCGGAAGCGACCCCGCAGACCTGGCAAGAGATCCAGGGCATGCGGGTCTTAGATACTGTCACTTTTGCGATCCGAGCCGCCAAGATCTACTACACTGCACATGAACGGCCCGACCGACTCGCATCCATCAAAAATGAGCGCGACATACGGCAGGAGCTGTTCAATGTGCTGGAGGTCTTGAAGCGGTGGGCGTCTCGGAATTTCGCCGACGGACTGCGCGATGACGAGCGGTCTGCCATTGTAGGATGGATGGCCAATGTGCGAGACATGTTGGCCCGCGAGGCCCAGTTAGAGTCGTTTGAAGCCAAAGAACGAGCAGCCTGGCTTTGGACCGAGGGGGAATGGCTGGGTAAAGAGCGGGAACGAGAGACATTGTTCCTGCGTAGTCTGATCGGCGCCGACGCGCAGCTTCCGACATGGACTGCGCCGGAGGAGAACTCACCGCCACCCGCCCTGCTGGAGAAACTGCGGGATGGCCGCGACCTGGTGCGCGCACATAACTTTGCCGTCAAGAACTCGAAGCGACCGTTCTTCGACATCAAAACCTACCACGAGGATGTTGCCAAGCCATACCGACGTGCCGAGAACCTGCGTTTCTGGGTGAAGGCGGCAGAGCTCCGATGGGAGACGAAGCTGGAGCTGGATGTGATGGGGATTGTACACGGCAACAGCGACGAGGCCTGGAAGCAGTTCGACACGGCTCTTCTGGCCTGGTGTAAAGTGGTCCGGGAAGAGCTCGTCCGGGACTGGCGGGAGAGGAGAGCGTCTGCAGCGAGCCTTCCCCCAGACGATCTAGTGATCCGACCTGCCTGAGGGGCACCGGAGCGGTATACATTCACAACCTCGCTGGAGGGGAAAGTTGAGTTCTAATGATGGGGACCCATTGGGAGCGATTGGGACCACGTATGGCGACTGGTTATTGCGTTTGTTTGCTGTCCACTCCGACCACCTTGATACCCCTTACTTGTCGGAGTGCAGTCGGGTTTGAATTTTCTGGTTTCGCACCTCTTTTTCTGCTTGCTCCCGACCGGAAGGCTGGGGGCGGGTCTATAAATTCGTGTTCTCTACGCTCCTTGGGCTGTTCTTTGTTCCGATCAGCATTCACTTCTAATTCCCACTATTTATCTCTAATTGCCTTCTTTTGGTTTATATTTTGCATTGGGGGTCGCGGGAGGGTTCCATGGATGGGCTTGTACATAAGACGGCTGGCAGGCTGGCAGGCTGGCCGAGAGGCTGGTAGCGAGAATGCCATGTTTTGATTTCCGGATGCTTAGCAATGTTCCTCAGTAAAAACCGAGGGAGATAACAAACGACGCGCCCGTGTAACGGTGCGCGTTCTTGGTGGGCCGGGATTAGAGTTCACCGACGGAGGGAACTGAAGTTGGAAAGGAAATTTGCCTTGAGAGTTCAGGTTCAGGGAGGTTCGTTCCTCAGGCGGGTGATCGGCCTGAGACCTGAAGGGGCCAGGTTGCCGCCGCCCCATTCATTCTCCCTCCATTCCGGGCCTCTTCCTCCCTCTCCCTCCCTCTCTCGCTCTCTGCTTCTTTCTTGCACACTGCTGCCCAATGCTCTATCATGTAGCCGGGTCTTCCCGACGGTTCTTTTTTCTGGTGCTGAAGAACACACACATTAATCCCCCCGAGTGCAGCCGGTTGCCCAACCGAAGTGCATCTTCCCAGCCTGACTGATTGATTGCCCGGCCAGCCTGAAACCGGATAGGGGGCAGGCCAGAAAGCATACTAGCTGACATAGCCCGCCGCAGTGTTGGCGCATCCTCAGCCCATCAACCACATTCCTCCACCCACCGTCGTTCTTCACTAAACCGTTTAGTCCCTTTGATTTTACAGGCCAGTGCGGTCGCCTCGTGGATCGCACCCATGCGTGCCATGTCCGCCGCGTCAACGGCCACCACTGCGACTGCCGACCCCCCGGATTCCGGGCCCAACTTGTCCACGTCGCAGCTCTTCTCCCCTCCTCCTCCTCCTCCACCCGCCGTGTCTATCTCCGCCGCCGACAAAGCCACACCGCGACGAATCAAGTCCAAGTCGTCCCTACGAAGCCTCCGCAGTTTCGGGAGTACCAGTCATCACGAAGACGACGCCGACGAATCTCACGATCCTGGTTCCGACAAATCGCTCATCCGCCCGTCCATTCTCCGCCGCTTATCCCCCGGCCTCGCCGCCCGCGTCAAGTTACTGGACGGCAGCAACAAAACCAATAGTCCCTCTCGGATCGCCGGCGCAGTGGGTCGGATTCCAGAGGAGCACATCAAAGAGCTTGAAAGTTTACACCAGAAAGCATCATCTATTAAGATCGAAAAGAAAGGTCGCGCGTGGAATGCTCTCCCACGGCTTCACAAGGACAAGAAACAGCAGCAGAGTGATCCCGGCTATTTAGAAGTTCCTGACCCAGAGCTACCGGAAGAGATACTAGAGGAGCTGGAGGAAGCGGCGACACCTCACTCGGACCGTCTCTTGGATCTGCTTCTGGGCCAGGAGTCGGCGCAACTGGAAGAGCCCAGCTTTAGTGAAGACGCGATCGAGCCAGAGCCCAAGGTACCCACACTTGCAGAAGAGGCAATTGAAGAGCCGGTGATATCCACACTTGCAGAAGAGGCGGTTGAAGAGCCAGAGGTATCCACACTCGCAGAGGAGGCGGTTGAAGAGCCTGAGGTATCCAGACTTACAGAAGAGGTGATTGAAGAAGAGCCGGAGGAGGAGCCAGAAGAGCAAGTGGAAGAGCCCACGCTCACAGAAGTGGTTGGAGAGCAACCAGAGAAGATAGTTGAAGAGGTGGTCGAGGAAGATCCAGTCATGTCTATTGTTCAGCGTGCTCCAGTACCACTGGTCCCCGGGCCAGCCACGCAATCTGACATATCCGAAAAGACAGATTACGAGAAATACTTACAAAGCACCAGTGACAGCGAGTCGCATCCACCCCCTCCCCCGCCCAAAGAGACTTCGCGCCCGACATCAACCATTTCATCTAACTCTCAATCCTATTTCAACCCTCAAGGCCTACAGCGCACCGAATCCATCTACTCCTTCTCGCGCGCCTCGTTTAGCAATCAACTCTCCCAGCTCACGTCCATCGCCCTCCCGCAACCGTCTGTGCTCGAGGCTAGTATTGCCACGATAGCAACCGCCCCGGCGGCGGTTCGAGCGCTGACCGGGGCTGCGGAGCAGATTCAAATCTGGGTCAAGAAGGCGTCCGACGTGTTGGGCGGGCTGGATGCGGAAGACGAGGTGGAATGGGCGGCTGCGGCCGGGCGAGAGGGCTTGGAAGGGGTGGACAAGGCGATAATCCGGTTCGAAGGATTAATCAATGTCTACGTCCGGGCAATCGAAGACGTCCAACTGCGCGACGACATTGGTATCGTGAGTACCGACAGTCTGCAGACGATCGTGGTGCAGATGGACACCATCATCCAGAGCTGGGCGCAAATCAAGAATCGACTGCGGGGGGTCAAAGAGCAAGTGGAGTTGGCGATGGAGTGGGAAGAGCTATGGGCGAATGTCTTGGGCGATGTTGGGGCCGAGGTTGAGAGCCTCAGTGAGCTGATCTTCGAGATGGAAGAGAAACGGCACTGGACGCTCGCCGGCGAGCAGGACTCCAGTGCCTCGGGACTTGACATCAGCGAGCTGGAGACCATCGTGGAAGAGACCCCGTCGAGCCGACGGATGTTGTCTGGCAAACGGCTCAGCATCGATCCCATCCTGACTGGACCGCCCGCCCTCGACATGCCCGTCATCCAAACCCCGCAGGACGACACGAATCACTCGAACCTGATCGCGCTGTTTGCGCGGATTCAACCGCTGCGGGCATCGCTGGATTTCCTACCGATGCGGCTGTCCATGTTCCAGTCACGGGCCGAGAAGATCTTTCCCAGTGCGTGCCAGGATCTCGAGGAACGGCGAACCCAGCTCGAGAAACGCTACCAGACGCTGGAGGCGGACGCGGACGCGCTGCAGAAGGAGCTGAACGAAGACCGCTGGATCCTGGTGTTCCGCAATGCAGGCGGACAGGCGCAGAAGATGTTTGATTCGGTGGAGCGGAGCATCGCCAAATTGCAGGAGGCTATCGAGACGGGGGTGCATATCCACGACCCGCCACTGTTTACGAAGCGGGTTGAAAGCTACGAGGCTAAGAAGCAGCACTACGTGGCCGCGATCGAACGGGTGGTGGGCATTATTCGCAAGGGGGTCAACGACCGACTCACGGTGAACGGCGAGACTCTGCGGCTGCTGTCGGATATGACTTCGCGAGTCGACGCGTTGAGGGCGAGTATCCGGGCCATGGATGACTGGCTGGAGGACATCAACTTTGTCCGATCGCAGCATCTCCGGGACTCCATCTCCAGCATTGTCACGATGGATAGCCCTTTGACCGGCAGCGTGGCCGATACTCCGGGCAGTTCGCCGGCCTCGTCGGTGGTCATGACACCCGCCAACCCTCTCAAGGGATGTGCGACGCCCATGGGGACGTCCAGCCGGCGTGGCAGCTCGGTCAGTTCGGCAGCGCGCACGACGATGTCGAAGATGCGACGGTACTCGGGCATTCCGCAGGCGGCGACGACACTGACGAGCAAGAAGTCGGCCCTTCCCAAGGCTACCACTACACTCACGGCGCGGTCGCCTAGTCGAGCCGGAGCGGTCACCCCCACGCCCGCCGCGCGTAAGTCGGGATCCCGGCCGCCAGCACAGACGCCATCGGCACTGGCCAACCGTCCGCGGTGGACCACCAGCACCAACACCAACGATTTGTATACCAGCAAGCCCAACCCGTCACCGGTGCGCAAACCCTCCAGCCGGCCCGCGTCGACGGTTCCAATGGGACCGTTCCGGCGCGACATGTCGATGTCCCCTGGACCGATGACTGCGCGGTCCTTGAGTCGGGTGTCCAGCCGGCTGGCGTCGCGCAGTCCGGTGCGACAGGGCTCCCCTACTCCTGGGGGGTCACTTCTGGATCCTCCGCCGTACAGCAAGCTCCGGCGGCCGGAGGGCATGTCGAATGCGCCGCGCAGCCGGCAGAGCTATGCGGGGTTGTCCTTCAGTCGCAGTGTATCACACGACTACGACCGGGGTCTGGCGAGTCCGACCAAGGCGCCGCGGCCGGGGACGGCGCTGGGGCATTCAGCGAACCGACGGATCAGTTTGATTCCGTTACCGAAGAGCAAGGAGACGTCACGCAGCAAGCTGGGGGAGCGACCGCCGTGGCGGTTTTCGGGGCATTAATAGCATTTCCGGGGTCATTGTTTCTAGCATTTCCGTTTTCTTGCATTACTTCACTCGTGTACTATGCATTGGCAGCGGTTGGGAGCCAGTGGTGTCATATACCAGATTGCTTGATGCCGGTTGTTAGATTGATTCCCCACTCGCATTGATTTAGCGGAGTCTGACTGGTCTGTATTTGGCGGGTAATCTATCTGTCTTTGTATGAATTGATTCATTGAGCGTTACCAGCGATAACCAGTGGTCCTAAACAAGTGATCTTCCAATGATGAGAGCATCTACCAGGTCGGGGCTATTGGCCAAACGAGCAGCGCCAGGCACCCGGCCAATGGTTTGGAACCCGAGCTTCTCCCAGATTTTGACCGAGGCCACATTATTCTCAAAGACAAGGTTGAAGACGGAGTATTTGTAGCCCTATACCTATCAGCCTCCCTCCACCACCATCATCAAGGAATAGAACGACTTACCAACTTCGGCGCCACCTCCAAATACCCCTCCCCCATGACTCGTCCCACACCCCGATTCCGTGCTGCGGGGGTGGTGAAGAACCCCCCGTTGCAAACATGCGAACAACGTCCTATCCACATATACTAATTAGCCTCCATCCATCCTCTTCCCCCGCTCAACCCTCAATTGAATGAAGAGAGATAGCCATACCCGGATAATTCGGCTTCACATAAAACGTCCCCAAACAACATTCCTCCCAGTTTCTGCCCTCCCGTAACCCATCTTTCCCCTTATCCCCATTCCCTCCCCACCATCTTGGGTTTGATCCTCATCCACAACCGCAACAACGGCAAACGTCCCAAACCAATAACTCCGATAGAGGTCATACTCCATGGGCGATTCCATGGGATAAGTACATCCTTTTTCGATCTCGAGGGAGAATTGTTCGTGTAGGTAGTGGGTTAGGGAGGAGGGAGGGAAGATGGGCCGGTGGTTATGGGGTAGAGGGTGATTTTGGTACCGTCGCGGAGGGTTTTGGGGATGGAGATGGGAATGAGAGATTTGGGGAGGGAGGGGGGGGGGGATGTGGGTTGTTGGATCTTCGAGGAGGGCGGGCATTTTGCTGTTTTTCTTTGGGGGATTGTCTTTTTGAGGAGGGGGTGGTTGAGTGGTATGTGAAGGGATTGGATTGAATTGAAGGGAGTGAAGATGGGAGGAGAAGGGAGGGTACCTAGATATATGTACTAAATGTAGGTAACTAGGTATGGGTTTGGTTGTGTGGGGTTGGAGATTGGAGATGCGATTGGATGTCATTGATAGGGCGTGGACTACTACTAGTAATATCTATATCTGGTTTTTGGTTGAGTTGGGTTCAGGTACGGTGGGTGGGGCTTTTTCCGGGGGATTTTATAAAGTATTAGGGTGTGTTGGATGGTAGGTACCTAGGCTACTGGTATATAGTTATCTATGGGTTTTTCTTAATTGAATTGATGGAATTGAGGATTGTAAAGTTGGAGTTGTAGATGTGGGATGAAAGTGCATATCTGCAGGTTAGCCGTGCTTATCAGTCCGATCTCGGCATGTTCGGGTGGGTTCCGTACTTTTTATACTCACTTGCAGTTGGATATTCTGGATGTATTCTACATAGTATACTGGAGTACTTTTAAGCATCATACAGGAATACATAGCTCATTTATACTCTACTTATCAACATAATCCGTACTATTTCCACTCAAGACATGACCCCAGACATACACACAGAACCATCCATTCTATTTCATATATACATACACATCTATCGTACAATCAGGGTATCCTTCTTCTTTTCTTCTTTTCTTCTTTTCTTCTCATCTACCCACTATTCATTTCTTCCCCTCTCCCTCCCCCTCCCCCTCCCCATCCTTATTCTGAATCGCCTGCATCAACTCATACAACTGTCCAATCTGCTGATCTGCACCCATCAATTAGCAACCTTCCCAACCAAAATCCCTAGAAAAAAAAGGAAGAAAACACACCACTCATCTTATCCAACTTGGCCTTCTCCAACTTCTCCCCCACCCACATATCCCCCTCCAGTTTCTGAGCATATAATTGCCATTCGGTAAGGAAGCCGATCTACCCATTCCATCACCACAGTTACCACAATTAGCCATCCACAACCACCACAACCACATCCACCAAGTATAAGAAACAGGACATACAATATGCAACGGATTCTCCACATTCTTATGCGCCCTAAATTCACTCTTCACATATCCATCCCGAGGATACGCATCTCAGGGTCGAGTTTCTTCCGATGCACACGGAGAATCCGTCGGTAGAGCGGAAGCGGAGGCAACAGGGCCAGGGCATCGGAGAGACTGGATTTGGATCCGAAGGTGGAGGGCGTGGCGAGGCGGGTGGCTGTGGGGGCGAGTCTTAGGAAGGACATGTTTCTTATTCTATGCTGCGCTGCTGTGTCGGGATGGAGGGGAGGTGAGGTAGGTAAATGAGGGAAGTTCAAGTCCGGGGAAAGATGCGGTAATACTGCCGCTAACAAGGCGGGAGTTAACTTTCTGGGAGATGTGATTGGTCAATGGGTATCAGATTAGCATAAATTGCATTTATTTTATCACCCAGCACCAGCACCAGCACCACCAGCGTCATCATCGTCCTTCTCTATACGATACCACCTATACCCACCAACCCTCTCCCCCTCCCCAACAGAAGCACCACAACCAAACACCCAAGAACGAAATAAAGACAGAAAAAAAATGCTCCCCACCCCCTCCACCTCCCACGTCTCCTTCAGCACCATCTACGAACCCTCCGAAGACTCATATCTATTCCTCGACACCCTCTCCTCAACAACCGAATCCACCTGGCTAAAATCCCACTTCGACACCACCACAACCCCCCCCTCACCCCTAATCCTCGAAGTAGGCACCGGCTCCGGCGTCGTCCTCGCCTTCCTCACCGCAAACTCCCACCACATCCTCGGTCGAACAGATGTTCTTGCTCTCGGAACGGACGTGAATCGGAATGCGTGCGTCGCGACAAGACAAACTGTCGTGGGGGCTATTGATGAACAACAACAGACCCCCACACCCAGTTCCACAACCACATCCACAACCTCACCATTAACATCAGAAGAAAAGGAACCCAAGGGAACTACAAGATCAATAATAACATCCACCCTCCTCAGCGACCTCGCATCCCCTCTCCGCCCCGGAACCATCGACATCCTATTATTCAACCCGCCATATGTACCTACGCCTGACCTACCCGAGATTCCCACCACAGCATCCAACCATGATATATCGGGGCTATCCAGCAGTGAGAGATTCGCGCGAGAGTCGTATTTGCTTTCGTTGACGTATGCGGGCGGGAAAGATGGGATGGAGACTACGGACCGGTTGTTGCGGGATATACCCCGGGTGTTGGCGGAGAGGGGAGTGGCGTATGTGTTGCTTTGTGCGCAGAATCGGCCGAGGGAGGTGGTGGAGGGGATTTCGCGGTGGGAGTGTGCTGAGGAGGGGGGGAGGTGGTGTGCTGAGGTGGTTGGGAGTAGTGGGGTGCAGGCGGGGTGGGAGAAGTTGGTTATTGTGAGGGTTTGGAGGGAGTATAGTGTTTAGTATTGGGATTTGGGATTCATTTTGGGATGGGAATGGGAATAGAGAATGGTTTGGATGGATGGATGGATGAATGGATGTAGAGTCCGACTTGATTGGATTCTTCTCTGTTCTCATCGCGATGCGGATTAGATGTAGGTACAGTACAGTACAGTAAGTTCTTGATCGGTCCAATTCAACCCGACCTGTCATCATGCCAATGGCATCATCATCTCTCATCCTTTCGATGACTCCACTTAGATAGGTGGACGTGCTGGAGGCCATCTATGCATACCTCCTCAGCCAGATAAACGTAGGGAATAAATACTTTCAGCCTAATCCCCAACCCACCCAGCCATAACAAGCAACAGTAACGAAGAAAAAAAACTCCGATCCTCAATAAAAAGCCAAGCCACGCAATGTAAATTCCCCCCGCTTAGAATCCACGGCCCCGGCCACGACCACGACCACGACCTCTACCACGAGGCCCGCCGCGACCACCCCGACCTCCGCGGTCCGCTTCCTTGCGCGCCTTGTTCTTCGGCTTAGGTGTATCGTCAATCAGCAGCGTGTCCAGGGGCAGACTATCGGGGAGGATGTAGTAACGGATTGTCGAGCCGCGGATGTTGATGGTGTCGAGGGAGATGGGGTCGCGGCCCTTGGGGGTCATTTTGACCGTGCGGAGGGAGGTGTTCATCTGAGGGGAGACGGAGGTGATGGTGCCGTGGAGGATGGTGCCTGATTGGGGATTGTGTTAGTGGATGGGAGAATCGAGTGGTTTGGGAGGTGGGTGGGTATGTATGTACCATTCTTCAACTCGATGGTCACCGTCTCGTTGGCGCACTTCATCAGAAACCTGGAGGGTGTCAGCGCGTTATTCGCGTGGGCAGACCGCGCATACTTACCGGACGAGCTTCATGGTGGTGGTTTACGCGAAGAGAAAACGACAGATACGTGGGCGAGTCGACACAGCCGGCTCAGACAGTTTCTCGAGAGGAGGTCGTTTGGCGATGGCGGCTCAGAGGCTGAGCTTGGCTGAGCTTGGCTGACCGCCCGGCACGTGACCGCTCCTCCCTCCTATGGTAGATATACTGCTACTCTACGCTTCATTCAATCTAGCCAATACCATATCCTAGCCTATCAACGCTTACAGAAATCGCTTCATGGTATCTCGTAGAATGCCGAACATATCACAAACGCCCACGTCCGAAAGTTACAGAACCCCGTGCCGCGCCTTGAAGATCGCGATCTTGTCATCGTAGAACAAAATCTCCCGCAGCCGGAATGACACCCGAGACTTGTGGCAGTCCATGTCCGAGTCCTCCCCATCTGACGATCCTCGGTCGTCCGACGACAGATCAGAGTGCGAATCCATCGCGCTGACCGCGCCATCGTCCTCGGACTCGTCCTCGTTGGTGTCGGACCCCGCCCACTCCTCGCCCCCCGGCACGAACCCTTCGCTATGATTGTCGTCCGTGTCATAGATTTCCGCCGCGTCCCCGTCCTTCGCCTCCAGGATCTCATAGCATTTGTTCTGCACGCCCACATACGTAATGCCTACCTCCGGGCGGATGGTCACGATATCCAGAATCATCAGAGCCAGCTCCTTCGGGTCCCGGTGCACTTGTCGAGCAATGTGTGGCACATGGAGCGAGCGGAGCTGAGCCATATACGGAAGCCGTTGTAGGAAGTAGTGCTAGGAAAGTCAGCAGAGGCCATCATAACGTTCAGTAGACCTACCCAGTCCTTCGAGTGGAGAGCCACTGAAAGCTCCCGCAGCCGGGGCATGCGTCCACTGCTAAGAAAAGTGATCATCTGGCGTGTGAACATCCATTTGTACCATCGGACACTGGGCATCTCGCTTCCCCCGGGCGCCCGCTGGGTGCTGTCCACCAGGATCTTCTGTAGGCTAGAATGGTGGGGTCGAATCGCGTTCTTGTAGATCGCGTCAATGTGTACAATTGAATCGTACATCGGCGCCTCATGCAGAAACAGCGTTTCCAAGGTGTTGGGCGCAAGAGTATCTTTGATAAACAGCAACAGATAAGGGGACACTGCATCCGTATGGATATGCTTGAGCTTCAACCGATACTCAGAGCCACTCTGATCGCTTCCGTCGCGTTTCCCATGCTTCGAGCGTGAAGCTGTTGACGGCGAGAATTGCCGGCGAAGTGCTCGCCAGAGCTTCTCGTGGCCATCGCAACGGAAGATCGTCAGTGTGGTCAGCCGTGTCCAGTCGAGCGCGTGCAACACCACCGGAATGGACAGGATGACGCGCTCTAGCTCTAGAGTCTCAATCTTCAGCTGATGGTCAGCACCGGACACGGCAAAGGACACTTCCGTAGAAGTGTTTGGCACCACTCGGGACGTTTTGGCCCCGACGGCAGACGGAGGCTCCTCTGGCTGATTCGATATCTGCGTCGTTTGCAGGTCCGCCGTAATGGCAGCGACGTCGGCCGGTAGGGGCGAGGTCCCCGGAGAGGCGCCAGTGGCGCCAGGATGAGCCTGCAAACCCTGGCTAATCTCCGGCTGACTTCCAGGTGGCTCTTGCTTAGAGGACGCCTCCCCCTGAGCCGGTTCGGGGCCCGTGAGCTCCTCGGAACTGCCTAGTACAGCCCCAAGTACGCCACCGGATTTAGGCCATCCTGGAGGCCAATTGGCTCGAGACTGCTCAAACTGCCAGCTGCCAGCTGGCTTCAGCCAGGTCGCTTGGTAGACCTTGTTAGAAATCCCAATACGAAGTTCTTTCAGTCGGTGTCGGGACCGCTCAATAAGCACGGCCATTTCTTCGAGATACGAGGGTTCATCTATGTCAAGAACACTCAGGCTCTTGAGTGGTGGAAGTATCGACAGAGAGGGGTATTCTACATGCCCATATCTCTGTGACAGTGAGGGACTGGTAGCGCCAGCCAATGCAGCTTGCGTCTCCGGAAGCGTCACGGAAGATGCGGTAGGAGGCCCGGCCAACGGACGCATGGTATTCTCAGAGTTGTCGTGCCAACGGACCCAAACGCGCTCCAGGCGGCATTCATGACCGGGCCGATTAGCTAGCGACGAAAGTGCAATCCACACATCTCTTAAGACCCCTGTCGGCATGTCCCAAACGAACGTCTCCAGATTCACCATCCGAGCTACCGCCAGAGCAACCAGTGTTCCCAGCATTTTGCCCGTCTCTTTCGTCACAGAGTACTCTTGGACCCACGCCAGGGGACCGTTCCCGACCGAGAACTTGCGAGTATACTGTGCGTAGTAGTTGCCGCGACGTACTCTCATCAGTTTATCCGACTCGTCGCGGGGGGCGGGGTTCCTGCAACCGCAATGAGGACACGGGTGCGCCCATCTGGGAGGTAGCTCTTGAAAGATGTCTTCCCCCATAACCAGCGTGGCAAGTCCGTAGGAGAGAGCGTCCACACCAGCTGGGTGGTCCGAGGACGATAGAGTCTCGGGCCAAACAATATCAAATCGCGAATACATCTGGGGAATTGCCAAGGCATGGAGGGCGGAGCAGGTCAGGGCTAGAGACGTCAGGTCATTCGTATGCGTTACCTAAGGCACCGAAGTGTCAGTTCTGTCGAAGCAAGATTGTTGTGAATCCTGGCATACCTCTTTAATGATCTCTTGTAATATATCCATAGGCAGATCCAGCAGCTTGAGAGGCGCCTTTGTCACATGGGGCATCATGCCACTCCCAGAATGACCGCCCTGATTTCTCGAGTCCACAGTTTTGAGAATGCCATTGGGAGCAGCCGGGATATCCTCTGCCTTGATTGTCTCCTCAGATCGCTTCTCTTGCCGCTCCTCGGACCCATGAGAAGTCGTGCTGGCACTGGACACGAACTCTTCGTCCTCATCTGATAGAGTACCCAGATCGGAATCGGCTCTATTTCCGAGATACAAGCTGGAACCGGCCATATTGGTGTCGGAGGATATAGCGTAATAACTGCCCATGATGACTGAGGGGCTCGGGACAGACACCAAACAGAACGACACTCGAGCTGCCCGGGTGCGGTTGGATTTCAGGGTGCTTCGGAGCAAGGTCCTGGACCGGGGGCTGATCGTCGTGATGATAGGATGCTAGTAGCGGAACTGACGGGATCGGATCCGGGGTAAAGAGCAGTCGAAGAGATGATGGGGCGCAGTGGGAACACAGCCAGACCGAACCAGATGGTACCGCAACGAAGAATCGCCAATCACGCACCGGCGGTCGGATGCATAACTCAGGTTTGCATGCCACCTCAGCACGGCGACGAGTCTAGGTAGGTAGGTAGAGATTCGAGTCCAGCTGGAGAGAGTTGACTGGGAAGTGGAGGATTGGACGGAGGATTGGACGGAGGATTGGAGCTGCGCAGTGGGACGCCGTCCACTTGCCGGCCCCGAGGGTGGTTGGGGCCGCCCGTTCGGGTTTAGTGCCGTGATGATGTGACAGCGGCCAGACCCGTGACTATCACGAGTTGTGAAATATACCAATTACCAACATTTCTATCTGACAATACACAGTACACCAGTACACCATCACACTACAAGAAAGCAGAGACACATACACTGCCTGTATCCTCAAGACAGAGCACATCGCAGACCCGACCAACAAAGCCATCAAGCCCTGATGGCACACTGGTCCCCTGTGCAGACGCCAACGCCGTGGATGCTCCAGGCATCAGAAGCACCCGCGACCCAATTTCAATCCATTCGACCGACGTCACAAACGCAAACGTGATTTTAATGTCACCCTGTCCTGGACTGCCAGACGACCTGACCATCTCTTGGACGCCTGCCTGGGAATCCCGTTCACGGGCGGGAATATCACCATCGAAACTGAAAAACTCCGGCTCCGTTGGTGACGGTGGCCTCGAGATGACCTCATCCTCTGCAAGCGCCATGCAGGCCAACTTCACCGTCGTGCGGACATTCGCTACGTATACAATGGCATTCCCCCCCAGCAGCACGGGTGGAGAGAGGGAAGAAGCAAATTCACTAGACGGAAAGCTGGCCACGAATCCGGTGTGAAACCAAAGGTGTCGGGGTATAGAAACAGACGGGGTCGACAGCTTGACCAAGATGGTGCCTTTCCGTATCTTCCCAAGTCGTGGCGGCTCTCCGTCTGCTGTCGGGGGCAGAGGCTCGATCCCAATCGTACCAACTTGGTCTTGGGTTAATTTCTGAACCGGAAGTCGCAGATTCCGTACACTGACTGCGCGAACACGTTGCCAGAGCGCTTGGATGGGAAGAGCCGTCTTCCCAGGGAGAGAGCCTTGCAGGAACGATGTCGAGAAGTCTCCGGAGACAGGCCTGCTCCGATAAGAGCTAGGCTGCTGCGTGCCATCCATCCGTTTTTCCGATCGACTTCTTCGACGCTGTAGGCAACTTCCATGGTCGGACAGTGGTCCGATGAGCAGTTCGTCTCCGGCTGAGATGGCTCCGTAGCGGACCAGACCACAGAGGACGACACCGTGGGTTTCTTTCCGTTGCTGCTCTGCGGCCATTGAGTAGACCTTCGATGGTGGGATAGCAAATACCTCGTCGACATCAAAGACATTTTCGGGTACACTTGGAGGCGTCAATGTCTTTGGTAATGAGACGTCTCTTGAGGGTGGCCCCGCAGGGATGGGGAGGTATCGGAGGAGAGCATGCAGCTTTCCTATGCCTGAGCCGTCGACCGCACTGGTAAGTACGATAGGGACGGCCGAAGTCCAGCTCTCTGTCGTAGAGATCAGTTTCCTTACCTCGTCCGTATCTCTCGACCCACTGTGTTGTAGATTGACTGTCTGGGCAGTTTGAACAGACATCATGGCTGGCTTCTTACCAGACGACTTGAGAGCTGAGAGTACTTTGGCAAGGGTATTCCGCAGGCCCGAGCGCGATGCAATGTCCATCTTAGTAACTACGACGATGATAGGCAGACCCATCTTTGCACAGAGTTGCAGATGTGACAACGCTAGTGCCATGTCTGCAGGCTGCTCAAGAGCAGATTGGCCGGGCTCCTGCGAGTTCTCGTCATCGCACGTTGCCGGTATGCACAAGAAAACGTAGTGAGGAGCCCAGCCAATCATGCCTCTCAGTGTAGACTTTGAGTAGCGCACTGAACCAGGGAGATCGGAGACAAAGGCTAAGCGACCTCCCTCAGAGGAGGCATGGATATCATCCCATGCGGCAACATTGCCAGAGGCATAATTGATCACATCGACGTTGTGTGCCCTAGTTCCATCGGCAGCGTAGCCGATTAACTCATGGGCAACGGAGCTAGTGATTCCGGACGAGATTTCATGTCGATGCTTGAGCAGATGTAGTCTACTCGTTCCTCTTCCATTGTCAAGTACGGACGAGGTTAAAGTCCCTAGAAGAGACGACTTTCCGACCGCACTCGGACCAGCAATGGAGATACGGATCTGCTCAGTATCGGAAGAACCACTCAACGGGTCATCCGCTTTCGCACGATCCGAAGACGATTCCCCCTTCAGTCGAGCCTTTTGGGGAGTCTCAACGCGGTAGAAGTCCCAGTCAGGACTCACCAACGCCTCGGCGACCCAGAGACTTTCCATGTGAACCTTTCCAGCATCCACAGTTTCAGAAAATGGATCTTCGGCCCATTCGCAATTGCCAACAATTACTCGGCGAAGCACATCGACCTTGCAGCCCAAGCTCGCGGCCATAACCTGCAGAGTGGATAGACTTTCCTCGAGCTCATCTTGAGAGAGTCCAACAAACGTTCCATCATCCGCAACACCAACTTCATACAATGCGCCCTGACTTTCTTCAAGCCCCGGAAGTAAGCGAGCCGGCTTTTGTGTGGCCCCCAACTGGGGAGTCGCCTCCGGAAGAACGGGTAGCACGAGATTGGCAGTTGTGGATGAGTGAAAGGGCGAGGACTGCTGCAAGCGCCATAGCAACTGCGTTGTGAGATGCTGCAATCTCTGCTGTCGACTTTCAGTTGAACGGGTCTGTTGCGGCCTCACGGTCGAGTCGTAACTCGATGGCGTGGGACTATCCGCGGACAAGCTCGCCCGGAAATGATACGATCCTCCTACGAGGTGACTAGTGGACATGGAAACATAGGGGCGGCGAGGGCGCAAGAGCAGATGGAGCTTGTACTCGGTGGGTCCCTCTTGTGGTTCAGGCTCCAGTTTGGTGATTCCATAATCGGACAGCAAGTCCGGATCCGCGCGGTCCAAGTTCGTGCTCGAGCGTGCACGAGGCACCGTCCGATTACTAGTCGCTGCCAGTTGAGGAGTTGAGGACCCTGAAGTGGACCATGGAGAAGAGACCCGCGGAGGGTCAGGATCATAAGTAAACACCGAGGCCATGCTGGTTGATACAAGTGTGCAGTGGCAATTGGCACCACAGAGGTGCAGATATGGAGAAAATAAAACAACTAGTAACTAATAATGGGCTATCGTTAAGCCAGTTCGACGTATTCGACGGGCTCGTATATGTCTCGCACTCAGAGTAGTATGTAATTTCTCGCGGGTGTAGTTGATTGGTGCCGTGCGAGTCATCTTGAGGCTGGAGTGTACTGGGTGGATAAAACGGCGGTGGGCGCGAATTGACCGTCAGAGATGGTTCGACAGAGGGGCCAGGAAGGGACTCGTGCAGTTTAATAAACAACGGGCAGTGGGTGGCAGTCAGCAATGACGCGACATCTTGGAGGCCGGCCTGACGGATGAGTCACTGGTGCTTGTAGGTATTAGGTAGGTGGGATCCGGTCGTCCATCGCGCGGAGTAAATACGGAGGTCCGAGTTGTATCCGCCTTACGACACGACTGGGTCAGGTGACGGGTCCACCTTCGGCACGTGCTGGACTATCTAAATTAGTGCCTGAGGCGCTTAGTGTGTTGCCTTAGCGTGCTGCCTAAGCCACATCGTCCTGGCACTTCGGCTGCAGGGGGTCCTGTTTCAGATAAACCTAGCAGAACAATAGTCGTCAATCTAGGATGCCTGGCCTTATTAGTGCTTATCGTCCTGGATCAGGCTAACATCGGCAAAGAGGCGTCTCACTACTGCAGCGTCATCATTAGCACTTTGTTTTGCTCCAAGTGCTTTAGCCTCGTCGTGATGACCAAACGTGGATCCAGTCCTGTCCGAGGTGTGGCAGTCGTTGTGACCGTCTGCCCGCAACGAAGATCTTTGAATTGTAGAATTATGGGTAAAAGTTCAGCCTGGAATAAAAAATTGGCTATCTAGTAAGGTAATTCACAGGGTATTAAACGAATGCAAGTAAGAAAACGACACATGCAAGAATAATCGTTCCGAGAAGTTGATATGCAAAAGTGGACACTCCTCGCAGTGTCCATCGGCCAAGTCCGTGTGGGTCTTTCCCTCTTCTGATCCCCACACCATCTGTACAGATGACAGATGTATCTGTTCTGCGTCCGTCGCCTAGACGGGTGAGGGTAGAATACGCTGCAGGTTAGCTGCTGCCCGATCTTTGGATGTTTGCCCGTATTCGACTTGGGCGGTGCCCTATAGTGCTAGACACTCATGTCTCGTTATAGCCCCTGACGCTAGTGCTTTTTAGGGCATTTATTCAGCGGACGGCTCCCTGGCTATGCCCTTGCACTTCCCCTGAGCAACATGGATGTTCCGAGCGGTGGTGCGTGTGAATACAGCACCACAACTGGGGCATTCTGCTTTGGCAACCACCCCTGACTTTTCCCGTTGGTGTCGGAGCAGATTGCTGAAGGTGGAAAATTCACGGCCGTTGCATCCGTGGTCCCAACATTGAGGTTTGGGTCGAAAGCTGATGACTCGTACCTGTTGATCTTGGTCTGAGGAGCTGGGTGCGGAATCGGGAGAGGAGTATACGGTGCCCGCAGGCATCAGGGCGTGTGGTTGAGGCATGGAGTTGGGGGTTTGTCTGTTCGTTCAAATCGTTAGAACATGAGCTCACGACACGGCCATCATGATGTCTACTTACGAGATCGAAGAGTTTGGTGTTAAGTAGTAGTCTGGTTGATTGACAAGGTAGGAAGGAGGTCTACCGATCTGTTAGTCACTCAATGCCACTTTCCAAACGATCGATATTCTCACGTTGATGTGAAAGATGGGTCCGGGATTGTGGGTGGGCTGCCGGACACGGAAGCGCTGGGGTACGGGTATGGGATAGAAGAACTACAGAGAATGTATCAGTTTCTCGTCCTTGACAGGCTTGCTAGAATGCTAGTCTGTACCTTCGGGGTTGGTGTCGGCTATGTGGCACACCTGGCTGCGAGGAAAGATAATGTGAGGAAGGGAGTCCTGGTTGATAGTAGCTCTGGGAGCTAGTGTGCTGAGGTTGGTATGCAGCGGGATATGCATGCTGTGGCGGGAGGGCATGTGCCTGGGGATATGACTGTTGGTCCATGGCCATTGAAGTGGGATGGAGAGGTTGTGGCGGCCGGTTTTGCCAGCTGTAATCTGCTCATCGTTAGCGTATATGGTGATGCTATGAGAATGCACTCTGAAACATACTCTGCGAGTTGTGTGCCATGTTGGTCGTCAGAAATGCTACTGATCCGGGATGCATCGACTGAGGTAATAACTGATAATCTGACGTCCTGATGACAAGGACTTTTCAGTACAAAGCACCTAAGCGGAAAAATATGAGGGCTTTCCACATACTGTGAGGTTTCTGCAATGGCTTGCGGGGAACTTCTTTGAACCAGGCGTGAAGGAGAGCTTGCTGGTTCACAGTCCCGAGAGATGAGTTCCGATGGGAAAGGTGTTCTGGCTAAGAACTGATTCGGATGTAATGATGATAGATGGCTCTGTCCTTCGACTGAGCTGATGCTGGATCTCTGGCTGCGGGGAGAACTAAAGACCGAGCCTGGACTTGGTATTCCAGGAAACCAGCCTGACAGGGTCGATGCAACTGTGGTTTCTGGTGGGTCTGACGACTTCAACTGAGCCGAGTCGTCCAGATGGGCAAGATCCAGGACAAAAGGTGCAGATGCTGGTGATGGTAATCTCCAACTTTGTTGAACTGATTCGTTCAATGGCCTGTGACGAACATGCGAGTCCGCTGGTGAGTGATAGAATTCATTGGAAAACATTGGTGCTTTGGAGAATGAGCGAGAACCAGGATGAGAGAGGAACAGATGCTGGATGGAAGTTGAATAAGAAGGAGAGAAGAAGAGGAAGAAGAAGCAGTAGTAGAAGAAGAATAGAAAGCAGAGAGAAAGTCCACAAGAAAGAGAGAGGGAGGGAGAGAAAGAGAGAGGCAGAGGGTCAGCTGGGGAGGATTTTCCACACCCGATGCAATTCTAGGGAAGGGAACGAAGGGAAGAAGTACAAAATCCAACGGATGCTAGATCGAAGGGAAGCAAATCAGGGTACGAGAACATACAGTCAGTTAGGTAGGCTTAGGCAGAGGATCCTTCCGGCTCGACAAGCAACTATATCCACCGCGTAAGGTTGGTTGACCAGGACGACGGACGGGATCGACGGAATCTGGATAAATCAGGACGATATGTTGGGGACTTTCCAGAAGACTGGCTAGAAGAGAGTATTTAACGTTCCGTGGTCCAGCGATGGAATAAGCGCAACGAACGGGGGCCGAAGATTACCAGGTGGTTCGTCCTGGAGTTTGGCAGCTTATGGCGGGCGAACGAGCGACAAGTGGGTGTGTGTATGTGTGTATGTGTAAAGTAGGTATGGAATACCTGGGCTTATGCCACTAGGTCCAGATAATTACGCTGATTCGCGATTTTTCGTATACGCATTACCGTCAACTCTCGCTATTTTTAATTTCCAGCTGAAGCAAGAAAGCTCCCCTTGAGATGGATTATTATTATTATTATTTTATTGGGACAGGTTGGTTTGGTTGTTATTATTGTCCGTTCATTATTATTATTTCAAATCATCGACCGCCGTGTATCTATCCTCTCTACTATCTAGTCAACCAAGCTTCCCCTTCACTGCCACCGTCCCAGACTTCCATCCAGGCCCATCTTTCCCTCCTGGGAATCACGAACCAACACGCTTGACCTGCCCAGGACGGTTCCTCCTTGGATGGTCCCTGGGCGTGGAGACGATCCCATCACGGATTTTCCTTGGCCTTGTCCATCCATCGGTCGCATCGTTGGCAGCCGCTATGGTTCTCCCGCCTGTGGTCTGATAGCACGGAGAATCATCCGTCGTGTTTGGCGGGTCCTGTCACTGCAGAACGTCCCTTTTGGATAAATAACTATTAAAATTTGTTAGGAGTGCTAGCTAGACTTAGACGTCGACCCAGCCCCATCGGGGGGTGGACATTTTTTTTGCTAGGATCGAACCCGGTTCATTTTCTGAGTTTATTTACCTTACTTTACTTTACTTTACTTTACTCCGGACGAGCTGGACCACTCCAGAGTCCAGTCGGATTATGCTTCCCTCCGGCTCTGAGTCAGGGTACTCAATAGGGGATAGTCCTGCACCATCGCCACGTGAAGGTCCCAACAGCTCAATCGCAGCCGGGCCTGCCAATACCAGAACTCGACTCCCCCCCTGTCCGTTCCTTTGCGACTCCACTCTAAGATGACGGGGAGAGAGGAGACTCGCAATGGACATCAGCAATCGTATCGCCCTAACCGGTCTGATGATCCATACCAACACTTCGTTCGCGAGGTGACAGCCACGACAGGAATAGACTCGGAGATGGCGGGTTTTGGGCTGAGAGCCGCCTGGGAGACAGAAACAAGCTCCTGGCATAGTGGGAAGACCGGGTGAAACTAGTTTTTTCGACCCCCCCTCTGTCCCCAGTGTCTCTCGATTTGGGGAAGGTAGAAGTTAGAGAAATGGTTTCCAGCCCCAGGAGGGAAGCTAAGGGTGTATGAGCAACACCGCCAGTAACATGGATCAAGTGAATGATTAACAAGCCCCCCGCCCGATGATGCTTTGATTTGTTTCGGCTCATTTTCCTTCAACGACGGTGTCGATGGGATTAGTTGTCGAATCCGGGTGATTTGGGGGCCAATTCCAGCATGGCAGGATAATCCAATACCCTGATTCGTATTTGCAGGCGGGTCTGGGACGAGTCCGCCGGGGCTAAAGGGCAGTCTGGCTGGGTGTATGGAGGGTGGATGGGTACGAACGACGCCGCCTGACATACGTGGAGTCGTGCGAGATCGTCATGATAGCGAGGCATGGCCTTTTAGATCCGGGACCACATGGCGATAAGCAATGGGCGGTTCAATTAATTCCTTCCCCGGGGCGATGCATGATGCTTCCTAATTCCTTCCCTCATCCCCCTAAACCAGGGAGGCAGAGCAGGGGGGTGAGTCCACCACCACCCCCGAGGATTCCCTTCCTTCCCACGATCACCAGCAATAGGCCCCGATCAATGTTTCGTCTAGCGGTGGCTAAACCACTGGGCTAGTCTCTGGCGGGTGCGTCAGGCTCAGAACTTTTGTCCTGTTCTTTTTTGGCCCCCACTGCCTTAGCGGCCGCCAGCCACGCTATGGATCCCGATTCTTACCGCTTCGGGCCTTGGACGGTTATCGCGTGTTTCTGGCTTCGTCTCCCTTTTCCTGGCCGGCTTTTGAAATAATACTAAAATAAAATATTATGGAAAAAAAAAGAAAAAGGGTCTTTCTGGATTGTTCCGCCAGACGGCCCCCCCTGGAACACGATGATGATGAGGATGATGCAGATGCATCCAGCACACCATAGCCATGCCCACTTACCGTTTTCCCGTACGCTTTGGATCGGAGGTGTACATCCTTTTCGTACTATATTCTGACAGTGATCAAACGCATTGAGATCGACAAGTCTGGTTTCGAACGAATACTTTCTGTGACGACAGCTTGGCATCGCTGCAAGCTCACGGATCCTCCTGTCACCTTCAGCGGACTGAGTTCATCTTTGTTCTCATGAATCTACCTACCTTCGGGACCTGCTGCTAGCTTGTTGGAAAACTCCAGGCGAGATGATGGCCCCTCCGCTACCTTTCCTAGGGTCGAGGCTGGGGCGCACCCAAGAGAGGACAAGACGATCCAGAGAGCAAATTGTCTACCTACTTCGTACCAGCCGGGGCTGTCAGATCCGGAGGATCGCATATGTTGCCTGTCCTGATTCCTGAAAGCAGCTAACGGTGAAATGGTGGAGGACGGACGGTGCTAACGATGAGGTCAGTCAGTCAAGAGGAGGCGCTTTGGCCGAGACGGTCAGACTCAGACCCGTGGACCGCTCTACCAATTACCAGTTACGTGACACGTTTATTTGCGCCCCTCAGCATCCGGAGCATGGCGAGGGCCCGATTGTCCGATCCTGTGATTGCGTTGACCGCCACGGCAATGATCGGCCAGGATCAAGAACCTCCCTCTCTGGCGGGAGGCAGTGGATGTAAATTGAATTAACCGCCCGCCAGGCGTTGGAGTAACCGAGCGAATCCTCTCGAGGCACTGCACTCGATCCACCTGCACTGCATTCTGCCCTGGTTGGGAGGAGAGCCGGAACCAGTCTAAACCCGTCTAAACCCAAGGGTTAATAGATTAACTCGCCCCTCCGAGTGCCGCGCTGAAAAACACACGTGTCACGAGGAGTCCCCCGATTCCCCCGTTTACGACCAGGGCTATTATTGACCAATTTCCTCCGTCCATTTAGCTTTGCTGCCCTGCTCCACCCGGGAATCCCATGGGTGGTTGACACTTGGACAGCGTCATGGAATTATGGGGCCCCTGCTCGGCGACCGCCATCCGAAGCGCCTTGGGATCTTTTCCGCTTTCCACGGTGCCTGATCCCTCGTGGATGTCGTGCGGAGACCAGACGAGAACTGTGCACAGTCCAGCGCTTCGACGTCGCAGGCGGCAGCGGCAGCGGCAGCAGCAGCAGCAGCCATAGCCAGCTGGCGTGGGAGGATTTGCTCCTAGGCTGCGCATGCTCCTCCTGGGGAGTTCCCCGCGATACGCCTGCGCTGTCACCAGCGTCTGGAACTTGGGAGGCTCTCAGCAACCCTTTCTATCTAACGCATTCATAAATGCCAGACTAGCCAGGATCCGGCGATCGGATCAAACCCTCCACGTGCTGTGGCACTTTTAATGATCCTGCTAGGATTCCGCAGCGGCGCAGGTGGCCGAGATGGGAGCCGTTGAGGTGGGTAGCCGACTGGCCACATGGTTGAGGTAGTACCTTAGGCAAGTTAGCACTGCTACCTCGCCTAGTTAACCTGGTCGCTTGCTCACATTAAGGCTTGCAGGGGTGGTCATGCCGGGATAACCAGGGAGGCTACTCCGTACTACTAGGAAGGGAGGGGGGTGAGGGGGGTGAGGGGGGAAAGGAACTACTACCACCACTCGATCGCATGATCTGCTGGCTCCCTCGACGGCCTTTGTTAGTTCCCTTTTTTTAAATTAACCATTTCCCCTGCCTGCCTCTCGCACTTCGCAATGACCACCATTTTCGGCCGCAGTTCAGCTCGTCTATTCCTCTTTATCTCCTAGACCAAAACCATCCATCTTTGACCTACGCGAGCTCTAAGCGCCAGGATCGAGCGGCTGAGCAAAGGAGATGGTCCAATCTTGGGGGGTAATGAGCCGCCAGCAAGAAGCGCCTTGCGATCGTGGTATCGCCAGTCTAAATTCCACCGAGTCTGGTTCACCTATCAGCAGACCGGAAAGCCCCGCCCATCAATTTCTGCGCCTTATCGCAGACAGCCTGCAGGTCGTAGGCAGATACTAAATACTAAATACTCCCTAGACTCGATACCAGACAGATACTAGTCGAACATCCACCCAACCACAGTTACCACACACGTTGCCAAGCAGACAACGGCGGCAAACTCTCCTGGATCAGCGACGCACATGTCCCAGGCAGCCAGCCTGTAGGTACGAGTTACCAACATGGACCTCCAACACAGATACCCTGCATCACAGACCACACCACTGGAACGGCCAGCGCTAAACAGAGTTCAGTTATATGTTGGTGGTGGTGGTGGTGGTGGTCCATTCGTTACGTAGTCTAGACTCTCGACGTGTCTGGAACATGGTCCAAGCCAACAATGGATACAACCTCGTCATTTATGTAATGAAAACATGCCATGTGTGAAATGGCAATTGCAAAAGTCCAAGCTTTCGCCCTAGTTGACCGAACTAAGAGAACAAGACGACTTGCAAACCACCATCAGCCGTTCTCCGGCCGGAATATCTACTTCAACCAGTGATCGGGCTAAGATGCGCACGATTTCGTCATTCTCTCGTGGTCCCTCCCTTTACTGTGGGGGTGTGTCTACCGGTCTGCGTGGTGGGGTAACCACTTTCTTCTGTCTTCTCCTTTCCTCTTCTTGCACGACCATTTTCCCTGATACCTTAGTGGAAAACTTTGATTGATTATTATTTCTTTGGTTTCGGCCGTCGAGTGGGTAAGATAAGGGATTATTCTCCGAGTACTGCCTACACAGTACAACAAAATAATAATAATAATAAAAAGGTTCAGGGTGTGTCAGCCTACGGGTTGCCCAATTGTGGATTCGTCTTTAAATTGCACTTAGGTATATATATACATATATATCTACAACACAAGACTACGCAGGAGGATCATCGGCGTATTTATGTATTCAATATGGATGAAGACCCCTAGTTCCCCTCCGAAATTACCATCCCCCGATGATCTGCCAGGATCTCATACCTGCCAAGTGCAGATCAACCTGTCTTCACTTCACTTCACTGCTCTTAGATACTAGTACTAGGTAGATAGTTCCGGAATACTTAAATAAACTCTTCGATATTGCAGATGTCTGAGACATTCCGCGAAGATCAAACCCGCTAACCTACCTACCTTACCTATCCCATCCCATCCCGTCTGCCGATATCGTCAACCAAACCACCTTTGACTCAGATCAATTTCTTCAATTGCCACAACCATACCCCCAACCCAAAAAACAATAAATAAATAAATAGGTATTATCTATATTAATCAACTTCCCCGCTGAGTAAGCCTTAAAAAAAAGCCTAAACCTAACTCAGTATGTAAGTAGCTGGTTAGTATTGATTGACTCCGAAGATACCCGTAAGACACGCAGATAAGAAAAGAAAAGGAACAGGTCTCTCGATGATGAATGGTGATGATCCACTTTGAGTTTCCTTGGCTAGGCTTGGATGCAATTGGGTTAGGTTACGTGGACTATTGAAATATTGGGGATGTGTAATTGGGTCAGGGGAGATGAAGGTGTTCCTGCGGTATATTTAGTGTGTAGGTATGATGATGTAGGCAGGTGGTGGTTACCTAGTAGGTAGGTAGTAGGTAGAGTAATATGATCGTATCGGGATACTGCATTTGGATTTGTTTGTGGGGTGAGTGAGGATATGGTGCGGGTGTGGGTGTAGTTGTAGGTGGTACGCGGTGCTGGGAAATGAGGGATTGGGGGTTGGGGACTGTGGGGAGATGGGATGTTGTGTTGGTTTGGATTGGATTGAACTCTGTGTGAGTGTTTCGTGACGTTTATGATGATGACGACCATGTCGGGATATTAGTTTTGTCTCATATGATCGTCTTCTCCTATAACTGTGAGTATTGTGGCTGGTTCATTCGTCAATTGAACAGGCAATCAGGTAGTTGTTAAGACTTCATCAAAAACAAGGCTGATTTTGTCGATATTACTACCGGAGTTGTTGACTTTCTAGTCTATTAGTCTGTAGACAGCTTCACTTTCTCACCATATAGTGTATGAGCCTTGTATTATGCGAGGCTTAGATCTCAGCAAACATTTCAACAAAAGTTTGGTTGAAAGGAACGCGGGACGGCAGGAAGGAAAGGAAGGAACTAGAAAATAGGCAGAGACCCAGCCTTATTTTATCGAACTGGAAAGGGGTCCACTATTCAGGATGCACTTGAAGAGTCCAGCATGTGTTCCTATCTAGTAGTTTAGAAGATAAGTACAACATCTTGATTATATTATTTTGCTGTGTTGGAAACATTGCACTGTACAATAGAATTGTCCATAAGATAGAGTGACTTAACAGAAAGACTCGAAATGATTATCGCCCTCTTTATCTCAAAAGCAGCTTGCAATAAGTGGGATTATATCAGACGAACTCGTCAGCTTAGCTTCATAGTGACCCGTGCCTTGGGCCAATACGAAAAGATTCAGGTCAATATAGTACAAGTGTGATGCCATATGTGGCTTTTTTGCTTCTCATGCACATACAACATTTATATACACATTTGTTTTGTGGCACAGATTGACACAAGTTTATAAATCCACATACTCACCTTTACTAAGACATGAATAAAGTAAGGAGACTGAATGTCTTTTGGTGCTTGGCGGGTAAATGTCCGTGCTGGCCTATACCACACCGTTTTTCCTTCGCTCCCGCTTTATCTTCGATCTTCCATCCTATCTTGTCTTCTCTTTATCAGCTCTTCAACACCTGTTGTTCTTGATAATGTCATAGTCCAAGAATAATCTCCTTTCCTTCAGCAGAAGCAGGACAGGTGCCTGACGCTATCCACCTGAGCTACGCGGACATCTCAGAGATCCGGGACTCAAACGTTTGTTCTCGCGACTCTCAGCGCCCCTGGTCCAGTCGACAATGGCTTGATTGTCGAGGATGAAGCTGGCATCATGAGCTACGGTAAGCCCCTGTGTTGCATTATGAAGAGTATGTTGACTCATCGTTGTTCTTGATCATAGCACCTAGTTGAGTCTGTCCTACGAATGTTGCTGATAAGAAGTGCAGGATGGGTTTGTGGCATACATGCCATCGCTCTGCGAGGTAAGTGACAGGCATGGTGATTTCAACTCTTGATCTTGACCCAATATTAACCACATACTATGCTCTGCAGGTTGAACGGCCCAGAAATCAACATACTTGTCATCCAGACTGCCCTTATTTCCATTTTATGGCTCGCCCTGTCCAGCACTTCTTAACAGCGGATGCAATAGAGTGGGATGTGATAAGGGCCACGAATACCCGGGAAACGAACATCAAGCTCATACGATGTGGAGTTCAAGATCTCTGTGTTCGGTTCTGATAGGGATTGTGATGAGGACTGAGGTATCTGGACCAGAGAACGGGCTCATCAGCCTCATATGGGGACTCCTTGATATGATGATGGTTTAAGACTGTCGCCCCGGGAAGTCTTCTCTCTCTACATGGAATAGAGGTATAGAAGATATATGATCCTAAACTTAGAACGAGGGTGTTTATGACATGGATCCTACAATCGAGGACAACTTCACGCCCAAAGAAGACAACCACAAACAACACGAGTGAGCTCAACATATTCCGAGGCTCGACGATAAATATCTCTTTTCTCCGGTCTACTATAAACAGGGAAGATCCGGTTTCTCTTTCTTCGATCCTCAGTCCCATACTCGTTGGGAGTCCCTACTAAACACGCACATCCCCAGTTCGGGATGAGGGTATAACATCTCGAAAACAGCCATCAACTACATTTTACTTAATACTCACCAGAGAACACAAGATAGCTCTATCCCAATAAACTTTCCTCTTCTGTTCAGTACTCAAATGATGTGTTTCCTATTTACAGCCATCTAATACTACTATGACAGACAGATATCCCGAATCATCATTGATAACCCACAAACAGCCACAGGCAATATCAACCACCAATCTATATCAATTGACTGAATCCCAATCGATGCAAGGAATCATACTAATGTGTATCCTGCTACCATGCCACTAGCCGTTCGCCCACAAGCTATGAATCCCGCACTGCCAACGCATTTAACTTAGGTCCAATACAGTACCCAAGCCAACAGTTGAGACATCAATGCGGTTTGAACAATATAGGAACGGATTACATCCAATAAACAATCTTTAACACTGCGTAATGGTAGCAAGAAGTCTAACCATCATCCCCAAATGATCAAAAGATAGGCAGGATAGCAGGCGTCATACTCTGGATGTACGATCCAACCATCACACATATCCCACGTCCAGATAATATCAGCGAGGGAGTGTATTGCGGTAATTGACACAAGTAGAATCAAACTAGCAGCAGCTGGAGTCATCAACTGGAAGCCTGATTGCTTCATTCCTGGAGATATAGACCTAGACTTGTCAAGTGTGCCGATGCCATAGGATCCCTGATGGGGGGTCTGTTAACAGTACACGCGAAGTATATGTTTCGAGTACCAAGGACGGCACGACTTATAAAAAGCCGGAACTATCTGAAACATGACAGTCTAATTCCATGAGAAGGGTTACCCCATAAAATCTAATCCATGTTCTCAGACATGTTTGTTCGATGAATAGCTGGAATTGGGAATACTCAGCATTATTTAATAAGTGGCAGCCTTGAGAGAGAGAGAGAAGGCGACGGGGTAGAGTGTGTCTCTGTTCAAAATACTCCATGACTCACACGCGGAGGGGACTCTACTATCGATTGCTTGGTGTAAAGTCGGAGTTGCCTCTGCGAAGCATCCAGAGCAGGATACAGATGCTGAAGAGCCACAGACTAACAACGAATAGCCAGATCCTACAGATAAGTGTAGATGTCAATCTAGAAATCCATTAGCAGATCGTTCATGGAAAGATCATTCCCATAACATACACTTTTCCTCGCGCTGGTAAGGCGGAGACCCATGGTGTAGGCTGCTTTGGCATCTCTGAAAGCCTTGACAAAGTCAAAGACAATGGTACACTATGTATTGTAGTTTTGGGCAGTCCACTCCTCGATATCGTGGACTTCATCGATCTATTGCAGAATCTCAGCCAGATGGTCGCATGGGTTTCCTAGCATGCCCGTCGAGGTCTAGTCATGTCAATAAATGACGCGTTAGGGGGTTCGTGAACCATATAGGAGTTTAAACGTAGTGTTCTGGACATAATGAACCATGTTCTGTAGGATAATCTCCAGCTTCTCCTTGAATCTGGCTTGGCATTTCTCTTTCAACTGTGACGCCATCCAAGTCTGGTTTTTGTGGACGAAAGTATGTCTTGTCTTTGTTAATGAACCCATCAGATGGATTATTCAGCATGTTGTACCAGATGAGATATCTCTAGCCATCGTTAGTGAAGGATACCTTGAGTGGGTGATAGACTTTGCGGCCTTCAGCAAAATCATCTCCAGAGTCAACGGGCACTGTTTCCACAACACAATAACAAGGTGGCCTTGGAGCTGCAGCAAGATTCATCAACACAACACTAGATCTCAAATAAAAAAAAAAGCCAAACCAATATTTCTTGACCATAGACTTAGTCACATTTTCTATGGAGCTGTTAGTATTACTAATACTAACAAGATAATGCTAACCGTGTATACGACGACGTGGCGCTGGTGATAGAAGGAGTCGAAGCAAAAGCTGGGAAGAGGTGTACTGGATATAAAAGACAAGGAGGAAGAAGGCGAAGACGACGTAAGTTAGAAGATGTAGGGAAGAATGAAGAAGGAAGAACGAAGAAGATAGAAAGAAGAAACACAAAGATATAAAGAAAAAAAAGATTAGTGGAGCCTTGGATGATGTAACAGAAGAGTGAAGTGAATGTGAAAAGTATATCCAACCCTATTGCAACCATATCGTGATAGCCGCAGAACGGTCTTTGTGTTCAGTTGAAAACTATGAATGATGGTTCACCGCCTTTCCTGATAGTATGACTGGAATAATACCCCCGTCTCTTTTGTATATTATTCTGTGGAGGCAAAGATCCCACTCGCTTGAGATGTCAAGGAAAGAGAAAAACACTTGCATTATAGAGCCGGGACTATCTGGTCTCAAGTGCATAGACTCATTGTCAGAATCTGGGTTGCCTATCGGTAAACTTCTATATAGAGACTATAATAGTCATCTAGTGGTGAGTAACTGACTTGTAGTTGACTCCCTCGAACCACCTGGAAAGCCCAAGGTGTTTCCTTCCGCAATTTATATCTGGAATTTGGGTGTCAGCTTGTTTATAAAACGGATCTGTATGTTCTCTATCCAGATTCACAATCGGGAGTCCAGTCTTTTCTTCAGACCTGGTCAAATGGCTCGGAAAGTGACTGTTGAAGATATTTGATTGATGTTGAGTTGTATATAGTATATAATATCAGATAGAGCGGACGTTGCAGGATACGACTCGAAGAAAGCAGAGTAATCATATACTTCCAAATATGTGTCGATTTGCTGTGGGAGATTGTATCTGGCCAAAAGAACAGTGTGGTGGTTAAAATGACCCATCTGCCACTCTATTTGATCTGTCCTCGCGTCGGGTTACATTCGTTGAGTTCAACTGCAAGACTCGATACTGCCTCCACTTGTTCTGTACATGCTTGATTGCCAACGCCCTGCAGCTGGTATCGAACGAGCTCTTCTTTCTTTATTTTTGTTTCGAGAATGAGGCGATGTATGCGAGGTCGACATCTCGAATGAGATCGGCCAGATCCCATGGCCACATCTCCCGGAGATGGGCTTTGGACACACGAACAGAGAGCCCATAGCAGGCCAGGGTCTCATGCAGGACAGCGAAGGAAGTACGGGCGGGCATGGCGGCGAAACAAGGAAAACGGCCGACGGAGACAGGGACGGAACCAGAAGGACGGAAGTTGAAGGTAACGAAGGAAGAGGACGAGGTTGAGGAAGAGGCGAGCTCGTGATAGAAGGAATGATCAATTCCACCTTTTCAGTAGCTCCCATAAGCCCGCAAGATGTGTCTGCTTTTCAGCCACGCGATGGCTAGATGGCCCTTTTTGTGATTCTCATGGGATAATGTTGAATAACTGGTCAGATACACCCCGAGAAGCACCACCAGGAAACATACAACCCAGAAGATACCTTTTTAGGTCTATCCTGATACGTCCCCTTTGAAATACCCCCGGACTGGAGGGTGGCCATGGCATTCATGGCATGAATTGGGAGGATGTGCCCTGCTTACACAGGTCCTTTTTTTGATCCCCTTAGGAGATAACCCCGGGGTGCTATTTAGCACTAGCCCTGAAGGGCGACAGCAGAGTCGAACGATAACAACACCACAGAACAGGGGAGGAGCCCCAGAGGGCGGCGTCGAGCCGACAGAACCCTACTACAGGACAACACTCACGAACCTATTCCCCGAATCCCAGTCAGCATTGACTCGCATGGGTATTGACACGGGTCTGCTTACCGACTAATGGTTGGCCTTCTCGTCGCCAGAAGTCGGGGTTTCGATAGGGTCTTCGGCGGAAGCATCGGCACCAGCAGGGGAGCTACAGTCAAAAAAGGAATACCATGTTAGAAAAGTATCTAAATAATGGCACGGGAATGCAGGGTCGTCCTCCAACAGGACCTTATCAGCCCAACACTGCAGCTTCCACATAAAATCAAGAAAGGGACGAGCTACCGAGGCTGGTGCAACCCAGGTCTGTTTTTCACGGATGCAGAACCCAACTTTCTTAACAAGATCAACGAGTGCCCATGGCCAGAGACCTTCGAGATCACTTTTTAAGACACAAGTGGAATACCATAGGCAGTAAAATCAGCGTGAATACTGGCAAACGAGGCGCAAGAGACCATCATGATGTCTTGATGGATCGGAGAACAGGTAGAGGGATCGTTGATCTCAGTATCAGAGACACCCGGCCATAATCCAAGGGTCTTATTCTGCTCTTGATTGCCGATCATCTCGACATTTTCTCCCCCATCAATCTTCTTCTGGACTTGTGTTAGATCCGTTTGGCTAGTTGCAATGAGCCCTTTCTTGATGGCTGTATACATATTGTTCCACTGCTCCGGGGATTCCCTGGTCTCACCGATCATTAAGAGGCCGAAAGATATCGCATTGGTGCATCATGCTAGATATCTTGACCGATGAAGTCGACCACCGACATTATGCTATCGCTATCTTCACTGCCGGTCTCAATCCAGGGATGTGTTGGATGGCGTGGTATGGTATCTTCTCATCAGGTTGAAATAAGCTAGGTCGAACACCACGCGCAGTAGTCCGCCCACAAGCATTAGTTTGCAAGTATATGAGAAGGAATCCCTCCAGAGATTCCAGCTTTTCATATGTCTAGGGCCAGAAATTCGATTCAGCCGGCCGGTTGCATCGGACATACATATTCCCTCCCTCTTTTAAGACGACGTCGTCTGTATTTAAGATGATGGTTATGGTCATGGTTAGACATGAGATGCCAGATTGCTTCCTCCCTGCTTTGCCCTAACCAAAAGCATCTTCTTTCCGTATTGGGCATTGTCGAAACAAATCCCCAACGTTAGAAGATTGGCAACATCCCCCAGTTCATTTCCGACTTTGAACATCTCTCCATGTATAATAATATTAACAGGGATCATACTTTATGTACATGGACCCGTCGAGAAAATTGGTCAGAGTATCCTCTTCAAGTAGCGAACACAATGCAATCCCCCCCAGGTCAGCAGGTCATCTTGAATCGAGATCATCCTCTATTGATGCCACATGCGCCCGATGCACCATGCGAGAAGGTATGAACCAACTCTCAAGGATCTCTATCGTGGTTTCCCTTTGTATATGAAAATGTCATAGATCTCGACCCCGAGTCAAAATCTAGGGTATTCTCGAGAAAGCAATATGCTTGATCCGGCGACAGCGGGGGAGGACCGCGCGGATTCAACAGGAGAGATAGCAGCAATAGCAGCGTCTATTTCGGCGTCGCGGGCAGCAGCGCAGGCAGCGCAGAAAGCTTGTTTTAATGCTGCGCGAAGAAGACGTGGTAGGGAGACGCTCGTGAGAGGGGGAGAAGGACTGCACCGCGAAGGCAGTCGCAACGCAACAGCAACCACTGCAAACCAATCACCGCGGATACCATGGAAGAGGTCACATACAAACGATTCGCGGAGGGGGGAGAAGCCAGAGACGCTGTTTTGTGTTTAGCTATGCACTGAAGGGACATCTTGAAGGTCATGCCAAGCTCTGTAGGGCTTGCGGGAGTCGGTAGGGCGGCAGCGGAGGACTCATCTCAGCCAGTATGGTTGGAGATTAGGGTGTAGGTTGTAGCGATAGTATCGATCCTGTATCCAGGTAGATGTAATTGTAAGGTGACATGTGGGTTGGCTTTTGCCAGCTCTATCTAGGATTCCGTAGGCGACGTCGTAATTTGGTTTTGAAAAGTGGGTTAGAAGCCATAACTAAGGTGGCTTCGCGGTATGGGGATGTTTTGGAGGATATATAAGGCTTTATATTGTTTGATAAATGATAAAATAAGATAAGAGAGCAAGGCTTGAAAGCAGGCTTTTGGGGAGAGGTTGTATGAAGAGGGGAAGGGGTGGGAAGGATGGGGGGTGGAGATGGTATTTATACTATTTTACTGGGGGGTTTAGATTCAATGGTGCCATTGATCGGGTTATTGGGTGAAATATGAAAAGAATGGCTTCGTGAATAAGACCAAGAGGGAATATGGATAGGATTTGGGGGACAAAGTGGAAACTGTAGATAGGATATGCACTGGAAAAATTATGGTACAAGGTATTAGGAGGGAATTGCTGCGTGAAGAGGCTATGGCTTCGTGAATGGTATTGGAGCAATGGAATGGCGAGTAGGATGAAGAATGTGGTTCCTCTACGGAACCCTATTCATGCACATGCTCAGTTGCTGGGGACAACACTCATGACCAAGAATCATAGGCCTTTTAGGGCTGGGCTGCCCCAGCCCCTGCACTTATTTTGGCGGCCTATAGCTAGGTGGAGAGTATTCAGACAGCACCTTTAAACGCCGTAATATACTCTAGTCAACTAGATATAACTAGTGTCTTCCTTCCTCTCTGAGACTACCATACATTCACTGATCCACGTATACCTCTTCCTTGAACTGCACAGAAGGTCGACTTAGCTACAAGGCAACCGAGGATTCTGCTTCACCTCCGGTTCCCGCGAGCGGATCTGTTCAACAAGCGAACCCAATCGAACAGAACCCCGGCGATAAATGTGTCGGAAGAATACTTTCGTGGGTGGGATGCAGCTGACAATGAATACAACCCACATTTCGGTTCTATAGACTGTTATGCTGAGGCCTGCTAGCAAAATAAAGGATGCTCACTGGTTCCATACAATGACCGTTCCCAGTTGCTCTGTATCTATTAGCTTGTGCGTCACTCATGGATGGACTAAACGCACGACTTGGGTCACTAATTCTTGTTAGGATAGTTAATTGAACTGTTTTGACAATTGCACAAGCTCCTGCTCTATACTGCATCAGTACACATCGGAAATGATAGGACGACCATACATTACACCACACCCCATCAGTGCACAGAGACCGATGCGAGTTGTTATGGAGAAAGCTTGTACCCGTGCAAGTATAGTCACAGGGTACAATGCAAGTACAAAGTCGCAAAAGGCGGACCAAGCTAGTAGGGTTAGCATCAGTCACGAACACTATGAATGATACTCACGTCCTTGTATATAGCCAAATATCTGGATACGGGTGCGCCAAGGACAACCCCCTTTAGCATATGCCTCCCAGAGTAGCCTCCTCGGGGAGCATTGAAGCATCATCAGAATGGCGGCGATGCAGTTCAGTATGAGATTGCTACCCGCCAGGGACCACAATACGATCGACCTTGCTCTGGTATGATAACCTTGAATTTGTTCAAGAAATGCGACCATGGTTAGCTTCCCCAAGCCGATTGCAACGAGGGCCAGTAGCTGATTAACCCAGCCGTATAGCATTGCCATCTTGCTGTCGTCAAAGCCTAGAACGGTCTGAGGAAGACCAAGGCCGTACGAGGCTCCTAGGGTGAGCATGACCATGCTTGCAGCTCCGATAATCTAATTCCCGCATGAGCAGGATGACAGGAGAGAATGAAGGGATATCTCACGAATGTGGCTATAGCCAGATACAGATCCGTTGCTATGTTATGGATCAATCTGGAAGCAGCAAGGCATCTAGCAACCATGAGGATGATTCCCAGGCCAAACTCGACCCAGGTAATGGTGAAGAATGGCTGGCCATAGCCATTGGGTTGATCGCCTTTCATTGACTGCGAATTGAAAGTTTCATACCACCACACAGGTGTTGCATATCTGGTAAGGCATGAGTTGCTTGGTAAGTCGCGAGTGGCCAATGGGGATATGGAGATGGCATTGCCTGCGTGTATCTGAACAAAATGTCTGACTGTATCGGGCAAGGGAGAAATTGTTTCTCAATCCTCGGTTGATTAGAGTGTTCAAATTGTGTTCAAGATACCCCAAAGTCAAGCGGCTGTTAGGTGACGGTGCAGCTACGTCAGAACGGGTTCCTGACTCGGTTAAGATCTGATTTCGCGAAACTCAATTAAGAGATCCAGTATCATCCCTGCCGACCGACCCAATGGCTGACATCAACCCATGGGATTATCTCGAGATACACCATCGGTAGGGCTAACCGTCGTCCGATAACCACCCACCGACTACTATGAACTATGATAGAACGATTAACAACAATCCTTCCCCTGTGTGTGCCCGCACATTCGGATTCAATACCTGTGCGTCAAATTAACGTTGATTGGCATTAATTACAATATCCAAAAAGCAAAAGTAATCGCTCGTCAACGAATGTCGCCTTGTCTTCTGGGCTTCTGTTACTGACCGACAGTAAGTCTCGAGTCCGCGCTTTCAGGTGTCAGAAAAGGGTTAGACAACGTCCGCTGGCCAAGGATAATCTGGTCCAGACCAACGGGCTTTAGAATGGTGCGCCTGGTGTTTGAGTCAGACGGGCTTCGAGGACTTTCTGCATCAACTTCCGAAGATTGATCGAACTTTCTCTTCTTTCCACGGCTAGAATACTGGCCATGTCTCCTTAATTTCGTATCTGGTGTCATAGGTAATTGCCGTGGCGCGATTGAGGCCTTCTTGCCGGGGCTCGATATACTGCTGGGACCCTCGAAGGCCCTGTGACGGGTATAGTAAAAAAAAAGTAAACATATGTACCTATACAGACTTGATTTTCTAGAATTAATGTGACTTTCCCTGTTTGGATGGGGCCGCTTTAATGAGGGCGCTCAGGGAATTGCTCACTGAGTATTTCTCATCACCGGTCAAGGCTCAGTGAGCGCTCAGGCCCTACTCAGGGCGGGATCAGTGATTGGTCACGTGCGCAGTGAGCTACGCATCCCTCAATAATCTGTACCATTAGCCTGACAACGACGCCAAATTGACCGTCTCTACAGTACCCACTTCCGCCAAAATACTCGTTGTATATAATACAACCATAATTGTAATAAGGTGTTGGAAGACTGTTAAGTAGCAAAATCCACCAAGCACAAGTTATTATTAATCATAGTAGTTCTGGCAAAGGTAATAAAAGAACGCCTCTATCCCGTTTACAAGCTGATCAAGTAATTAATTTCTTATTTCTTCCCTCTTCTAGCCTTGCCTCGTGCATATTCAACACCTAATTTCTTACTCTTCATACTTTGAATTCTTTGCTGACTATGGGCAAAAGATCCTTTTGGTGCAGTAAAGATGCGCGGAAGAGATGCCATAAATATTATCTTGTTTGTGAGTATATTTTGAGAACCCACCAAAAAAAAGACTCTATCAGGAATAAAAATAACTACCTAGATAAGACTAAGCAACTACAGCGCTAATATATCACTATATATATGGAGTAAGTGATCTCCCAGTAAACTGGAAACTGGATGCTAGCTAACCACGTTTATCAGATATCTTGTAAAAGAGAATTATGAACCATCTAATTATGTTCTCAAAATTGGCGTCCCTGCTCCAGATATTGTTTATATCAAAGATTTCATTTGTTAGTATATAGACTCTATTAAAGACCAGAGCAAACTCAGTATAAATAAAAAGCCTATGGTGAGAAGTACCTGTGTATTTACCAAGAGATTCATTTACAGATTTGAAGAAGCTATGACAAGTAAAATCCTAGATAAAGACCAGAGAGAGATATACTCAGTATATAATATATCCTGCTGTAATAAATTTGACTAACTTTTAACCAGTGGATTAAAAAGACCTTACCAGTAGATAAAGTCATCAAAGATATTAAAAAGCAGAAGTTCAACTTTACCCAAAATGATTTTCAAAACATCGTCTCCACCATATAAGCATGGGACAGTCCTGTCTTTCTTCATGATCTTCTTAAAGTCTTTCTTATATTTACACTGCAGTTATTCCTCTTCACTGAAGCAAGGATCAGGGCTCTTATACTAGATACAGAATACAAGAAAGAGAGAGGACTCCGATACAAGGTGAGAAAGTTAGATTATAATCTTTTTAACTCATGCGGGCTTTTATTAATTTCATAATTTACAACCGGTATCTTTCTTCTTACAATTACTCTGTACGATAGAGCTCTATTTAGTATTAAGTTAATAGAAGACTTGGCTCAATACGACCTGCGTGACGGGCAATACACGGAGATTCTTCTTCATTGAAAAGATAGTGCCTTAGATTAATCTATTTTTAGAAACGTTACTGCGCAGGGCCCTCAAGAGGCGGTACTTGATAAGTAGTGATTTTGTACCTTCCTTCATCAGATCCTTATTATGGCCGGATATTCGAAACGTGCCATGATACACAATATTTATCGGTCACTTAATAAAAAGATTAAATATAAGGTACACTTCTAGCTTGTTCTAAAGAAAGTATTGCTGAATTCCTATAGCAAGATATAGTTCTGCACCTGTCTTCCAGATCTACAGCTATAAAAATGAAGAAACATATCCGACATACTACCAAGCACATTGTTTATTAATTGATATCGTTGGTAATGTTTTGGATGAGGAGGAAGAGACTTATCATATTAATTACTTTCAAGGATACAGACAATTTCAGAAGGTTGGACTGCCTTATAAACTATTTGCTGAAATGGAGAAAGCCATCTTGCAGCATCCGGAGCTAGCTGTTATACAGGCTCGCATTAAACAGTTAGATATAAAGATAGATGCTGGGACTATTAATTTTAAAAAGAATAAATATAAGAAAGTCCTGATTAGTATTTAACTCTCAGAGCTTCATAATTACCAGGCTTAGTGAGTTTGGAAAAAACATGATTAGCAGATCTTAAGCTGGAAAAAGAATCCTTACAAATCACTGGAGAGTAATATATATATTCACGCTCTGATCCAGATCATATCTGAAATAGAATATATAACAGAGACTTTATCTTTTACTAAGTTACTTAGTCATGATAAAAAGCTCCTATTCAGAAATTAATTACTTATACAGTATTACCATAATTATAATATGATTTATCTTTCCGGAGAATCTTCTGTTAATGGCCACTGTCCAGTCAATACATGCCAAGATAATATCCAGATGTGAGTGCCATCTACACAATATATAAGATACTCTACTAACTGAATACAGACTGCTAAAATTAAAGAAAAGTTATTATATTTATGACTGCGTTTGCAAGGCTACCGCACGCCGCCTGGGAATAACTAAATACTAGTTAAGATATTGTTATAAATATATATTATGATTTTAGAAAAATGATTGGAATTATTACAGTGGCCAACACCTCTAATCATAGGATAACTTATACTGCTAGGTAATTATTTACTGTAATACAGTAATCTGTTTCAGATACTGCCCTTATTATCTGTAAGACTAGATCCTTGAGTCTAAAGAAAGAGTAAAATACTGATTATATAATACCAGCTTAAGAGAGTATATTAAAAGAAGGTACATTCAGAAGATGGAATGGCTAAGTATGAATCTTATTTATGGCTACTCAGGATTATTTAAATCTGAGATTGATTTCTGTTATCATTTATACGATATATATGGCCTGATAAACATAGTATGGCTGAGACCAGAGCCTAAACCAGCTGTCAAGAGAAAACGAGGGACCGGTGAGCAGTAAAAAAGGATTACAATCAAAGATAAAGAAGCAATATTAAAGAGTATCAAGTTTTGATATTATCAACCTCTTTTTCTTGGTTAATTAATTACTGCTGATGCTGAGCCTTACTCGCCCAACGCGGTCTATCTACCATCTCATGACACAGCGCAGGCCGGGTTCATAAACCGAGAGCATGCTGACTTTGACCACAACGCCAGCGTTCATGCCAGGGTTAGTTCAGATAATGAGAATAATATAGATGATATTTTGACTGTGGTTTCCACGCTCAGTTCAGCCCGCACGATTCCTGATCTTGACCTCATTAACCCCAGGCTTCTTGAACCAGGGATCTCGGGAGCAGGCGGTATTACCTTGGCAAACGAGGTGCCTGACCCTCCCGATGATCTGTCCTCATCTTTGAACTGTGTCAAAGATGCTCGTCACAACGGTAACCCCGTGTTTCAGTCTTGTGACCGTATTAGTGCCCTGTGTATTAACGATTATATGAATAATCATCTGGACGCCGGAGCTGTCGAGCTTACAGTATCTCTGGACCGGACAAAACCACACATAGATCTATCTTGGGTTGATAGCAAGAATCTTGAAGATGGAGTATCTCAAGATGATGGACCAGCAGCTCTATGTGATTGGGTACCATCCTCCAGTGCTTATCCCGCATATTCTGCCTTATTGTTGACGCTTAAGGATAAAGGCAGAATGGTGTCTGGATATTTTTTGAAGACTCGGAAAACTGGGCGTGTTTTAAAAAGCGATTCTTTATTAGTACCCAGAGAAAGGAGGGCATTTTGGCGGTTGAAAAGTCAAAATCTGACCTGGAGGCATATCATGTCCTATTTCCTTAAAAGGTTTGTTGTTGTCTTGTGACAAACTTGGATAGATATACAGCATTCTTCCGAGCTATGTTAGATGAGATTGTAAATAAAGATATGATAAGAATTCACCGGGATCTTCTACTCTGATACTGGTATTTGAAGGGTCACTCGTTGTGAACAGTTAAACGAGCTTTTCCTTATAATATAAGCGGTCCCAAGGAAACTGGAGATATAAGTAAATCTTGAAGAAATAGTATAAGAAGGATGAAACATAATTTCCAAATCTTCAAAGTAGATTGTGAATTTTACAGTAAGGTTTCTGAATCTTCGGCCAATTACCTTGTTAAGGCCTTTAAAGAGGCTTAAAGTCTTTTATTGAATGTCTGATGCAACGGTCAAGGCTTATGTAGGGTGTCATATTATTGTGTTCTGTCTTAAGCTAGCTGTGTTGTTGTAGAATACAAAACTGAATTCTGTCATGAAGGCTAGGTGTGGTTAATGGCTAAATCACAAACCTCTGACTAAAGTGAATGATATAGTTAGAAGTTGTGATTCTCGTATACACTACATATTATACTATCTAATTTTGACATAAGGTAAATGTTCTATCTTTTTGCCTAATTGGATTCCGTTGTCTCTCATATTAAACAAATGGCGCGAGAAGTTCCTTCCTGGAAGCCCACTCGGACTGGCTAATTATCTTTATTCTGGCGTTGTATAACTCGCCATTGAACGGGGTGTGGTAAAATAATACCTTTCTCTTTTGCCACAATTCCGGGCGTGGTATACTCTCTCAGGTCGATATTCCTGTTTGGGTACGGTGGGTAAAACAGTGTTCGGCAATACAAAGAATTGACGGCGTACGTATCAATAACCGATTTAATACAGGGAGAATACATGGCATTTCTGGGTGACACCGCCATGTCACCAGTCTCTGAAAGTAATAAGTTGACAGTGACCGAAAGATTACAGGGCATCTGTTCCAACGGAGGAAGTGTACGTAATCCCCAAACATTGAAGATGCACCTGGGTAATTCGATCCGTTGGGCTTGTTTTAGGATTTCCTTCGGTGAGGGTCTTGCTCGCACGGGCATTTTGCAATCTGCTAATGACCAGAACTCGTCCATCAATAAATGAGGTTTTCAGACGTTTCTCAAAAACCTGAGACCATGCTCTAGATCGCGCGGACGAGCATCTCCATTTTTTCTAGCCTTGTTATCTAATTTTTGAAATACTGTACATCCGGAGACAAGATTTGATTATATAATTAACTGGATAATACGTTGTTTTCAGTGCTGTGTTCTACGTAACAACCCTCTTTTTCTGAAGCTCTGGGCAATTGATATTTTAATATTAAATACAATGCGCTAGATCTTGCTTCGATATATTTGTTGCTAGTAAATTGGATTATGTTTCAGTTCAACTTGAGTGTACTAACTGATTTGTTACTAGCGCTAGTAGTTTGATGCAGTAGTAATCTTCAACTTTCTTGCTTTCAGTCATGGACTATAGATAAAGTTATGGGTTTCACTTGGTAGAGAAATCATGAGTCCACCATCGGGAAAGAAATGGTCTAGATCACCGGGCATGTTTGAACTAATGTTGACTATTATGCTGGTTGTTTGTATTTGGTGGCTCGCATGTACTGTCTTCTTTTTCGTTAGTTATGTATTCTTTATCTGCAACGCGATATGAGCGAGCGTGTAAATGTTGCCCGGGCATTGTTTCCTTTTCTCTGAGAAGTAACAGAACTGTTGAGAGAAGTGACAGCGATTAATCTTGTTAACTGAATTACTTGAGAAGTTTTCTTTTATAGGGGTGGGATGCCTCATATATATTTCCCAATCTTTGTTATAAGGTTCAGCCATCATAATATTTAATACAGTCACCCGTGATACTTAACAAGAACCAACTTACTTCGGCATGCCCTCTATCAAAGTATATCATCACCCGCGAGCGCCCACCTACCAAATGTCCATGGCTATGTACCATTAGGTATTCTATCCGCACAGACAACCGTGTATGCTGATCGGAAGACGGCCACGGTTCAAAACAACCCAGCTGACGAGGCTGACGAGGGGCATTCCTGACGATCGGTCCCTCGGGTCCCACTCCATCTTGCCCGGACATCCAGCATCCATTGAGTTGACAGCTGAGATTCGGCTTTCCACGTTTGCTAGGAGGTTCAGCACTACCTCGTCGCGATGCATGCCACCGTAGACTTGGTCAAACAAACATCGCGGCGTCTTCACCTTTCCATGTCGTGGCCGTGTTGTCGACGAGATAACCCGATCAATGTAATTATGCGGAGCTAGCCTATTTTACTACACCCTTTGCCCAGAAACTCCCTTCCAGCTGCAGTCGGCAAGGATCACTGAGTACCTGGCCTTCATCTCACCGGCTTGGCCAGGGCCAGAACCCCGTAAAAATAACCATCATCCTCGCCGTTTCCAAACACTCCTTCATTTTACTCAATTCGCTCTATTCGGGTTCCCCCACATTGATTGGCTTTCACACTGGGGAACCGCCAGGTATAGACTGCTGGGTCTTCTGTCTCAATCCGTGATCAGTAAAAACTGAGCGTCCCGGTGATCTTGGAGTAGTCCAACCAAAGTTTGTCTTTCAGTTGGTTCCTTGTGCAAACTGAATGCCATTATATTTTCCCTGACTCCCAATCGAACCATTCGACAAACTTTACTAGAGGAACGATTTTTGGAACACGCTAGCAGTGCAGTCCACCGTCGGATCCGCGGTCCGAATTGTTCCTCAAAACTGGCGAGCCGCAGGACATTACCTGCTGGTGGACTTGGTCTGCCATCGGGCTTTCGCTACCCTCCGAATCCAAGGCGGCATTTAAGATCTCAAAGTATACTATCGTGAGCGGATTATACTGTACCGGATGACATTTGAACTGTGGTCTCCCAAAAAGTATTTCGAAGACAGTTGAACTGGTTGGAAGCAACTGTGACCAGGGACGGCGTCCTGATAGCCACTGCTAGCTTGGAACCCGGGGAAGGAATACAGATACCCGCTGACAGGGTTTCATTTAATTTGACCGTGTTCATTGTTGTTTCAGACAAACTTGATCCGGGCAAATTTCTTTGCCTGGTTTCTTCGCATGTCACGGCCTGATAGTGTAACTGCACCGTGTAGAAAACAAAACAGCTTTCTCTGCTATTGTAATTGATAGCCCCGTTCTTGAAAGCTAAGATGACAGGCCTTGGAACCGAGACGAGAGTTCAGGATGTGCGACGTAGGATTTAAGCACCAGTTTCATAAGATAGGCCCAGCTGCATCCTCCGTCTGCCTGAAGGTTGCCAAATTGAAATTACTGGATCAGTTCGGTAAATTCACCGCTCAAATCAAGGGAGGGAAATATGGTTATTGTCAGGCGTTCTACCAGAAAAAGTCCGGGTATGTGGACGCAACCAGGGCAGCTGCCATCGGAAGCCGTCTGCAAATGAAAAAAATGGTTCTGCTGGCGGGCAGTTGCTCCGCGTGCAACTGCCTCCTCTTTTCGTTGATTGACCGGGCATTATTTTGCTCCGATGAGTGGACCCACTTTGACTTACCCTGAGCTGGACATCAGCCCGTCATCTAAAACAAAAAGAACCAGAAACTGAAACTGTTGAGTATCACGGGTGACTGTGTTAAATATTATGGTGGCTGAACCTTATGGCAGGGATTGGGAAATATATATGAGGCATCCCGCCCCTGTAAAAGATAACTCCTCAAGCAATTCAATTAACAAGATTAATCGCTGTCACTTCTCTCAACAGAAACATCCCATTTCAAACGACAGACTCCCGTCACACCACCGGGACACGTACTTAGCAAAAGTCTACGACTATGTATAAATGGGAATTCTATCCCGCGAAAATAACCGTGTATGCTGGTCGGAAGACGGATGCAGTTAAAGATAACTGGGCAAACGACGGGCATTTCTGACGATCCCCTAGTCCCACTCCATCTTGCCCGAGCAAATTGCCCAAGGTTGTGGTGGTTAATGGTTTTCGGGCGTGATATACTCGGGTAAACCACCAGAGGTGAAAGTTTAGACCACCTCCCCTCATCTTAGATCTGGGCTCTAAGGGAGCCGCATCAACGGTCAGGTGTGAAAATTTTTCATCATTCAACTGCTAGTTTCATTTAGGCTCCACCGTCAAATGTTATTCAAGTTCCTAAGCAGCCATGTCAGCTAGGAAAAAAGCAAACAAGCATGGCGCGTCAAAACTGGCCTCTCTACAGCCAATGGCTGGCTAAGGACCGCTCCCCTGTCTTCATCTCCAATAGTTTCCCCGAAAATAGCCAGATTAGCCATGGTCCTTTCCCCTCCTACTGTCTAACTTCTTTTCCCAGTGAACTTCACTACGCACTCCTACGACCAAATCTCATTGCAAAGTGATTCCACCGGTTTAACTATGGATACTCCTAATTCTATCTACAAGACACACAACTTGTTCGGATGCTTAAAGACTGTCTTGAGGGGGCGGAAAAGAGACAAACATACACGATCCACATCCCTAAACCAAGTAGTTCAAAGGTCACCGCGGATCCAGATACAAACTATGATCTTACCAAACCCGCAAATGATATTTCCAAAACCAACAATCACAATATAAAGGATTTTTGGTAGATAGCGTACAATGAGTTAATAGAGAGCAATCAGAACACTCTAACAGCACTTCTCCCAGTAATCAGAACTAAGCCTTAGGACGCTATCATTGCACGAACAAAAAAAAATATTGGACGGAGTAGTTAAGGTGACAGAAGCGCAGTACAGGGAGACAAGGGAAAAAAATGGTATTCGGGCCACAGCTTATAAAATATTAAACTCGGCACTGTCTTTTCAAGACATTGTCATTAACATTGCGAAATTTGATCCGACCAGGTACGCTTCCAGTGCTTGGGCGATAGTCTCTCTTAAATTAACGGTACAGTCCTTACACCAACAAAGCCAGACACTCAGCTAATGACTTAGATGGCCAAGAACCATGCAGACCTCAAGAAGGCTCTATTTGACTCATTAGAATACCTGGCGGATTTGCTGGCTCATTGTGCCTTTATCAAAGAACAGTTTTATAGAGGTAGAGACCCTGTTATAACGAATATTGAAAAAGAATGATCAATCATCTAGATATATATGGCAATACTGCGATACTCTACAGAAGTACAGAAAATTTCACTGTTCAGCAAGGAAAAAGATATCATGAAAAGAATAACAGCTATAACAGGCCAGCCACCCACACAGCCCAAGGCCTCGATCAAGGAAGAGAAGTTCCACCTACATTACTAGCTAGTCTTAAACAAGCACCTGCACCGAAAAGAGAAAGCAGAGACTATTCTGACTTATCTCAATAAATTGATGATGAATGTCCAAAAATTGCACAATACAGTTAAGATATTAAATCTTCCTTTTGCCAGCAGCGCATTTTTTGACTTCTTTGAGAATCAACATGAGGATAAATGCCTTCAGAGAACGTAAATAGAATTGCTTCAGCAGGTACAGGACTGGGGTAGATCCAGTGACAGATATATATTCTGGCTGAGCAGAATAGCAGGCACTGGCAAGTCCACCATAGCAAGGACAGTGGCCCGATTCTTTAACAAGAAAAACATCCTCAGAGCAAGCTTCTTTTTTAAAAGAGATGAGGAAGATCGGGGCTCGACTGTAAAATCTTTCCCTATGATTATAAAGCAACTGCCAGTCTATATTCTAGAAATAAATATAGGCATTCAGAAGGCCATTAAGGAAGACCCTGCAATTTCAGGTAAATCTCTTTGAGAATAGTTTAATAAGCTTATATTACAGCCATTGCTCGCTATAGATAAGGGACAGTTGTATGCTTCTATAGTGGTTATAATCGACGCCCTAGATAAGTGCGAGCAGATGGAAGATATCGAGATTATCCTTAATCTTTTACCTAAGGTTGAAATGGCAATAAAGAAAGCAATCTGATACTTCTTAAACAGCCGGCCAGAGTCATCCATCCATTTTGGATTCGATCAGATCGATAAAAGAAACTAGTAGAATACCATCCTGCAGAATCTGGATGATGATATGATAAAGCATGACATCATTCTGTACCTTAGAGAAGAATTTCGCAGAATCAGGCAGAAGTGCCATAATGGTCTTCCTCCCGGCTGGCCTGGAGAGGAAAGAATCGAAGCCTTAGCAACGATGGCTGTTCCGCTCTTCATCTTTGCAGCCACGGTGTGTCGGTTTGTGGATGATAGAAAATGGAATCCTGAAAAGCGGCTTCAGGAGTTTTTCACGGATTCGTCGGGATCCAAGATGGATAAGACATACCGACCGATTTTGAATCAACTCCTCACTGAGAATGAAAGCGACACTGACAAGCTGATCGAAGAATTCCAGAAAATCATCGGTGTGATTATTCTTCTTGCTACTCCACTCTCATCGAGTGCTCTCACGGAACTTGTTGAGGTACCAGAAGAAGACATCAGCACCGGCTAGACGCATTCCATTCGGTTCTGACCATACCTGACGACCCTGACCTACCTATACGCACTCTGCATCTATCATGATTACCTAGTTGATGAGCGTACAAAGACCCAAGGGCCCACTTCAAAGTTCTGGGTGGATAAAAAGGAGAAGCACGAGTTCATAATAGGGCAATGTCTTATTGTTATGCGCCATTATCTTAAAAAGAACTTTTGCGACCTGCTGAGTTATGGGATAAGCCGAAGCGAAATAGACTCTGCCTCCATAGCAAGATTTCTCCCGCCTGCTCTGCAGTACGCCTGTCGTTATTGGGTTTACCATCTCGCCCAAAGTTCAGTATCAGCCGACACTGTTTACCAAGTGCTCATCTTCCTGAAAGAACACTTCCTTCATTGGCTGGAATCGATGAGCATTTTAGGGTCAACCTCCGAAGCCGTGACTGCCGTGGATATATTGCTCCGACTGACAAAGGTGAGTATCGGAATACCTTGGAATAGCTGGCCGACTAACATTATTGGAACTCTAGGATATATCCAGTAACGAGATACATGTTTTCCTGTCAGATGCCCGCAGATTTATCCTAAAATTTGCGCAGATTATTGATATGGCACCACTGCAGCTATAAAGCTCTAGCCTTATTTTCGCACCACGAAAAACGTTAATCAGAGAGAGATTTGAGAGAGAACTTCCTGGTTGGTTATTCAGAGCTCCAAAAGTGGAAGAGTATTGGAATCCGGAAATGCAAACGCTCGAGGGCCATTCTGACTGGGTTGATTCAGTCGCCTTCTCAGGCGATGGCCAGCTTCTTGCGTCAGGCTCTATTGATAACACCATCAAACTCTGGGATCCCGCCACGGGCGCTCTTAAGCATACCTTAAGCACTGACGGTGGTGTCACCAACATTGAATTTTCCAAGCACCTGCCGCAATTGATTACCGACATAGGATCTTTCGATATCCAAATCTGCTATGAAAGCTTCTCCTCAAATCCCTCTGCAAGAGTGACAGAGGTATCGCTGCAGGAAGGTCGGTGGGTTACTATTCAGGGTCAAAGAGAGTTATGGCTCCCTCCAAATTATCGACCTAGCTCTTCAGCAGTTAAAGATGGTACTATGGCACTCGGATGCATATATGGCAGAGTTACTATGATTACGCTTTCAATAATGTAAGTCATACTGCGTTGGATTGTATTTCTACCTCTCTTATTTCTCAAATCTCTTTTTCAAAAGGAGGATCAGGGAAAAGGCGGCTTTTCATAGTTTATCTGCAGTATTAATAGAACACTCGCGATGTTTCGGCTCTCCTTTCAGTAGGTGGTGGCAAGGTACCACGATATTTCTGGAAAGTGGCGTAAAGCCTGGAGTCATTACCGAACTCACGATAATTCTTTTGATTACCAATTTGACCAAAGCCTCACTCATAATGAGACATCGTATTGGTTTAGTACTATAATGTGACTTACTGTCTAACGTTTGTTGGTTTGTTTGTGTGTTTGTGTGTTTGCTACATTCCTCCGCCCACCCGTACCTAATCAATCTAGGACCTGGGCGCCAGTTGTGAACATCAGTGTACCGTGCGCTTTTCAGCTGTTCAGGCCTTCTCTTGCTACATAGTTATAAGTGACAACACTACGTATGTTCAATGTGACCCATAAATATAGACCTATGTTATGTTCTTTTTTCAATAATACACACAACGGAGATTGACCAAGCAACACTTCAGGATGGGGAGGAATCGAAGAGTGAACAACGCCCAAATTATCAAGAATTATTCTAGAAAGACAGACAAGAAGTGGGCTGTTGCTTCCAATGCCCTCAGCATCGAGCATCGCTCTCCAAAATCTGTCTCATCCGCAGAGACTCTATATCGATGTTTTGCCCTTGATCTCCTACCATCCGATGACGACACATTGGTTGACTTCGGTTTCGCTAAGTTTTCGTCAGACTTTGATCAAGGCTGCCTCTTAGGGCTCTACAGGGGTTTGCTCTATAACCATGTTACCCCCGAAGATATCCTTCAGTGGATACCTGAAGAGTCCTTGGTCCCTAATATCGAGAGGGTTTTCTACCAGTTGCCCGAAGAAAGTCGAGGCGGATACTTCCTCTGGTTTCTAGGACATTCTCATATCCTAGAAGGACGACTGTTGAAAGAAAAGCCCCGTGGAGCGTCCCACATTAGCCCGGCTGTTACATGCTTTTGCCTGATTTGGTTTATAGTTTTTTTTTTCATTTGATTCTCCATGTTTAGAATACTTGTTAATAGTCTCCTCTTCTTTCTGAAGAGCGTTCAGCGGGCAGTGGGACTTCTCTGGTGTTTTATCAACCTACTTTTCACGTCAGCTCTAGAGACATACTGCCAACAGTAACTAGTTAACTAACGTATTCGGTAAGCGAGCGGTGCACCTCATAAAAAATCTACGCGTTGTTTTGCCTTCCTTAATTTTACCATCTACCCTGCCTCCAAAAGCACCCCAAAATTCAAAAGATTCGAAAGAGAAAGAGGGCAGGGCTCTAATAGCGGTTCCTGCTTTGAAAAAAGCAGAAATCTCTAGTATTCGTGAAGCAGCTCGCGTAAATAATGTCTCCCAAACAACCCTCCGCAGACGACTACACGGTATATCTACACGCTCAGAAACACGCGCCAACAGTCATAAAATGACTCAATAAAGAGGAATCGCTCGTACGATGAATTCTATTGCTGGATCAACGTGGAGCGCCTCCTCGACCGTCTCATATACGAGAAATGACCAACATTCTACTCGCTCAGCGTGATACTACACCAGTTCAATCAGTTGGGGAGAAATGGGTATATAACTTTATTAAACGACAAGATCGCTTGAAGACTCGTTATTCTCGACGCCACGATTATCGACGTGCTAAATGCGAAGACCCTAAGATTATACAAGAGTGTTTTAACTGCGTACAAATCATGATAATGCAACACGGGATCGTACAAGAAGATATCTATAATTTTGACGAAACCGGCTTCGCTATGGGTCTAGTAGCTATTGCTCAAGTAGTTACTAGAGCTAATTACTACGGAAAGGCCTTTCTTGTATAACCAGGTAATCGAGAATGGGTTACTTCGATCGAGTGTATCAACTCTACCGGTTGGGCGCTTCCTCCATGTGTGATCTTTAAAGGAAAGGCCCATATAGAGGGTTGGTATCAAGATATTAAGCTCCCACGTGATAGTAGGATTGAAGTTAGTCCGAATGGATGGACTACAGACGAAATAGGCCTTCGCTGGCTTAAGAATCTCTTTATTCCTACTACTACGACGAGCCGTACAACTGGGAAATATCGCCTTCTAGTTCTAGATGGCCATGGTAGTCATCTGACACCTCAGTTCGATCAAATATGCAGCGAGAATAATATTATTTCTATCTGCATGCCTGCACACTCATCGCATCTACTACAGCCTCTAGATATTGGCTGCTTTTCGCCTCTAAAGCGGGCGTACGGCAGCCTGATAGAGAAGCAGGCACGTTTAGGAATTAATCATATCGATAAACTTGATTTCCTAGAGGCCTTTCCACAAGCTCGCAAATGCGCTTTTCAAACAGATACTATTCGGAATAACTTTGCAGGTGCTGGCCTAGTTCCATTCAATCCAGATAGGGTACTCAGTCAGCTAAATATTCAGCTAAAGACCCCTACACCACCAGGCAGTCGATCTACCAATACAGCTCCAAAAACGCTTTATACAACTAGGCAGCTTGAAAAGCAGGCATCTACCGTGAAGCAGCTGCTTAGAGCGCGTACGCAGAGTCCTTCATCTTCACTAGAGGCGCGGTTTGATAAGCTTATTAAAGATCATGAATTACATCTTAATGAGCTTATTCTTGCATGTGAAGAAATCCACGAATTACGCGCTTCTAATATAAAGAAGCTTCAAAAAAGGAAACACTCTACTAAACAGCTAGCTCTTATAGAGGGACCAGCTATTCAGGAAGGCCTAGAGCAGTTCCAGCGTGAGAACGAGGATAATAAAGCTCAAAATACGCTTCCCCTAGATCCTGCACTTCCTGCAGATAGGCCACGCGTACGAGCGCCCCCGCGCTGCAGCAATTGTCATATTCTAGGACATAGGCAATTACAATGTCCTAATCGAGTTTCTAATTAATTTTTAGATAGAAATACAATTGTTTTGTTGATAAAGGCTCTTATATTTAGCCCGCGGGCAGGAATTGGGGAGGAGGTGGCTGCTCGCTTGTGAAATAATGTAATTGGTAAGCGAGCTGGTAGTGTAAGCGAGCTGGCATCCGCGCCCACCCACGCCGGCTTCCATGAAAAGATAAAGTAATTATTTACTATTATATCAACAATATAACGCGTTTATATAGTGTTTTAACGTGTAGGACATCCTGTTCGATGTCTAACTGTATTACAGTTATTGCAGTGAGATGGTGCTCGGCAGCGAGGCTGTTCTGTTACAGACCCCTGCTAGCTGAACGACTAGTGAGGCGGACTCGCCAGGCAGAAAGCACCGATAAAGGCAGCGCTCGGGTAAGATCAAACTATTATTGGGAATTACCACCACGACGCCCGGAACAGTTACACATCACGTGACCGCAACGATCATGTCACCAACAAGCTACGACATGTCAGCACTACAACCCGGACATGGCGGCGACACGGGATAACATACCAGTGGTATAACATATCATAGTAATGACATTAGAAGAACAGATATATAAGGACATTCTTTCATATACTTAGCTAGTTCTGTTCTTCATGCTCAATCTTATTATATTTAAGTAACCATAAGTTTAGAAGCTTAGGAAATAACACTCATCTGCACTCACTTACAGATAGCTATACAGTATTATTCGGCCTTACTTCTCTTCTCTTGTTCAAGACCAGTCATCCTTAGATAGACATTAATCTGATACAGCCTCAATTTATTTTAAAGATACATATACCAGTGAAGCTAAGCTAACAGGAATACAAGGAAGCAATCCTAGGGTTTAATACATTGAGCACCAGTCAGTACAAGTGTTACTAGTTATAACCATCCATTATGTTGACAGTTTCAAACTCATCGCGCGCCCCACAGCAGCAGGGCCCGACAACGCAAGAATTGATGAGTATGGTTAGTCAGTTACAAGAAAGTATCACTGCCTTGGAGCAACGGAACCAGTTATTCAAAGATTGCTTGGCAGTCAAGTCTGTCAAGGTCCGATCACTGGAACCGTTTGACGGTAACTAAGCAAAGCTCAGGGCTTTCTTGACCCAGTTGGACTTGTATTTCAGCATGAACAGAGAAAAACTCAAAAACAAGATTAATAAGATCCTTTTTGCGTCTACCTATCTGACTAGAACAGTGTTTAATTAGTTTAAACCATATATCTACAAGTATCAAGAAAAGTTGGTAAATAATCAGGATAATAATATAAAACAAATCTTTGCCAGTTATGCAAGATTTAAGCAATATCTTAAACAAATATTTAGAGATATTAATACAGCATATAATATTAAATAAAGATTATAATAACTTAAGTAGTCAGGATCAGTATCTAAGTATACTTTCAAGTTCTTATAAGTTATTAGTCATCTGGACTGGAATAACAATGTCTATATTATATAATTCAAAGAAGGACTTAAGATAGAGATCTAAGAGAAACTTATCTAGTAAGAATAATTAAATACATTACTACAGATAATCATAACAGTAGTCAAGATTAATAATAAGTTATATGAATACAACACAAAATAGAAAGAGAGATGATAGACCAGCAGGTCTATATCTTGATAAGATAATTAATAAAGCTATCAAGCCAATAATAGAAGATCAGCATAATCTAGAAGTCTGGGATATAAAGATCCTTACAGACTAAAACCAATGGAGCTGGATGCAGTGCAGTATCAGACTCAACAAAATAAAGTATTTAAGAAGGAACTTAAATAGTATAAGAAAAACTGCTTATACTTTAGCTGCAGTAAAGTAGATCATCAGTCAAAGAATTATAATCAGAAACAGTAATAGCCTCAGAAGCAGTTAAAAACTATATATAAAGATTAAGGCAGAGGAGCCTATAATATTACCACCATTCAGCCCGAAGTTTGGACAGAACCTGTAATGTGGATATTAGATAATAAGAAGCTATATGTTATATAATATAGATAATTATTAAAAGACAGGATATATTAAGATTAGTTAAGATAAC